TTTTTTCCTTTTTCCTTTTTCCTTTTACCTTTTTTAAAGGCCTTCTTTTCCATTGAGATACACGTGGTATCAGCTGGCACGGACTTTTCTTCCCATCGATCTGCGTCCTATGAAACCTTGTGAGAGGAAAGTTAATCACGGGCTAAGGATGAAGTTTATGCCTCAGTAAGGAAGGAGAGGCTTTCAATTGGTCCCGCGTGAGCAGAGGACGATGCAACTTCCACAATGTCCGCATTGTCCGCAATGTCCTGGAACTTGGAATGAGGCGGGTTTCTTCCCACTTTCAATCATTGGAGGCGGAGCTGGCAGGGCGGTCCAGATCTCCTGTCGATCGAGGGAATCAATTCAACAGAACAGTATTTAAAAGGCAACAACATTCATCAGAACTCTACTCACTCCCCCCTCCTCCCCATACGCGATATATTTTACCTCGCATAACTGAAAGGCCTTGATTTCTTCTAGCTCACAAGCTCACAAGCTTACAAGTTTTAGATCGCCGATAGAGTTGCTCGAAGTGCGAAGTGGGAACCAGGGAGGAAGCTCCAACCCCTTTCTGTCTCCCTCTACACTACCGGAACAGACTGCCGTGAACTCAAATACCAAGCACCAAAGTGGAGGGAGACAGAGGGCCCGTTTTTAGTCTTGGGGCGTGGAGACAGTTGTAACTTCCATACATGCATGCATAAACAGGACAAACATACTCACCGCTAGGAAATTATCAAACCATGAAATTGAGTTTTTTGGGGGGGAAGGAGAAAGAGCTCAGCCATCTCCGTTACAGGCGCAAGTTTTGCCAAAACTTTATGTTGGGGGCGCGGAAATGCGATTCCAAACTGGGCGGTGATTGTTCCCCACTCTCTCTCTCTCTCTCTGTGCCTCTTAATTTTCTCCTACAGTGAGGCTACAAAGGGGGAAGGGCACTAGGGGGTTTCCGCTACCGATATTACCTACAGCCATATCGAGTGCCTTAACCTCATACTCGGAGATCGACATGTCTGGAGCATACCAGGGCGCGCTGGGCTGCGAAGGTTTCTTTTTTTTTTGGGATTTCTGAAAATACCATATTTTATGGGGATGCAAGGGCGATGTCCATATGTACGTACATAGTCTCTCTTCCCCTTTTGTCCCATGTGGCCTGTAAAGGTTTCTTGGCTGGTTAGCTGGCTGACTGGTATGCTGCTGGCTGGTTAACTGGCTGGCTGGTTGGTTGGTGCGTTGGCTTGTTCGTGATCTGGACCTCTCAGTAGCTCGACTTGACTGGTCTTGCAGTATCAACATCGCCATCAGCATCAGCACCAGAATCACCATTAGGAGAGATGAACGGGTTTGCTCGTGCTCGTACTCGTGCTCGTATTCAGGTTCATGCCCATCCTTGTCTTGTGCTCGCTCGTGCTCAAAATCTGCGTGCCCACAAAAAAGCGGACTCCTCTCTCCTCCTCTTAAGCCACAAACCACCTCTGTCCAAAGTACCTGTCCATATCTGTGATTTCCCGCCGGCGGGAGACATCCATCCGATTTTCTCCCTTGTTTGCTCGTCGGTGGGGATGTATGTCTGTATGTGGGTGGCTGCAAGGGTCTTTAACAAAGAGGGAGGGGACGGAGGGCTGGATATGTGGAGGGAGGGAGGGAGGGTCCGTGGCAATGCATCCCATCGCTGGGCGACGATATCCATACGAGTCCTACCTCGAACATCCCTTCCTAGGTCGGTAGCAGGTAGGGCCATACCTGACGGTACACGAGGGTCTCTGTATGTGTATGTATGTGTACCTGACATGACTTCTCCCCGCGACGATTCGTACCGTGCCGAAGCAATCACGGATAGTTCGTCTCCCTGAGAAAACCTGGCTTTGGCGGAGTATCTCGCTGAATCTGGATTCTCCAGAGTCCCAGAAGGGGAAAGAGGAGCTCGTTTCAGAGAGATGTGCCCCGGGAATATCACTCGGTTACTTCCCACTCAGGCAAGTCTGGGTTCCTATCCAAAGATCTCCCTGTGTTTTGCATCGCAGGGGATTGAATGCCGGGTATCGCGTAGGGTGTTTGTAGCGCCTCTGTCTCTGTCTTGGAAATCTTGATGCCGGCAAGATCAAGGAGGTTTGATTGAATATTTGCATGTTCCTATGGTACCGCACCACCAGCAATTTCGTTCGTCGAGGCAACATCCAGAAAGGAGGCAAGCAGGCAATCAAGCACCTCGTCCAGATTCGGTCACCCCTGGACGCACTCACGAGGCGGTCATGAGACGGTCACGAGGTTTGCGTCTCATTGCAGCACGGGCATGCTCAAAGTGACGTATGTATGTGGTATGAATGGACCAGGGTGCCTCTGAGAGTATCTTATTGGAGTAGATGGGCCTCGGTGCAGTGCAGACCTGACAGGGCGTTGTATTCTTGAACTTCGACCCAACATTGTGTTTATCAACTGAGCACTGTCACTGTTGCATATTATTTATGTCTTGTGAACGAGTCTGATATACAGACATACATTCACAGTGCAAAGAGCAAAGTGACATTTGAGTTCTTTTAGCGTAGAGGGTTTTCCCAACAAGAAAATTTAGTGTATGCACAGATAGCTTTTTAGCTAGTAACGCTCATTCATGAGTTATACTCTTCACAAACCCAGCAACGGAGTTGTCAACAGAAAAAAAAAAGGAAAAGAAAGAGACAAGACAAGATAAACCAAGATAGAGAAGAGATATATAATGAATGAATTGATGAACGCATGCAGAGCCAAAAAAAAATGTGAGTACCAAAATAAAATAAATATGTTCGAACCCGGGATCGAACCGGGGACCTCGTCGGATCAAAGGCTCAAAGGTGTGAGCAACGCGTGATAACCACTACACTATTCGAACACAATTCCTGGGCTTATTTTGGGGTATGTCATATATATATGTGCGCTGTGGCGACTGCGGAAAAGCTTATCTGGACCAATAGCCAGGCAACAGGCTGGGAGCTGTCACCCCCCGACACCCGCCCGCTCCTGGCTTCCTGAACATGCCGGCCCAACAGTAAAATAGATGGGGTCATCCGTGGATGGTTTCTGGGCTTCTGGACGCTTTGCTCATCTGTACGTACGGATTACGATATCTCTCGAGTGGCTGCCACCGAATACCAGACAAGACACAAGATGCGAGATACATTACAAGGTACACTCAAATGACCCTCCAAGTCATGCCAGAATCCCCGTTCTTTACGTACATTGAGAGACTGAATGGCGAGCATGCGGGCCTAGAAATACCCACTGTCCCAATCCTGCATGACCCAGCTGCGGTCCGACTCGAGGAGGATGGCGTCGAGTGTCATCTCGTCGCCACCGAAGCCGTCGTTACCTCCCATATCTATCCCGAAAAACCCTCCGCCGTTGCTGCCGTTGGCGGATTGATACACGGAGTTGCGCTCGAGAGGATCCTCTGTCGGTGTCGCCGCAAGGGGGATTCTTGTGTAACCGCTCCCGCCTCCGCCGTGATTCTCCATGGTTGCGCTCGAGAAGTCGCTGTGGTGCCCGTGCTCGTGCTCGTGCAAATGGCCGTGGCCGTGCTGTCGATGGTGCTGGTTCTGGTGCTGGAGTTGCGCACGGCGAATCTCGGCATGACTTCTGGGAATCCCTGGAGTAGCTGAGCCCTTGTGAGGATGAATGTGACCGTGACTGTGGCTTGTTGCGGACGACGGAACTCCGCCATGGGGCTCTTGAATAATGTCCACTTGCGCAGCTGAACTTGTACGAACATACGACCTGTGACTACGAGACGTAACCTCCACGGTACTATTTAATCTCCTCTGCGCCTCCTTGTCTGTCAGAGCTTCTTCGCCCAGGTCGTTGTTCGAGTGCAAATTTGTCGACGGGTACCGCCCTAGGTAATCAGATGAGAAGTGACTCTCACGTTGTTTGGCGAGAAGTTTTCTGTGCCCTGGAGAGTCGCGATCGTAACTGCTCGCCGCTTCAGGGACAGGAGAGGCAGTCGTGGGTGGTGGAAGCATCGTCAACGCGGAGTGGTCGATGCCAGTCGAGTCGGGCTCTTGACCGGTTCCGTGCCTCTCTCCGTCCATATCGATGGCACGTATTTCATCACACTCTCCCCACATGGGTACGGTCGAAGGTGACAGTTGGAAGGTGTCGCTCGGGTAATACATTCTCTCACATCCCTGGTCGGTCCGATCGATTCCTCTCTCCGTCGAAGCGATACTATCAGCATCGGCGACATCAGCGGCATCGTCCACATTCGACCACGAAGAAGAGGAAACCACAGCAGCAACAGCCGTGCCGGCTGTGTGAAGCAGGGAATCGCGGCGCCCACTGTTCATGGCCTTTTGTGCCGGAAGCGCGCAGCTTGAGGACGTCAATCCGACAACAAGATCGCACTTTGGACACAACTCCACACCAAGCCGCTCAAAGAGCGACAGCTGGTCAGTGAGGCTGGAATCCCTGTGGTTCCGCCCAAGCAATGCCATGTTCCGCTTGGACGCAAACGTCCCTGCAGCGCTGCTGCGATTCATCGCCGACAACAGCTTATTGAGCGACCCTAGATGACGGTGAGCCGAGTGCCAGGTCTTGCTCATCTCCAACAGGGAGTAGCGGATCATCTTGAATTCCCTCTTGGACGCCTCTCTCAGGATCGGGATCTTGTGGCCTGATATCTGCGGCAGGCCCGCCGTGAAGAGGTAGAAGATGTGGATGGGACTGAGGTAGCGGAGCAGGTCGCGGGCCAAGAAATCCTCAAAGATGCGCGCAACGCACGACGAGGCCAGTATGGCTGCGACCGAGCAGTTTTGGACCGCAGGACCTGGACCATATAGTATGGAGATGGCTGTGAAGTAAGGGATGTGCAATTGCCGGGTCTCGAAATCGAAGTCGCGGGCACCGTCTAGCTGGAGATCCGACGGCAGCTGGCTCCTCCATCTGTACAGGTCTCGGCCGACGCCAACGCAGAGCGACCCAATGTGCCCTCCAGGCAGGGCCGCCTGTCCTAAACGGCCCAGAATACAGCATATGTCGACATAGCTCAGGAAGAGCCGAGCGTGCTTGTTGTCTTCCGGGAAATCATGGAGCGTGGGCCATCGTACGGTACAGTCGTTGAGGTTGATGGAGCGAGGTCGGCCTTGGGAGGCTGATAGAAGCGCGTCGCGTGCCTACCACATGTTGGTCAGTGACAAATCGCGGGAATGCAACAATCCGGGAGCAAACACTTACTACCAGCGTCCAGAATAGCCTTCGGCGGAGCTTGTAATCTGGGTTTCTGGGATCCGGCTCTCGATGTAGACCGATCTGAAAAGCCAACCCCACGGCCAGTCGTAGCCAGGAGACACTGGAATGGATGGAGACAAACTCGGGTCCGTTTGGGTTGTACCACTGGAGCAGACACAGGGCGCGGATGACGGTGAGTGGGTTAAGTTCGTGTTCGGCAAAATACAGCGCTTTGGCTCGGTTGTAGAACTCGCTACAGCTGTTGAACGAGAAGCGCGATGATTGTACGCGGCTCCCCGCCACGAAGAGCGCTTGGGTGAGCAGGAGGGACACGGTATTTTCTCCCTGGTTGCTGTGCCGGGTCTGGACCTCACAGGCTCCCCGGCCAATACTTTTGAGCTCCTCCGCCTCGATCACAGGCATCCACGGACTGCAATATACGGTGAAGCTGCTCACGAGGCTGTCTCTGATAGCCCGGGTGGGGAGATCAAACGCCCTGTAGAGGCGCAGAAAGGCGAGGTCAACCTCGGGTCGCGAGTTTGTGGGAGGTGATGTCGGCGCCGACGATTCCATCAACTCAGTCTCTCTTTCGAGGAACTCGATCTCGTTCTCGAGATAGACCGGTCGACCTACAACTCCACCCGTGGGCGTGAGTATGGCTTGAGGAGTCGATGCAGCCGCGGCCATTGAGACGGTGGATCTGCGTCTTGTTGTCTGTGGCCACGTCGTTGCATTGTACGCGCCTGGACTGGTTTGGTTGTCGGCATCTCCACATGTTGTTTGTATGGAAGTCGATGGTTCATCGTTTGCATCGTCAACCTCATCCCGATCTTCAATTCCTATATCGCTGCGGCTGCCCAAGTCTTGAGACTGATAGTTCAGATCGCCGTCGCCATGCTCCAGGCCAGTTGGGTGGGTGTATGACTGAGTTCGACAGGGAGCCGGTCGGCTGACGTTGACTTGGGCAGCAGACGTATTCTTGGAAGCTGTGCGCCATGCCCGTCGTTGATGCGGCCTGTGATGAGACGAGATTTGAGTCAGATTTCTGGATCACAACAGCAGATGGATGGCTTCATAAAGGGAAAGAAAAGGTATTGCGGGAGCATGGCACGAAATGCAGGAGAGGAAGAGCTTGCTGTCGGGGATATTTACAAGCACTTCAAACCCTGCGACTGGCAGTTGGTACAGGGCCCCGAGCCTTGTTCAGCGAGATCGCATCGAACCTGAATCGAAGAAACAAGGATCACCAGTCAGTATGGTTGGTGCCAAAAGGACAAGGCTTGCTCGGATGCTGCGGACCTTTCTCCTATTGCAGATAACACAGGCTTTGCGACATCGAGGTCTCCGCGCCTGGTGCAAACGGCCAGGCTGATCCTTTGCGGTTGACATTGCATCGGCCTCAACCGTTGGAATATTCACCAATTCGCCCGAAGGCTCATCGCCCGAGAATCCGTCTTGCAAGGAAGACGCTGGGACGGACGGGAACACAGCTGGCTCGGATGATGTCTGCTCCATGGCGTCTGTCATGAAATTCCCTCAGACTGCCGACTGAATGCCAGACGATGCCGAAGAATGGCGACAAACATGGGTGATTCTGTTTGATCGGGTTTGATTCCTTGATATGGATCCAGTTCAGACCTTGGAAGACTGGATAGAGTCTCGGGGGACGCTGGCCGTTGAACCACGAGACCCTCGCACCATTCGCCGGTTAGTGACGCTGTGCCGCCATGCAGGGCACAGACTAGACCATCCAATGCGGGCGAACGCGGTAAGGCTGGGCTGGAAGAAGGGACTGCGTGACAGATCTCTCCATCTCCATCACCCACCATTTACCCCGGGCACGGGTCGGGATCCACCAAGTTAGGGCTCGAGGACAAAAGGGGAGGAAAACCGGGGGGGTGGCTATCGGCAATGACTGGGTCTCGACCGGTTGAAGACGGTGGAAGTTTTCCCGAATGTCGCAGCTCGATGGCAACTTTCGGGACTTTTGGTCATGGGAGACCCGGAGAGAGGCCGCTTGAACTAGCCGAGATGCCGTGAAGTAGCAAAGCTTTGGGGCGCAATGAGCAGTGAGCAGTGAGCGGTGGGGAAAGCCAGAGGTCATCATTTGATGCTATCAGTACTCGTGAGATAGGGAGAAGATGCTTGAAGCGAAACCGAGTCTGTCCCTGTCGATGGCGAAGATCGAGACAAACAACATCGGCTTGTTGGATTGTCCACCGAGACTCAAGATAGCTGGGGGACCTACCTGCTTGAGATTGTCGTCCGGGAAACCAGGAAATGTCGTGCCCTCCCTACGCAGAAGGAATAGTTCCAAGTTCATGAGACAAGGCAAAGGACATGTCAAGACCAACGAAGCTTTATCTTGGCCAGTCAATTTGGCGAGAGAAGTCAATGTTTTGCCGAAAGGAATGTCTTTTGTAACTCGGTCTATTCTATGGCAGCTCGTTACCTTGAGCATTTACACTCCCCAGCCGTGACCGGCTTCTCTCTCTTATCTCGAATACTCACTTTCCTCATGAAGCGATGTATATGTATACCTAGTGAGCTATCCTCTTCAGAGCTTACTCAGCCGCTTCCCCCGATCGTAGTCCTTTGCGCCCATGACCAGCTCGTCCTCCCAGTACCGCGGATTATACGTGATGCTGTTCAGCGGGTTCAGGCGGTGCGCGCGGTTGAACAGGTCCTCGTACACTCTGCCGTCGTGGCGCCCGAGCGCGCTGTCGAGGAGGTAGTCCGGGATCATCCAGGCGTCGACCAGCTTGACGGCGTGCGGACGGATTTGCACCAGGAGGCCCTTGATCGTCTCGGAGATCGCGTCCATCTGGTCGGTGCTGATGGCGCTGGTGCTGAGGACTAGAGCAGGGAGAACGGGTCAAGATTCGGTGTGTTTCAGGTTAAATAGGTGTTTTAACTGCACAAGGGGGGCTCAAACTCACATTCGCGCGCTTCGTTGTCCATCGTGTACAGGCAGAAAAGCCGAAACAGGTCACGCAGTACGCCTCTCGACTCGGGTGACATGTCTTTGGTGTTCTGGACGGCGGTGTAGAAGAGGCCCACGACTCTCGCTTGGGATTGTGCTAGGAATGGGATGTGAGCTTCAGATAATGCCTGGGTGAGGGTCGAAGGTTGACTCACCTAGTCCCAGCTTGTGTAGCTGGATCAAAAGGCTGTTCCACTTTTCCTTTCGGACCACTCTGGCTTCGTAGGCTCGGTATGTCTGTATGGGTGAGATATCTTTGGTTAGTCTGCCGGAAAGAAATGCACTGTCGAGGGGAGAGAGAGCGGAGAGATCTTACCAGTGCTGCTGCCCTCCATTGGAAGGCATCGACCAGTGCCTGATCGCTTCCTAGCACGTCAAAGGGACAGACACTCTGCCCTGAGCCCCGAGGAGGAGTTACTGCCTTGACAAAGCTCCGCAAGTTCTTCTCGGTATTGTCTGCCGACTCCGCCTCGGGATTCTCGACCACGGCAGTCATCTTCTTGATCAAGTAGGCGGCGACTTGCTGCGTGATCATCCAGTTGTCGCCTTCCACCGTCGGTTTCGACAGGTAGTCGTTGTTCAGTTGGATCATCCCGCTCGCGCCACCGAAGCCATGCCCGCCTAGCACGCGCCGGCAGGTTTCGATCCCGTCGGCAGCGAGGCCGGTGCACAGGCTCTTCAGCCCCGTCGACATGTTGTGGAGGTCGGCCAGCTCGCTAAAGTCCCCCGAGCCGATACTCGTCCGTGTGCGGTAGAAGAGGTCGCCCATGGCTTGGCCGCTGTAGTGGAGAGCGAACATGGTGGCGAGCAAGGGCAGGACTCTGATCTGGACGGTCTGATAGTCGAGGACAGGGACCTCTGGACCACTCGGGTCTCCTCCGTCACGGTCTGAGAATTGATGTCTGACCGCCGAGTAGCGAACGGCAATGGTCACCGCGCGGGCGAGCACCATCCTTGCCTGCATGACGATGACGGACCGGGAGAAGGTCATGCTGCCGTAGATGAGCGCGCGGACCTTGGGCTTGCTGTACTCGCCCGTGTCCGGGTCGACCTTGGCGTGACGACTCAGGAAGGCCGAGTGAGGTATTCTGTAGTGATCGAACAGAATGTATGCATTGTCCATGGTGATGTATCCGTACTTGGGCCCTATATCCCCAATGACGACTCCGTCCATGGGCTTGTGCGTCCCCAAAGATCGAACCTGCACTACAAAAGGATGCGGACCGTAGGAGGTGTAGCCCGTCGTCTTGTCGCTGGACGAGGACTTTGTGGGAAGCAGGAGTTGAGCCACCACGATGGCATGGTTTCCTGTGATACCGATAGACCCGTTCCACCATTTGCTGGAGGTCAAAGTCGGGCTGTTGAGAATGAACTCTTTCGTCACAGGATCCCACTTCGCCTCCAGTTCAAGTCCTCTCACATTGCTGCCGTGGCCGAGCTCGGTCTAAAGATGATGAGTGTGAGCATCATCAGTGACAGTCCTCATCCGCACCAAAAATGTCAAGAGACTTGATTCACCTGTGCATAACCCCCTGTCACTTCCCAGCTTTCAATCTTGGGCATCCAGTAAGCCAACTGCTCGTCACTTGCTTGCTCCCGAATCGTATTGGTGAACAATTTCGTGTGGGCGTAGAATGGATTGACGTCGTCCACCAAGTACAACGCCCTGAAGATCGGTATGACTGGTGAGTGTCACGACATTCCAAAGAACGAAAGATGAATAGACAAACTCGTAGCAGCACCTACATTAGATAGTCGTCTTGATCCCACTTCAGCCGGTCCGCCATGCGTCGCAGACACTTTGCCCGTGTCAGGCCGAGCTCAAACCGTTCCTGTCGCGATAGATGCTGCTGTGATTCTTTGGAAAAGACAGGCTCCTTTTGTAACGCCTCCAAAATGCGCTGTTGGCGTTCGAGAAACCCATCTCGTCCGAACAGGTGCTGTGCCAGCTCCTGGACTGGTAGCGAAGAACTTGCTCTCTCGCGTGCCAGACAGTCTGGACCTTGAGGGTTTGCCGGTTTGAGGTTGTCTGGAAAGGCCGTCATGGTTGCGACCGGTTTATACAGGGTTGACTTTGTAGATCCCTTGTCGTTCTGCAGAGTGCCTCAGAGCTGGAGAGACGGTGGTTAATGTATTGTTTCAAGTCACATATAAATTTGTCACTGTTGCCCTTCCACAGATTGGCTCATACAGACCTCTTCGATGGCGTGAACGAGCAGACCACTTCGGGAATACGACCATCAATAGCCCACATTCTGGGTCGACACGGGTAAAGGAGCTGGCTGGATTCGACATTCCTGCACCGTCAGGTGTCAAACCGAATATGGCGCAGAGTGGAAGCAAGCGATATTCGGCAAATGTTGATGTTGGAACGAATTTCCCGAGCCGAAGCGACGAATCGACCTATCAACACAAGACCCGAAGCCAGAACAGACCTCTTCTCCTCGCTTGAGACCCAGAACAGGTAAAGAGAGTACAAGACGCTATACTCTGGAGATGTGGGGAGGAAAAGTCTTGTTACAATGTCTTCTGTTACGAATCTTGCCATACTATCAATGACATCTCCATGTATCGAACTGGACTGAAACCGTCTCCAGAGGCCCTTTGGTAGATATCTCTGGCAAAGTAACAACCTTTGTCTCTAAATCTACTCTATCCTGTATCTAGCAGCAGCACAATCCCCTATAGTTTCGACGCGAGCGCAGGCTTCGCACTGCTCCAGATCTGTATGTCTCTGTGCCCGTTCTTGGGAAACAACTGAGGTCCCAATATCTTCTTGGACACTTTTCCGGTTGCGGTCTTGGGAAGATCGTGAACGACTCGGAGCAGGGTTGGAAGTTTGTACGATGACAGTCGATCCCGTAAGTCGCGACGGATTTTCTCAAGGGTCAGTTGTTTGGAGGGATCCGGCCACTGATATATCCTGTGTCAGCGGAGTCTCTCTGCCATCGTCATACATGGTGGGACATACGTTCTGATTCAGAGTGACCACAGCTGCGGTTCGCTGTCCAAACTCGGCATCGTCGACGCCTACCACCATAGCCTCGCCGATGTAGTTCAGAGAAAGCAGTTCGCGTTCCACATCCAAGGTCGAAATCTTGTACCCTCCGGATTTGATGACTGCAACAGCGTCAGAGGTCAAGCCCGGAACTTGCGAGAGGAGGTTGAGAAAGAAATCTTGAGTAAACGACTTACTATCAGTCGACTGCCGCCCAAGAATGAAATAATAAGGCCCGACCTTCCGGGCAATGTCTCCTGTTTTGAAATACCCATCGGCGTCGTGGGCATTTGCCGTTGCCACTGGGTCGAACAGGTATCTGGTTGCTCTATCAGTTTACTTGTCCGGATATGAAGAACATGTACTCACCTCGAGAACATGAACGGAGTTCTAGCGAGGATTTCTCCTTCATCGCCTTCAGAGAGTTTTACCTCGACGCCGGGTGTGAGTGTTCCGACCGAGTCCTAAGAGTATCAAATCAATCAGCCGGATCTCTTAACCATGGTCAAGGGACGATGGTAATCAAGTCGTACCATTGGAGCATCTGACGCCGTGCATGGCATCTTGAAGACCGGCCCAAACTCCGTGGCTCCATACCTCGTCAACAACCTCATGCCGCCTGTCAATTTAACCCACTTCTCCTGTAGTGGCAATGGCAAGGCTGAGGTGCCACAAAGGAGGCCTCTCATACTCCGCAAACCGGTCAGGTACTCATTGAGCTGCGCACTTGGAAGCTTACTCAGGTGCGTTTCAAAGTACTGCATCAGGCGGGCGTACATGGTAGGTACGCCGGTGAAGAAGGTCAACCCGCCCTCTCTCCATCGTTGCCACAACTGTGCCGGGTTGAAACTGCCCGACCGGAATTCCACGCGAGCTCCAGCATACAGGAATGGAGAGAAGGACAGCCCAATTCCAGCTGCATGGTGAACAGGCATCAGGTGAAGCACAGCGTCGTCAAGCCCCAAGCCGTAATGATCGGCGATTTCATCTGCAGAGTCGATGAAATTTGACCGACGCATCACCACGCCTTTGGGGGGACCTGTTGTCCCGGAGGTAAAGATGACGAGACCGGCACCATTGAGGTCGAGAGCGAGGTTCGACGAAATGACAATGTCGGTCGGTTGAAGTGGCTTCTGGTAAATATGTGGCTCGATCTCAATGCATTTGAAGTTCGCATTGGTGGTTTGGTTGATCGCTTCCTCCAAGGATCTCCCGGTCTGCAGCGAAGTCGACGAGGCCAGAACGGCATCGGCCCGGGACTTGTTGGCAAAATAGCAAGCTTCTTGAAGGGGAACACCAGGGGCTAGAAGGCGCAAAGTGTCCATGGTCAGTGACTGGATTGCTGTCGAACGAAATAAGCAACACCGAGGGAGAAGATGCTTTGCTCACCTAATGGGACTGGTACGGCGCCAGCTGCCAGAACCGCGAGCATGGCCACTGCAAACTCGTAGCCTGCAGACGCGATGATATTGACAAACACCTCCTGTCCTGGCCCTTCATGTTGGATCTGGAGCCTCGAAAACACCTGTGGATGGAGTGATTCTTCAAGCACATTGCGGAGGTGGAGGATATCCGTCAGCAATTGAATATGTGAGGCATGGTATCCGGTGGTCCCATCTGTGATAGCAATCCTATTATGCCGGCTGGCGAATCTGAGTAACCTTGAGAAGAGAGCGAAGGCGGGCAGAACGTTGGGGCCACCGTGATTCGGGACCAGACCAGTTCGGTCGATATCCAAGTCAGCGTCCATCTTTCTGGGGGTGTCCAGGGCGAGGAACTCAGATCTGAAGAGTGAAAGATCGAGGGGGATATCAGGCACGGCCCTTGGCAATTCATACGATTGACGAGAAAGCCCTGGCCGAGAAAGGCTTGGGTCGATTGAATCTGTATGTCTTCGAGAGCCGAATCCTCGTCGTCTCCACATTTGCCGAATCTTTGTATCTCAGTCGCATTCGGGAAATCCAGCTCGGGTCGAGATCGCCACCATCAACCGAGTAGTCGTTCTGGCCACAGGCATAGAGACCAACCGAATACGAGCTGGTTCACCTGTACAAGAACCAAATAGGGTCTCACGGGATTGAGGGTTGGAATCCCTGCTGCAAGAGGCATATCATCCCTCGCTTCCCTGTTCTGATCCCAACTTTTCCCCAGATATTCCCCGGATTCCTTTTGCCCACCTACAGAGTCCTTTTTCCACTGTCCTTCTCTCAGCACTTATTCGCAAAGGCCAACAAACATGGCTTCGCAGGTGACTCCGGCCGCAGGCGACACGATCAGCAGTCCTGTGCACAAGGCGGACGGCAATATGAGCGAAGTGCGCGTCGAAAATGTCAAGTCTCCGCACCTCGAGATTGGGACCGTAGAGGAGGGTGGTTCTACGTCGACCGAATATGCTCGCCAGCTCGAGAAGAGAGTTGTACGCAAGTTCGACCTACACGTCCTCCCTATCATTTGCATGATGTGTACGTCTTCTCGTGATACAGAGGGTTGAAAAGCCTTCCGAAGCTGTGGCTTGCTGATTGAGTCTCCCTAGACTTGCTATCTTTCCTCGATCGCTCCAACATCGGGTATGTTTCTTCCCTTCTCCTTGTAGTGGGATACAAGACTAAAAGTTCATCTTCTGTCAGAAATGCCAAAATCGCCGGCATGCAAGAGGATCTCGATCTGGACTCGAACCGCTACGCATGGCTATTGCAGATCTTCTATATCAGTTTCATCGTGTTCGAGCCCTTCATCCTCTGCTGGAAGAGGTTCCCACCGCACTGGTGTGCCACAGCCGCCATCACTACCTGGTATGTCACAGCATAGGTTCCCAACTATTGTTGCAGGCTTTGTGGGTCTGATATTGATTACTTGGACGCATTTAGGGGACTCGTTGCAACCCTCCAGGCTTCAGCCTCCAGCTGGCAGGGCTTGATGGCCTGTCGTTTCTTTCTGGGCATGGCCGAGGCTGGCTCTGCGTTGGGAATCGTCTACTACCTCTCATTCTTCTACAACCGCAGCGAGCTGGGCTTCCGCATCGGCATCCAGTTCTGCTGTAGTCCCCTAGCCACCTGTTTCGCAGGTGTCCTCGCATACGGAATCACTTCTGGCCATGCGGCTTTTGCGAGCTGGAAGGTCCTGTTCGTGGCCGAGGGTCTACCTAGTGTCGCCGCCGGCTTGGTCACCTGGTTCTTCCTCCCAGACACCCCGGAGAGCCTCAAGGTGCTCACGGAAGAGGAGCGGGCGGTGGCAAAGGCAAGGAGCCTGCGACAGGTTGGCATGGAGTCAGAGCAGAGAATCGGCCATCTGAGGTGGAAAGATATCGGAGAGGGACTCTTTGATTACAAGAACTACTTGACGGCGGTATGTGCCTTGCCTTGCCTTGCCATCCCCATAACTCTTTTTACCGGCTCCAGAATTCCCACTGGATCACAATGCTGGTCTGAGGGTGTCGTACTGACTTTGCCATTTGGCTACTCTATTAGCTGATGTACTTCTCCACCAACCTGTCCTTCACCTCCCTGCCGGTGTTTCTGCCCACCATCTTGGTCGAGATCGGCTTCAGCGGCATCCACGCACAGGGCCTCACCGCACCGCCGTATCTTCTCGCCTTCTTCACCACCCTCGCCTCGACTTACATTACAGACAGGACCCGGCAGCGCGGCGTGACCATCATGACCTTGGCGACGATCGGAACAGTCGGCTACATTCTCCTCGCCGCCACGAAGCCGACGGCCGTGAGATACTTTGGAGTGTTTCTGGCCGCGGGAGCCATCTTCCCCACAATGGCGAATATCCTGCCGTGGGTTCTGAGTAAGTTCATCATTATCATCTTGACTCCCTGTCTCCCCAAATCCGTTTCTCAATGGAATGTATGCGCTCCGAGCGGAGAAGACTTACCAACTCGTGCTCTAGATAACCAAGGCTCCGACACCAAGCGCGGCATGGGCCTGACGATCCTCAACCTCATCGCGCAGACCGCCTCACTCATCTCGACCCGCCTGTTCCCCGAGGAGGACGGACCTTACTACCGCAAGGGCATGGCCGTGTGCGCCGCCTTCATGTTCTTCACCGTCATCCTCGCCCTCACCCTGCGCACCCTGCTGTTGTTCGAGAATCGGAGGTTGGACGCCAGATACGGGCCCGTCGTGGCGGCGCCGACCGTGGTGGAGATGTCCAGCGGCGCGTCGCTCGACGAGCCGCAAAAGTGGAATGAAACGGGAGAGGAGAATGAGGGTCCTAGGTTCCGCTTTGTGCTGTAGGCAAGAGAGGCGCTCTTGTTTCCCAAAGCAGACACGTACAGACATATACGTACAGGAGAGGAAGACAAGGGGGCGAGGCCATTGGTTCAACGGTTCAGGCGACAACTGCCAATCTTTTTCCAGGACAAGGACTGTCTGGTGGTCGGTGGTAGGGTACTATTTGCTCTCTGAGTCACCGCCTATCGACGACATTGTACTAGTGTTTTATGTAAGGTCCCTGTCCTTGGAGATGTGAAGTCTTTTTCCACAATATCCTATGGAAGAAGCCCAATGACCATGTTATGTTATCGACCTGCAGTATGTTGGCAGCTGAGAAGGTCCTGCCTAGATGATGCCAGCATCCGAGTAATGTCTTCTATACCGAGTAAAGATAGCCTCTCTGAGGGTATGAGGTTACCGCGCTGAACGAAACGAACGATTTGATCCCTTCTCCTTCGACGGACTCTCTTTTCCTTCTGGCACGGGCGGCGATTCATACCTCGTGCTACTTATACCAAAGCTAACTCGCGTAAAGCGACGCTTGATTCTCAAAACATACCATGCCTTCTTCACTCGCTCCATCTGCCATCAGACTTAGGTCCTGTCGTTGTACGGTACAGAGTGAGTGAATGTCCTACCCTTCCTCATCCGGCGGTCGATCGATCCGTATCAGGTTAGCTGCACCCCAAAGGGGGGGAAATTGTGGGGGTAAAGGGGATTGGTGGATCATCGGACTAGTCGTCGATAATGCCCACCTCGTAAATACCTATGTCCTCATGTACCGAGTACTCATGCAGCTTCCTTCAGGGGCGCTCCATGCACAAATTGTTATGCTTTGCGTCCTCCTCCGTCTCAAAGGTCAGACGATCAAACAACTGATGGTACTTGTCGTGGGTCGTGAGGATATCGGGAAATACCATCTTCCGTGGTGAGGTACATGGCTACCCCGAGAGGAGCGCTTTTCTCGGTCATGGCTGGCTTCCCAAGGGATTACTTTCTTGGAAAAAACCCATGGTATTGTTTTCTATATGTAGATTTATCGTGTCCATCGGTGTTCTATATCTCATATAGTCGTCCCCAAGTGGCTTCTCGCAAGGTTATTTGATTGTACGAATCAAAAGGCCCAAGCTACCTTCTTTGCTTGTTTGCTTGTTTACCAGGAGAACTTCTGCTTCACGATCGACTCGCTGAGATCCCACAACTTCTCTGCCCCCTCGGCGCGCTGACACCAAGCGGCAGGCTCCAACAGCTGACAATCCGACAGGTAATAGTTATTCCCTTCGGTATCTGGCTCGGCGAGGTCCGGATCGAGCGCCGCCTCCAGCGTCGTCGAGGCGCCTTGGTCGAGATTCTTCAGCTCGTAGGCACCCGCGTCGGCGCCGGCTTTCATGTTGTCCTGGACCGCCTGCTCCGTGTGCCGCCACAGGTCCGTGAAGATGACGCCCGGGTGGATGGCGTAGGATCGGATGCCGAACTTCTGGAGGAGTCGGCGGTTCAGGCCTAGAGCGTGCAGACAGTTTGCAGACTTGGACTGGCCGTAGGCGATGTAGGGGCTATTTATTCAAGAAAGGATCGGGTCAGTATTGATGTCGTGCTAGCCAGTTATCGTTGAGATAGTTTCCGACGGATGATCGACCCTCACAAGCAACGGGGAAAGCAAAGAAGAAAACCATACCTATAGACCCCCTCCGTGCTCATTTTCAAGCTCTCCAACATGGGCGCGTTGGCCCGGTCCTCCTCGGGCAGCTCGGCCTGGGTCTTTGTGAAATTGGGGTCGGAAAACCTCACGGGCGAGAAGTGGTGGGCCGACGAGGACACGACGACCACTCGGGTGGACCCGCGGGGAGATGTCTTTGCGGACGCGATCAACTTGTCCATGATGAGGTTGGTGAAGAGGAAATGGCCGATGTGGTTGGTGGCAAACTGGATCTCGTTGCCGTCCTCGGAGAGCTCGCGTGTGGGCACCGTCATGACCCCGGCGTTGCAGATGAGCAGGTCGACCTGCTTGACGTCCGGGTTCGCCAGGAGCGCCGCGGCGGCGTCGCGCACGCGGGCGATCGACGACAGATCCAGGTTCAGGAAGGTGAACTTGGTCGCGGGATACTTGGGTGCCAGGACGTCGATCACGTCCTGGACCTTCTTGGCCGATCGGCCCGTCAGGATCAAGAGGAGCGGCGCCTGTGAAGCCAGCGCTTCAGCGGTGCTCATGCCCAACCCGTTGAGCGACACGCCCGTGACGATGATGGTCTTGTGCTTGACGGCATCGGGAAAGGCACGGGCGACCTCGAAGGCTCCGGTCCTTGAATTGAATTTCGGTGCTGTCGTCATCTTGAATTGACTCTTTCAAACGGTGTCGTCTTCTATTCCTTCTCCCGGTCCTTGACAACCACTTTGCGACAAGTAGTCTTGCTCTGTATTATCGCTTCGAGAGGAAAAGGTCTTTGAAAAAATGATATTCTTTCTCCCCTGACTCGTATTTTCTTTCCCCGGCCGGCAAATATAGAGTTGTAAATAAAAATGATCAAGATCCACACTCTATACCGCACTCTTTGACCAAGTCTACCAGATGAGCCTTTTCTGGAGTAGCAGCTATCAAGACGAGGGGTTAATAAATGACACATACACACACACACCTCTTCACAAGACACCTCCCAGCCTACATATGCTAGAGGAATATACCATTTCTCCCCCACCCCCTACCATGCTCGGAGGAAAGTGTTACGGGCATTCGGTCTATATCCGAGGTTATGTCCGTCTGGGTCATTACATCCCTTGAAACGGATGGCAGTCAAGAAGACATATACACCCCCCCTAGGCGCCGCGCGGCGCGCCAATCCCCTTTCCGACGATGGAGTATGGTCTTGGCCAAACGGGTCGAGAGTCAAAAGTCCCAGAAGAGACCTCATGGGGACTAGGACGATGGGCTAGGGCCGTGACTACGACGATGTAGGTACTTCTCCCGATCACGTAGGGGCAATGAGCATCGTAGCGAGCAACGGAGATTACTCTCGTCGTTGATGTGTATTTGTGTCCAGAAAGCAAGAATAATGCAGTAGCAGCAGCAGTAGCAGAGGCCTCCAACCGACTGCTTTGCGGAAAAGAGTTTACCTCGCACAAGTCGATCAGAATCTCTTATTCAAGACACCATCTTTGGATAGTTCCCTTTTATGCCTCCTCCGGGACCTCCTCCGGGACCTAGGCTCGGTTATCATAAGGTAAGGGCGACTTTACAAAAACCTCGGGTTCTGCTTCGCTGGCCAGCGGTTTGATGTTCCGGTTCCTCCGTCCTCGTTCCCCGACTCCGTCCTGACCCTGGCCGCTACACACTGTCGACAAAGGTGAAACAGGATGTAGGCATCGGATGGGCAGATGGATCAGTTGCTGGCTGAAGTGATTCAGAGAAGGCAGGGGAGTCGTCATTGGCATGGTGGTATAGAAAATCCCCCCTGTGCAATCGTTCGAAGGAGCCAGTCAAGAGTGATCTAGGAGGAAATACAAGAATTATGAACGCAGGTCGTTGATGGAAGGTTGGAATCGACCAAGATCACAAGAAAATAGAAAAACGGACATATCTAAGATTACCAGCTAGAGTGGCCAGAGGTCTAGCAGCAAGGCTCTGCAGACCGTGGCAGCTATATCATGTTCCCCTCTGTGTTCTTAGGCAATCTTCTGGAAACGCAATAGACACCTCAAAGCTCTAAGCCGTCTGGCTTCAACTTCTGAAAGGGAGAGACGGCCCCTTGTAAAACAAACGGAGTCCCTCACTGAAGTAGTTGAAGATGGTTGATGTCGGAGACGTACTTCTTTACTATATCCAGAGTAATGCCCGGAATCGTCTTTTCGGGACATTCTGGAGCGTTCTGAATAGCCTTGCGAAACTCATCCGTAGATTGGGGTTGGATGCCGTGATTCTGCTTCGCAAAGGATCGAAGAAGAGGGAGGAAAGAGCGCTGTCGCACGCCATTTGGCAAGGCACGATTGCCGGCCGAGAAGCGTGTGAACCAGTCGTCGTAGTCCGGGATGCGTTGGATCTTGATGTCGCTTTGTTCGAGCCCTTCGGTGACGGTGTCGAGGGATCCGCCTCCGGCCTCCTGGTTCCGGGCGTGATAGGTCTGATATCCGCTTTCACGGGCCAGAGCGATGCCGTTGGTGACTTGGGCAAGGTAGTCCACCGGGATCCCGCCGTACACCGTGCGCTGTGGCTGGCCACCCGGGCCAATGGGGTAGAAGGAGGCGGGCACGATTCCAGTCGAGATCAGACTGATCAAGAGTCGGGTGAACATGTCGGGAACGTTGATTTGTCCGGCATATTTGCGGTCGGCCAAGATCATGTCACTCCTGAAGACGGTGCTCGCCAAGCCAAACGCATCGTGGGCATTTCTCAAGAGCACCTCCCCTCCCCATTTGCTCACTCGGTATCCGTTCGCATGTGACTGGTCGATCGGGACTTCTGGAATGGCGACTCGCACATCGGCATTCTCGTCAAGTTTGTCCTCGCGGCCGACCACAGCCAGAGTCGACACATAAACGAAGCGCTTGCGACGAGTGGTGATGGCCAGCTGAATCAGGTTTGCCGTGCCAATCACGTTGGGGTGGAATAGCTCACTGTAGGGGAGCACATGGTTGACCAGGGCACCCGAATGGAAGATGAGGTCAACCGAGTCGGCCAAGCGCTGCCAGGTCTCGGAGTCGAGTCCAAGATGGGTCTGACCGAGATCCCCTGCGAGCACTTCAAGGTGATCGCGAGCGAGTTGATTAAAATGTTCCAGCAAGGCTTTATCGCCGGTATCGATTGCAGTCACAAGCCGCTGTCGGGCATCGGCGTTGTTTTTCCCTCTCACGATGCAAATTACCTTGCCTCCGATGGGCGCAAGATGTTCAAGCCATTTGAGACAGTTGAACCGGCCCAAGAACCCGGTGGATCCGGTCAGCAAGACTGTCTTGATGGGACCAGTCACAAATGGAGCCTGGGAAGCTTTTGCGAGAACATCGGCGTCAATGAACTTGTCGAGGGTAAAGTCGGTTGCCTTGGCCACTGTGGGGTTCTTGCCATGAAGCACCTCAAACAGGGATTTGTCTTTGGCTTGAGCTTTTGCTCGGTCGACGAAGTCGGCGATGTTCCTAAAGCTGTTTGCGGGATTGGCGATGACGCTCAGCGGGATATCGATGCTGAAGAGCGACTGCAGCCGCTTGGAAAAGGTATGCGATGAGATGGAATCGCCACCATTTTCGGAGAACAACGAGTCCGGATCCACGTCTGTCGATGTGTCTCCTAGCACCAATTGTGCCGCCTTGCAAACAATCTCCAGTGTCGGGAGATTGTCCGCAGAACTTTGTAACAGCTGCAGTTCTTCATGCTGCTTTGCAGCCAAGCTGTCATAGAGGGCTCGCATTTGATCCCTATACTTGATCTTGAGCTTCGGGTAGAGGTTTTTGAGAAGATTCGACAACAGGCCATTGTTGTAGCTAAAGGCCGTGGTTTCGATAATGAAGTCACGAGGGATCTCGTATGGGAGGAGGCCTTCCTCCTTGGCTACATCCTTGAGCTTTTGGTGGAGGATCACTCTGAGCTCATCCAAATTGCTGCCGAATTCTTCCAGTGCTTCCTTGGAAGGCACAATGACGCCGACGAGGTAGGCTTGATCACTCTCACCGTCGATGTAGATTTGTCGAATCTCGGGAATCTTGTCGGCAAAGATGTATTCCAATCGTTGGGTCGCCACGAACTCGCCCTGAGAAAGCTTGAGGACATTGTTTGTGCGATCAAGGAAGATCAGCTCGTCGGGTCCAACCTGGGCCAGGATGTCACCACTGATGTAGTAGCCATCTTCGGTGAAGACCTTGCTATTGAGATCTGGGCGCTTGAAGTATCCGGCTACCACACTTTCGGATTTGAGCAGGAACTGGCCACGGGGGTATGGCTTGTCGCTGGTATAGTAGCCCATCTCTGGTACATCCTCCAGCTTCCAGTCAATCACTGGAGGCCGTTGGACTTTTGTCCTGGCGCACACGACCCCCGTCTCTGTCCCGCCGTATCCAAATTCGATGAAGGTGCCCAGAACTTCCGCCATGAACGCTGTAATGTTTTCCTTCAACTTGGCCCCCGCGACCAAGGCGCTTTTGATGCGTCCTCCCATGACTTTGTCTCGGAGTTCGATTTTGAGGTCCGACTCCAGGGTCTTGGGATCGGCGCCATTCTTCAACCTTTGGCTGTACTCGTCTAGATACCACTGGTAAATCATCTCCCCCACGCGAGGAACAATGGTAAACTTGGTGGGTCGCACGAGGGCAAGATCTTCCAGGATCGTGCTCATGTCGCTTTTGGCGGTGAAGCAACAAATGCCTCCAGACACGAGAGAGCCCGCGACAGACGACTGGCCAAGAATGTGGTTCATAGGGTAATAGCAAAGGGTGACTTCGCCCCCGTTGTGCTGAGACCAGTCTAGACTCCACATCCGAAGCATGATACGCTGTGTTATCATGGCACCTTTTGGTGTGCCGGTGCTTCCAGATGTGTAGACAAGGAGGTGCAGCGGATCTGTCCCCTTTTCAGGCATATCGAGTGGGGGAACTGGAGAGTCCTTTCTGCGCTGGCGGATATCGTCAAGGGAATCCAACTTGGCCGACACGCCTCTGGCCGTCAGCTTGGCTTGAGCAGCATCGAAAATGGATCGTTCAAGAGACAAATCAGCATTATAGCTGAAGACAATGACGCGTTTAACCATCTTGTTATTCGCGGCCAGCTCCACAGCCTTGTCCACTTGCTCGATGCTGACGGTTATGATTAATGGCTCGAGCTCTGCTATAAGCGGATCGAGCGTCGACAGTGGAGCATCAATCTGAAGCGGTGCAATCACTGCCCCGAGTAGATGGCCAGCGAATTCAAGGACCGAGTAGTCAATGCCACAGAATCCAAGGAATGCGATAGGAACACGGGGACGGAGCGAGGCGTCCGCATCGTAGTAAAGGTCGTAGGCGACATCACGGACCTGTTGCCAGACGTCTTTGAAGCTCAACGTTCGAAAGGACGGGAACAACTTCAGAGAAGTTTCGCCCGTCTCTGGATCACCAACGACCTCGCGATCTCGCTCCGCAAGTGCAGGTGCATCCCCGCCTCTCTGCAAGATTTGGGCGACACGGGTAGCAAGTGACTCGCGCTGGGCCGGAGGGTTCACAGGCCCAGTGTCTGGTATTCCAGTTGGTGGCACAATAGTGCTGGATTCAACAGCTACCGCCATGGTGTTTGTCGGTATCTTTGAACGTGGTGAGCGCCTGCTTTCTCTGCCTGCTTCGACCACAAACCATGTCCTTGGCTGCGATCCGACGACTTATGAATCGCGCCCTGAGACCCGATAACCACGGGAAGTCGAGTCCTCTACCATCCCTATCCTCGGCAGGCGCAAGTCTTTCATGATAGCCTGTTGACCATATTTCCTATCCCCGCCTGAACGTCTCCAGACTCCCACGAGATCAACCCCGGATTCGTCTCGCTGATCCATCCCACAAAGGGGTACCCGCCAGACATAGGCGAGGTTTCTTGTGGTTCCTGACAGGGCCAAAGCATGTAATGACCAGTAGATGAGATGCTCGGAGTCGGATGGCTCCGTATTGTGCCGTAACTCGCCAGGAGAGCGTCGATACTCTAGACGGTCTGGCGGGCCTTGTCGTCTTAGCTGAGAGCGGCCATGTTTGGCAAGAGATGGCGGCTGGGGAGAGTTTCACCTCGAAAATGTTTGGACGTTTAGCGAAAGCTCCGATCAACTAGGTTTGGATCAGCGGCTAACTACTCGTAAAACATAGGGTGGCCCGAGTAATAACGTCCCTCGGCAGGGTGTTTTCGAGAGAGGATATCCGCTGCTTCTGACATCAGTGTGATGGTCTCGAGAAGAACTCATCGCATCAAACCTCACGGCCAAGGTCTTGAGGGTAGGCACTGTGGGACTGTCAGTCAAATCTTTCGGTCAAGGTGTTGATTGATTAAATTTACGAGACGCGAGACATGAGGAACGAGAGGTCCTCTCCGAGTCGTTCCCCCGAGACCGTGTTCCGAGATAGTGGAAGGAATTTGACTGTGGCTGCGAGAAATGGAGGGCGCATGTGACACTCTCGCCAGACCTACCTATCCCGGTACTGTTAAGGCGCAGGCTAGTAGCACTGCCGCCTAACCTTCCAAAGAAGTCCTCTACTAACAAACCCTCTAACAAGGGGAGGTCCTTCTGAACCTGCATGTTTCGTTGTACAGAAGAGAAACAGGCCTGATGGGTCACGACATTCGATTCGACAAAGTTGAACAGTGGATTTCGATCATTCTCTCTCATGAGTAACAAGACAGCAGCAACCTCGATCCTGTTTGCAGACAATTACGCTCCGCTCATGCTTCCTCCATCACAGCTCAGCACGTGCCCAGTTACATACGAAGCACTGTCTCCGAGAAGGAAAATAACACTGTCGGCTAGTTCGTGAGGTTTGCCCATTCTACCCATTGGTGTACCCGAGCCGAGTCGCTCGGCAACATCTGGGAATCGCGCAAACGTTGCTCGTTGCATGCCGGATTCCGTGAGGCCTAGAGTTTGTACGTCAGTAGCCTCTCGATTCCTTGGACTCTGGCGACAGAAGTCGTACCTGGCGCCAGCGAGTTCACACGGATGCCTTCCAAGGCCCAATCGAGCGCCCAAGCCCGAGTCAACCCGATCACAGCGTGCTTTGCCGCACTGTACACGGCCAAACCCTTGACAGCTCGAAGACCAGCGCCACTGGATGTGTTGACAATGGTACCACCACCTCCTTGCTTCTTGAACTGCCAGTACGCCTCAGTCCCGCAGTTCCAGACGCCCGTAACGCAGACGGCAAAGATTTTGTGGTAGAGCTCGTCGCTGACAATGCCTCCTTCATAGGGGCAGATTCCAGCATTTGCACACATTCCATCGAGTCGGCCAAATTTCTTCACAATCTCCTCGACCCATGCGTGAACCTGCTCTCTAGATGAGACATCGACGTTGGTGTATATAAGATTCGGTAAGTCCTTTAACTCGGCCGGCTGGGGGCTGACGTCTGCGACGGCGACCTTTGCTTTCAGGGTGATCAACTTCTGCACGATGCCGAGTCCGATGCCTGAAGCACCTCCGGTCACGGCGATAACCTTGCCTTCAAGAGAGTTGCGCTCCATTGCTGAGGGAATGCGAAAGTGCTGTTTCGATACCAGTGGGCGCAGACTGTTGACTTATGACAGGAATAAGTCTGACACGATTGTGGCGGCAAGTTCAAACTGCAATAGACAATTAGTCAATGTCAAAAGATCCACATATAACAAGGTGCTCCCCTCCGGAGATGCCACATGCCACGCAAACGCCGAGTGGGCACGAACACTCCAGTTCTGACACCTACCTTCACTTCTGGCTCGCGGGGGAACTAGGTGTATAGAGCTGGACGGAATCTTGGAGAAAAAAACTATGTGTCTAGGTTTTTTGTTTGATCCAACTACGCTTACAGCACGGCTATGGCATTCGGTGGACTAGCTACTCCTCCGATTACGTTTAGAGGCGCACTCGTGAAGAAAAACGACCATCGCCGCTCTTGCTGGCAGAGCACCGACAAGTCCTCCAAGTTCCAAAGCTCACCAAGGGGCATGCCAAAATGAACCAATATCCACTCATGCAGTACAACCTTGGATTCGTCACCCCACGGCACCGGGCAGACTTCGAAGCCTGGGGCGTCTGTGGCGACAGCCGCGAGATGCTTGTTCCAAAGCCACCGCGCTGATGCCATAGACTCTTCTACCCCAATGAATGCTTCCCCCTTGATGACTCGAGCCCTCTCCTCGGCCGAGCACGATTTGTACCATTTACTGTATCCTGTGCGAAGCAAGAGAATGTCTCCCTGTCGGATTTCCACGCCAAAATGTTTGGCCACCTGATCCAACTCGGCCACTGTGATGGCATGGCTGGAACCTGCGTTGGCCAGGCTTTGGCCAGTCTCTTGTCGCCAAAGCGGATAGTCCAAAAGGATGCCGCGACCAACTATCCCGCCTCTCTGTAGCCACCCTGGGAACTGGTCAGCGGCATCTCTTCAGGCAATTTGAGTGGAATAGTGGAATACGGACTATGGGTCCCATTTCTACCGTCTTTCTTGCTCAACACGTCTTCAAATTTGAGGCCATTGTAGAAGAACCCGTCTTTCTGAGTCGCACAGTGTGTCATGCCGTCCCATTGTGAGCTACTCTGGGTATTGAAATAGAGCTCGTCATCGTAGACGTACATGCCCGCCAGATCGTGATAGTTTACCACCCTCTGCTCGAGCTGACGGCGGGAGCCAATGCGCTCGTTGAAGTGGTCAAGGGGAAAGTCTAGGGACGCCGACTTTCCACTCTTGACGTCTGTGGCGGCACGTTGAACCACGTCTGGGGTGAGGAGATTCAAGGCTGTTCGCCGCCAGTCAGAAGCGTTCAGGAGATATCAGAGCTAGTAGAAAAATCCATATCGACCCCTGCCGAACAGGAAGATCGCTTTGTGTAACACTCACTTCCAATCTCATCGTCCGCACCCCAGAATCCCCAGGTGTTTCCTTGGGGTCTGCCTTCGACTGGTGGCAGGGAATCAAAATCGGGGAGTGGCTTCATCTTGCAGAGAAGCTGGGAGGGCTGCTTGTTAGTGGACAATGGCGAGGTGTTGGAAGATAACACCTTGGGTCAAAAGATATGCTGAGAGCCGCGTTGACACGCATCCAGCATTAACCATTAACCATACCCGAAACCCCATACACCAGTCGATGGGCACTCAGTATCTCACAGACTGTTTCTCTAATGTCTCGGCGGCTGCATGTGTTGCACAACATGAATGCGGAGTTTCCACGCCCGCCACCATGTCCGATCCTCTTCATGACAGGGGTTTATGAAACCCCGGGAATATGGGAACACCCTGAGGTGGCCAGTCTCCGATTTGGGCTTCTATAGACCGCATTCGGAGTTTGGGCCCCTCCGCCCCACTTCTTCTTTCCTTTTCCCTTTTTGACCATCACCCACACCATCCCTCATAAGGGTCGTCGTGCTGAAAAGAGTATCCAAAACACCCAGGAAGAATGTTACTGCCCACTCTATTCTCAGAGGGACATAGGGGCTGAAACACCAGTGTTTTCATTCTTTCCCCCCCTCAACCATGGGCCTTCTGGTACCAACCTGCGTTTGGGCCGTGTTCAGCGGTCTGGTATTTGCTACCCTTTCTTCTCTTGTAGGGTGTCGACAAACTAACTCGGCTGGTAGGCCGCTCACTTGAAGTACAATCGACGAGAACCGACGTTTTTGTAAGTTCCCGAGGCATACAAAGACAGGGTATCTGGCAGCTGATGTCCTCGATTTAGCCAGTATCTTGCTGAGTTGGCGACATTGTCCTTGCTGGCCTTTGTTGCCTTGTTCCATCAGTCTAGGACACTCAGCACGAGTCTAGGCCTCTGGCCTGTCTTCCTTGGGGTGCATCTCTTTGCTTTAGCGTAAGTGGTGATTATCGTTCCATAGCACGACGGGAAGTATTTTGACCAACGGTGATCGCCAAACAACAGGTCAAGCATAACAGTGTACCGACTATTCCTCCATCCACTGAAGGAATATCCCGGACCGGTACTGGCAAAGATCACCAAGTGGTACGGCTTCTACCTGACCAGCTTTGGAAAGACGTACATCGACTATGTCGAACTCCACGAAAAGTACGGCGACATTGTCCGCATCGGCCCCAACGAGCTCTCCTTTGCGAACCCAGAGTCATTGAAATACGTCCACGGAGCGGCAGCGAATAAACTGGGCAAAGGGCCGAATTACGATACCCGCCTGTGGGCCGACGGCATCAGTCTCGGAGACGAGAGGGACATTGTGGCACACAGAACTCGCCGTAAATTCTGGGACAAAGGGCTCGCGATCAAGGCCATCACTTCATACGAACCCCGGCTCGTGAGAATCATCAACGTTTTGAAGAGCAAGTTCGACACCTATGCCGGTAAGTTTTACCATCATCCGATCTTCCCGAGCGGACAAGGCGAGGCGCCAAACTGACCGAGAATTGGATGCGACCAGAAAAGGAAATCGACGTGGGTGCATTCATCGACTACTTCGGATTCGACGCCATGGCGGACCTGGCCTTCAACGAGACCTTCTCATTCCTCGAGAACGAGAGCTCCGGCGAGCTGGCCGACCTGGTCCGGAAGGGCCTCAAGATGACGGAGCTCATCCGCAACGTCCAGTGGCTGACGCCCATCTTCAAGTACCTGCCCATGGATCCCGAGGACAAGGCCCAGACGGAGCGATTTGCCAAAACCTCAGCGGAACAGTTTGAGAAGAGGCTGGCCATGGGGACCAAGCCCACCGATCTCTTCACCTACCTGTTGGCTCATGATGAATCTGGAAGGTGAATGACTTTTCTCCTCTTTTGTGCTGATTTCTGGGCAAGAAAAAGACTCTTGTCGCTGACGGGATGGATTTCTTCCATGACAACAGGACTCTGGCCAAACGAGATCTCGAGTCCGACTCTCCCGTCATCATCGTCGCTGGAAGTGACACGACTGCCGTCTGTCTAAGGTTGGGGGTTCCACACTTACTTCAAGGCTGAACAGATAAACTAACGTCTACGGGGGGAAAAGCTTCGTCTTCTACTTCATGTCCAGGGACCCCAACGTCCAGAAACAACTGATCGAAGAAATCGACAAGGCGTGGGAACAGCATGGGGAGAACCTCGACGGTCGCAAACTAGGTACGTATCCCCTATACACCCGCATTCTTTCATCGACATGGTATACGGTCTGGCTAGTGGTTTAGTTTAGTACTGACTCGCGTCCCAAACCCCGCCCAGGGCCTGAAACGATGCCCTATCTCAACGCCGTCATCAACGAATCTCTCCGCATGGTCCCGCCAGCCCCGAATGGCAATCAGCGCACGACGCCCAAGGGCGGCTGCGTGGTCGACGGACACTACCTGCCAGAGAACACGCAGGTGTCGTGCCAGCCGACGTTCATGGCGCACGACGAGCGTAGCTTCACGATGCCGCACCTGTTTGTGCCCGAGCGCTGGATCGACGAGAAGCGCGACCCGACCTGGAAACACGACACGCGCTCCTTCATTCCCTTCAGCGCGGGCCAGTACATCTGCCCCGGCAAGGCCCTGGCGTACCTGGAGATGCGGCTGCTCCTCGCGCACGTGCTCCGGGACTTCTCGTTCGAGATGTCCCCGGCTTTCGACCACGCGGGCTTCTGGCTCGGCCTGCGCAGCTACATGGGCTACATGAAGAAGCCGATACCTCTGACGGTCCATCGGAGGCAGCGTGGGGAGATATCGAACTGAGGGATTGCAAAGAAGTGAGAGGGGGAGAGAGTGTGACCTTTGAACAAGGTTGAAGAGGCAGGCTGTCTCTTTAGAGGTGTTCGTATGCAGGTGGAGTCATTCTCCCAAGGGGGGGAAGATTCGTCCCTCCTGTTTGCCCCATAACGTCCATAGCAACGAGAGACCTGTGATTTCTAGAGACTTTGACTTTCAACGCATAAAGTTGGAGCATTTCTATCCGAGGGTGCTCGAAGTACGATGGCCATGAGATATGTATTTGACTTTGCATTTTAACTCTTCCTACCGTCAGAATCGTGTAGAAAAGGAGCCATGAATCATACATGGCAAAACGAAATGCAGCACCAAAAGAAGATTGATCTAAGTCGGCGTTAGAGGTTAAGATACATGTGTACATGTGCTGTATACTCTCTTTTTCCACATTGCCAAACAGAGAATAGGTACCGCGGAGGAGGAAAATACTTTCAAATTGTAGGACCTTCACCACACAAGCTTGACAAACTAACAGTTTGTGGAGTGAGATTCTATAGAAACACTATATAAAGAGGCGTCTCATTTCCTCTGTCGCGGCAGTCAAACCTCGAAATATTGTTGCTCGTCCTTGCCGTCGACCAAGCCCAAATACCACGTCAGATCTCTGCCGTCCAAGTCCCGGGTCGAGAAGCCGTTCCCGAGCCAATACCACACGTTCCGATTACGATACTGGATCTCGTAGTCTTCGTAGCGCGGGGCTGCGATGAGCTCCATGCTAAGAACGGAGAAACAAGAAACGGAATGTTAGCAAAAAACCGTCCAGCGTCAACGCAAACTCGCAAATATATCTTTCTTGGTCCCCGTCGTGTCGGGATGACAGGTGGGCAGGCAGAAGAAGAGCACTTACTATTGAGTCCTCGTTCCTGGGTGGAGCATGATCTTTCCGCCCAGCTTGCCCCCTTTGAACCAGCTGCGGCAGTTGCCCGACCACACGGTTCGGTTGTGGTACAGGTCCGTGTGCTCCTGGTAGTCCAGGGCGACGCTCAGCCTCGGCGTGTAGCTCTTGATGTTCTCGAGCTGTAGCTTCCGGACCATCTGTGCGAAATACTCGGCCATTTTCTCAATCATGCACAGTGCGCTGCCCTGGCCCAGCGGGCCGTAGGGCCCGTAGAAAGTAAAATAGTTGGGCATGAAGGGCGCCGAGAGCCCGAGGTACGAGATGGGGTTCTTGCGGTACTGGTCTTGGAGGTTGTACCCGTTGGCGATGATGGGGAATCGGGGAACCCATGTGGTGTTGAAGCCTGTGGCCAGGATGATCACGTCGACTTCGTGCTCGTTCCCATCGGGGTCGAGGAATCCTTGCTCGGTGATTGTGTCGAGGGCTTTGGTGAAGGTCGTGACGTTGGGAGACATGAGAGCTTCGAGGAACCCGTTTCCGGGACTGTAAGCAGTTAAAATTAGTAAATATCAAATGTTAACATCGACCTCAAGAGTGTTCATGGGTGAGACTTACGTTGGCCGTTTGCATCCGACGGGGAAGTCTTTGGGAATGAGTTTCTCGATCAGGTCGTCTCTTCCCTTTAGTTTCTCCATCATTTCCTGTCTTGCCATCTGCCGAGAACCGATCAGTGATCCGTCGAGTACTACCCCAACATGGGGCGTCGGGCTATTACCTTTTCCAGACCTTGCGCTTCAGCAGTATTCTGGTGGAATGCTAGAAACCCTTCTTGCAGCTGCGTCTCCACCATTTTGCAATACTTGAGATAGTAGCCTGGCTCTTCCCTGAACCGCCTCTTCTGCTCCTCGGAATCTTTGGATGAGTCATTAGTAGTCGTTCTTGATCGTACAATGAATTCAAGGACTATAGACTTTACATTTGAAGTTGCCTCCACCCAGACCCGAGTATTTCGAGGCAAAGGACGGGGTCATCCATGTAGGTGTACTGATCCACGTATACAACTTTTCCACTTGACTCTGGATTTTGGCTGTGATTTGAACTCCACTTGATCCGATACCTACCACGGCGACGCGCTTGCCATTCAGATCGAGCCCTTCCGGGTACGCGGCAGAGTGGACGAGCACTCCTTTAAAGTCTTTGAGACCATTTATCTTGGGCCACTCCCAAAAGCTAAATTGTGTCAGTAGTGGGAAACTTTGAATAAGGGGAAATATTGGTGGAACACACTTTAGAGGGCCGCCGGCATTTATGAAGATGTCGCACGACTCGGTGAACTGGTCTCCAGACTCCAAGTCTGTGACGGTGATGTTCCAGTGACCTTCATCCTCGTCCCACTCGGCGTGGTCCACCCGGTGCCGCAGCTTGATGTACTTTGACAGCCCATACTTGACGACTATACCTTTGAAATAGTCAAAAATCTCCGGGCTCTCCGCATAGTACTGAGACCAGATATGTGGCTCCCAGGTGAACTGGTAGCTTGCAGAAGGAATGTCACAAGCACAGCCGCTATGTCGTGTCAGTCTCGATCCATTCATGGGCCACGATGAGAGTTCCTGTCATGATCAACGTACGGATAGCGATTCTCCCACCAAGTGCCCCCGACATCAGAGTTCTTGTCGTAGATTTTCAGTTCGACATTCTGCATTTGATCTTGTACGAGCTTGGCCAGATTGATTCCAGACGCACCGGCACCCAGGCATACTATCTTGACAGGGCGCAACAGCCCCGAGGGGACTTCGTTGATGGTATACCCTGCCTCGTTTGTATTCTTCCAACCATACTTTTCGGCAAGATGGCTGGTTGCATTCACTGATGTCTGTTTTGCCTTGTCATTGTCTTGAGACGCGACCATGGTGGTGAGAGACCCAATCGAGGTTCAGTGGGAGACCAGTTCAACGCCACACCTCACTCTAGTGTCTGTATTGCGCTGAGCACGTTGTATAGACCCTAGTGGAAGATCCTTTGACAAGTTGCCGCTGCTTAGACCAGCACATGCCCCAACGAAATGATATAGCCAACTTTCTGTTTGAGAGCCTCTATGGTCATCTATACAAGGCTCGCTGTTCCGGTACCTTTTGGACGCTACTCCGACTTCCTAATCCAGATAGGCAACTTGACGACTAGTGCGTGAAAACTCCGGTTCATCCACAAATAAAAGTGGGTCTATCTCCACCAGAGACTCGGGAGTGCCTGGGCCAACCACTTCAAAACTCCGACTTGAATACTTTCCTGGACTTTTGTACAATGATAAACCTGCCAGATGGTTGGGACGCACACGTGGCTTCCCCGCCTGGCCCCGGACTTCTCTAGTATCTGTGCTGTGGAGTCAGGGGACCATTGCACTAGTAGCATAGATTGAAGTTGGTCCCAAGAAATATCACTCCAGGAGGCCTCGAATTTCATCCCGACCTCCCATTCCTCTACTTCTTCATCATCTTTATCATCCCCGCCAACCAACACATGTCCGTGTTGAGGACATCATTGCCAGAACAATTTCCCCCCAAAATGACGGTTCCAAAGGAAGAATTGTCACCACATCATGACGAGCATCTCATGCATCATAGCAAAGCCCGGGAGAGATTTAGTTTCTACAACTATGGCATCGTCGTCTGCGTCTCGTGCACCTCGCTGGCCACGGGCATGGTCAACGGCATGATCAACACGACGCTGGGCCAGCCGAGCTTTCTCGTCTACTTTGGGTTCCTGGAGCAGACAAAATCCAACACGCCGTTGATCGGGGCGATTCTCGGCGTCTTCTTCGCGTGCGCCCTGTTCGGCTGTGCCTGGGCTAGCTACGCGTCCGACAAGATCGGGCGCAAAAAGACGGTGCTCATCTCGGCCATCATCTCCATTGTCAGCACGGCTCTTGTGGCTGGAAGCGTCCATATTGCCATGTTGATCATTTTCAGGTGAGGCCCCCCCCTCCTTGACGGGATGCTCTGTGCGTCGAGTGGGAAAAACTGATCATTTTTGTCGGCCATTCCAGGGGCTGCTCTGGATTTGCGTCCGGAGCATATATGTCGGTAGGATCACTGCTCCAAACCGAGCTCGCGCCGCCTCGGTATCGAGGCCTCATGGTGGGCCTTGTCGCAGTCATGATCTCTCTCGGCTATGTGTTCGCCAACTGGCTCGGTGTGGCCTTTTACTTTGTGCAGGCCAGCGGCGTCCAGTGGCGAATCCCATTTGCCATCTGCACTGTCCCATCGTTCCTGACCATTTTCCTCCTGCCTCTGATTCCGGAATCGCCCAGATGGTTGGTGATGCAGGATCGCACCGACGAAGCTCGCGCGGTCATCTCCAAACTGCACGGCCATCATGACGACGCGGGCCACGAGTTCGCGGAACTCGAAGTCAAGCAGATGGTGGACCAGATCTCGTTTGAACATCGAAATGCAATGGGTTGGTGGGAGTTGATCATGTCGAAACGGTACCGCAGGCGCTTTATCCTCACCATCATCACCCAGTCCATGAGTCAGGTATGTTGGCTCGTTCTGTAGTCTGCGGCATTATTGATTTTTGATCTGACGATCAATAGTCCGCTGGTATCGTGGTTATCGCCAGCTATGGTCCGACCATCTACGCCAGCCTTGGATTCAACACCGTGGGTCAGCTGTGCATCACTGCAGGCTATGTGACCTTTGGAGCCTTGACTGCGATCCTCGGAACCCTGCTCATCGATCGCGTGGGTCGTGTACCACTGCTCGCCATCGGAACGGCCATTCAGATTGCGCTGATTGTGGTGGTCACTCCCCTGATCGCCAAATACGCGGGAACCTCGCATGAAGCACCCCAGCAGGCCGTCGTGGCCATGTTCTATATCTTCGAATTGGGATACTGCATGTTCGCCGAAGGTGCAAGCTACACTTATGTTTCCGAGATGTGGCCGGCTCATCTCAGGGCCAAGGGTTCGGCTCTCGGAGTGGCGAGCATCTACTTCATCGACACCATCTACGTCGAGTAAGTCTCTGTGGAACCCGCGTAGAACAAAGAAAAAGTCAAGCTGACCTTTGTTTTCCTTTTCGACAGAGCGTCCCTCTATGCCTTTGTGTCGATCGGATGGAAATTCTACCTCGTCTTCATCGCCGTGGGCGTCGCTTCGCTGGCCGTGTTTCTCTGGTTGGCCAAGGAAACCAAAGGCAAACCGCTGGAAGAGATTGCCGGGCTATTCGGCGACGAAGTCGCGGCTGAGACTTTGGAAAATCTTGTCATTGCGCATGATGCCGAAGTCGAAGAGACGAAAGAGGTTCCCAAGGTTAGCAAGCTGCGTGACTAAGACGCCAGCGTGAAGAGGGACTTTAAGGAGAATTAGGAGCTGGTAAGGCGGTGGGGAGAGGATGATAGGGGCTCGGGGAACCGAGCTTTGTTGCATGATGGCTGTCGCGTATGATGCTGGAGCGAGCAAGGGGCCCTCGTGAATCTAGCTCTTATAATCTAGAATGCCCTCGTGAGTTGTCATCCTTTCAATCGTGCCGCTTCGAGCGTTGATTGGTCCGTCCCATAAGCACATGGCGTGATTTCCGAATGCCGTCAGCGACTTGGCCAGAGATCCACAATGAAATGCCACGGCATCAGGAGAAGGAGTTCCGCGCCCCCCTCCACATGTAAGAAAACAATCTGGAGTCTTGTGTTATTTTTCTTCCCACCTTCACAATCCCAGACCGTCTTATGAGGTACGAGGTTCATCAAACTAGTTTCAGACCGGAAGGAGAGACAACTCTCGCTGGTCAATCTGGCCTACGAGTAGACATTGCTTCGGCGCCTTCCTTCGAAGACGAGGATCCTCAAAACACTGACAAGTATTGCCGGAGCAGGTAGCACTCAATGACAGACGCCGGTTCTGGCGGACAAACTGACCAGTCGGGGCATATCCATCGTGCTTGCGGATCGCCACTAGGTCAAAGGTCCAGCGGCTGTCCATGAGATAGCCCAGAAGTACGGTGTCCGTGCATGACCCAAGAGTCAGAGGTTAAGCATCTTGTGGCCGTGGTGCTCGAGTCCACAGGGATACTGGATTATGCGGCCAACTCTGCAGGTATCGGTGAGTTGGTATGGGACGAGGAAGAGAGCATCATCACGACCGAGGTGTTTGACAGGTATGGTCGAGGACGACAACCCACCACACGTTTGGCTTATTTGTTACTGAACAGACGCCCAGAGATGTGACCTCCAGCCCGAACTCGAACCCCGGCCAGCTCACGGCGCATTCGTTAACACTGTCTCGGTCTCGGGTCTCTATACCGTAGGACTGGCAGCGTATACACCGAGTAAATTGGTGCGGCGACGGTCATGGAGTATGGGGCTAAGTTTGATGGTCCGAGGGGTATCAGATTGAACGCAGTCTGTCTGGGCTGACAATGGCGGCTATAATTGAGTACAGAAGGGGCGAAGAGGGAAAGATTAGGGATTCAAGAGAACGAGAAACTCGCATGTACACCACAAGATTTCGCTGCGCCGTATGGCTTTTACATTCCACGTGGCTACTTTAGGTATACAATGCTATAACTCGGTACAAAAGACTGCTATACTCGGTACAAGCATTCTGACCACATGGAAATCCGCCTCCCCCCCACCCCCCCATTTCACTGTCCCGCTTCTTCACCCGCCTTCTTGTCCTCGTTTCTTCCATGCAGGGTGGTTCGCTAGTTTAGAACCTTCCAGCCCCGGAAACTGCCACTGGCTCGCCCAAGCCTGCCTGTGCAGGCATCCACCCCCAGGGTCACTTAATAATGCAACAATTCCCCCCCAAGACCCCGAAATCCCCAAAAAAAACTCCGCATTTCCTCCAGGCCACGATCTTCTACATTTCTCATCCTAGAGCCCTTGCTGAAGCCACCCCTCGATGTCGCAACAGAAGAGCAGAAAGCAGCCTACGGAGAGGAAGTATATCTCCAGAGCATGTCTGGCGTGTAGAAAGCGGAAGGTGAAGGTATTGATCACACATGCTCCAGCTCTATCTCTCTTGGTGTCATGACGCGGAGCTGATTTTTCACTCGACAGTGTAACGACGATAAGCCACGATGCTCTAATTGCACTCTGTACAATGTCGAATGCGTCTTTGTCGAGGATCGTCGTCGGTGAGTTCACTTGCACTCCATGACCGCCAAAAAGATGTTGGCAAAGCAAAGACGTTGTAGAGAATTGGGAGAGGCTGATCTGCTGTAGCATGTCCATGTCCTCGCGTCTAGAGAGTGTCATTGCAGCATCAAAGGCTTCCCAAGAAGATCTCCGCAACGGGACTCCCTCTCATATACCAAGCAATAATTTCCAGCCACAGCGGCTCTCCGAGACTGCGGACCGTCATTATACCCATTCTTTAGCACCCGATCAAGACATTCTCGATCATCTACAACCAGGATCAGACAATTACTTCTCAACCTCTGGTGCAACGAATTCCATCAGTGTTGAGCCTATACCGTCACCAGATTCAGAGCAAGATTGGGGATCTTGGATCGGCCTGGACGATGGAAATGACCTTTCCAGCGCAGCTTGCTTCTCCAACGAATGCCATCCGTTATTCGATCTCGTCCCCTCACTGGGACTCGCGCACACCGAGCCAGACGTGCCCTTGACTCTGCCAGGAGATCCCGTTCCAGATACAATCTCACCGGGGGAAATGTTTGCAGGGGGAAGCCCAGAACTACTGATCTCCGCGGCAGGAAGCGACTCGTCAGGGATGAGCGCCAGAGGCAAAGTGAGATCGCATGACTTTGACGATCAAGACGAAGAACATGTAGACAGTATCACGAAGAATCTTACAAGTCGCCTGGGACGCTTACAGATTGCTGAGGACGGCCAGCCTCGCTACTACGGAGCCACCAGCAACCTGCATCTTTTACATCGGGGACCGTCGTCCTTGTGTCGACCCAACCTCCGGACGGTGGTGACACACGGCGAGGCAGCCATCGCCCGAGCCGGCCTGCAGTGGAAGGGAGATGCCGAGTACGAAGAAACTCTGGTGAACCTGTTCTTTTCATGGCACAATGCCCTGATGTACGTTGTGGATAAACCCATTTTCTTCAAGGAGCGACAGCAATTTCGCTCGGGACACTATACGAATCTCTACTCTCCCGCCCTAGAAAATGCCATGTAAGAGTCATACCCTTCTCTCTGGCCCCGACATCGACATCGAGGTCTAGAAAATGGAATGAAAACTAATTGGTCATCGCAGATACACCATTGGCGCCGCATACACAGATCGTGTCCATCCCGATGTGGACGGTCCCACGGACGAGTTCTTCGGCTTTCGAACAAAGGCTCTCTTGGACATTGAAATCGATAGTCCAACCATTGCCACCGCCCAAGCACTGCTGGTGCTCTCGTCGCACGAGGCTGCTCATGCGCGCGACTCCCGCGGCTGGATCTATTCTGGTCAGCTCACTTTCTTCCTGAGAAAGTCATCGGGGCAATCTTACTGACACAAATTACAGGAATGGCAGTGCAGATTCTGTCGGATCTCGGTCTACATCTGAATCTGGCGCAGGACTTTTCAAAGTTCCACAACACAAACAGCAGCGCCGCCGAGGTCGCGTTGCTGCGGCAGAACCTGTTCTGGTCTGCCAACACGATAGACACGTGAGGCTCTTCCAAGACACTCTCCACAAGGTTCAAAAAAAAGACTAACTCGAGGGAACTCAAGCCTGTGGGGTGCTTATAGCGGACGGCCCTCGCTGATGAAACGTCTCGCCCACAATATACCAGGACCGATGCCGTCGGCCAATTACGCCTGGGAGTATTACACCGACGAGTACAGCACCATGAATTTCCCAAAGGACTTTGACTTCCACGCCGCGGCGCACGTCCACGCCCATCTGGCCAAGCTGATGGCCGTCTTTGCCCGCGTGTCGGAAGTGCTGTACGTTTACAACGAACACCCACCAACAACCACCCCGGTGGGACAAATGAGGCACACATCTTTGCTAATGCATGTTATGACGCAGATACTCGGGCGTCCCTGACGTGCAGGAAGACATTGAGAAGTTCGTCGCCAAGTCTGATGCCGACCTTCAGGATTGGCTCAGTTCCCTGCCCCCGGCCCTCCGCGTCGACTACTCGTCCTCCAAATCGCGGACCGCCATCTATCTTCCCGCCGTCCTCGAACTACAGTAAGCTCCATTCCCCAAACGTTGTGGTTGATAAGTCACTGATCTAACAACCCCGTCAGCCTCATCTTCAACGAATGCGTCATCCTCTTGCACCGGCCACTCATCGCCGTCGACGAATCGTCGCGACTGTCCATCTCGCCCACGCACCGAAACGCCGCCCAATCCTTCTCCAAGTGCGTCCAGGCGGCGCAGCGCGTCTGCCAGCTGCTGACCATGTTCCGCCAACGGTACGGCCTCCGCCGGCCGCACCACCAAATGGTCCACGTCACCATGACGGCCGGGCTCATCCACGTGTTCCAAATGTGCATCACCAGCACGGGGAGCGCCGAGAACCAAAAGGCCCAGCAGTCGTTCGTCACCTGCATCCAGAGCCTGGGGGAGATGGGCCAGACGTACAAGAGCGCGTCGCGCGCCCTCGATGTCATCACCTCGCTCGGCCAGAGCTGGCAGCAGGACGACTTGGCCGGGCGCCGGGTCAAGTGGCCGAAGCTGCAATGACTGCTTTTCTGATCATGTGAAACGATGTGAAGTGATGTGAAGTGATGCCATGGATGATTCGATAATTTCTCCGGAGGAGTAAATGGAAGGGGCGGAAGGGAGGGGAGGAGGATATTTATACCTCAGTTAGCGCATATATACCCACCTATATTAAGTAGACCGTGTGATTGATTGCCCACTTGTACACACAAGATAAGTTTGCTTGGGAGGGTGTTTTCTTCCCTTGTGTTATTTCTGTCCCATATCACGGCCGAGTCGCCATTGTCTCATGATCGAGGCCCACGGGGATTCAGTACCAGTACGAGGGGTAGAGGTGGCATCTCCGGGGGGAATGTGTGATGCCCGGAAAATCAACACCGTCGCCCGCTCGACCGTGCGTGGTGAATGTGGGAAAACGTGTCGTTAGTCTCGTTCATCACCCGATCGATCTGGAAGTAATTGGCGCCTTGGGCCTCGGCTCTCCTTTTGTGTTTTCTATGTACAAGTATGTATAGATGGTACGTGTAGAGAGAGAGAGAGCCAGGCCATATTGTCGACCAGTGCTTTCAAAGGTTGTTGTTCAATATTTCCTTTTTGTGGTTTTCTTTTCTTCGTTAGCATCAGGAGAAACCAGCAATCAAACAATCACGATCATGGGAGAGTCCAGCCCGGCCGCAGTTCCCACTGCCGTCGATCCACAACCAAGTCTCCCTGTGCATCCCAGCAATGGAACTCCCGCGCTCAACAGCTCCGCCAAGTTCAAGTGCGCGGACCAGTATCTGGGTCAGGGGCGGCCGATGAAGATTATCGTCGTCGGCGCCGGCCTCAGTGGCATCGCGGCCGTCAAAATCTTCAAAGACACATTCACCGACGGGTCGGTGGAGCTGGTCATCTACGAAAAGAACTCGGACGTGACGGGGACGTGGTTGGAGAACCGTTATCCGGGGTAAGTACCTCCCTACCATTACAGCCCTGGAAGATATGAGAAGGTAGATTCTTGGTATCATTTTTCTGAGCTTGAGAGAGACACACAGTTGCGCTTGCGACGTGCCGGCACACGCATACACCTTCAGCTGGGAAGGGAATCCGCGGTGGTCGCGCGCCTATGTCGGCTCGCTGGAGCTCTATGAGTACTTCAAAGGCCGCGCCGTGGCGTACGGGGTGGACAAGTTCGTCAAACTCAACAGTCGGGTCAAGGAGGCCGTCTGGAACGAGAGCGAGGGCAAGTGGAAAGTGCAGATCGAGGACGTGACGTCGGGGACCACCTTCTCGGACGAAGCTGAGGTTCTGATCAACGCGGCTGGATTTCTAAAGTACGGTCTCTTGTCCAATTCTCCGCCTTTCTCACAAAGACACTCGTCTGACCTGTTTCTCCAGCAAGTGGAAGATGCCCGATATCCCCGGTCTGGAGAGTTTCCGAGGGAAGTTGATCCATTCCGCACAATGGGACGAGGCATATTCCCTCGACGACAAGGTCGCTGGCATCATCGGCACGGGGTCGTCTGCCATTCAGATCATCCCGCAAATACAGCCGAGTAAGTTCACGCTCTTTCTGTCTTGAAATTGAGAAACACCGTCCAACTCAAACAAAATAAGAGGTCAAACACTTGACATCCTTCATTCGCTCCTCGACATGGATCACACCAGAGTTTGCCGCCGAGTTCGCCCCCGAGGGACGGACGGCCTTCTTCTCAGAACGACAAAAGGATGAGTGGGCGCAGGACAAGGACAAGTTCCTCGAGTATCGAAGGAAGGTCGAGTCGACCATGAACAAATTCTTCGACATGCAGTTCAAGGACTCGACGCTGCAGAAGGACGCATACGAAAACTTTCGCAAGACTATGCGAGAGCGGTTATCGAGAAAGCCCGAACTCGCTGAACTCATGAGTAAGAATCTCTCCCTGGAGCGAGACCTGTTCTTTCACTCCTTGTTCCGAAGACAAACATTGACTTTTTTCTCTCTTTGGTTATCATCAGTCCCCACCTTTGGCGTTGGCTGTCGAAGAGTCACTCCTGGCCACGGATATCTTGAAGCACTCACAGAAGACAATGTTACTGTGCGGAGTGACGGAATTGTCGCAATCACAGAAGATGGCGTGCGCATGAACAAGGGCGATACCATCAAGCTGGATGTCCTGATCTGTGCGACGGGCTTCGACACAAGTTTCCGCCCGCCCTTCCCTCTGATCGGCCGAGAGGGTCGCGATCTCAGGGACGAATGGGCAGAGGAACCGCGGTCATACTGCTCCATCGCGGCTTTGAATATGCCCAATTATTTTAGTAAGTCTTCACCTTGGGTCGTCTGCTAAGGCTTTCCCTGTCATCTCTCTCTCTCTCTCTCTTACAAGAATCCAGTCGTCAGCGGGCCCAATTTCCCCTTGGCGAACGGCTGCCTCCTCCCCTGTCTCGAGACAAACATCAGGTACGCCTTCACGGCGGTACAGAAACTGCGGTACGACTCCATCAAGGCCGTCGTGCCCAAGCCGCAGGCCGTCGACGACTTCCAGGAGTTCAAGGATGCGCTCATGGAGGACCTCGTCTGGACCGACCACTGCGTCTCATGGTACAAGAACGGCAGGGCCGAAGGCAAAGTCTGGGGTCCGTGGCCCGGATCGTCGCTCTCGTACCTGGAGTTGATGGCCCGGCCGCGCTGGGAGGACTGGGACTTTACATACCTGCGACCGAACCGGTTCAGCTTCCTCGGACGGGGCAAGACGGAGCGTGAGTGTCGCGGCGGGGATCTGGCTTATTATTTGACAGAGCCGGGGGCCGCAAAATCTGCCTAGATATGTAGATTGTGGAGGAGGGCCCCTTTTCAGGTTTGGCCTGAACACTCTGTGCTTCTTTAGAAATAAAGTCCGGTCAATGACATTGTTACTCTCTGTTGTGACAGGCTGGAGCCCCCGGGATGGTTCAACATCCAGATTTAGGTACAGAACGCGTACGTCGTGTATGTGTATATGTGTGTGTGCCACACAGATTTGATAGAGCTCCATCATACCAAGAGACCAAGAGACCAAGAGACCACACCAAAAGAGGTTAATGGGTTGAATGACTCCACAGAGCTCCCGTCTCGGTTAGCTCCGGCAAAATACTGTACGAGCGAAGACAACCTCGCACTCTTTCAGCCAATCAGAACTTCCGCAACAATCTCCACGGCTATCTAATTCCACGGAAATCGAACAAGACGTCCAAGACGTCCAGACTCTCTCTTTTTTTCCCCGGCCGGCCGGGTGAGAACAATCAAACTTTTTATCCCCCGTTTCGAGATGGATGTGACTGGACTGTGTGACTTTGTCTTCAGGTCCCCGCAAAAAGCTGGGGAGAGAGAGTGGCGGAGTTTGTGATCATTTGCCACTTGGGGCTCCGCCAGTACCGGGTTTTCGATCCTGATCATCAGCACGGCGAGGACGGAGCGAGGACCTTTGGTGGATGAGCACGAGTAGATCCAGAATTCATCGACAAGACATGTTAAACGCCACCCCTTGAACTACACACACAGTCTTCTATCGAGTCCTCGAAGAGTATTTTTGATTCGCTAGCGAGTGATAGTGTCGAGTACTTGTATTCGTGGCAATAACCACCCTGGGGGTTCTTTTGTCCATTGCCAGACCTGCCAGTAATGCTTCCAGGACCAGTAGATCAGAAAGTGGTCCTGGACAAGGAGTCAAGGTTTAACCAGGACTTGCTGAGTTTGAGGGAAACAAGGTCCACCGTTTGATCGGGTTTCAGGGTCCTCGCATGTACCTCCCGTTCCTCGTGGCATGCACGCGGCAAGACGCCGCTCATGCTAAAATATCAGATTCCTGGATCCCCGATCGGGAATCCCCTACCGGCCTGTGCAACCACATGGGACTCTGGCAGCAGAGCGTATGGTCGAGACTAAAATTGCGCTGATTTTTAGAAAAGGGCGAGATGATACAGGCGTTGGGAAGCTGCGTGACTGAATGACTTCAGATCGGAGTGGTACCGTCACCAACGGTAATTCATTACTCAGAGCTGGGCCCTGATATCCCTCTTGAAAGAGTCTGCCAGATCAGCTGCCAACCTAAGCATTTGCTCGTTCCCGCCGTCGCTGAAGAGGTGTGCGGTGCTTTTCCGTTGTTCGACTTCGTCGCTAGACGACCCTCTGCATAGCTCGTAATGGAGCAGGGCTGCACAGACGAGGCGCCCGAAGCGTGAAACATCCCTCAGTGCGATGGTTTGGTGCAGGAGTCCTCGAAGAGTGGCTCGGAATGGAAGTTGGATTGGTGGAGTGTGTGACCAGGGGAAACAACTCGACCAGACATTCGTGTTTTCTGCCTCCCACAAAATATCCTCACAAGGCATTTGCAGAGTCGGTGCCTCGAGATCGGGCAGAACTCGGTCGTGAAGGAACACAGATGCCAGATAGTTTGCTGCCTGTGAGAGAATCAGTACCCATTGTTTGGTGAAACCTCCCGGATGAGAACATACCAGATAAGCCCATGCGAGTCGCCGCGAAGTCTCCCCCTCGACCCACGCAAGCCAGCGGTGGTGCAGTTCAAGGTCGTTCCCATTCTTTATCTGAGCCATACAATCACAAATGGTAGTCTTGTTCATCGGAACCACCCGATCACGACTCCTCCTTCCAACCCGTTTGTCTTGCTGGCGAAAAAGTCCAACCCTTTCAAGGTAGAAAATGTTGGCGTCGAAGAGAGTCGTTAAGAGCCGTGCCTGCTGACTGTTTCGGCTGCGTATCGCATGGCAGAGAAGAATACAAACCGCGGCCAGCACGGATCCTTCGACGTTTCGATCATGCCCTTCGCAGTCGGCTGAAGTCTGTAAGAGTTCACCGAGCTTATGAATTCCTTGTTGATGAAACAGTCGACTTTGGGCAGAATCCGCATAGTTGGCCCCCACCACAGTGACAACTGCCGCAATTAGGGGTGAACAGGACACCGGGTTCACCAAATGTCGGTGTAGGATGGGACAATGCTGCTATAGCGTTAGTGTGGGAGTTTACTGCATTTCAGAGATGGTGAACTGACCCTGTCAAAGTAGAGAAAGTACAAGTCCCAGAAGGCCGAGAGCTGAACTGAGCTCGGGAATGTAGAAGGAACGTCGGCGGCCAGTCCACTTTGACCAAGAGAGGTCTGCTGCATGACTCGATAAATCCTCCTAGCCAGACTTTGTTCTAGTTCAATGGCGGGCTCGCTGCCACCCTCAGACCCGAGAAGCTCTATGGGACCACTAATAGATCTGTATATCTCCTCGTAAACAAGACTGGGCGCATTTGTAACGGACGGTTCTGGTGTGCGTTCATGGTTTGGTAGGCTCTCTGGACCTTGTAAGAATTCACTCGACGGTTGGCGAGGTTGAAGTAGCGTTCTAGACGGCTGATGGAATTCACCGCCCGCGGTGACTAGATCTTCTGGCATGATGGTAAAATCCGGAAACCCTTCATCCGACATGTTGGGCATTTGGCATTCGGACGTTCCGTGAGATGTGAGGTCCACAGGCTGAGGGTCCTCCATCTCAAAAAGAAGATCCCAGTGTTCTGAAGACAGCTGCTCCGGTCCGGATCGTTTTAGGCCAGTGTCGTGGTGTCTAGTCAACCCAGAGTCAAGCCCGAGGGGCGTGAAAAGACCATGACTGTCCACGCCACGGTTTTCACTTGTCCGGTTGATATCATTGTGATCGCGATGAGATGTTATGGCGGTTTGCTGTCCGAATGAACCATCAGGTTGACATACCTATGAGCGAGCAACAGCACGTTAGAAGTGAGGCAAAATTTGCTGATTGCTTAGTAGTGAACACTCACGAGTGCGAGGCCATCCATATCGACACTATTAGATTCGCGATTCCAGGTGAACCCCCACTGTAGCGATGTTAGATAGCGATCATCGAAGTAGGGCGCACAGACCGACCTCTGGGCTTGAATGATTCTCCAGACTGGATGGTTTTTGAGTCTGAGTTGGCGCCGTGGATGTCATCTGTCGTCCAGCAGAAGTCCCAGTTTCCTCGATCTCTAGTCTGGCACGTTTGGGAGGCGACCGAGGGGCCTGCTCTTTTCCAGGTTGTTGCCTATCGTATCCATTCGACTCTGTGTTCTTCGAGGACGGCTCGAAATTATACTGGCAGAGCAATCCACTCTTGCCGCATTCCTGGCAAGTCGGTTCGCGCGTGCACTTGACCTTGTGTCTGCATCCGTCAGTCTTGGTCGACCCGGCCAATGAGTTGAGGACAGTCTATCAAACCTACAGCGCGCAACGAAGACAGCTCTTTCGTCTTGAACGCGGGTTCATCTTCTGGAAAGCGGATTCTCCATGCTGATGGCGGATATGGCGCCGTAAAACATCCCTTCGTGCGAAAGACTTGCCGCATGTGTGACAGGCATGGTTGGGCGGCCTATCGTACGATGCTAGAGCAGTCACTGAACGTGTAGAATCGTGCATGGTGACCGATGTCCTCGACAGAACGAGAGGGTAAGGAAGCAGGAATTCGCCTGACTCGGTACAACCGAGAAACAACCCCATGGGGCCATAAGAGCACGTACAAATCTAGGTCACGATCCCCTCAAACAATCCTCCCCCAGTCTCGGCTCCTCAATTTTCCCGACCGTAATAATTGCGTGGAAATGTGGAAATGGGCGTATCATTACCACCGTGATTGGCGATGCTGGGCCTTTTAGAGACCCGCCAACAACGGCAACCTGGAGCCGAACTTGTAACCTGGGGAGCGCCTAGCAGCACGAGGACTCGAAGGGTTCCAAACTAGAGTCTTTGGCGATGGCTGCCCACAAACTATACCTGTAGAACCGCCCCAACGGCCCCCTCCAACCCCCCACTGGGGCCACCAGGGCCCATGTTCCGAGGTAGAAGGTATGGGATCATGCAACGAATTATCTGCCTTTTTATAGGTGCAAACTTGGTTCACACATTCGATGGGTGGATGTGACTTGGTTGAAGAGAAACGATCTCTTTCGTCAAGTCGGTCCACAGTCCTAAGATACACAACTAGACGAAATGACCTTCGAGACAGACATCGGCGCTCTGAGGGATCGCAATCGAGAGCTGACCGAATCCCTCTCCACGACTCGACAAAGACTGGTAGACATCACCAACAATCTCAATCAGCTCACCGATTATGTAGACCAAACCGCCAGACCACATTCATACTCGTCGGCCTTGGGATACACCTCACCCTTTCCTCTCAATGCGATTCCTCCCCGTAAGACAGCCATCATGATGCTTGATGATGTCGTGGCCTACTGTTCAACCCACTAATGTAATGGGATGTTAGCAGCTCCCAGGTCGATCTATCCCACAGTGGAGAATGGTGGTTATCATTCAGGTCTTTTGTCAGATCTGTTCGTCGACCACGACCACGAGCCGACGACTTTTGCGCATCGAGCGACGAGATCGCCGCCCAGTGTCTCACAGCAAAGAGCCATTTCGTCTTCCTACTCTGAGGAGATCACGAAGCCGTTGAATGACGCCTCGAGCAACTATCCTGTGGGCAGACCTTCCGATGCCTGTTTCGACATCATCCACCATGAAGGACTCGTCCGTCAAATAATGATAGAGGAGCTTGCCGAAGATCCTGCAAACTGTCAGAGGTACTGTATTCCAACAGCCCTGACCTGCAAGTCGAGACGAAACCTGGCTAACCATGGCGGCTACCATCAGTCTCGACAGCCTTGTAGCGAGGATGCTACAGTCCCTCGCCTCGTCTGAGAAATGGGAGCGTCACCGTGACTTCTGCAATGCCCTCAACGGCTGGGACAAGCTCGGCCCCATCACTCGGTGGCGGATCGAGCCAACGGCCAAACACTACATGCAACTCGCACCGTACTATCGTCCAAGCCGCCTCCAGATGACCAGGCACCATTGGCCGATTGTCGACTGGTTGCCATTTCCCAAGATCCGGGACGCGCTCGTCCTCAATCCCGAGAGGTACGACTTGAACAAAGTCTGCTCCGAACTGAATGCGAGCTTCTGTTTAGAGATGGAGTTTGCAAACGCGTATCCGGACGCCCAACTAGGCGACAGTGGAATGGCACTGACCAGAGCGCACGGAACCACAGTGTCCGTAGGGCCTGGTGGACCGACGAGGAGTCCGCCCAACAACATTTTCAACGACGCACATTTGAGGCGAAAGCCTCGGAAAGACGACGTGGTGTACATCCTCATCCAAGAGTACGTCGACCACAGGACGGGCGCCGATTCTTCAACGACAACAACGACAGGAGGCCAGAGCCAGCAGCACCGCCATATCAATGAAAACATCTTGACATACTTGCTCCTGGCCATCAGACAGCTCGAACATCCTTTCAAGCTCCATTCCAAATTCTTCGATCAGTTTCCCGGCCTTCCACGAGAGTACATGGTCCGCGGTGAAGAGGTTTCCATCTTTGGTGACTACCGACCCACAAAAGTCTGAACTACCAAAGACAGAAATCCTCTTCTGTCAGGAGAAATGTATCGACATCGAGAAGTTCTCACCAACGCAGTGGCGCAACAAAGCGGTGCGATTTCATGCGACAGGTGAGAGTCTCAGGGTTCTGGGCTAGGTGACTGTCATTCGACTGGGACAATTGTGCAGCAAGGGTACTCAACCCATTGGGCTCGATTTCTGGATGTAAATTTTCGTCAACGGGACAAGCTGGTTTGCGAGTGTGTTGACGTGCATCTAACACGTGAACAATTTGATGGTCACACAGGACAGACCGACACTTGACGATGATGTAAATAAAAGGGAATGATAGGCCTCCTTCATGACCCCTTGTATATTGGGATGGCATGGATTGAAGTTGTATCAAAGTAAATCGCCGATCGACGTCCAAACCACGTCGAGCTGTGGTGACTTGTGCTTGTTAACTTCGATGTAGATTGCACCGCCACACCACTGAGAGCTACTGCAAGGAGGTGGGGCTCCTGTCCCACCTTATGATATCGTGCTGTCTTTGGGAGTTGATCCGAGGACATTTTCATATATACCATCAAGTCAAACATTCTTTTTTTTCCTTGATTGGGACTCGAGACATCATAGATTCATAAAATGTCGCACGGGCAAGAACATATTAACCTCGAGACACCCCCTAAATGCACTGCCGACTTTTGCCTCATCCCGCTCGGCACTCCCACGGCGTCGGTTTCGGCAGAAATCGCAGAGGTCCAGCGCTTGATGAAGAGGAGCGGATTGAAGTACAGCATGCACTCGGCTGGCACAACCGTTGGTGAGTGAGCGACAGGACCTCGCACGATGGCACAATAGTTCCATCTTTTATATGGTTCTCTGCTAATCCCTCCGTCCCCGAACAGAAGGATCATGGGACGATGTCATGCGGTTGATTGGACAGGCGCACACTCTTCTGCACCAGAAAGGCATAGTGCGCATTCAGAGCGATATTCGCGTAGGATCTCGTACGGACAAAGCACAGACGATGGAGGATAAAGTCGCGGCGGTGGAGAAATTGCTTGCTGCGGACAAGGCGTGAAATATGTACCCTACAAGTACTGCGGACAAAGTAGTAATCACTCATTGACCGAGTCAATTCGAAGATGGGGTGACAAGTCTCACGAGTTCTGCACACATCGGGAAGAAACAGCCGGAGAAACTGTCCAACGAAAATGAAGCTGGCAAAGAGGTGTGTCGGATTCAGCTGAAATGGTAGAATCTGGATCCAATCCTTCCACCCTGCGCCACAATCACTGTAACGCCACAAATGTGGCTTTCGCTACTGTGGCGCCGGGGGCTGTGCCACTTGTTTTGAAAGTGATTCCCCCAGGGCCGCCCGCCGATCGCATCCATCGTTGGGTCAAATCAGCCAGGAACACGCAGCTCGCCCTGCAACAAATGTCCATTTAATTGGCGCCAAATGGCCCTCATCTTGCCGCCCAACTCCCTTTGGACGTTTCTTTGAGACAGATGATGATACTGTACAAAGGCCTCGAGCCCATCATCTTTGTGACTCCTTGTCATTCCTCCATTAATTGAATCTGCCCCTGCTTTGTTTGACCGAAACTTCCTCCCTCCCCCAGCCATGCTATTTCCACCACCAGTCCCCGACAAGCGGCTGGACTAGAAACAACTCTCACCGCGACTCCTTCCTTCTTAAGCAAGACTCTTCCCTCGTCATTCATCCGCCCGATATACCTCGTCCTCTCCCAATCGATTCCTTCTTCACTCTCTAAAATTGCTGAACAGAGACCTAAAGCCAGTCGAGAGCCATCCAGGCAGGCATGGCTGCAATTACCCAGACAATTGCAATCATTGACCGGTCAAACAAGGTTGTCAGCACCACCAAACAATTGAAAAATGTCTTCAAGGAGGCAAAGATGGCCTATTTGGAGCGGAAGGCTGAGATTGCAGCGGAAAGAAAGGCAAAAGATGAGAAGGAATTGAGAAAGGCAATGAAGAATGTGACAATAGCGGAGGATACAAGGTCGGAGGCATCCCGACGATCACGCAGACATCACAGCCACAGCAACGAGGTCGACCATGGTCGATATCGACCTGCAGAGAGTCAACACCACTATCCTCCCGAATATTATCACCGGGACGCTCGTGCAGCTCCTGAGGTTGCAGCTCCTATGGCGCCGGAAGATGCCTTCCCTAGACATGTCGGTCTTGCAGAGTTCAATCAAGAACTCTATGGTCACCACAACCCAGTGTCACCAGTTCCGGAATATTCAGCTCCTCCATATGGAGGGAATGGGCTTGTTCGTCGGACGACCGATTTACCACTCGATGCTCATCGACCACATCGACCCCCACCTGTGCGTTCGCACTCCGTTTCGGACGTCGATATGGACCTTGCCTATGGTGAATTTCATCCGGAGTCTCTGATGCTGGATCCCAAAGTTGAACAAAAACTGCAGAAACAAGAGATGTCCAGCCTGGTCCTCAAATGCAAGATCCTGATGGAGGAGGCCAATTGTGCGCAGCATAGTGTCCGCGCTATAATCTCGCATCTGCAGACAAACCCAGACTCTATGGCAGCTGTCGCCTTGACGTTGGCTGAAATTAGCAACTTGGCAGCCAAGATGGCACCTAGTGCACTTGCGGCTTTCAAAGTCGGTGCGCCCTCAGTCTTCGCGATGCTTGCAGCTCCGGAGTTTCTCATTGCGGTGGGTGTCGGCGTTGGAATTACTGTCGTCATGTTTGGAGGCTACAAGATTATCAAGAAGATAAGAGCCCGGGTTGGTGACAAAGAAGAAGACGCGGTGGATGAGATGCTGGATGTTAAGGAACTCGATCGCATCGAACACTGGAGGCGTGGCATTCCGGACGCCGAGACGGCGAGCGTTGCTACAAGCGTCGAAGGTGAATTCATTACTCCACTGGCAGCAAGAAGCATGGGCCACCTGCCTCTTCCCCGAGAACATGGGGGAGAAAAGCACAAGGAGCCGAGGACGGAGTCCAAGAAGAAGAAACACCACCGGAGGATCGATGACGATCCAGATCGAACGGTTGTAGGGAGCGAGAATTCGTCAAAATCGCGACGAAGCAAAGGAAGCAGCAGGTCGGAGAAAAGAGAAAAGGCACTTGTCAAAACCAAGAGGCCGAGCACGCTAAGAAGAATGTTTCTCACCAGAGAATCAGAGGTTTCCTCCCGTCGATGAACTGGGAAATGCTGGTGTTCTGTGTTACTCCAGCGTTGAGGCAAGGATTTGGGTTTGCATAGATGAGGTTATGACGCGACGATGGTTATGGATTTGCTAGATACCGTGCTTGCAGAAGCGAAATCGCACTACATATGTTTGAATATGGGACTGAAAAAGTTATCCTGCTTGAGAATCACCAATATCTGTATGAGAATCACATGACTCTGAATCACGTGCCGCTGCGGCGAAATTTTGGCGGCTCGGAAATGGTTTGTTCTCCCATTTATCGCGAACTAGTCGATCTTCCTGTTCATGCACTCTAAAGGTTTTCCTGGCCTTCACTGTTGAAAATTCCTTTGCTTGCGGTGTACTTAGAGCGCTGTAATCCTCTTTCATTCTGGTCCAATTCTGTCCAAATTAGCCAGACCTTGTAACCGAACGTTCTGTCCGCTCGAGGGCTGCGACGATAACTCGAACTCTCCAGCGCTATCAATTCCTCTGTCACCGTCTGCGCTACCTCAACCTGTGGGGATAGGCACAACTAGAGCAAATACTTTGGTGGCTTGACCTCAGATCATGGATCACTCCAGAGATCCCTGTCCCTGGGTCGCCTTGTCCGACTTTGGCGGAGCATTCTGTATGGGTGCTTTGGGAGGTAGGAAAGATAAGACCCGTACTTTTGACACTCCCTCTTTGACACGGCTTAGGTACATTATGGCACGGAATCAAAGGATTTAGGAATTCACCCTATGGCGAACGACGGATAGGCATGATCACAGCCATCAAAGCTCGAGCGCCCGTCACAGGAGGCAACTTTGGTGTATGGGGCGGCATGTTCAGCACCTTCGATTGCGCAGTCAAGGGCATCCGCCAGAAGGAGGATCCATATAACTCTATCATCGCCGGATTCCTAACAGGAGGGTCGCTGGCGATAAGAGGAGGTTACAAAGCGGCCCGAAACGGCGCCATCATGTGTGCCATCTTCCTTGCTGTCATCGAGGGCGTTGGTATTGGTGTTCAACGATTCATGGCAGAGTCAACGAGACTAGATGTAAGTTGCCCAGGTATACTTGCACGTCACTCTGTCGGTACTAACGTTTGCGGCAGCTTCCACCACCTGCACCACCTTCAGAATCGGGGCGTGTCGCAGCATGACTGGAAATGGCTACAGTGCCACATTTCATTTGAAACGACCACTCCGGATCATTCTTGCTCCTGGGACTCCTACGGCATTGGAGCTATATCTCGATCCTTGCAAGATTCTCTACTCTACCCCAAGATCATTTCAACTTCGTTATATTCTAACGTTGGAAGAAAGGCTTTTTGCGATGGCATAGCGGGCGAATGGACATAAAATGGGACACAGGCGAAACAATTCTCACGGTTCTTTGGAATGGCTTTAAAAACTTGAAGCATTCCGCAAATCTTCCAGGGATGGCAACGTGGCAATGTCGTGTTGAGTGACAAAGTGGGTTGTTGCTGGCCGGCAATGCGCTCTGGACGTTGTATTTGCGGTAGAGAGTATTGTGGGAGTGATGTCCACGGAGTACTCTCCAGGGGTGTAATATAGTGTATTATGAGCGAAAGACTTGCAAAGACAGACAAAGATGAAATCTACTTTGTTGGCCTCTCTTAATGAATGCGTGGGTGATAAATTCCTGACTACCTAATTGGTGTCACGAGGCTGAGTTTCTGCCTTGTCAACGCAAGGGTCGATATCTCCGTCGCCGCATCTTTGGCACTGCGCGGCCAATTGTTCTCTTGAAACACAACTGGCGCTTCTCTCTCCCCTTCTCTCGAGCAACTTTTCGGCCTTTATCGCGATTTCCACTTTTCTTAATTCTCCATCCCCTCCTTCTTTTTCTATTTGGGGAACCTCTATTGGTCATGCATGTTACGAAGCATGGCTCCAAACCCGTCGCCCTCGACGAACCCGCTCACGAAGGATCTGAAAACAAACCCCGCGTCAAGGCCAGTGACCTTGGATTCAATGCGCCAGACTATATCCTCGACGATATAATCCCGATCTCAGACCCCAAGCTGTTCTACTCCAACGTCTATGCGCAGCGTGACCGGCGACTTCGCCTTTTGATCCGGCGCTATACGAACCAGATCCAGAACGGATGCAGAAACGTCAACTGTACCACCCCGACCTGCCTGAGCTACAGGAAGAGGAACAGCACGGGACCTCTGAGGAAATATACTGAACTGAGTGCGAGGACGCTGGCATGTCAGTTGGTGGACGAATACAGTCGAAATGGCAAGGATTCGTTCGCCGGACTCTGCCAGAACGAGCCCGTTGTGCCGTGGTACGAGGATCCGGCCCTCGTTAGAAAAAGAAGGAATAGCCATGAGAAGGTCGGACACCTGAGACAAGAAAATGGACACCTCTCAAAGCCTCCGAGCGTTGCCATGCGTACCAAGGACTCGTCTAAGCCCATCCCGACAATGGAGCACGCGCCGCGGAGAACAAGCCAGGATGGTGTGGTTCAGGCGGGCAGACGCCTGCGAGAAATAGATACAAACGCTGCCGATGAAGTGGTTGACGTGTTGAACCGTACCATTACCCAAAGCAATATGGGGAGAGGGCACATCGGTGATGACGATCTAAAGGATACCCCAGAACAATCAGCGCCGGCTCCTGCAAGACAGAAAGACCTCGCTTCGTTTACACAGACACTGTTTGATCTGGTGCCGCTGCGGCTTCTCAACTGGTTGCCAGCAAAGAACGATGTCCGCACGACCAATGTTTCGGGATCAGTCGAGCCCTCTAGCGATCGCAAACAAGCTGCTGTCGATGCCATGCCGGAAGAACTCGCTACCTCTGTTGGAAGTACAAAGATAACATCGGAAGGAGAGACAGAAGATCAAGGATGCGTGTCGCAAGAACCACCTCACCAACGGGTGTACAGCCTCCGAACACTTAACTGGATCACTCTACCCTGGCTGAAGTCTGTTGGTCCAGCCGATGACAACTATCAACGCAGATTCGTTCCCTTTATAAAGCAGAGCCTTATCTATTGCCTCAGTGACCCTGTGAGGCTGGTGGACACGGTTAAGGATCTTCAGGTCACTTATTGGAATGGACTTAGGAATTCATCCGAGCAGAGTGGTGCGGGTTCAGAAAACAGAGCCCATGTCCATCGCATAACACCCTGGCCCATCATTTCCACCAGCACGAGATATGATATGCAAGCGCTCTTGTTCAGCTTTGCTTATATTCAGAAATTCGAGGAACGCAATCTGGTCATGAACAGCATATTAAATGCGCTGCAGAACGCGTACTACCTGCCGCCATGGCTGCAAAGCAGACGTTCTACGAAGCACAGTCGATCAGGCAGCGCGAGTTCCGAGTCGGTGTTGTTCAAGGGACGCCAATCCTCGGACGGCAACAGCTCGCGGAATTCACCATCGCCGGATTCTGAGGAGCTCGATATCCTCTTAGAGGTCGAAAAACCGTTGATTCCACTCAAAGACTCCCAGATAACCGACTTATGCTTTGTGGCACTGTTATCGCTAGCGACCACTATCTTTCATGTTCCCAATGCTTCACTTTTCAGTGGGAAAGACCAATTTGTCCAGTTCGCGAGGGAGAGAAACAACGGGCGTGCACATTCGTATTGGGACGGCTTCAGAGGACGAGATCTATTGCTCGCGCGCGAGATTATCGGCATCATCGACGTTACCGAAGACTGGGCTGTCCATCGGCTGCTCACAGCTTTCATGAACGTTGTCAGCCACCGATTGACCGTGGGCAAGTGGGCGGCAACTCTAAAGAGCCCAGGCATGCCCAAGTCGAGTAAGACCACCATTGTTGAGTCGCTCATTGATCGCTTTGACCGGGACTACCTGAACGGATGGGACCGTTATGACGAGAACTGCAGTTGGATCGGAACCGCTGCCCTGGAGCTGGGAAGGACGGTCATGCTCAGGGATTGGGATCGTTCTCCCGTTATCCTCCGTGCAGGACCGGTTGGCGGTGCCCTAGAATTTTTGGCTGGATTGTACCGTGCTCGACATCAGCTGAACTTGGATGCCGATTGGTTTCATATGCCGTTCATCGCCGACACTTTCGACGACATGTCCATGCCAGCAGAATGGCTGTCTTTTCGCCCAGACTCTCGACAAATGCATCTGCTATCTTTCTCTTTCCTCTTCCAGCCACATGTTCTGGTCAAGTATTTCAGGGCAATAAACATTGCGGTCATGAAGAAGTCGCATGAGGACGCCACCATTGTATACAATGACATTAGGCAATATATGTGGGCACCCGCCATTCCCATCTACGGCGCAAAGGAAGTACTAGCTCATCTGCGGCCTCATATGGCCAGGTACTTTGTGCTCACGATCCGGAGAAACGATATCTTGAATGATGCAATCGACCAGATATGGCGACGCCAACGCAGAGAGCTGATGCGGCCTTTGCGCGTCCGTCTCGGTAAGGACGAGGGAGAAGATGGTCTTGATCATGGTGGAGTCCAGCAAGAATTCTTCAGAGCTGTTTTTGGAGAGGCATTACGACCAGAGTATTCCATGTTCACGGTTGACAGTACGACAAGGATGGCTTGGTTTCAGCCAGGTTCCTTTGAACCACTCTACAGATTTGAAGCTTTGGGTATCTTGATGTCCATTGCCATCTACAATGGACTCACTCTTCCGATCACCATGCCGTTGGCTTTTTACAGGAAACTGTTGGGGCTCAAGGTGAAGAAGCTCGACCATATCGCCGACGGCTGGCCCGAATTGACGAGAGGTTTAAAGGCGCTCTTGGATTGGTCAGACGGGGATGTTGGCGACGTGATCGCTAGGACTTATGAATTCAGCTACGAGCTCTGTGGGACGACCGTCACGGTGGACATGCAGAAGATTGGGCGCCATGACCGTTGGCCTCCAACGAAGTCGCAAATGAGCAAGAAGGGGAAAGAAAAGTCCAAATCGACCTCTTTCGAGTTGCCGTTAGAGCCAGCGCTTACTCCGCCCCCTCAGCCGTCACCCAGCCTGGGCGCCAACCTACCGAATGGTTCAATATTGAGTCGGACATCTTCTATCGAAGTTAAGGGCATATCCACGCCCTTGAGTATCGACAGTGACATGCTGGAGAATTCTGGACAAGAAGCTGCATTGGTCACGAACGCGAACCGCGAACAATATGTTAAAGACTATATCTTGTGGCTGACGCACAAGTCCATCGAACCACAATACGAGGCCTTCGCTAGGGGTTTCTACACCTGCCTCGATCGGACAGCCTTGTCTATCTTCAATCCTGAATCCCTGAAGTCCCTCATCGAAGGATATCCCGACATTGACATTGACGAGCTCCAAATGACAACCACCTACGACGAGTATACACCCGACCACCCGACAATCCTCGACTTTTGGCACATTGTCCGCAGCATGAGCACCCATCAACACAGGCAGCTCCTGGAATTCGTGACCGCGAGTGATCGAGTCCCTGTCAATGGCATGCAGAGCGTGACGTTCATTGTACAGAAGAATGGCGAGGAGGACGCTCGACTACCAAGCAGCAGCACGTGCTACGGCCGGCTGCTGTTGCCTCAGTACTCGAGCCGGGCCGTGATGGAGGAGAAACTGACCAAGGCGATTGAGAACTGTGTCGGTTTCGGAACCTTGTGACGGTCTCGATAGGCCTTGTTCGTATTTGAACATACTCTTCGGTACCAAGAGGAGCAAAACATGCTGCGGACAGAGAAGGTATGAGGAAAGGGGGCAGACAGTCCGACTGGGTAAAAGGCAAGGAAGAAAACAGGGGGAGAGACCTAATCGGTGACTGGTCTGAACCCAACCGTGTCTAGACGCAAAATCTCCTTGACCAAGATCCTCGCGGACGGATACTCTCTCCTCTCATTCCCAAAGGCTCAACGAGACGCAGGGCGACAGCATACTCGATCCAGCGGAGTTACTTTGCGCATCATGTGGCGTTCCGACCATAGACGAGCAAAATCCATACCAGCGCTATTAGCGATTGCTCTCTTCGGGGTGGCATGCATGGATGGCACCCACGACAGAAGACAATGTGTCAGGACGAAAGCGATGAGTGTTTTTTGGGGGTGATATAGATCGAGGTCATCTATCATTCTGACCTGTAACCCCCGTTACCCCGGCCAGCCTGGTGGAAAGAAACCCGGTAAAAATGATCTCGGCTCATAATGACATATTTGAATGGATGGACGAGAGAGGGTGTTTCGGTTGGAAAATCATGAAATGAACGACCGACCGATCAGGCAACACTGATCGGTATCCAGGACTGTGGACTCAGGACTCTGGATTCTGGACTCTACACTGAGGACATGGGTTCTCGTACCGAGTCATCGAATCATCGAGTCGCCAAGTCATCTAGTATATATAATATATATACATATATATGTCTCCTCTCAGCCCCTCTTAGCTCCGCTAGGCGGCCGGGCAGACAAGGGAGGCATGTCAATCAATCAATTGATTAATGAATCAATCTGAACCTATCGATTCTGTAGTACGCCTCTCTTGAAAAGAGATATAAAAAAAAGATAGCAAGCTACATGAAAAGTAACTCCTGGGCATGCCTCGCTCTGATACCATACATAAGCCCAATCCGTCAATCGACTGGTCGATTTGTTCATGCAGTCCTGGATAGCCTTGATCGCTAGTTCCTGTAGGTCCATTCCCTCATTTCCGGTCATTTCAGGCAGGACAAGTAGAACAAAGTTCACACAAGAGGAGTTGCTGCTTCATGCATGGAATCAGCAGGGAGGGAGAGAGGGAAAGGAGGCACAGGAAGCAGAGAAAGCAGGGGGAGAGACAGAATAAGGGTGTCGTAGTCAACGAGTGCCGGTGGCTGCGACGGCGTCCTCGTCCTCCTCCTTCCTGCCCCTCCCTTTGCCTCGAGTGACAATCTCCCTGGCCGTCTGCGTGAGGCTGATACCTCCAAAAAGCCAGTCGTCACTGTGCCGTCCATACCCACCAGGCGAGCTCCCGCTGTGCCGCGACTTCTTCTGGATCCAGCCGTGGTCGCGTTTCTGCAGGTCAGGGGATGTCGGGGGGCTCATGGTCGATGGTGAGATAGCGCTGTCAGAGGTGTGTCTCTTCTGCGTCCGTGCATGGTCTTGGGGAGAAGAAGGGCTCGGGGCAGGGAGTGGTGAGGTCTGGACGTGCTTGAGGTTCGTCGGTGTTGTGGTAATTGTGGCGGGCGACGGAATGCTGACGTCTATAGGTGGTGGTCTCGGTGACTTGGACCGTGATCGCGTCCTTGTGAAGTGGAAGGGGAAAGAGAATGGGGCTTTCGCTGTAGGTGACAAGGACTCGGTAGACAACGGGGAGAGTGTGGTTGTGGGAGACAAAGTTCGCGTAGGCGTGATGGCATAGTGAGACTCGTCGCTCACACTGCGACCTTTTATGTCAGGTCGGTGAATGGGAGCTGCTGGTGTTGCTGTTGTCGCTGTTGTCATAGACTGGGGGTTCATTTTGAGCGCATAAAGAGGAAGAGGAAGCTAGGAACAGAAAGCGTTGACGGGTCATAAGATCGAGCACATCTTCATGGCAAGCAGGCGTTGCAATGATTTACCTTCAGTTGAGGGACGTCTTTGACACGACTTACACTGTCTGGGGGGGTGGACTGGATACGGCCAACTCGGTCGGCGTGCCCAGAAGATCCAGCCCTGCATCTGCATGCTCTCAGGTCTGCAATGATCTGACGATGGACGATTTGGCAGCCAAGGATCGCGAAACGGACGGCCATGTGAGAGGCTGGCAGCGTATCGATGAAAGCGAATGCTGATCCATACGAACCAAAGGCCTTTTTGCTGCTTGCTTTCACCACCCAGCCTGACTCTTTGCTCTTATTGGACTCATCCGCATCTGCTCTAGACATGGTCCTGTTCTCCACCCAATCATTCCAGGCCACATTCTCACAGGCGACGCCCGCTGAGCACCTGTTTTTCAGTCACCTTTCCCCGTGACGCTGCACACCGGTTTGGGCTGCGTTCAACCAGGACTTGGCTGGAACCTGCGACCAAATGCATCCGCGGCCGCAGGCGAGTTTGCCGGCGAATACCCCACGCTGAAACCAATGGCGTACGTTGGGCCCAGAGGGACCGACGGGGGTGAAGTGGAGCGTCCTTTTTTCAGCCGCACTCTTGGGGACGGAGTTGGTTCCAGAATTCCTGCATGCGTCCGCTCAGGAGAAGAGGGAGGCGCATCTAACAGGGGTGACAAGTGCGTGATGGAAACGAGGCCAAGGGCGGATGGGCTGGCACGATCATCTCGCTCAAGTCAAGCGACTGTTGGTCACCGACTTCAAGTACTCAGCATTAGCATATTGCGTCAAGGAGGGCCTTTGGATGTACGAGGTACTTGGTAAAGATTGATGCCTGCAGCCTAGGGGAAGTAGTAATGTAAGGCCACCCAAGAGGGTTAAATGGTTGGAAGATGGGAAAGTCTGGGGGACTTTGCTGGGACCTTTTGGCGCAGCTTGCGCAGTTTCGCAAACTGCGCCTGGTGACCTCGACTCAAAGTCTTTTGTCGCTCGGCACTTTGACCCTTGAAGTTTCTTCCCTCAAGAACTCCTTCTTGATTCTCTTGTCAATGGATCACACATAGTAACCCTCTCATCAAGTCCTTTCAGACAAACTCTGTACATGGGTGCTGGATTTCTGTGAGCAACAATGCATGGATCTCGAGCCACCCTTACACCACGATCCTCTCGCCGCCAGTGACCATCCACCAAAACCACCATCTTCACCGCAAGAAGATGCTTATAGTCCACCGACAATCGATCAGTCGCACGATGTTGCCCTGGTATTGACAGCACTCGATCAATCCTACAATTGCCATGGGATCTGTGATACAAAGATCCTGCTGTGGGGTTCCCCAGGCTGTGGGTAAGCCAACACCCTTTTCTACTCTGCCTTCTCGTCTAACAAGGGACGATCTCTAATACTGCAACAGCAAGCGTCGTATTGCTACTGTGGCTGCTCTGGAGTTTTCCGCCAGGACGGGCTGCAAAATCCTATGGATAGATGGACGCGCTTTCGAGTATTTCATCCGCGACTATAGAGCGGCGTACACCACCATTACTGGACAGCATCTTCCACAAGCTCTGACTTTGACCCATACTCTCCTGAAGATTAGATCCACACTGGAAGCTCACCGGGATGAGCTTCTTATTGTCGTCTTCGACCTCCAGTCCTACTTGGAAGAGGATATGGAAAATGAACTAAAGATCAATGACCTCTTTCTGCCAGACCGCTGTCGCCTACTCTTTACGTCTTCGTATGTCCTTCCAAGAGCGACCACCAGCCACGAACATGGACCGTCCATGGAATGCGGATTGAAGCTCGCCAATCGGGCGACATGTCTGCATGTCGGCACGCTCAACGAGGAACAAGCCGTACAGTATTTCAGAGCCGCAGTACCGAACAGCATCGATGCGGTCGACTCTCTCCGTGCTTTCTGGCACTCCCACAAAGACCCGTGGTGTACTGCTCCACTTTGCCTTGCGCTTTCTTGTGGTTGTATGCGCTTGTTGCAGATATCCCCTGGTAATTTTCAACAACTATGCGCATATAAGGCAAGGGAAGGCTGTACTCCCACGTTTCCTGGCGCCGGTTCAATTCTGGCAAACATCATGTCTACTTTATGGGACGCTTTGGATGACTACGATATTGCCGCAAGGCAGTTGCTAGCAATCTGCTCAGTCGTCGATCGAGAGGGTATTCCTGTTGTTATTGTTGAAAAGTTCCCAATGTTTCAGAACAGTAAAGGACGGCTTCACTCAGCCATGGACTTACTCCGTCTGAGTGGGTTAGTTGAGATCGACCAGGGAACTGAGCTTGCTACTATCAGCCTTCACCCTCAGGTGCACCGTTGGTTGCAACTAAAACGCCGAAAAATCGAGGACAAGCAGGAGTTGACATATCTCGTCCACACTTGGACCTCTGTGCTCAGCGAATACCTCACCAAACCAGAGCATGAGCTGCAGGAGAATGGTCCCATCTTCGATCCCGATAAATTCTGGCGGATGCTCGCTCACATAATGGCGCTTTGTAATCTCAAACCAGGGCAACTTCGACAGTTTTGCAGCCTGCGGTACATGACGTTTCTTAAGCACGTTGCGATATTCCTTGTCAACGACGGTATCTTCCCAGGCTTGGCTGGTGTGACCATCACTCATGCTCTCAACATGTGCACCCATCAACAAAGTCGCCACCGTCGTAATGTAACACTTTACCGTGAGTATGTCCAAATTCGTCAAGTGAGGGCTACCGCCTTTATGAATGTATCAGATTATAGTCAAGCTGTGAGTGAATTGCGGGAGGCGAAGCGAGTTGTTGGTCGTCATCTACCAGACGATGCCAGCAGCAGACGGATCTTGCACGAGATTGAGGATGCAGAAGCACACCTTAGTGTTGTTCAGATGAATTGGCCTGAAGCCGGCCGGATTCTCACCCAACTGCTGGCCACGCCGGAACTGAACAATGCTTCATACGACCTCGCTCAGCGACACCATTGGATGGCGCGATATAAGGCAGGCATAGGCGGAGATATCGGCTCCTTGGAACATTCGCAGTACGTATTCCCCCCAAAGCACTATATTGCCTTTCATCAAAGGCAAGAGTGTCGATCGCTCCTATAAACCTACCGATTGCTAAATAGAAACTAGCATGACCATGTCATACTGGAGAGAGCTACCGTACGACGAACAGTGGGGCTATAAAGACATGACGATCCTGTATTGGGTAGAAAAACACATGCTGGATCTAATGACCATGAAAAAGTACAAAGGTGCCCTCCTCTTCGGTACACGACTACTCGAGAGAGCGTACGACCTGACGCCGGTTCTCGGAGGCTCCGTCTGCCGCCTAACTTACCGAATCGTATATTGCCAGTGCATGCTAGACATGGCTGACGATGCCGAAAGAGCAGTGTGTCGACTTCTTGAACTGCCTTCCCACGACACATATGGAGATGACACCAATGGTGCTTATCTGCTCTATACGTTGTATGAGCTTGCGGTAGTGCTGCAGCGCAGTGGGAGGGCCGTGGAGGCCGAAGGTTTGTACAGATTCAACATACAGACGTCGAAGCTCTACGACATCAAAGATCTGGGCGGCACCGAAAAGTATGACAGTTGGCGTGATCATGTTCAATTGATCATGTGTCTCATCGAGCAGGGGAAAGTGTTGGAAGCCCTAAAACTCAAGGAGGAATATGAGCATGAGAATCCGGGCAGAGAGTTTTCAAATTCCGTCATCCAGAACAGCTGGGCCGCTTATCGTCAATCGAAAGAGTTATACACCAGGGCGGTCGAAGCCGAAAAGGCCGGGACTTCTCTGGAATTCAAGGCATCTCTTGATTTGGCCGAGCGTCGGCCAGCATTAAAACGGGCCGTGAGATGGTTTGGAAGCCCGAAGCATCGGGTTGAGGGGGGCAAGGACTTTGAGAGCGACATCGATTTGCACGACATCGGACGGGCGCGAGAAAGTCGTCTCCTCCAGCTCCTTGACTTCCCTCTCGTCTATCTAGCTTTCCGTCGATCCAGGGCTTCTGTCGACAATACTAACAATGAGTTTCTGTGGGCGAATGTTCGACAAAGCGTTCTCGGGCAGTATTGGAAATATTGTGATTGCAAGAGGAAGAGACGACGCAGTCAAAGTGTTCAGGGGTTAGACGGTTTCGTGGCCAAGCTAAAATGCGACAATGAAGACTCCAAAACGAGGAAGCTGAAACAAAAACTCATCACCGACTGGGTTATAAGGACGCCAGGCGAGAGCAAGCCTATTTCAGTAGGTTGTGGACCCAGTTGTCCGTGCATCGAAGCCAACAAAAGAGGTCTCCTCGAGACTTCTGCTCTGGAATCAAAGCTTTACTTGTGGGAGGAGCCGACCCCCAAAAAGCGCTCGTTCAAGGATCGACCCAGATACCGGAACAGGAAACCAAACCGATCACCGGTTTCAGAAGACGAATTGTTCATTCTCATCCCACCGAATACTTTGTTGTGGATCCAGTCCGAGTTTGCGAATGGGGAGTCTGAAGGAGAGAATTATATCATTCCACGAGCAACTGAGATTCCGGGAATAGCCATCACTCCACCTGAAGGAGAGATAGATCTCATGTCGCTTCCCACATCTACCCAAGAGAGAGTGACAAAATATTACCAGAGGGACTATACGGCAGACTTTGCTTCCATATTGGAGAAGCAAGAGACCGAGTGGTTCAGCCCGACACGGTTGGATGACATCTTAGAGGACGACGAAGACGAAGGAGATACACCGTGAAGTTGGACTCAGGGTAGATGAGGATACCCTTGGCTCATGCATGGATCGAATGTTACTATCATGATTAGATTCCTCAATCAGCAAACACAATCAGCAGCGTATGAAGAAGAGATGAAAGGGGTACCATATGTTTGTTCGTTATAGAGTAATACCCAAGAGCATTCCCAAATAGGAAAAGGGGATAATTGCGTCTGGCATTCTATTGGCTTGGCATGACGTCAGTTTGGTGGCCCAAATGGTGATGGTTGATTGGACGGGAACTTGACAGGAATCGAGGAACGTCGACATCAAATCGACTCCATCGTCGGACCAACTGAAGTTCCCGAATACGACGATGATTCCCATCTCGCCATGTTCTTTCGATGTGCCTCATATTATCTTCATCCCTGATTCTGATCTGGAGATGGAAGATTGCGCACTTCCTCGTGAATCTGCAATACTCCCAACCCATAGCTAACACCTCTCCCAAGTCAACATGTCCTCTAACCCAACCTTCACTTCTTCCTACTCTTCCACTTATGTCTAATACTCTGCTCTTTCTATGTACATAATTGACTTTTCACGATTTTGAATCATGACTCAAACAGTATCTTATCCATGGCCACTTCACACTCCCCCTCTCTCCTGAGCCTGGCATCATCGCCGCCAATCTTCATCCTTCCAACGCACTTGAAGCCAGAAGAGCTTCATGACACCGAAGACCTGGTCGTTCAAGCGGGCGGCAAGCTGACATATGACACCAAAGAGGCAAGGATATTCATAGGCAGAGTCGCCCAGAAGAAGCGCGCCGCGTTCGATCTTCGGGCGAGGGGAGTGTGGACAGAAGAGGCAGCCTTGCCGGAGAGCAGCACCGACGGAGAAGCAGGTCATGGACAGGCTGGAGCGGACGTTCCACCGAGGAAGAAACTTAAGCTTGCAGACCGGCGTTCGACAAGACATGGACGGACCAACTCAAGCACAGTTTCACTCGCCTCGGATATCTCTGTAAAAGACGGTACGTCTCCACCGGCTCAAATATTCTGGCCCGATCTTTCAACCCATATTCTCATCCTCAAGCTCTCCTGGCTGGAAGCCTGTGTCAAGGAGGGACGTCTGCTTCCATACCAACCTTACATTGTCTATGCTGCGAGAATCGTCACCAAGCCTGCTGGGGAAGTCTCCCCAAAAGCCCAAGCACCGCTATCAGTCTATTCCAGAGTAGGTTCCGGATCCCAATCTCAAGGCACTACAGCACGAAGGGTATCCAAACCGACCGTGACAACTTCCATACTGGAACGCGCAAAAGCCGAAGCGGCAGCCCTACCCTCTTCAGCTCGCCGTCGCTTTGGTGATCATGGATACCGCCATGCTCCATCACAGATTGACGCCACCAAACACATGCCACCTAAGCTTCATCGCACCACAACATCTGAACTTGAATACCAGGCCGAACATCCTCTGCCTCCTCTTCCCGATTGGGCAGTCGGCCCAAACGCGGCCTACGCATGCTGCCGCTCCACACCTATGCAGACAGCCAACGAGGCCTTCATTGCGCAGCTTACCAAGATAAAAGAAGCCAGAGTACTGAGGCTAGATGATATTGGTGTCCGCGCCTACTCGACCTCGATTGCCTCAGTCGCCGCCTACCCACACCGCATCCACCATGTCGAAGAAATCACGCGCCTACCAGGGTGTGAAACAAAAATCGCAGCACTCTGGCGCGAATGGCAAGACTCTGCTCCGCCGGAAGCCGACGACTCCGAAAGATTCATCCAAGGTGTCCGCGACCTGGACGCTGATCAGGACCTCCAGCATCTCCGACTGTTCTGGAACATATGGGGCGTCGGACCGGACACGGCGCGCAAGTTTTATTTCGAGCACGGTTGGAGGGACATCGACGACGTGGTGGAGTTTGGGTGGTCGACATTGACACGCGTGCAGCAGATCGGAGTCAAGTATTACGACGAGTTCATGGAGAAGATCCCCAGGAGCGAGGTGGAGTCGATCGGGGAGGTGATCCTGCGGCACGCGCGAGCCGTTCTCGACACCCCGGAAGACAAGTTCGGTACGAAGGAGGATGTGGAGCTCATCATCGTGGGAGGTTACCGACGCGGAAAGCAATTCTCGGGAGACGTCGATGTCATTCTGTCCCATCGGGACGAATCCAAGACGCAGGATCTCGTCGTGGATGTGGTCCGGAGTCTCGAGACGGAGGGGTGGATCACGCACACGCTGACGCTGCACACCACGACTAGTGATCGTGGGCAGGCGACGCTGCCGTTCCGCGGGTCCACAAGCCACGGGCACGGGTTCGACAGCCTAGACAAGGCGCTGTGCGTGTGGCAGGATCCCAACTACGAGGGCAAGGACGACGATGACGACGCGGAAACCTCCACCAGCGGCACGAACAAGAAGAAAAAGAACCACAACATCCACCGTCGCGTCGACATCATCGTCTCGGCCTGGCGCACCGTCGGCTGCGCCGTCCTCGGCTGGAGCGGCGGCACCACCTTCCAGCGCGACATCCGCCGTTTCGTGCGCAAGACCCACGGCCTCAAGTTTGACTCGTCGGGCGTGCGCAACCGGGGCAACGGCTTGGTCCTCGACTTCGAGGCACCCCGGCCCAAGGGCGAGCGCCAGAAGGCCGCGCTGGAGAAGGTCCTGATGGGCCGCACGCTGCGACGCGCCGACTACGACGCCGCGACCGAGTGGGATGACCAGGACACCTGGGCCGATCGCGAACGGAGGCTGATGGACGGGCTGGGCATCGGGTATCGTCCGCCAGAGGAGAGATGTACTGGGTGAGATTTCTACCCGTGACAAAGAGACGACTCTTCTCCTTGTTGCGGTCAGATTGAGTCGAGTCGAGTCGATTCGAGTCGAGCTGAGCTGACGTCTTTCCCTTTCCTCCCTCTATCCGTCTTTTTCTTTCGCGTTCGGTTGTTGCGTTATGGTTTGGATTCTGTTTACTTCGAAGCGAAACGGGAGTCATCTTTGGCCATGGAATTGGAGCTCGAATTTTTGGGGGGTTGGAGATGTACTCTTCTCTTTACGAGATGGTTGATACTGCACTGCACGACACGGCGCTCTCTTGTTCCAGGTCAAGGAGGTAGCTTGGTCTATCCTGGAATCTGGATGGAGAGAGCACATATAACGAACGACACAGCACGACACGACACGGAAGTCCTGGAACCCCGGACCCACAGGTTGGGTCACGTAGGGTAAAATTAGGACAGGACAGCACGGGACGGCACAGGTCAGGGCATAGTACTTGGCTCCAACGAAGCGAAGTGAACGTTCATCAGAGTTCATGAATCATGCAGATGAAATGAAATTTCCCAAAGACTTTGGAATTCATACCTAAAGTTTATCTATCCACTTCCCAGGATCAGGACACAAGATCCCTTTTTTTCACGATAATCTACAAACAGACCAAAGAGAGAGGTGATACATCCCGTCAAAGCCAGTGTCGGAGCCCTCTCCACTTTACAACTCCTGGGCAAAGAGCGTAGGTACGTAGAATCATCTCTTCTTCTTCCCAATACTCGTGTCCACGCTGCCCACCAAGTAAGCGAGCACAAACACCACGGCCAACCCGGTGAAGATAGTCATAGGTTTTCGGAAGGCGGCCAGGAATGGGTACTCGTACGTCACCAGGATGGTAACGTCCCTTGCTTCGTCGACGACGTTGTAAGCTGTCAACTTCAGCTCTGTTCGGCCCAAGGTGTCCATAAACGTCTTGTGGAGATCATACTCGGCATGTAGAGGCGGCACACCTGTTCCACCATGCGTCTGCCATTTGACGTTCTTGGCTCCTTCGGGCAGAATGACCCGGAAGACAAGCTGCTCGTATTGAATGCCTTCTGGCATCTTGGGGCCTTCCAAGAGGGGAACGGATAAGATATACGTGTCGGACTGAGTCTGGAGTTTCCGGAGGCCAGAGGACAGAGCATTGTTCCAGCCAATGCGGAAGCTATACTTCCATCCACCGAACAAGGGGTAGCGAGGCTTGAGCTCCAGGCTGGCTTCGCGGACGTTATTGGGTCTGAAGCGCGACGTGGAGACATTCCCGATGTCGTCGGTGAAATATGGGTCGACAGTGCCTGGTTTCAGAGGGACCTTCAATTCCCTCAAAGCAGAGGTAGACCCCTGCCCTGCGCTGATGTAGAAGTTTTGTGTACTCCATGCCAGACGAGAAAACTGGTTGGAGAGTTTAGCACCGTCATGGCGAAGCCAGTATCTTTCTTCGGTAGCCAAATTACCTCCCCAATGAGAGACTTCAACATCTCGCTCGAGGAGGCTGCAGACGAGGAGTGGCTTGTTAAATTCGTACCGCACAGACACTGGATAGATGGTGCCTGGTTCGACCTTGGCAGTATCGTACGGACCATATGTAAATGACGTCCCTTGCTTTTCTGGATCGCTGGCTGATGTCAAGCCGCTCGTGGTGGTATATTCAGGCACATCCGCCGACGGGAACTTCACTTTTGTTTTCTGTTTGACTGTCTTGTAGACGGTGGGAACGTAGGCGGAGAAATTGTAGGTAAGGTACTGCTTATCTTCCTGTCTGATAGAGGCGGGCAAAGGCGTAAGGACTCCCAGCGCATTCCATGATATTGAGAGAGTGACGGTGCTTTTGGGTGGTAGCGGTTCCGAGAGATGGATGACATAGTATTGAGTAGGTCTGGGAAAGTCAGCAAGCATTTCGGTGCGAGCCCGTCCAGGTTCTGCGTACTGTGAAGCTTCGCCCTGGTCGTCCGAGACAGCAGACAACGCCGCAATGGTGACCTCCAAGGGAAATTCTGGCTTCTTCTTGTCCCGGGCGTCAAAGCCGCCAATCTTGCCAATCAGGTCATATTCGAAGGGGATATAGTACTCCGACTGCGGTGAGCTGTCCGTGTTTGTGACCAGCACATTGGTGGTCTCTCTCACGTAGCCTTTCTCGAGGTTGATAGTCCGAACGAGGTTGGTGTTCTCGAATACTTGGGGAGGTTTGAAGTCGCCCGTTAATATCTTTTGCGTGGTTCGATGTTCTGTGAGATTCGACTCTGCCCCGAGCACTCCGGTGCACAGCGCGAGGACGGCGCCGACCACGGATGAGAGCCTCATTCTCATGCCTGAAGGGGGAAATGTTCAAGACCGCATCGTCGTCGGCAACCCAATGTCAATCAGGCCAGCGTGGAGAAGGGGGGACACGCAGCGGCTGCGGAATTTCAAATGACAGAAATGACGACTATGGTCATTACGGTAAAACACATCTACAAAAAGCGAAGATCCTCTACGGAGGGCCATAATTCTCTATAACGGCAAATGACATTGACTTCCCTGCCATTGGTGGAAGCTCTGCCTCTACGTCCTGCGTTCTCGACGGCGCAGTCCATTTTACCAAAAGGTACTCTCGTACCTGAACCAGAATTGATTCAAGTCACAAGCCGCCCCAACATGGCGTCGAAGCTTGTGCCACAGCTGGTCCGCCAGGCGACCAGGACAGCTACCAGAGCTCCTCGAAGACAGCTGTTCCATCCCAGACAATTCTCGACCTCACCTTCGTCGCGAAGTGAGTCGCTCTCAGTGGTCAGTTAGCACACATTACACCGAAACGAGGTCTGTTTTGCATCAACTAACAGAGAATGCCAGCATCGCAACACTCCCGAAAACAACCCTTCCATCCCCTTCAAGTTCAATGAAACCAATCTCCGGCTCATCGATGAGATCACCAAGCGCTACCCACCACAGTACAAGAAAGCCGCCGTGATGCCCCTTCTGGATCTGGGCCAGCGCCAACACGGGTACACCTCGATCAGCGTCATGAACGAAGTCGCCCGCATCCTCGAGATGCCGCCCATGCGTGTCTACGAAGTGGCGACCTTTTATACCATGTACAACCGCAACCCCGTGGGGAAATATTTTGTCCAGGTGTGCACCACCACGCCGTGCATGCTGGGAGGATGCGGGAGCGACGTGATCATGAAAGCGTGCGAAGAGTTTCTGGGCATCCACTCGGGCCAGATGACCGAAGACAAACTCTTCTCGCTACTCGAGGTGGAATGTTTAGGCGCCTGTGTCAACGCACCCATGGTCCAAATCAACGACGATTACTACGAGGATCTCACGCCGGAGACGACCGTGCAATTGTTGCAGGCATTGAAGGACTCGGCCACCATCAGTGGATATGATGTGTCCAAGGTCCCGAGGCCGGGGCCGCAAGTCTACGAGGGAAAACAGAGAATGACCTGCGAGCCGCGGGCGGGGAAGACGACGTTGCTGGGCGAGCCATATCACATTAAAGACGTCCTGAGGACAGACGGGGAGCTGTGAGGGTCGGTAGAAAGAGTGGATGTCAGACCACTGGCTTGTGGAAAGGGTAGGACCCCATTGGGCTTTTCCGATGCGCAAAACAACCCAATCCTGGAGACAGCGGGGAGTCACTGGGGGCACTGGCCTGGCTAAGCTGTGTTGTACATATAAGAACTTGCTCGACTGATAGCACACAGACGAGCAGAAGAAGAAGAGACGTGCTAAATTCAAGAGCAATTGGGCAAATCACACCCACCATTCCTGCAACCCAGCGAGTAGTGACTTATTTACGTACATCACCGCACTTATACGATCGGCACCTACCTCATTCTAAGTATTGTCCTCGTGCTCTTTTGCTCCTTGTTTTGGAGCATCACTTCCCCTCCCTTTATTATTAAATTTGATGGGATGAACCGCGTCAAGAATACAACGTCTCTGACCATGAATCGCCAAAGGTGGACGACTCAGGTATACTTCCTATGTATGTAATTACTGTACCTAGCCACCAGGCATTTCCTTGGGAATGTCCAGCACAATTAAACAGCTAAGATTTTGATGCCTGCGCCGTTCTTACTGGCTGATACAGCAAGACCTGGGTCGGTTTCCGTTTCCTTTTTGCATCGTTTGATGCATGTAAATCGTCATGTCGTGATGCTCGTTATTCCAACACAAAGCCTTGCCACCCACAAAGTTGACTCCGCCACACACGAGCAGGAGATGTCAAGCCGCCAAAAGGTACAAAATGCACCCTGAGAAGGTGGACGCGCCCGTACACCCCAAGCTTGCCCCGGACAACAGCTGCAACACACAGAAAAACCACACTAACTCATCATTTCTGGTAGCGTATCAACAAAAAGTGAAGAAACTACCACCAAGAATATGCCATTCAGTAGAAGTTGCATAGCCATTGCAGTGTTGGACCGACCTTTGGTGGTCCCATCAGCAGTTGGAGGCAGTATTTGAAAAGATGTTGCCAGTAGTTGCAAGAGGTGTCCATTCCGTTTTGCTAGGTGGGTTAAATTTGAAAAGTTTCACTGTTTCGTGCGGCGAAGGCTGATAATGGATGCCCCCTCCATGAAACATGCCAGATCCCTCGATGGTCCCAATGGGAAGAGGCGGCTCGTCGTCCAAAGGCTCGTCCTGTTCCGAGTCATCCAAGTGATCAACTGCATGCCATGTCCAGCCATCAGAAAGTGTCTGGTCCAGTGAATTGACATCACCAGCCTCGGATGGTGGTTGGGATACCTCATTTGAATGGACGCCGAATGATGGTTGGGTCAACTGCCAGTCCATTTGTTCCCCTGTGTGAAGGGAGTAGACCATGGTCCAGGTTAGGTCGCCTTCGAACTCTTCTCCATCTTCCGGTTTCTCAACATCACCTTGATTTGGCTGGATGGCGATCGATTCCAGGGGGCATTCTCGAATACGTCGGTCAACGACATAGGCTTCCACTTTAGCCTTCAATCTGTCTGTGCCTACAGTATCTTTTGCAACGAACCACTGTTGCCGGCCCCCATTACTCAGCCATCCGCTGAAAGACACCGAAGTGAGTTTCAGATCCGTCTTCAGGTGTTTGATCAGTCGGACCCAGCATTCCCGACGATCTTCGCCGCCGAGAAGGGTCATGTTTGACAACTCTAATCGTCTAAGGGTGGCGGCGTGGATCTTCAGGAAGTGCATCAGGTCCTCGTCGTGACAGATACAGGCGTCGATTATCAACGTTTCCAGTCTGGGGATGAGAGGCGCAGACGTCCACGTTCCAGCAGAAGTTTCCAGGAGTCCACAAAAATCCGACATCAAATCATCCTCGGCGTATTGATAACGACTGGCACTGCAATCCGTCAGTCGCAGCCTCAGCGTCTTGATTCTCGGTGCGCCTTCTAAGAGGGAGCGGACTGCTTCAATGTGATTGGCGGTACTAATCAGAGTGTCGTTACGGAACGAGAGCTCCAGGGCGCGGAGGTTCTCCGTGATGGTTCGGCAGATACGAAGTTGTTGGAATGCTGCAGGGGCCTTGATGGGCACGACGCCGAACATGTTGCGACCGTCTATGCTTTTTGCCTTGAAGGATTGAAGGTGGCAGCCGGCTGAGAAAGCGGCCGTCAGAAAGCCTTTTGTGTAAGACCTGCTGGAATTGGCCGACATAGAACTCCAGTTGACCGACTCTGGGTCGACCCTGAGGCGTTTGCAAATCTTGAGATAAAAGGAGGGAACTTTGGTAGCTGGGATAGTGGCGCCATCTTCGTGATCTTTGACGCGGACTGCCTGCAGATTTGGCAGGATTCGTAATACTCGAGACAAGATGGCAACCTCGATGGCGGCCTCTTCATAGGGTTTGAAATGTCCGGAGCAGGTACGATCGAGCAAGGCCATCTCTTTCACCTGTTCATCTGGTGGGAATGGGAGAGCTGGATCCGGTGGAGTTACCTTGATGCAGTGGAAGAATGCACCAAAGCGGCCATCATACGTCAGACTCGTGATGTGACGAGTGATCTTGGAGCGTTTCAATGCTTTGTACAGGCCAAGGATACAATGGTCGTTGGGAACCAGTACCACTTTGCGCCACAGATGAGGTTCAACCATATGAGCCAGATTCTTAGAAACCAAACGCAGATGCTTCAAGGTAGCTCGAGGGCATTGTTGGATGATGAGCAGGAATATTTCATTGGGTAGATCCGGGATCTGCTTCACGGCTACCTGGGTTGCCGAGGGAGAAGTCATGGCGCGGGGAGTGCTAGATGAACATTGAGATGGATATCAGGAGGCAGCGCGTCGAACATAGATTGAAAAAAGTATCTCATGAATGAAAAGCAATGAGAAGCCGACAAGTGTAGGCACAGCCTTATGTATGATGTTGGGTTGAACGAGGTTGCCACTGAGGCGTAGACACCGGGTTGTGGCTGCCTTTGAACCTAGCGCGGTTGCCTGATGGAATTATGAGTCCGAAAGATGCGCAGAGACGGATTGGCGGAGCGACAGAGGGACGGATCGATGGCAGGAATATCGAAGGACCGATGGAATTGAATCTGGTCGTTGGCTCTGGCTGGCAGATGATGGCATTCTCAACTTCACATAAATAGCAGGGATGGGAAGGGAGGTTGGCCACGTTGGGTGAAGACGAGTGACGACGGGATGTGATTGTTGTCTCGGGTTCCAGTCCCAGTGCGGAAGTCGCAGACGGCCACCGCCGTCCCAATCAGCTCTTGTGGACCTTCATCGATGCAATACTGATGTCTCGCGCATCATGATGAGCTTGCTGAGTGTTGGGAGCTGTAGCTGGAGCAAAGCTCATTAACGTGTAGTATGAAGATATGGTTGAGCCACAGAGTGTGGCCTGGCAGCCTGGACGGGGTGTTTCCAGCTGCAGCCTCGCGAGGCTGGGTCAGCTTTGGCGCAGGTGAGCGTGCAATTGCATGTGGTGCGGGCGGTGCATGCGCTCCGCAGACTTGTCCTTGGTGAGGACACCACCGCCCAGGTACCTACCTACGAGTTAACGAGGACGGAACAATCACCAACATTGTTAGACAGTGACATTGACTTGTAGTTTGATGGTGGAGGGTAGTTAGGTAGGTACCTCGAGACCCGCACCCAAACTGGCTGATCTACAAGTATCTCTCGGAGAGACTTGCTCCTCGAAGCCTATCTTGCTTCTCTTTACCCACGAGGCAGCTTGTTAGGCTAGGTATTTAGCCTGCCAAAATAGGTGGGTGCCCCTAAGCCCTTATAATCTGTAAGTAATGGGTGCTTAGGCAGGTGCCTCAAACCTACTCAGTACCTAGGATCCCCACTAGCTCGCTAGCTACTCGCTGCATTGACATGTTCTGGCCTTATGAGCTTCAAGGACTGGTGCACGTTCCCCCAGACTGCGGATGCCATTGGATCACCGCCCGGCTGCAGATCCAGCCCCTAAAGCAACCGGAAACCCCGGTAAGCGAGCCCGATTCGTGCTCTCCAGGGGCCCCTCCACCTTCAACTCCACCCATGACTTCTACCTGCATCTTAAGTTTTGTTTAGTTGTGAGCTTTGCTTCTGCTGCACCACGATCCCAAAGATATCTGTCCTACCTCTATTGTTCTCTGCTGAGTCTCTTGTTACGACTAAGCTCTATGTCTTCTACCTGCTCTCCCGCGCTATCATCTCTTCTCACATTTCCGTCTTCGATGCTGTAGACCTGGACCTGCAGCACCTGTCTTGTTCTTCTCACCATGAAGTATGGCTCTGATATCAACCCCGCTCAATTGTATTCCTCGCTAACGGTCAATCTTTGTCTAGGTTCGGCCAGCAGCTCCGTCAGTCTTTGATCAAGGACTACTACTGGCACTATATTGCTTATGACGACCTCAAAGCTGCCCTCAAGAAACCTTTCGTTAACGGCAAGAACGGCGAACGGGAGGCATGGACCGACGACGACGAAGCCAACTTCATCCAGCTGCTGGAGGCAGAGCTTGACAAGGTTTTCACGTTTCAAAAGCTCAAGAGCCAGGAGATTATATCGAGGATCAAAGCTGCCGAGTCCGAGGTCAAGCAGGTAGTGGAACGGCAGGAACGCCAGAACCAGAACAATTCAGAGCCCGACGCGGAGCTTGAGAACGATTTCGATCTGCTGGAAGCCGACCTTTCCGACATTATCGCCGACGTCCATGATCTGGCCAAGTTCACCCAATTGAACTACACAGGGTTTCAAAAGATCATCAAGAAACACGACAAGCAGACCGAGTTGATCCTTCGCCCGTCTTTCGCAACCCGTCTCAAAGCAAAGCCCTTTTTCCAAGATAACTACGATGCCTTTATCGTGAAACTCTCCAAGCTCTACGATCTGGTCCGGACGCGGGGAAACCCTGTCAAAGGAGACAGTAGCGCCGGTGGTTCTCAGCAGAACTTTGTCCGCCAAACCACGAAATACTGGGTTCACCCGGACAATATCACCGAGCTCAAGCTCATCATCCTCAAGCATTTACCCGTCTTGGTCTTTAATCCTAACAAGGAGTTTGAAGAAAAGGATTCAGCCATCTCGTCTATCTACTACGACAACCCGGAGACATGGGAGTTGTACATGGGCCGTCTCAAGAAGACCGAGGGCGCCGAGGCTATCCGCCTTCGATGGTACGGCGGCATGGAAAACGAAACCATCTTCGTTGAGAGGAAGACACATCGAGAAGACTGGACGGGCGAGAAATCGGTCAAAGCTCGGTTCACTCTGAAAGAGAAGAACGTCAATGCCTTTTTGGACGGAACATTGACCGTAGAAGAGGTCTTCGCAAAGATGCGGAAAGAGGGAAAGAAGAGCGTCAAGGAGATTGACGACCTCGAACAACTGGCTCGCGAAATCCAATACCGTGTCATCAGCCGAAAACTCGTCCCAGTGACCAGGTCTTTTTACCACCGCACAGCTTTCCAGCTTCCAGGTGACGCACGGGTGAGAATATCGTTGGATACTGAATTGACCATGACCCGCGAAGACAACCTGGATGGTAGACAACGTGCTGGTAAGAACTGGCGACGGATGGACATTGGGATCGATTGGCCCTTTCCTCAGCTTCCGCCGGAGGATGTTGAACGATTCCCTTACGCTGTCCTTGAAGTCAAGTTGCAAACCCAAGCAGGCCAAGAACCACCTCAGTGGATTCGAGACCTGACAGCAAGCCATCTTGTCGAAGCTGTACCCAAGTTCTCCAAATTCATCCATGGCACCGCTACCCTGTTCCCTACCCGCATTAATCTACTGCCCTTCTGGTTTCCCCAGATGGACGTCGACATCCGAAAGCCAATCACTCACCGCTTCGGCATTGAACGCCCTGCCAATACCGCAAGCTACTCAACCAGTGATATTGACGAGGACGAGTACGACTCAGATGATCCAGCAGTTGAGGCCCAAACCACGGGAAAGACGACACCGATGTTTGGTGGCTCTCAGGACACCGAAGATGAAGGGACCAGGCGCTTGAAGGCTGCACGGCAAGCACTTGACGAGCATTCCCGTGCCCAGGATCGAGACTCCATCGAAGCTAGCTACGCAGCTCCCGGTAACTCACTCGACGAAGAAGAAAGAGTTGCTGCTGCCCTGCGTGTATCGGACGAGTACCTGTACGATTCCGAAGAAGACGACGCCGAAGACGAGCTCGAACAAGCGCGACAATCCCACTCGTGGAAATACTACCCTCTGTTTCTGAAAAAACAGGCTCATTTAGTCGGCGACCGTCTTCTCAATGTCATCCACAAAATCCCCACGAGCACTCCCTTGCCGCAGAATGGTGCCGTCGCCGGTGGTAGAAACCAGCTCACCGGCCAAGTGCAAGTTAAGCGCTTCAAGGCCCCGAAAGGCAAACGTATACATGTCCCTGTTCGTGTGGAACCCAAGGTCTACTTTGCCGCCGAACGCACCTTTCTCTCGTGGCTGGAGTTTAGCATTATCATCGGCTCCATTGCCGCGGCGCTCTTGAACTTTGGAGATAATGTAAGTCTGATTTCGGCTTGGGGGTTCACGATTGTCGCCTCTGCAGCGTTGATATACAGCGTTGTCATTTACTATCTGCGGGTGCAGATGATTCGCAAAAGGAGAGCTAGTGTCTCAAGGTACTATGATAAGTACGGGACCACGGCGTTATGTGTGGGATTGTTAGCCGCCACAGCGGTCACGTTTATCTTTAGGATCAAGGAGAATGGATGGTTTCAGCAACCGAGCGATAGCTGAGGAAGCCACTGTGAGGGACTGTCGGACGAGGCGCAACACGGATCATTTGAAGTTTGAGCGACAATATCAATCCCAGCAGGGGAACCAAAAAAAGCTATACAGAGGGAGAAAATGACAAAACGAAAACCGATGAGATCCGGAGCGGATTAAGAGCAGGATAATGATGGTCTTGTACATGAGTTGAGGAGTGCCGTAATGCCTATGGCCACAACCGACGGCAACCATGGCATGGCAGGGGAAAAGGAACCAGTACTTACTTCGTCTGTACAGTATCGTGGGACCATTGTATATACTAGTCGGTCCGGGACATACGGTACAGGCTCCCCGAAGCCGTGCAGTGCAGTGCAGTATACCCAACTTGGGGTGTCTGGGTGTGTATACCTTGTACAGTCTATGGTACCACCCAACAAAGTACATACATATGTAACCTCGTTGCAGGTCACTTGACAGTCAGTACATACAGCTTCTTCGGCGTGAATAACCAACAGATCTAAAAGGGAGAGGAAAGCCCTCTGCAGAGAGAGTCGGTCGAAAGGCAAACCAACTCAACTCTCCAGCTTGCGAGACGGCGAGACGGGAACGTGCAGAATACTCCTCAATCATCTGTGGTAGGTAGGTAGGTAGGTGTAGCACTTTCTAAAGCATTGTTGCTTTTCGTCTCATACGTAAGTACACAATACTACCGAGCCGCTGTAGATACCTAGGTACCTGTGTTACATATTACGTCCTAGGTAGTTGGACAAAAGACCCAAAAAAGGGACGTGGGACCTGTATGTCTGTGTGCCCATGTGTCTGCCAACGCCCCGTCATGATTTCCCACATGATAGGTCCTCGCATCATTTCACTGAGTAGCTTCGTACACAAAAAGAAGCGTAGGGCTGGAACAAGAATCGCACTTTTACTTCTCAGTCAGTCGTCCTCGATGTCGTCGTCGGAGATGTACAGCTTCTCCACGCCCATAGCAGCCAATGCGGGCACGTCGTTCTTCGAACCCCTAAAAACCTGCGTCGAGCTGAGTTCTCCTTTTGCATTCCCGGGAGCCAGAGTGGAAGGTGGCGCTCTTCCGACCCTGTCACCAACTGTGGTGGTGGTACTTGTAGCCAGATCGTCTTCTTCAAAGTCATCCTCCTCGGTGGAAAGGTAGCTGGTAGGCTTGAACTTGGTAATCTTCTCCAGGATGGTGGTATCCTGCCTCCTTGCGGCGAGGATGCGAGTCGTATACGGCAGAAGCTCAGTCGTCAACGTGTCCTTGGAATAGACGATCAGTGGCGGTGGGTTAGGCTCGGTCTTTTCTGAGTCCTCGACAATGACATTGGGGCCTGCGGTGTCTGTCACCTCTTGTTTGACTTGTATCGATGAGCTACTGGGAGCGTGGTCCAGCGCGAGCTCTTTCGTTTGCCAATTCGCAACGCCCCTATCGTCACCAGTGAACAGTTGCCCCATCCCGTTCGTAAGCAGAGAAGGGTCGTGAGATCTGCCAATCCGGATGTCACCACCATAGACAAACGTCCCCAGGAGAGCCTCTGTCTCCTCGATGGGTTTCCACAGCCTCAGGCTCGCAGGGTAGAACATTTTAAATGAATCTCCTCTTTTAGCGCCTGGTACCGTGACCGCCGCTCGATTAACCGGATATGGTAATCTGAACAACAGGCCTCGCGTGGCAACTTGAAAGCTGATTTCGTCCTGCCGGAGCATATCTGAAGTTCCTGCCTGGACATTTGACTGCGCTGTCCCGAAATTTGGACTGGAGTTGTTATGGCGCCGTCGAAGTTGGCGGATCTCGGGATTCAGAATGTCGCTCGTGGAGAGGATGTCAGAACAACCATCGAAACACTCCTCAAACATATCACCATTGCATGACAGGATGTAATTTTCGTGGAGTGTTGATATAAATGTCTGAATGTCTGTGCCTGTTTCGTTCAGCAAGGCTTCGATATCCACTTGGGATGCCTTTGTAGTGTAAAGATGCATGAGATGATCCGGTGGCTTCGGGGGTGGTTGGGCTCTAGTGTCCGATACGCGGGGATCTTCGCGTTTGTTGTAGACGATTTTACCTGCAGCGTGGAACATGTCGAGAGTTGTTTCGCGCTGGCAAACCAGTTGCAAAGAGTTTTTTTCCACCTCAGTCATTGGCAGATTCTCCTTGTTCTTCAATGACCGTTTCGCCTTCGCTGCAACCGTGCCGGACCATTCGGACCCATCGCCTCCTCTCACACATAAGAACTCGAGGGAGTTCACAGCACTACGGACATCGCCCATCTCAGCCAGTCTCGCGAGGATGGCCGGACCCGGGACCCGGCGTCGACGTGATTCTCTCGCCTCCTTCTTCATCACCAGATCGAGCGCTTTTGTAACGAATGTAGGCGCAACAGGGTTGAAATCCATAGTGGTGACATAGGGATGATTTAAGATCTCCGCGCCCAGCAGTCGGTGAGCTGTAAAGCTGTCCGTCAATGCTGTGGAAGACGACAATAAAGTCTCGGAGACGATGATGACCACAGGGGGGGAAACGTCTTTTGCATCCTGTTGGCCACGAAATGACGTGGAACGAGACCCGTTGGCTTGTGCGAGAAAGCGCAGAATGACGGATCTGAACGATTGGAGAGCACTCGAGGATCTCGTCATCGTTGCTGGAAATTCTTCAATGACAAGCAGTCGACTGTTTGAGTCTCCTTTGGTTGTATACTCGTCTGAAGAACCCTGGTCGAAAGCCAGGCTACTGAACTGACCGCCCCGATTCAAGAAGTCGTCGAATTGAGCGGACATCGAGTTTCCCGCACCCACTTCCAATACAGCAGGATTGTGCCATGCGACGAGCTGTAAGCCCAGAGATTGTCCAAGCAGACCGAGGGTCGTAGTCTTCCCACTGCCCGCGGGGCCTTTTAGCACTAACAGCTTCTGATTGTTGCGCCCGTCCAACTTGGCCTGCAGCCAATTTTGAACATCTGCCACCTTCTTCTTGTGGACCACAAGCTCTTCGAGATTGGTGGGACCATAGCGGTCAGCCCACGGCCGGTGATCGTGGTCGTCAAGTTGAGATGGGTTCCCAAAAGTGCTGACATTTCGATCTGTTGCCCCTGGCTTGACGAATCTCTGGGACGAGGAAAACGGCCCACCGCTGTCATTACGCTTGGATGTCACTGCGGTAGCCTGCGTCGCTGGTAACGGTCTGATTGTATTGCTGTTTGAACCGCGTTTACGGAGCCCCAGCTCCTCCAAGGTTTCATCCGACAGATCGTCGTCTTCGATGGCATCGCTCAACTCGCCATTATTTTCCACCTCCACATCTGGCGTCTCGGACTTTCTCTTCCATCTCTGCTCTTCTGTCGCCTTGTGGAAGAAGCTGTGGAGCGACTTGTTCGTGTCCACCTCGTTCTTGACTTTGCTATTATTCTTTCTCGCTTTCTCGGGGGAGGATGTCGGTGAGGGTTTCGCGGCGGCCTTTCTGGATGCAGACCTGGTCGTTGCAGACTTCACCGGAGACACTGTCGCAGACGTCCTGCCATCGAATGTGATTTCCCGCTGCAAGCTCGCCCTGCCAGGTTTGGGAGACGGAACGTCCAAGTCTTCATCGCCGCCATCTGAAAGGACGATGGTAGATCTGCGCTGCCGTTTGGCAGGTCGAGGAGCCATTGGCAAGCATCCTGAAGCTGCGGGGGTCACGCAATGACATTCGCCGGCGGATCAATCGAAAGTCGTACGAGAATGCCACAAACGTGGTTCCAACTTCAATTGGGGTTGAGATTTCGAAATACACCGCAAGATGGCTTAAGGCGGCACCATTTCACGTGATACGATTGTATACACCTCGACTTCTATTTTAGGACTCACTGCACCAACGCAGACCACCACAGGAAAAACAATTTTCCTTTCAAGTCACGACCACACAGTCAAGGAGCCGGGGGTCTATGGTAGAGGAACTTTTTTTCGCGATTTGGCTGAGCGGTTGAAGTGCTCGAGCCTCGAGCGGATATGATATACACTGTACATCCACTGTAACTCCCGCCGCAAGGACATTGACGCCGCAAGATCATCTCTTCATGCTGCAAATCAGATAACCTCACCCGCGATTGAACAGCCCATCCCACAAATTGTCCCAGAAACCCAGATCATACAGGTTCTCGACCTCTGCAATCGAAGAAACAAGTTCCCACCGCTCGTCCGGCACCTCTTCCTCACCCTGTTTCCCTTCTGCCGCTTCAGGCCTCCCAAGATTGGCACCATTTGCAGTCTTTCTTGGGGTTTTCCTCGTCGGTGGTTTGCCATCTCTCGTCCTCACGAGCCACCACTTCGCTCGCACGCCTTCTGGCCATTTCACATCCTTATCAAGTGGTTCGACGTCCTCGGGTAAAGGTGGATACGTCTCCCTGAGCCTGGTCATCTCCGCCCGGAAGACTACCTTGTCCGCGATGTCTTCTTTCCAATCACTCCATTTGGAGCTCTCGTTCGTGGTCATTCCCGCCCAGATGAGATAGATGTGGTAGGCCAGAAACCCCAGCGCCAGAGGGATACACATCATAGCTAACATCATGACGGCCCCGATTTGCCATTCCATAGCAATAGCCCAGGCCCAGGCGTGGGCATACTCGTTCCAGGTCATCCGGGTGCTCCACCGCTTGGCCGTGAAACTGGCCTTCGTTAGCGCCGGCGGCACCAGTTGGTCCTGAAGTCTTCGGTCAAGCAAAGCGTAACCAAGATGTGAACCATAGAATAGTAGTACAGCTATGCTAACCAGAAGAAGATTGAACCACAGGTAGTTGTTCCTTCCCACGCAGTTGTTGATCCAGATGCAGTGGTGGTCCTGTTTCTGAATGCAAGCCTTACACAGAGAGCAGTGCTTGGACCTTGCTGGTTTTGCAAATCGGCAGGTGGAGCAGAAGTAGCCCGGGTGGAAGAGAGCGAAGTCATAGGGATAAGCCAGCATTGCCGCCCGGTGGTTCTCAGAAGTGATATTCGAGGATGTAGTAGCGGAAAGGTATAGAAATGCCAAAGGAGCAACAATCAGAGGTGGCAGCACTGCTATTTGCTTGGTCGAAAGACGGCTCCATGCTGCGGGAATGAAGAGAACTTCACCGATAAGTTGCAAGAGGACAAAGAAGATCTAGATACGTTGGTGAGCAAGTGTACGGTTTCTCGCCTGCTCAATCCCTGATCCTTGAACATACAAGAACAATTGGATGTTTCTCATTCATGAGATAATTGCCCGCCTTCGCGAGACTACGCGTTAGACGGCGACCGGTAAGCCGTTCATCGATGCTGATGACCGCATTTGGGATATGCCTCCATAATAGTCGATGGAGAAAAGCAACAGGTGTCCTCCTACAGAGAACATGTAAGAAGCTGAGGCTGAAGGATCTTCAGGGGAGGGGAAAATCCCGCTTACCTGAAGACGGGTAGTCGGCCAAAGAGAGCAACGAAGACAACGAAGGAGATGCTGAGCACTACAATGCCTATAGTCCGTATAACGCCCATCCTTGCATATCGAAAGTCATATCAGGAATATAATCTGGCTGACAATGGACACGGCTGCCTATTGACTAGGGCGGCGTTGGTGATGGAGCGCGTTGAGTCAGCCTTGGCGTTTCCAGGTTCGGCCACGCCGCTTTTAGATTCCTTCGTCTCCATGATATTGAGACCACGTTCGTTGGTTTGCTTCTATCATCCCGTACGTATATTATCTGTCTTGCTTCATTCATATCGGCCTCTGAACATGACAACCTTCATAAACACACATATAGATGACCACATCACAGAAAAATGTCCTGACTCTCTTTTAATGACCATGACGGTATCTCAGGGTTGAGCTCGACACCAAAACTCTCTTTTCACTGGTGTCCATTGACGACCACTCCCTTCTCCATTCGGCTGGCCGATCCATGGCCATTATTCATGGCGATGTTGTTGCCTTTGAGACTGGAGAGAGCAGCCCGGTGACGGAACAAGTTGATCGTGTATAGGACGAAGGTGACGCCAAACAGGATGCTGCATTCTGTTAGGCGGGGAAACTGACGAACAAAGGCCCTAGTACTCACAAGTTGATGACTGAAAGCGCAAGGGCGACATACATGGTCGCAGAGAGGGGATCAGTCGATCGTTTGACAAGCCCACGTTTGTCATGGAGGTCCCTCTTATAGCTGACACAGACGCCGGCGTAGCAGACCGAACCGCTACCTTCACTCCCATCGCCGGAATAGTCGACTCCATCGTAGCTTGATGTGTAGCTTGTAGCCTGGACAAGTAGGGCGACCTTGTCGGCAGTGAGGGCAAAGGTACAGAGCCAAAAGATGAGGACAAAGAGCTCGACGGCAAAAATAGCCCAGTAGTTGTAAAGATGGGTGTTGCCTGGGCTGTTGGCCACGAACCAGTAGATCAAAAAGATAATGCTGGCGAGACCCGTGAACAGGCTAATGCCGCCAGCCTTGCAAATGTCAGGTAAAAACTTGTAGAGTCAAGCTGGGGATCTCACATCATAGTTCGGGGCCAGAGAAAGGTGATAGCAGGCAATCCCAAACACGATAACGGTCAAGACCATCTGGACAATCCTGAAAGGAAAGAAGATGCGCTGCACAGGCACAACAGAGTACCCCTCTCCGGAAGACATGATGGCTTGATAAGTATATAGAAGTCTCGGATAGGTCCAGAGCAGAGGATGGTGACCTGGCTAGAACGGCACGTGAACGATGTGGAAGTAGAATCAACGAGCGACTTGAAATCTCTGCGAACAATGAACGGGATGGGTTGAGTCATCAAGGACATTCAAACAGGAAGCGCTCCTATTTATACGGCAGTAGGAAATACCCTGGTTCTTGACAAACATGGTACTTACACAAGAGAAACCTTTCGTATAGCAGAATGGGAAATTGCCACCGCCAAAGGGCTGCAGAAATACGAACATTTCAAGGCACACATCCTGGATGGCAGGCCAGGTTGCCGATATATTTGGAACGTATAGTCTCCTGAGATAGATACGAGGGATGAAGTCTAACAGGGCCAATGGTGACTCTAGATGTCGGAATAGGGGGTTGAGGGGCCCCTCCATGCCCGTTCCGGTTGATGTCTTGGCGTGTGCCAAGGCCCTTGGCAAGGCTTGAGGCGCTCCCGTCCACATCAAGCAACATGGATTCTGGGTGCATCTCTCAGCCTCACAAACACTCGACTGTCCTCGCCAAGCGAAACTCTGCCTTGTCCAATTTCCACAGGGCCAGCCTGTTGGCCAGCTTTGAAATGTGTAGTTTCGGCGGTTACCAATGTGTCAAAGTCCTACACGGTGAGTCCCATGCTGAGTAGCGAGGGATACCCATGTGCCCACTCCCATGTCTACCCCTGATGTCCATGAGTTATTGGGGGAAAGAATCGAATTGTGGAACCAAGAATATACAGAGCGGGAGATCGCGGCCAAGACCGTTATAGGGCTGAGTCTCATGTGGTTTGACTAGCTTCAGTGAAGCTACCGAGAACACATGGATACACACCGTCATGGAAAGAGCTGAAGATGGTCTAGAAACGCCACAGGGAGAGTTGCAACTCTCTTTAGCAGACCTGGCCCCCACGATACGAGGACTCGAGGGGTCATTGACAGCAAGGCTGGATTCTACAACAGCTCTACCTCCTTTTATTCGACCAGTCGCGTCTGAATCGAGAATGACTTCGCAGACAACACGAGAAAACAGGGTTACCATACGAAGGCCGCTCTCAACAGTTCAATAGTTTGTCACAGTCCCAGCCACAGCGTCTGAAAATGCGCATTATGTCTGTTACCTTGCACCCGTGATCAAGCAGCCCCTGACCGACCGTTGGTCGAGACTCTGCTTCTCTTCCCAATTAGTCAATCTCATCCCCTACCGCATGTTTCCTGCCAAGTGCACCTCGTATGCTACCACTGCCTCGTGTGGAAGTTGCCTCGATGCAAATGGCCACTACAGAGCCAGCCAGCAGATGGGGGGTTTTCGTCTCTTCCAGCCAGAATCGCGGCTGATGACCAGACGAAAGGCAATCTCCTCGACCATATAGAGTCGGAGCGACCCTCGTTGACTTTGGTCGAGACAGCCAACCCGGGGCAACACCATCGTCCTTGTCAAGATGTATCCCTTCTTTCTGGTTCTGCCATTTGTCGTTCTTTTCGCGAGCATTGCCGATGCTTATCTCCTTCCACGAGATTCGGCACCGGTCTGCACCAACCTGCGAGCCAATTCAAACAATGGCGATCGCAAGGTCGCCCTGGTGATCGACAGCTCTGGTTCTATGGAACTATCAGATCCTTACCTATATCGACTCAGCGCTGCAAAAATGGTTCTCGACTGGCTTATTTCCAAGGACGAGGTAACCAGCACCCAGAAGCAAGACAAAGTCACCATCATCAACTTTGACGATGAAGCCTATCTAGACTACCCTCTTGGAGACCCCGGTGCAGCTGCGAGCTCGCTTGCAGGGATCGGCGCAGATGGCGGCACCTATATTGCAGGCGGTGTTCAAATGGCCATTAAGCAACTAACCGCTGTCAATACTGGAGACACCTCTGGTCGAAGTGGAATCCTAGTCTTCACGGACGGAGAGGTACGTAGATATTGATATTGACCAGTCCTTGTTTTGGCTTGCTTTCTCAGCGACCCTTTTTTCATCTACTTCCCACGAATATCTTGACCACCACAACCTCTTCAAATGTTATTGCTGTGTTGCTGACTGTTCTCTCAGGACTACAGCACTTCGGATCTCGTGGATCAGATTAACCGTGCTAGCGGCCTCGGTATCAGAGTGGCATTCGGATTTCTGGACTCGTCTTCTAGTCTACAGGACACCGACGTCCTTGCTGCGATCATGAACTCCGGGGGAAGATATTTTACCATACAGAACTACAATGCCTCAAAGGCTTTTATCGACGGCATCATTGTCAATGGTCTTACGAGGAACGACAACCCGGACGGAGACACGACCACTTTACTGGCTGGTCTCGATGCATCACACTTCATTTCAGGCTCCGAGACGCAGATCATGTCGTACAGCGCAAGATCCAAGGAGCAGCTGACGTTCAATGTCCAGAGCGTCGATGCTGGCACCCTAGCGGTTCAAATCGTGTCTGGGGGCAAGATCCTGGCCAAAGGCGAAGCGGACTATTACTCCAGTTACTATTCCAGCGGATTCTCCGTCGTCGCTCCCAGTACCGGCACGATCGACGTCAAGGTCACGGCGGACAGGGCCGACAAGAACTCCATCTTCGTCGTCGGGGTGACGTCGAACCTGCCTCCAGAAAACTGCACAGTCGGCGTTGTTGGCGACGACGAACCGAAGCACAACAACATCCCCCAAATCGTCGAGAGTTCTGTTGGCAGTGTGGTTGGACTGGTCATCTTGAGCGTGATCGCCTATCTGCTCCGCAAATACTGCTACAAGAGACACGGGAGACGCCACCCTCTTCATGACCATCCGTCAGATTGCCCACAAGATCCGAAGCACCCTACACAGACAACATCGCGAGAGATACCGGGGCACAATCCGTCTCGCATACCATGGTTCAGCTTCCCGCCGGCCCTACCACCAACGCATGGCCAACCACCTAACCCGCCGAGGACCACTGATAATCACGACCGCGACTGGGATGAACACTCCTGTTCCAAAGCCCCCAGCGACGACAATTGCGATACGCAGTCACAGTTCTCGACCCCACCGGACAAGCTGAACCACTGTGGCCCACCTTACCACACCGCCAACCCTCCCTGTCAACCCCCTTTTCAGAACGACATCCCTCCGTACCAGAATGCCAACCCGCCGAACCAGCCGTCCTATCCCAATCAGCCGCCGTCCTATCCCAGCCAACCGTCGAACCCAACGTCGAACCCCAATCAACCATCCCACCCTAAGCAGCCATCACAACCCAATCAACCCTCCCACCCCAGCCAGCCACAAAATCCCAATGAGCCGCCCACCGACCCGCAAGACCCCGGCCAGCCTGAGCCTCCGCCTGAGAATGATCCCGAACACCACCCGCACGCACACATGCGCCTCCGGACGTACGGGGACGAGCACCACCACCACATCCCGCCGTCGCACCCGTGCTACCGGAAGAGATGCCCGATCGCGTCCACGACCCACGTGTGCGGCGACGACGGGTCAAGCCATCCCTGCACGTGCGTCGACCCGAAGTGCCCGCTGAACCAGCCGCGCCAGCTCCTCCGGCAGCACCGTTGTCCCGACCCCAGCATGCCGCACACGTGCGCAGGACCGGACCTCGACCCGCGCTGTCCGCTCAACGACCGGGACTACGCCCGGCGGAAGAAGCAGGAGCGCGATGCCCTCGTGCGGAAGTACGTCGCGCAGGACCTGGCCTTGGGCGGCGTGAAAGTCGCTGCCTCGACGGCGGCTCAGACCGCACTGATCTCCCAGTTATAATAGCGCAAGGGCAAGGGGTTTTCCGGGGGGGTGGATGAATGAGTCTGGTGGAGTTGACTGAGGCTATTCGATCCGTGTCGACCTGCTCGTATGATAGTGGCGTCCAGTGGGAGAGTGATAGTAGAGGTAATGTGAGGTATCTCGAGTCCTTCAGGCTCTGGTTACAGACCGGTCGACAAAGCCAATACACTGTAACTGGAGATATCCTGCTTGGGAATTCTTGGTGTTAACAAGGCTCCTTACTCATACTCACAAGCTCTAGGAGGCCGCCAGCGATAGATAGAAAAGGGGGAATGGAATGAACAAAAAGATTAAACAGCTTCAGCCTTGTAATTCCCTTTCCCTGAGGGAGGAGTCAATAACGCTCTAGCTCAAAAGTCCACCAACGCCTAACTAGTGCTGTACATTAGACGCAAAAACAGGCCCGTTGATGTTGGTACAAGTCATCGAATCAACTCATAGTCGTGCCGGAAACCATTCGCCTTTTTCCTCCTTGAGATGGGAGTTCAACAGACCTCCGAAAAGTTAAGACATGGCCTTCCTCTCCTCCTTCTTTTCGTTCACCGTCTTCGCCCACTTCTTGCCGACTTCATAGCTACTGATCATGATTGCGCACGCTGGCGCGACTTTCAAACATCGAGCAGCCCAACCCTTGAACAGCCCTCTGATGCCTTCCTCGGTCCAAATGTGGTAAAGAAAGCGTGGTATCGAGAGCTCTTCTGGTATATGTTTTCCGGCTTTGGCAGCCTCTCGTGCTGCCACCACGGAGGGGGCGTCGTCTCCAGCATGGTGATAAACTTGTTGACGAGTCTTACCGACATCGAATGGTGTGGTAACGAAAGCAGCAACAGCGCCAGAAGCTGCACCTGCAACGAAACTGTCGACAAAGGTTGTTGTGTGGTTTTCGTCAGCCTGAGCTGATCGTCCGCTGGTCATGGAGCGGGTAGGATCGAGATCATGGCCTTTGGCCACTTGGCGAGCATCGGTCAATTTATTGCGGATCGCTTCGTATCCCCACCAGTAGATGCCGGAAAAGGGCACATCCCGCCACATGGTCAGTGTCAACCCACGCCATAGCGATGTGTATCCCTGTGTCTGGGTCATGCGGTGCAGCCCTAGTAAAGTTTCTTTAAACACACCCGTGTCGATTCCAGAGGTCGCTTGCATTCGAGTTCGGAACATTTCGATGGGCGAGACCGAAACAGCAGCTGCTACCCGTGCAATCGAACCAGCAACGAGAGGAGCGTAGGTATCAGAGGAGATCTTTCTTATCGGACTGTTGTGATGGTAACGGAGCCAGTCGTAGCCTGTGAAATAAATGACGTTGGCAGGAATTGCCATGACCAGTGTCGGAGAAAGCCCCCGCCATAACGTCGAATAGCCTTCGTTCCTGGCAATCTTCTTCAGGCCGTCAAGGGTCGAAGTGAAGGTCCTTCGTTGGGTTTCTTCAACGGCACATTCAGCAGCGATTGCTGATGACCCCTGCGCGGAGCCATTTCCTGCGAGGCAGAACTGACCATTATTTCCAACAAAAAACACGTCTCGACAACATGAGTTGACACCCAGGTCGGGCGGGAGGTGTTTGAAGTTCGTCGAGTAGGCGGGAAACCGGGAGAGATTCGAGGGGGAAGGAGGTTGCTGGGATTGTAATCGTACACGCACGACGTCGAGCGGTGTCACTATGGAAGAGTCAGTAAGGTTTGGCGGTATATCATGGTGAGATCATGACACACCCAGCAGCGAGGTCAAGATACTCCCCCAGGTGGCGGAGATCATGCGTTGAGTAGTGGTTATCTCGATATTGCTAGAGCCTGACATGTTGCCAGTATTCTGTTGCGAGAGCAGAACTCTGTCATGCCGTTGTCCCTCAGCTTGTAATGATTGTTGGGCATCGTGATCAAGCGCGTGTTGGGAGAGGGGATGCTCGTCAAGCGACTGCGCAGGCTCCGCAGTGAATGAGTAGGACATTCAGGCCGGAGGAGCCTGGAAGAGTGAAGACTGGTTCAGAGGAGGGTCGTTGTCCTACGAGATCAATTTCAATGCTCGTGCATCTGTTCCAGGAGAAGATATGAGGCTGTAGGGCGTGAGAGGCAATTATGACATGGAGACTTTTTGGCTGGTGCATGGATGAGAAATTGACTTGCGGCCAAAAAGATCAAAAGATCGTCAGAGGAGAAAAGACCGAGCATTGCTCGGCCGTTATCGGCCACCTCCAAACGGGAAAGCAAGCCGACCACTCGGGCTAGTGTCGGCGATAACACGGGGATTAGATAAGCAGTACTAATGTAGGTACGTACCTCGCGTACCTCATGCCCTTTGCCAAACGCCACTCATCCCTTTGGGATACCTGGTTGATTGACTCTCCACCATTTGTACTACTCGAATAGATATTGGCGACATCTATTCGGCCTGTTCCAACCCCGTGTCTCGATATCGAACAACTGGGGAAAACTCAGGGTGATCCATCCCACCTAGCGAGACCCTCTACGACCCCGCTGAGTCAATACGTAAGGGAAGGCATCATGGCTGAGCAGGCCGCGGAACTCGAACAGTTCCGCCAGCAGTGGAAGGAAGAAGTCAGTGCTCGGGCTAGAAAACCAGAAAAGAAGCCTCTGTCATCAGCACAACACAGTCACAGAAGGACCAGCGATGGCCGACCCGAGAGACCAGTCAACAAACCTCCGACTCGCCATCCCGCGGCAGATATCAAACAGGACGACTCTGACCACTATAGCGATGCCGATCAGGCTGGCGGTAGCAGCTCAGCCACGATCCACCAGCGCATGGAGACACTGAAAATCCATAATGTGGACGATGATGATTTTACTACGAATGCCTCTTCCAAGAAAGAACCCATCAGTGCGTTGGAACATTTCGAGCGCGCTGTCGAAAAGGAGAGTCAGGGGAACTTGGGCGATAGTCTCTCCCACTATCGCAAAGCGTACAAGCTCGATGCAAAGGTCGATCAGTCATACAAGAACAAACACTTCCCTCAGACAGTAAAGTCAAAAGTGTCCAACCCCAATCCCTCCAACGCCCCTGTCACAGTTCCCTCAACCGCCCACCACTCCCTCAAAGAACCCGACCCGTCTAATATAACTTTTTCTCAATTGATCGACTCCTTTGCACACGCTCAGATCGAAGGTGCACCGCCCGTTATTGAGGGAGATCGTCCTCCCCCTTGCGTTATCAAGAGGCTTCCGGCGGAGGTATTGCTGGAGTTGCTCCAACACATAGCAGTTCGCGATCCGGCCATTTATGTTCGACTGTCTCTGGTCTGCAAGAAGCTGGCATATCATGTCCTAAGCGACAATGCTATTTGGAGACGTGTGGCTATGGGCGCCGAATTCGGCCTTGCCGGGCAGCGTTACGACTTCAACACCGATTTACACGGTCGTGAAATCACCTTCCGTGCTCTGGATGAAGAGCTGGCAGATGAAGACTTGCCGGGCCCTGTACGAGTGACGGACCTCCCATTCCCTAAGTACACTGTCTGGCGCGAAGTTTTCCACAACTATCCCCGCATTCGCTTTACGGGTGTATACATCTCTACCGTCAACTACACTAGGCCGGGTGCTGCTTCTGTTACGGCGAGCACGTGGACCAACCCGGTGCACATCGTGACATATTACAGGTATCTGCGTTTCTTCCGTAACGGGACCTGCATATCCCTTCTCACAACCAACGAGCCCATCGAAGTGGTCCACCACCTCACACCGGAGAACCTGACCTTTGTCCGTTCGGGGAAAAAGGAGGCCGCACATCCCCTGAACTTCACCTCCTCTGCACCCGCCCTGCTGAAAGAATCCGGCTCCTCCAGCATCGCAACGGGTGGCGGTGGGACCAGCACTGCAGCAGCAGCACCACCTCCATCGGCGCGAGACGTCATGAAACACGCTCTCCGCGGCCGCTGGCGCCTGTGCCACCCAAGTCTTGATATTTCAGAATCCAACAACAACAATAACAACATCACCACCACCACCACCACCACCAACCCGAACCACAGTCACGACCACGCAACAGTCCCATCGTCCAACCCCACGCCAACCATGTCCCCAGGCGACCTGCATATCGAGACCGAAGGCGCCGGCCCCCGGTACATGTACACGATGCACCTCTCTCTAAAATCCGCGGGATCCGCCCGCTCGCGGCACACCACCAAGAACAACAAGCTGGTGTGGAAGGGCTTCTGGAGCTACAACGTGCTCACCAACGACTGGGCCGAGTTCCACCTGAGGAACGACAAGCCGTTTTACTTCTCCCGTGTTAAGGGCTATGGATTGGGTTATTGATTCTTTGTTAGAAGTGTGGCCCTTGCTTTCTTAGAGAGGCTCTCATTACTCGGCATATACCGAGTAGTGCCTACGTACTCCGTAGGTAGTGTGGAGACCTGAACGCCACGCAGATATAGGACATGACGCGCTGGACATACTCACACACATTGGGTACACAATGCGAGAAGGAAGGGGAGATATAGACCATTTAGATCAATCCATACACGTCGATTGGTTCGCTGATAGTCAGTATATTTACACTCTGGACACCTCTCTACCTATCCATCTATCCATCCACGCCATCCTATGTATCTATCTACATATTCTACATGGAAGAATACACCCCACCCACCTCATCGCACGATGGGGGTCAATCGCCGTGTCCATATCCATACACAACACTTTACAAGACACGTGTCATGTATCCCAGTATCTCGATATCTCGGGCTCTCTCTCAGTTTCTTGATATTTGGACAAGTCTACAACAAAAAATCAACAAACATGCTCCCTATAAATCAAAAGGCAGAGACGCCCCTCGACGAGAAAATTAAAGGGAAGTCAGCTTCTAGCAGGCAATCGGGATCCAAAATATTCTCGGGCATGGCTATGTAGCATTCTGCGCTATGGTATCGGTATCGGGCAAAGATAATTTTGCCTGGTTCGGTAAGGAAAAGACTTGGAGAAAGTACACGCTTGGAACGCTGTCAAAACACACAAGAAAAAAATTTGATAGCACTAATTGTGCTCGCCTCTCTCGATATCCCAAAGAAACGATCGTGGGAGCAGCTTCTTCAGGCCTGCTGTAGGAGGCTGCTGTGTCTCAAGAAATCCTCGACCCCAATGAACTCTGTCGGCCACTTCCAACTGGTACCGGTAATAACGACATCCGTTTCGCTTTCCCACTCATGGCCATAACGCTGCTGGGTCTGGTAATCGTGCGCTTCGACAGAGGACTCGAACTCGGTTCGGTGGTTTGGTCCTCGTCGTTCTCACTGGCTCTGTCATTCTCCTCCGAACCGTCTTCGTTCTTCCTAGGACTGCCTTCCAGCCTGTTATCAAGTCGAGGATTGTGAGATGTTGATCGCAATGGGACATGTGAGGAGCCGTAGCTCCTACTAAGAGATGAAGGTGGACGCTGGTGCGCCCCTCCGCTCATTTGAGCCTTGTTTGGATTGGTGACCACGAGTGAAGACGGTGATCGGATGGTTCCGGGCGCTGGGGCACTCGAATTCCTGGTCTTGTGATACGGTACGGGGTCTAACAAACTGCTGGTTCTCGTTGGCAAAGGGTCCGCGACACGCTCAGCGAAAGACCTGAATTGTTGGCTATCTCTCTTCGCAAGAGGGTGCAGTGTGGACGGTGATGCGGATGCTTCGCGACTGAGAGGGCTCCGCAGTGGCAGAGCAGTATTGGAAGAGATCGATCGTGGAGTATACCTTCTCGAGGTTAACGGTGTTGTGGTGGATGAAGATCGATACGACGGCGCTATCGTGCTATCGTACGACTTCACAACAGCTGACCATCGGGGTTTGTTAGAAAGAGGTGTTGGTTCTGGTCGCGGCGCAGGTACCACCGGAGGAGTATAGACGCCTTGACGGTATACAGATGGAGGACCCGGCATAGGTGAGGTTCCACGTCGAAGTGCACTGCTGCTCGAATGGGACATTGGTGTGGTGGGTCGCCGCGTCTGGGGCAGCATCGACATTCGTTTGTTGCTTGAAACAGGAGGAGGCGGCCTGCTGGTCGATGGAGTGCGTTGTTTCGTGTACCCATTCAGACCGTATTTCGACGTAGGCTTTTCGTGTCTTTGCGGGGGAAGATCAACCGACGAGGGAGGAGAACTACCTGGAGTGCCTGCAAAAGTGGTGCTGGTGAACGAGCGATCTGCCGAGACGATGCTCGAGATTGATTCTCGCAGTTTCGAGTTCTGCCGTGAGGTGACGGGCTCCAGGAGGCTGTCAAGGTCATCCATCGTGTCTGTAAGATCCCGCATTCTAGATGATAAATCCTTGTGCAAGCGGAGGATCTCCCCGTTTACCGTCAAGCGGTCCTTGAGGCCTTTTTGGATAATTCCAAGCACCCGTTGGATAGCCGGGCTGTAGTGGAGCTTCTTCGCCTCGAAACTCTCGATCCTCTTGGCCAGAGCGGACGGGTTCGTTGCTTGGAAATTTTCGTGTATGGCTTCCTGGACCTTCAGGATACTTCGCTCGACTGAATCGCACATTTTCTGAGCCTGTCGGCCAGCGTTGCGGAAAACAATCACCCAACGATCTTCACTAAGCTCTCTTCGAAGGGTATCTGCCTCCTTTGACAACTCGGTCCAATTTCTCTCTAATCGTGCGCGTTTATCATCAAGCTCTCTGCAAGCAATGGGGAAGATATTTTCCGCTCGAGACTGGAACATGGACATCCGCATAGGCAAGAAATCCAACGAAGCCCTGAGGGGCTGCATCCTTGCAAAAAGGGCTAGCAAGTTGGAGTCGTCCTGCGGGTTTTCGATGATGGGAGATCCAAGGGGGGACGACTCAAATGAAGGGATGCTGAACCGCGAGTTTGGGGTCGTCCGTTTCTGGGCCGGCTCATCGATGAAGCTCTCGAGTTCGTTCAAATCGATATTCTGGCTTGAATCGACGTGAGTCTGTGTTTGATAGGCGGTGTGTCTCTTCTCCTCCATCTCGAAGACCATAGCGCTCAGTGCGTCCATCTCTGCGCCCACATCTCCAAGGACTTTCGCCCACAACTCTTCCCATTCCATGGCCAGCTCCACCTGTTCATGCACCTTTTTCAGGTCTTTCCGAACGTCATCCCAGCCGCCCAGAACCGATTCCATCTGTTCGACCACAGCCTGGAGATCTTCAGGATTTGCGTCGCCGATATCAGGACGCGATTGCAGTTCTTCTATTGATAGAACATACATGTTGATCAACGACTCGAACTTGGTTATGGTTTTGTCTGTGTCGTCCAGGCCTAGCCTTCCGGCGGCCGCAGCCCATTCTACATCGTCTTCCGCATCGAGATTTTCCAAAACCTTCAAGGCTTTCTTGATCCATGATTGTATTTGCTCTGCCGCAGTCGATATAGCTCTTACGGCCTTGCGGGCGGTCGGGAGGGAGCTGACGGTGGCAGCGAGGGACTCGGCTTGCGGGATGTTAATTGAGGTCAGGCTCGCGATTTGGCTGCTGAAGGAAGCCCTCGAAAAGGAGAAGACGGAGTTGCTTCTGGAGAGACTGTCTGGAATCACGAAGGAGCCAGCATCACTGCTGGGTTCGGAGGACGCGGAATTGGCCTGGTGTTGGGAAGAGACATCGTTCGACGAAGAGGGAACAAGGAGTTGATGTAGGTCGACATCGCTTGGGGTTTCCACCATGGACGGGCGGCGGAAAGCAGAGGTCATAACAGCCAGCGAGCGCTGACTGTCCAGCCCGATCAGTTGCTCCAGGTTTGCGGCCAGGGGACCCAGGGAGAGGGTGTAGCTGCAGTTGCAGTGTAGGTCATGCGTAAGGATCACGGTCGACGAACAACCTGCAGCTTAGCGTGTTCAGGAATTGGTTGACCAGATGCTGTTAGCATAGAGAACTGTATGCACAAATGTTGTGAAACGTGGTTCGAGCGCCAGTTAGTTTAGTACGCCAGCGATGTTGGCAGGTTGAGTTCTTAAAGTAAAGGGCGACGGTGAGCCGATGGGACGAGGTTGGGCTGTTAGGAAGTTTGTTGGCAGTGCACGCCCCGGGATTTGTTTGGGTAAGATTAAACCAACGAGTGAAGGCGACGAACCAGGCTTAGGGAACGCAGACCTTCCCAGGGCGCGCTTGCGGAGCTTAAAAAATGGGCTGACAGGCGTGACGGACCATTAGGATTGAGCTGCTTGTACCTGAACAATGCACTCTGACATCAGGCAGTCGTTGAACAGCCTACGGAGAACACGCACAATAATAATAGATATGGGGCATCCCTATCGCGTGGATATAAACAATAGTCCGGACAAAAGCGCAGCAGCAACGTGTATGCGAGATATCGATGTTGTTCATATGTTTGGAATGGGGAATAGTGCCCTTTTAAATACCCTCCCAGGTCCCAATGTAGCCTGAAAAACGAGGGGCCACCTAGTATCTATCGATGTTTGCACGACAGTCGGATTCTAGACTGACCTGCATCAAGTTTCAGTCAAACCATGACAATCATTTGCCCCCAATAGCACCTGCAACACCATACCAAGACATGCCGCAAGAGACGCCCGGAATGTCATTATTTGTAATGCACAGAACTCTTGTGCAAACCCCGGGTATTGTCCTCCTGCGCCCCAGTGCATAATACATATTACCCGCTCAGATCACTTCTTCTCGCTCCCAGCCTTTCGACTTGATGTGCTCAATGCCTCTGCCAGGGTGCGGTTTGGAAGGATCTTTGTACTCGGAGGCAAACGGGTTGGGATCTTCGGCCTGGTTGAGGTTGCCCAAAGTGTGATGGATCTCTCGGTGCTTTGCCTCGTCAGCCCGGACGTAGTAGAGGAGATCTTTCATCGTCCTTTTCCCTTCCGGCATGTTCCAGTACTTGACGGCAATTTCCGGAGCCTCGAGCTTCTCCCAGCCTGGCAGTTTGCCACTCTCAAGATCTTCAATGGCATAGGTGTATGTCTTGGTCGCCTCCTCTTCTAGATAACCCACAAAGCGGTGGCATGTCTTTGGAGACAAAAGGTATGCGACGAAGAAGGCGTTGCAGAAGACACCCTGGGCACCGAGAATCATCAATTTCATAAACATTCCAGGTTCGGCCATTTTCAGGAATGTCAGGAGGTGCATCCGCTCGTTGTATGCGTCTTCAAGCATGGTCTCAATCCTAAAGAGATTTCTGTCAGCCATGGTCACGGCCAGAATCAGATGCAGTCATCCTCACCATCCATTGTCTCTTTTCATGGCCCGTAGACTTCGTAGATGGCGGAGCATCCCTGCCACCATTCCTGGTACACCAGCCACAGTCTCAAGGAAAATAAAACGGACGAGCCATTTCCTCTCGCTCATCACGTAGGGTTTGTTGGGATCGTGGCGGTAACCAGTGACAAGATCGGTGCCCCATCGTAGGAAGCGTACCGTGTTATATGCAAACCAGTCTGAGGCACCTCGCACATCTCTGTGAGCAATCTCGATCTTTTTAAGTTGTTCTTCTGTTGCAACTGGATGAGGCCATGGTGGAGGACTGCAAATAGTCAGTACAAGGGGTCGCGATACAGGGCCGCCGGAGCGTACGTCAGTTTGATGTGAGGGAGGTTCTTGGATGGGGGGAAGAATTCGAGCTGTGCTTTGTGTGAGATGGAGAAGTTCCGTTTTGACTGCGCATCGAATGGTCTGATGGCTGCACAGCTGGTCCTCAGACCCGCAGCGGTGGCAGTCGATGAGAATAAGCCTTTCCTGGCTGCATTTGACAAGTTTGCCGTAAGGGTAGGCGTAAAGAGGGCTTTCGACGAGGTCATAGTGGAGGGGGGATCTGTGTTAATCAAAGGAAGGAATGGAAAGGTTTGTTCTGGTTCGAGTCTCTTGGAGTCATGAAAGAGTTGGTCAGTTCATTGAGAAGTGGTAAAGCCCCCGCAGACAATGCCAATACGTGGTTTATGTTTTATAGTTTTGTATCAGCATCCGAACTGGTCCATCCCATGTGAGGAGCGAGGAGAAGGTATGTCAAAGGTTAGGCGTCATGCGCCACATGCGCCAATTTCGGAGCACGCTTTAGGCATCCAAGGGCATTTGGGCATTCTAAGATGCAGTGTAGCACATGTGCGCTGCTGAGCAGATTACCAAAAGAACTGGAACAAGTGGAGGAGCAGCACGGTTCGAACTCGTATCCGGGATGTGGTGGAGAGGAATGAAACTTCGATAGCTGTGGGATCTTTCATGTTTGTGGTTAGAATGCGCGACCCGCCTGCGCCCAGGCTCCTCCACCTGCACCTTCCCAAAGCTGCTGACTCACGCAATGCTTTTAACCACTATGAACATGGCGGGTGCCCTTGCATCAATATCCCATTTCACTTTCCCTTCCCTGGCAAGAGATACTTTCCAAGTCTAGAAGCGCCCGTGAACCTCATACAGTTCCTTGCATGTAAAATAGCGTTCCCCAGCTCAATGTGAGGTCGCTGACTACTCAGTTTAATTGAGGCTTGGCCACAAAATCACCATTTTGCCATCATGGTCCTGAATCCCGAGAAATCTAGCATTTTCGGTGACTACATGGAGATCGACAGGTACAGCTGACTTGCAAAAGAACGGCAAAGATCGGGACCCTGGAAGGCTGAGCCCATCAGGCTGGGAAAAATGACCTCGAAGTCTCCATGAGCCACACAACAGTACAACGTCGGGAGAAACCGGCAACTCTCTACGTTGTGTATCGAGGCTGAATATTTCTCGGATGGATTCGCTCCATTACTCATGCTCCCCAAGTAGGTATATATGACCGATTTGGTGGTTCAGCATGAATCCCTTATTTGCTCAGATTTCTATTCTCACATCCTTGGCCGGGGACCTCGCTTGGGAAATCCGGATATGCGGTGTGATGGGGGAGCCAGTGTCGCAAGTACGAAAGAGGCCATCCTCAAAAATCTCCAATGATGATATCAGTCCCGTTCCTCCAAACTTCCGATTGTATTTGTACCCTCTCGTGTTGTAGATGTGTGTTCAATAAAGCCCGTTGGAGTTTTCTTTTGTCGATTTTTCATACCGAGACTTCGAATGAATTCTCTCCCTCTTTGACACCAATATCTTTGATTTCGAGTTTGACAACGTGAGCAGTTCTAGGGCCAGTGTCCAGATCCGCCTTCAGTTTCTTTAGTGCTTCCTCATCACCCTGCGCTTCTCCGGCTACCTAGAGGTGGAGAGGTATGTCAGCGGGTGGTCTGATGCAAACTGTTTATTGATGAATGTATGGAGAAAGCCCGACCTTTCCATCAGAGGTATTCAAAACGAAGCCTGTGAGGCCATAGCTCGAGGCTTTCCTCTGGGTAAAGTCACTGCCTAGGGTCAGACATGATGCATGATCAATCCTGCAACACCACAGAAACTCACCGAAAGGCGACGCCCTGCACTTTACCATGGACTTTGAATGCAATTCGTTTAGTCATGATAAAACAGAAGGTGAGATGTGGGGGTTTGGGGTTTCAACTTCCGACGGCTGATCGTGTCTCGACAGACTTGATATATGCCTCGATACTTACATGCAATACCAGGGACATTGACCAAGTGCGAGTACGTAGAAATGATGCATGCCATGAGTTAGGCTTCTTGAATGCGGGGCAAGGACGAGACTGCGGCGGCTATGACGACAGCATGCTCCAGGGGCGATGTGAACCCTACAAGTACAAGTACCAGGCACTAGGTAGCCACCTGGGCTGCTGCTTATCCCGCCTTCAACGTCCTCTACCGGTCAGGCTCCTGGGGCCGGTTGAGCCCGTCGATCCCGCCGCCACTGCCTGGAACCGCCAAACTTTAGGTGACGAAGAAACGCGCCCCATGCATGACTGCGCGCGCCACTGGGGTCCTGACATGTCAACAAACAGAGCGGTTTGAGTTGGGACTCAGCTCTGCTCGATATTCTTATATATCACACCGAGAGGATCGATGCCAGTCCGCAATCTTTTACCGGAGTCGAAAGTAATAAAGCTAAGCTGTGTAGGTGACGTTGCTACAGAGATCGATCGAGTGAGAGGAGCGAGCCCGTTGATTCTGCCGACTTCGTTCCCCTTTTCGACCTCGAATCTGGCACTAGCGTCTGGATGCAATTTCACGACCCAACCTGCTTCAACCTGCCCTTTGATGACCGACCATCAACTACCATGGCCAGGCTCATCTTCCTTTGCACTGTTTGCAGTTGTTCTGTGCTATACTGATTGCTTTGATCTTTCGTCGCTCCTTACCATATCACTTGGACTTATCAACCTGTCTTTCGCTGCTTGTGAACGTTTGCCATCCCCTTCTGTGCCACACGCCCACCTCTTGGGTTGTCCCACGACCGTTGCTCGCATCCCGCTAGCCAGACGTCCTGTGCTTCCCCAATTCGACGTCTTCAGTGACAATCGAGCAGCCATGAGCACGGATCTAGACCTGTCATCCTCCAGTCTCCCTTCTCGATCGCCCTCGACCTCGCCGAATTTACTCGCGACTCCTGACTCCTCCGCCCTCTTGACTAATCGATCCTGCTCCGGCGTCTCGACGATTTCGAGCCGATCATCATACTCCAATGGCTCAACGACATCTCGAACCAGCACATACTCCCGTCGTCGGGGTTATGTACGTCCTCAAGGAGGATCATTTGCCGAATCAGCCAAAAATCGTGAGAGCGTCATGAGCCTCGGCAGTATCGCCCATCTGCAATACTATTTCGCTCGAACGGGATTGTTAGATGGCAAGGGAGGGCAAATGGCTAAAAAGAAGCAGAATGGTGAATACGATATCCCAAAGCTCTCGTTAACCGCGAATCAAGAACTTGTTGAATCTCCAATCGAGGATGAGTCTCAGGCCTCCTGGGACATTTTGACTGAGGATGGCACGGATGTCATGTTACCCCCAACCGTATCTACGTACAGTCATCGATCAACATATGTTGCTCCACCGCCCGATCAGAAAACCATGAAGAAAGAACTCGTGGAAGCTTTGGAAAATGCATTACAAGCTGTTGAGTCCTGTGAAGGCCCGACGAGTGGCAGTCCCGGAGATCCGACCCCAGGATTTTACGAAATTCAGGGGCTGCATGTCCTTGACACGACCACTCAAGCAATTCGAGCTGCAAGACTTTATTACACTCTGCATCCCAATCCCCAGAGACTGAACTCTATCAGGTCGGACCAGGAATTGAGAAGGGATCTATACTCTGTGCTCGATATCCTGAAGAAATGTGCTTCTCGCAACTTTGCGGGTGGATTTCGTGAGGATGAGAGACTCGCCGTGTTGGTTTGGGTGAGTGATGTTGGCATGATGATCGACCAAGAAGCGAAACTGGAGGAGGCGGACAAGACGGAAAGAAAGGACTGGCACTGGATGGATGATGCCAAGTGGGTTGGTCGAGAGCAAGAAAGAGATATCAACTTCCTCAACTTCCTGCTCCACGGCAAGGGACAAAGCCCATCGCTTGAGAAAGCTGATGTTACGCCCGAGTTTTTCCGTGATCTGGCTGATGGCAGGGATCTTGTGAAAATGCACAACGCCGCTGTGAAACGATCCAAGCGGCAGTTCGACTTTATCAAATCCTTTCACGAAGACGTGGCAAAACCGTACAGGCGTGCAGACAACCTTCGATTTTGGCTGAAGGCCGCGGAGCTCAGATGGGAGCTCAAGCTTCAGCTCGACGTGATGGCTGTTGCAAATCAGGTTGAGACCGTCAGCACTTGGTCATCTTTCGAGGATATTGTTCGACAATGGAGCCGAGGAGTAAGGGCCGAACTTACCAAGGACTGGAACGGTGAAGAAGAACGTAAACTACATGCGCGCGCAAGAAGCCTGGCGATGGCGAGTCCACTGTCGAGCCCTTCGAGGAAGAACTCTCCGGCTCCACCTCTCCCGAGTCCGCTCAAAACGGTGATTGTACCAAGTCCTGTCAGCAATCCATCTGAAGGATCTGCGACATCTGATGATCCAGACAGCCCGACGCCAAAGCCAATGTCAGTGGCTTGCGGTAAAGAAGTCTAAGCTAGCGGATGAGGTGACGGAGGCATGCCCTCTTATTTTGGACAAGACTTTTTTTTTGAAGCGAACCGGATGTATTATGATACCCACGCATTTTAAGGAGCAAGCGCTAGTATCTGGAGTGGCATTGCCTTTGACTTCCGACGAGAATTGGAGGGCTTTGCTGATGGAATCTACATAGTTTACACCATTCCCCCAGGTTAACATTCGACATGGGCATTAGCCATTAGCCATTTTGACAATATCAGTTTATCAGCACCGGCAAGGAGCATTTGTTGGCGAACTGGCCGTTAAGCAAGCATCATTGATGCATAGTAGTTCAGACTTAATTCCATTAAAAAGAGTACCTGGTACATGCACTCGGTTCTTTGCAGAGTATTTTCTAGTTATTTCAAAAACCCCCCATTGGTCTTTGCGAGCTGCTCATCGTAATACCCCTGGAAGGCGAGCCAGCCCTTTTCGTCCGTGCCGACCTGCGAGTAGGAGAACTCGGCCTCGACGTCGGAGATGAGCTTCTTCTTGTGGCCGCTGCCGGCGCTGGCGGCGTCGGCGAGCAGTTGGGCGTGGCAGGTCTTGTCGAGCGAGATGAACCAGAAGGCGGCGGCGTCGACCTTTTTTTTTTTGGTGGCCAGAGGGCGATACCATTAGTATAAGATGCAGCAAAAAGGGGCATCCGTGGGAAGGGAGGGAGGGAGGGAGAGAGAATGAACACACCGTCTTGGCCACGGTCAACAACCCATGATTCTGCAGGATGACTGCTTTCCCGTTCCCCAGCGCTTTGGCGATCCTCTTCCCCTCCTCGCGGTCGAGGACCACGCCCCCAAAGTTGTCGTAGACGGCGTGGCTCTTGTAGAACCGCAGGGCGTCCTGGGTCATCATGTCCAGCTCGCGGCCGAAGACGGAAAAGGCCTTGCCGTAGACACTGTGGGCGTGGCACGCGGCGTCGACGTCCGGGCGCGCCTTGTGGATCTCCGAGTGGATGGCGAAGGCCGCGGCGTTGATGGGCTCGTCGCCCACGACGACCTCGCCTTCTTCGTTGACCAGGATGAGGTCCGAGACGCAGATCTGGGAGAAGTGCTGCGAGAGGGGGTTGAGCCCTGCCAGCCAGGAGTTAGTAAAACAACTGGCGGGTTATCATATGAACATCTCCCTTCTCCCTCGCTCTTTTCGTTAGGTAGGTATTAGGTAGGCATTCGCCTCTGCCACCGTCTCTCTCACACACACTGTTCTGTCCTTCTGGGTCTCATACCCATGTCCTTACCCCTACTATGTCCAGAGGAGGAGAAAGAAGAAGAAGAAGAAGAAGAAGAAGAAGAAGAAGAAGAAGAAGAAGAAGAAGAAGAAGAAGAAGAAGAAGAAGAAGAAGAAGAAGAAGAAGAAAACTCACAGAAATGATCCCTCAAGATCGGATCCCGCACCGAGATATGCCCCGCGACACCCTCATCGAAGCCGCGGTCTGCAAAGACGCGAAACGCCGCCGCCAGGTGCTGCTTGCGGTACAGGCGCTCCTCCTCGAGCGAGTCGAACTTCGGGTACGAGCGCACGCGGAGTTTCTTGCCGGACGTGGTCGCGCCCAGGGCGCCGACGGAGCGGTTCTCGGCCGACGAGTGGTCGTAGACGTCGAGGGCGGGGGACATTTTGCTTTTGTTTCTTGCTATCGCTTTGGGAGCGGAGGGGTGAAGAGAGGAGTGTATACAGGTAGAATCTAACGCAGAGGTGTCTGGGTGTGAGGGATCGAGTGGATAGTGCTCTGTAGATGGATGTAAGAGACTGGCTAGTCAGGACTGTCTTTGACTTTGATTCCAAGTTCTCTTTTCTGAAGGGCTTATATTTAATCTTTGGGTTTTGACTTGGGTATACCGAGTAGCAGTATACTTTCCCTCTATCAGAAAAAGACTCGAAAAGAGAAGGAAACAAGACAATGGAGAAATATGTTATCTCTCTCCCCTTCCTCCCTCTCTCCTCTCATACATGTAGTAGGTACGGCTCATCGGCTCGGCATAGACACCGTGGGATCAGACAAGACAGATGCGGGGAAGAAACCACCATACAACCCCGGGGAACAATTGATATACGTCGATGATCATTGGTGACTAAGAGGGGGGGATCCAGGACTGGAGATTCCCACTTTCCGACGGAAAGGCGAGGCCAATTAATGATGTGCCGGTGGAAGGAAAAGAGACGACGACAACAAGAAATGATAGAGTCCAGTGATAAGACCAACCACATACATACCTACCTACATAATACATGATACCTTACGACCCTATTGGGTACCCCTTTACTACTACTCATAAGTACGTTACCCTCGTATAGTTACGGATACTCACCACTTCCTCGCCACCTTACCGTCTCTATCAAGCAAAATGACTAAAATGACCCCATTCTCTCTCGACACAATTCTACTCTCGCACACTTTGTAAGAATTCACCATCTTATTCTCTACACAAATTCTGTCAGATGCGCATCACGGCATTCAGGCGCCTGGCGAGTCAGTAAACAATCCTGTCTCCCCATCCCTTTGTTGCTCCCCCATTGATCGTGTGCTGCATCGAAATCATCTTCCCATGAAAAGAAAATCGAACTTGAATCGAATCGAACCGAACCGACAATTCCCACATGGAGCCGACCCTGGTCCATTATCATCATGTCTCTTTTGACCAACGCCGACCCAACCCCAGCCATATTCAAAACAACCCTTGATGTCCTTCAAGCATCCATTCCCTTGCCACCCCATCAACCATCAACTCGATCGTCCTCATTATTAGTCTCGTTCCTCCTCACGCATACATACTCTTGGTCTTTCGATGCCGCTCCTCACGTCCCACCGTCCCCTTCATGGGACTGTGCGTCTGGCCCATTCCGCCACCGGCATGGTACGTCTCCGTTCGTTGGTGACCGGCCTTGGGCCGTTGCACTGCGCCTGCTGCTGTCTTCATCTTTTTCTCCCGCCGGAGCACCATTTCTGCCCATCCTTTAACCGGGGCCGAGCTGCTCTGGGCGCCTTTGCCCACGACCTGCGACAGCGCTTGCATCCATTGCTCTTTCTCGGCTGTCGAATCGGCATAGAAGTCGATAACTTCTCCGTTGGCAAAGCGGATGCGGAATCCTTCCTCCACAAACATGTATCCTTCTTCCTCTTCCGCGAACCCACTCTTGCGCCGTCCACCTCCCTTGGTTGAAGTCTCTCTCTGCGTCAACGCCGTCTTGTCGTCAATGAGCCGCGTAGCTTTCGCAAGGTTGATGGTTGCCCGGGGTTGAAGCGTTGTTTCATGGAATGCAGTGAACTTGGTTCCGGCGAGCTTGAAAAACCGTCGTCTCCAGTACTAAGATTCGTCAGCATACTTCCCTCAATAGTTTTTTCAATGGGCCTCCACAAACCGGACAATCGCCTCCCTGTTGGCTCAGGTAACCCTCAAACTCCTGGATAGTTGCTTGTTGTGCCAGACGTTCTTCAGCCTCCCGCAAGGCCCGAATCGCGCCATTCATACTCTTGGGCATGTCATCGTCCTTGGCTCCTCTCGGTTTCGGCACATACAACAACTGGAGTTCGAGTTTGCCAATTTCATAAGGCGGCCGACGCTGGAGCTGCGTCACGCTCTTCTTGCTCCTCGAACTACCCACATGGACTTCTTCCATCGCCCACTCGTTGAAGCAGGTGATGTCCACCGTGTACGGTCTGCCGTATGCGTGCTTTTCATGCTCGCTGAGCGAAATGTAAGCTCGAGCAAAGGAGCCGTCCTTGGCCACCAGGCCTTGAACCAGTTCATATGCTGAAGGTGGTGTCACTGGCCTTCTGACCGCCTGGGCTTCTTGCTGAGCTCGCACTTCCGACTCCTTCTTCTTCTTGGGCGACCCAAACAACCTCCCGAAGGCTCCTTGCTTCTTAGGCGATGCGGGCGGTTTCGATGGCGATTGCGGCCGTTCCACTTTTGGCTCCTCCAATTTCATCTGCAGTGTGAGTTGGAATTCAAGCTCATTGAGGACAATCAGCTCAAATTCCTGTCCAATAGGTGCACTTCGAGCCAGATCGAGCCAAGCTGTCGTCACACAGTGCATACCATTGTCGAGCGTGAGGGCAAAGAAAGTGCGTTCGTCTATTCGTGATCAGCATCAACTCCCTAATAGAATCAGGAAACAGCTTACGTTGGGGAAATGGCATCTGCAGGTCCTTGACACCGACCACCTTGACAAAAAGTCGGCCACGTTCGGCTCCATCCTCCCACTCCTCTTCCTCTCCGATGTCATCTTCAGCAACAGCGTCAAGGCCCTCCTGCGCATTGCTTGCTTGTCCTGGAAGAGGCGGCACAGGCCCCTCGACTGGCTTCCTCTTACTGACAGCCTTTTCCCCGCCAACTCGAATACTCTTACGCCGAACCTTACCGTTCCATGGCTCAGCAGTCCAGGTGGGCTGACTCGTCTTGCGCGGTGATGCATGAACGTGGTTAGCTTCCGCGGGGACGCCGAGCAGACCATCTTCAGTCCCCGGAAGGCCAGGAGATCTGCACTCATCTTGAGAGATCCGTTCGCTGGCGACGACAATCTTGGTGTTTTGTCTCATCAGGTATCCTCTCTGTCGACGGCCAGCTCGATTAGCAAATGACTCTTCATCAATACATCTGTCGGGAGAAATAACAACATGTGCCGCACGTAGGGGACGCGCTCCACGAGGTTTGGGGAGAACAGGGATGTTCTCCATAGGGTTGCCTCCTTTCAACTCCATTGCCTCGGGCAGCTCACTGGAGGGGAATCGTCCGTGAAAAGGGTAATAAAGACGTTGCAATGAGAGTTCAAACTCTACCTTTTGGGCTTCTACTACCCGGTCAAATTCCTTCTCGAGACCCAATCCCAGGCCTTCGTCCAATCCTGTGTGGGGGATATCTAACGGCAGCAGGCTGCTAGTCCGCTTCTTTTCGCCTTCTTTCTTGTCTGCTTCGGGTTGCTTCTCATCTGCTGCTTCCGGAAGCGTGGAATTATTCTGTGCTATTTCGGCGCTTTGATCGAAAGTGTCCGAGATAGGGGACACAGGAGACATCTCCTTCTCGTGCACCAAAACCGAACCCGTGTCGGAGGGGCTAATTGAACGGTCACTTTGTGCTTGTCCAGCCAACTCATCCACTCTTGGGTCCATGCTGACATGGCTAGGCGACTCTGCATGTTCGACGGGGTGTCTAACCACAGAATCAGGGGTTCCTGGTGCTGCATGTTCTGGGCTGGATTTTGGGGGGCTTTGGAATGATGTGAGCTGAACTTCCGGAGTGTATGGCCGCTGAATTGACTGGCGGAGAGCAGCGAGGTCTGGCAGTTGAGATGGTGCCGCGACAACGGTGGCTGGTTTCGCACTCTCGTCCTTCTGGGTCAGATACGGAGCCAGGCCGATATCGAAACTGCTTGTGTCGCCAAAGTCAGTGAAATCTGGCAAAGACACACGTTCAGTCGTTGTGGGCTTTGCGTTCAACTCTCGAGCTGGACTCTGTGCTTTGGGAGTGTCGTCTCCTTCCTCAGCCATTTGAGGGAAAAAAGATGCTTGTGAGGGTTGCGAATATTGGCTTGTGAGGTCGTCATCATGGTTGGTGCTAACGTCTGAACCGGAAGCAGTACGTCCCATGTACATATCCGGGATGGAGTACAGGTCAGGCTCTTCATCCTCCTCCATTTTGATACGTGGCTGTGTCGGATCCTCCAATGAGGGTATTGGAACATCAGGATCAAGAGAGGGGAGATCCCGCTGTTGAGTCGTCTCTGCAATCTCCTCGCTGCCTTCTCGACTACCAACGCCGACTCGACCACGCAGACCTTCAAGGATCGATGCCCTTGACAGCTGTGGGGTCGAGTTTCCCGATCCAGACTGGATTGGCTGTGAATCGCCAGCAAGCGAGTCTTCATTACTGGTGCTCCGAGAGGGGACAGCGTCTTTGGAAGCCATTCGCCTCATCCGACGTTCTCTCTCCTGTTCCTGGAGTGCCATCAATCTCAATCTGTCATCCGCTGACAGGGAACTCCCACTCCCGATCTTTTGAATGTCCGCCTTTGAAAAGCTGGCTGCCAATGGTGTGCTTGGAAGAGATCGTGATGCGACGCTTATACGCTCAAAGGCGCCGGACAAGCTGTCAGACCTGGAGTGGCCTTGTGATCCGATCATGGGCGGAAGCGGTGGGAGAGGGCGAGACTGTCCGTTAGAGTCGATTGAGCTTGCACTTGTCTGATGAGGGCGGTAAGATGGAATACTTGGCTGGGCGGTCGGGGCAGGACTGCCGCAGTCATCTTCGAAGACGTCTTCTTCAAGATGAGACAGGTCAGTGTTGGCATTCTCGGGGCTCATAAAGCGCCAGTCCTCGGGCAGAACCACTGGTGTCTTCTCAGTGTCCTCAAGGGACGCGTCAAAGCTGTCGTCGTGATCCATTGACGAAACCCTCTCCAAGCTTGCCTCCTCGTCCTCATCATCCTCGTCGTCCTCATCGGTGGACTCATAGCTACCCTCGCGCGATCCGGACGCAATTGACGAAGGAGCTGGTGTAGTCATCTCGTACTCATTGATCTGTGGAGGCGCCTGGTCAAAAGTAACACTTTTTTGATGACGGTGCAACCCACGGCCAGCCGGCAGTTGTCTGTCTCGAAAGTCGTCATCGTCTTCCCAAATGCCAGTCTCAGGGTTAAAGCCACTGCTTCTGAATGCTGACCCGGTTTTCTTTGACAGGGACGACTTTGCTGGCGAGCTGTTCAATCGACTTGGCGAGAGAGGGGTGACTGGATTGGTTGTATCTTTAGCTTCCTCCTGTTGCTGCTTCTCTTGCGATTGAAACGATGAGACCTTGTCCAGTGGGGCAATGTTTTCTTTTCGCACAGCATCGGGACTTCGAACTGGCGAGGACTGCCGTAGAAACTGCATGCTCTGAGGGCGACCGTCAAGAATCGATGGACGCGAAGGATCATAGTGAGTACTCTGCTCGAGGGCAAACATGCTGCTGTTTTTCACCCTCGAGGCCTTCTTTAGGTTCTCAATGGAGGAGCGCTTTGGCGGGGAGGAGGCAGGAGGAGTTTCGGTGTTTTCTCTCGCAGGAGAGCTGGGATCGCGGCCCTGCCAAAACAGACGTGGTGAACTCGAAGAAAAAGGTGAAGAGCCTATTGGAGAGGTTTCGTTTGAGAGTAGCTTGCCCTGCGAATGGATCAGATTTCGGCTTGGTCTGATGGTGACCGACATACCTTTGGTTGCGGGAAACTTGGAGAGTTTCTGCGAATTGCCATAGGGCTCAGTTCGGAAAGAGGACGATTACTTATTCGCGGCAGTTTAGATGGCGAAGAGCTGAGCCCATTTCCGCCGCCCTTTTGGATGCGCAAAGGTGGGACCTGAAATAGAGGATGAGCACAACAAGGTCAATCTCGACAAGTTTCGTCTTTACCTCGGTGGCCATAGCATCGGGCAGAAGAGCTCGACAATGGCTTTGTGTATGTATCAGATGTCGAGCTCAGACAATCAATCAGGCAATGGTTGACCGAGTTGAGGAATGAAGAATCGATCGATGGGTAGCGCGCGAAGTTGGAAAGAATGGCAGAATGTCTGTGCTGAGCCTGATGAGGCAGACCAGCTGCGGGTAGGTAGAAATGATAGCAATAAACGCTGTGGCAAAGGGACTGTGAGCTACAGTTTAACTGCCTAACTGCGACCACAATCGAGACCACCCTTTGAAGAAGAAGTAGTCAGCAGAGAAGTATCTCGATGAGAGTGTTAATCTTCAACGTTTGTCTGATGGTATATGCGAAACTTAAGTGGCCGCCCCACGGCGATTTTACTGGGGAACAACAACAAAGCCCACGACACCATCGGTTGCTAGGCAACACCCTGGCGGTGATGTCCACCTGAGACACACCCCAACCTGTGGCGCCGGATTTGCAGGGGTGTCCTCGCCTAAACTACAGTGGACCGCGAGACCGCGCTACGCAGGGGAAAAAAAAGTTTCAATATCACAACGGTGCTGTTGGATGGTCTCTATACCTTCCTCCATTTTCGACAGCTTTTCGCCATAATCCGTCGATGTCGTCCTCCGCCGCCATATGCCCTTCTTGCCAGTTTCGAACATTAATTTCTGCGCTTAGGCCACCAACGCGACGATGGCAGCCTCAGAGGTATATGGCACTAGCCATGCGCCAACGGAGAAAACCTTCCAGAATGACCCTTACACAAGATGTTGGGAAGACAGACGCGAGCAGAAGGATTGCGAAGAGGGACACAGCAGGTCCATTTGCGGGAATGAATCAAACTGTGGCACGATTACCTGTTACAAGACCACCTCGAGCGGTTCCGACCCGGGTCGGAATGGCCCTTAGATCGAAGCTCAAAGAGCGAGCCGCCGCAACCAAGTTGCGCACGAACACTGCAGCCCCTCGTAACGAGCAGGGTGATGTTGCTGTTCCATCGACTTCGTCCTTCAAGAAGAAAGAGAAAAGGGACAAAGACGAACGACCGCTCTTCCACGCATTAAAAATGCAGCAGATCCTAACTCCCCTATCCTACGGGCAACGCACGAAACTCAAGCAGCAAATGGAGAAAATCGAGTCCTTTGAAGAGCTGGGATTGATGCCTTCGGTCGTTGACTCTATCTACACCCAAGTCCTGCCACATCTGACAGAGTATACGCCCACACCTGTACAAAAGCTGGCAATTCCCGCGCTCCTCAGTAAAAAGGGCGAGTATCAAAAACAGAAGCAGGTGGATGTAGACGGGATGCCTACCCAGAATAAATACAAGACATTCCTTCTCGCGGCAGAGACTGGCTCAGGGAAGACGCTGGCGTACCTACTACCCGTCATCAATGCCGTCAAACAACAAGAAGAGGCGGATCGCAACGAAGAGCTCGAGCGGGAAGCCCGCAGGGTTGAAGAAAGTGAAGAGAGAGACAAGAACCGCGTTTTCGAAGCAGACCCTTCCGAAACCGATGAATTACCATCAAACCAATCTATGGGCCGGCCTCGCGCCCTCATCCTCCTTCCCTCGTCCGAACTCGTTGCGCAGGTCACGAAGGTGGTCAAAGTTATCGGCCACACAGTCAAATATCGCTCTGCGGGCATTTCTTCCTCCAATACACCCACTGTCATTCGCAACCGCCTCTTCAACCCCCAGGGCATAGATATACTAGTTTCCTCTCCTCATTTGATCGCCAGCATCGCCAAAAAGGAGCCAAATATCCTGTCCCGCATTCAATACCTCGTCATGGATGAGGCCGACTCCCTTTTTGACCGCTCTTTCAGCGAGACAACGTGCGAAATCATCGATCGTGCCGCCCCTTCATTGAAGCAACTGGTCCTCTGCTCGGCCACTATTCCAAACAGTCTTGACAGGTTCATTGACAAGAGGTTCCCCGATTGCAAACGCATCGTTACACCTAAACTACATACGATTCCGCGTCGAGTTCAATTGGGTGCTGTGGATATCGACAAAGATCCCTACCGTGGCAGTCGCGATCTGGCGTGTGCCGACGTGATTTGGACACTTGGGAAGGCTGTACACGAAGACCTTAACCCCAGAAATACAGTGAAGCACATCCTTGTCTTTGTCAACGAACGCGAAAAGGCGGAAGAAGTTGCCCGGTTTCTTGTAACAAAGGGAATCGAAGCCGTCGCGCTAACGAGAGATACTACGGAGCAGCGTCAAGCTGAAATCCTCGCAACATTCACCTCTGTTGAGCGCGTCGCGGGCTCTTCTAAGCCGTTCTCCTCCCCAGCTTCGGGCTCCAAGAAATTGTTCAAAGACTTTGTTCCTTTCGACCGTTCATCTACCCCTGCGACTTCTGGGGCAAACCCAACCCAAACATCCAGACCTACAAGGCATCTCCCGGACGTTAAGGTTCTCGTGACCACCGACCTTGGTTCACGCGGCGTCGATACCCTCGCAGTCCGACACGTGGTATTGTATGATGTTCCGCATACTACAATCGACTTTGTCCACCGGTTAGGACGGATGGGCAGGATGAATCGGCGAGGAAGAGGGATTGTGCTAATGGGAGGCAAAGATCGAAAGGACGTGATCAGGGAAGTTAGGGAGGCTATGTTTAGAGGGCAGGCTCTGATATGAAGACATCCAAAGAATAGAGACTTGGATGATGTACAAAAAGAACCATGTAAAACCACCGCTTGCTCCGTTCAGCCAGAGAATTCCACATGCAATTATACTCTGGTGCATCGATTGAAGCCGCAAGTCTCCACCGAACTATAGTAATTGTTAACGTTAAAACTCGCCAAACAATGTGCACTTCCCAAGTCCGTTTAGCCCGAGCTCTCTTGTAGAAAGGTTCCATATACCGAGTACCGTGTCCGGTTTTGAATCTGGTTGGAAAACGGACCTTGTTTCGGTGCCAAGCCTGTGGGGAAAACGTGACGAGGCTGAAAAGAAATTTTGTTTTTGCCATCGCTTGCCAGACACATCTATCATTCGATGTACTGGGTAATTTCGGGCGTTTTGGGTGCTTTTATTTGCTCAGCGCTGCGCGGTGTCCCTCCTGTCCCTCATGTATAGCGAAAAGAACGCACATTGCAAAACTCACATCAGCACTGGGGTGCAAGAAAGAAAAAACGATGCTCCGCAAAGGAACCAAGAGATCTGCAGATGAAGCATTCCCGTCAAAGTCCGCATCAGTAAAGGACAAGTTGGAACGCCATAGGTCTAAATCTGCACAGAATGGGCCGACAGGTAAGACTGTCGATTTTGGGGAACGGCAAGGGAAGGACGACAGCCTGAAGGGCGGTAGCAAGACCCTGAGCTTGAGAGAGCGGGCTCGTCTTTTAATGCCAGCCAGACAAAAATTACCCATTTACAGCAGCGTCGATCAGATACGCCAGAAGGTCAGGGATCATGATGTGCTGCTACTTGTCGGAGAGACAGGGTCGGGCAAGTCGACGCAGATTCCACAGTTCCTGGTGAACGAACCATGGTGCCAAAAGAGGAAGACCAGCGGGGGCGTCAATGTTGGAGGGTGCATTGCCATCACACAACCCCGGAGAGTCGCGGCGATCTCCCTTGCTCGTCGTGTGGCCGAGGAGATGGGCACGCCGCTGGGAAATTCGAGTCCTGCATCTGAAGTCGGGTACTCTGTGCGGTTCGAGAACAGCACGAGTCCCTCGACGAGGATCAAGTTTTTGACAGAGGGCATGCTTCTACAAGAGATGCTGCGGGATCCTTGGTTGAGGGAGTACTCGGCCGTCGTGGTGGACGAGGTTCACGAGCGCGGCGTCAATGTGGATCTGGTGTTGGGCTTTCTCAGAAGGATGCAGGATCTGAGAAACAAGAAGGATGGCAGGGGTGGCATTCCATTGAAGGTTGTGGTCATGAGTGCGACGGCAGACATGGAGAAGATTCAAAACTTCTTCAGCACGAGTCAGGAAAAGCACGAAGGTCAACCCGATGTCGATGTCGAGTCTCATGGAGCAGAAGACGACTGGTCTGGTTTCTCTGATGAAACAGATGCTGTTGACAGAAAAGATACCAAGCCCGACCCTGCCAACAGCAATAGTGTTGCGAAGGATAAGTCTAGGACTGACAGCTCCTGCAAAGCAACATCGCTTTTCATCAAAGGCCGTCAATATCCTGTAACCGTCAACTACACGCCAACGTCAGTGCCAGATGTCATCGATGCGGCATATCAGCGAATCCTGGACATCCACACCCACAGTCCTCTACCAGGCGATATACTCGTGTTTCTCACTGGTCAAGAAACCGTCGAATCTCTGCTCGGTCTTGTGAGTTCGTGGTCACTCTCGGTTCAGAGAGACCCCAAGCAGGCTGCGACGCTTCCCAAAATCCTCATCCTCCCACTTTACGCAGCTTTACCTTCGAACGTGCAACAACGTGTCTTCCAACCAACACCGAAGTTGACACGCAAGGTGATATTAGCAACAAACATCGCCGAGACCAGTGTCACGGTGCCTGGAATTCGATATGTAATTGACACCGGAAAGGCGAAGCAGCGACTCTTTCGCCCTTCCCTAAATTTGGACACTCTACTGACAGTGCCCATCTCTCGCAGTTCCGCCAATCAGCGATCTGGACGAGCCGGGCGAGATGCCCCGGGAACTGCATACAGGTTGTACACTGAAGCGGATTACTACCAACTGGCCCAGGATACCGAACCTGAAATCCTGCGCTGCGACCTCAGTCAGCTTGCACTCACACTCAAGGCGCACTCGATTGACACTTTGGGGGACTTCCCATTCCTGACAGCTCCGCCACGAAGGGCTCTCGAGAGGGCGATGATACATCTCCTCCAGCTCTCTGCATTGGACACCTCGAACGGGCAGATCACACGTCTGGGACGAGAGATGAGCGTCTTACCATTGCCTGCGAGCTTGGCGAGAGTCCTCCTTGCCAGCGCAGACCCAGCATACGATTGTGTCGAGGAGATTATTGATATCGTTTCAGCATTGAGTGTTGAGAATATCTTCCTCAACATCCATAACCGTCCATCTGCTACGACATCCGGCGACTTTGTCAAACCTACCTCCAAACCATCTGGCCACAGTGACTCGGATGCTGAAGAAGACTCCGCAGAAGGTCGTGCACAGCAAGCACGACGACATCTCTTTCGACGTGAAGGGGACCATCTCACCCTCCTAGCCACTATCCAGGCATATGTGGCTGAAAATACAGATCGCCGTCGCTGGTGTGAAGAGCGGTTCATCTCGCACCGGGCCATGAGCGGCGCCATGGATGTCAGGAAACAGCTTACTGCGCTGATGGACCGATACCAGCGCAAGAACGAAGCCGAGAGCAAAATGGGTGGAAAAGGACCACGGAAAGTCAATCCAATGCGGGATGGTGACAAGACCAGTCCAACCACTCGGATCCTCAAGTGCATCATGACCGGCTTCCACCCCAATGTTGCGCGCCTTTGTCCCGACGGGAGCTATCGGACCATCCTCACGAACCAAGTTGTGGCCATTCATCCAAGCAGCGTATTGTTCTCCCTGCCTTCGTATACCTCTGGAGGTCAAGGCCCTAGTGGCAAGACCCCGCCAAGGAAATACGAGGGTATTATGTATAACGAGTTTGTGTACACAGGCACAAAGGCCTATGCCCGTGGTGTGAGTGCGGTGGAGATGAAATGGATGCAGGAACTTCTGGAGCCATGATAGACGTACGAAGTAGTTTTGATGCGGGCCCCTGGATGCACCACTGAGACGTACATCTAGGGCCGAGGCCCGTCGATGACGTTCGGTACCCGCATTTTAGCGAGGCAGCTTTGGTTGATACGAGACGTAGATGGAGGTAGGGAGAACTCGTTCCGAGGACACCCTGCTAGGATTTGGTTAGTACACTTTACAAGTACCCCGTCGCCTTACGCAGGCAAATACACTCGGATCAAAGTGTCACTCAACGTTGCAAGTGGATGATTCACGTGACTGAGCTTGGTCCATTTCGGGAAAGGCGGCCAACAAGCATCAGAAACTGCGGAGTAACAGTTGCAGGAGTTTTGCCGTCCTTGCAGCTTAACGCACAGGACACTAATGCAACCTCCAAAGTCATCCCCCCTCCCTCCAGTCAACTCAGACTTTCCGGTCGATGGAAAGTGAATTCAGAAGGCTATATGGAATGGAGCAAGTCAAGAGGAGGAGTTACAACCTCGACAACTTTGCAAATGGCCGACTCCCCTGAGCTTCCTCGCTCGCATCTCAACAAGCGGGAGTTGCAGCCTCGACGCCGACGACATCTTTGACAGGTCGGAATCACACCATACCAAAACCTTAGCGATCCTTCTCTAGTTCGTTCCCCGCATCGACACATCGAATTGGCCGGCAAAAGACGCTGAAGGAGGTTTCATATGCACCATCTCATGCTCCATGTCTCAGATGTTACACGAGTCCCCGCGGCTTCCCGAGTCTATTTCGTCATCGACTGATCTCGGAGGTACAGAACGGTGTGGGGCAGCGAGCTTTCTTTCCGACGTCTATGCTTTGGTCATGACCACTCAATCAGACTTTTCTCTGAGGACGCGGACATGCCAAATCAACGAAGCTCACTGAGGAGGAGCTTCTTTGCAGCACGACGATCGCCAAGACGTGGGCGTCGAATGGCGATCCAAGCGAGCACACCATTCGCATACCGGGACGCGGGGTGACCAACAAGCACGCTTTTGGATTCAAGCTACGCCTGGAACAGTGATGCGTTGGGAATATGGTGGAGAGAACGTGCATTGGACAACTGACACTAACATCAACGTCCATCCACTGACCGGCTGTCACGGACAACCTCTTCACGCATGATCGACTCTGAATTGGCTCTCATGGAACCGCTAGGACAACCTCGATGTCTTCTTCTGGCGAGCTTCTGCCATCACGGAGCTCTCATAAAAAAACGTCCCGCCCAGTCGCCGTTCTTTTCTTTCTTTCTTCCTCGAGAAGTTGCTTGTTGTATACTCCCAATCCTCTGGTAGGACACTGATCATTCGCTTCAGCGTCTGCCCACCTTCGTTGAGATCGAGCCCTCGTGTCAGCAACAAGCAATCCCATCTCGCAACACCTCCGCCATGCGTACTTTCGCTCTCCTCACGGCTTTGGCCGTCTCCGCCCTGGCTTCGCCCATGCCGCAGGGTGTGACCTCTGCGATAGCTCCGTCCTCTCCAGCACCTGATGGCTGCCAGCCCTCGTTCAGCGGCAGCTTCCAGATTACTGTTGTGAATGTCTCGTCCTCGGCAGCCAAACGAGATCTGACCGAGGTTGGCTCACAATATCGTCCGTTCATGTACAGAACAAACTAACTCATGTGCAGCGTCAAACCTCTGGAGTTCTAACACTCACTCTTGCCGACTCCGTCCTCAAAGATCAAGCGGGACGGACTGGCTATATTGCCTCCAACTTTCAATTCCAGTTTGACGAACCTCCCCAAGCCGGAGCTATCTACACAAGCGGGTTTTCGATCTGTTCTAATTCCAGTCTTGCGCTGGGTGGCTCTGCCATCTGGTATCAATGTCTGAGTGGGTCATTCTATAATCTGTACGACCGCAACTGGGCCCCCCATTGCGTGCCGATCTACATCTACGCCCTGGTCGGATCTTCCGCTCCACCAGCGACACAAGCAACAGATGGTCAACCGGCAGTGACGACTGTTGTCCCTTCGGTCTCTCAGCTCACGGATGGTCAACCCCAGGTCACTTCGGTGGTTGTCACACAGATCTCAGATGGACAGTAAGTATCCCTTCAATGTGGCGGTCGGAATGCTCCTGTGACGGAAATTAACGTACACGTCTATTTGCTCTGGCTGCGTCACCGTCATTGAATATTGTTCGCTGACTCCTTGACAGACCCCAGGCTACCACTGGTGTACCGGTCACTCAAATCAGCGATGGCCAGTAAGTCTACCACTCTTCACCACCGGTGTCTAGTTGTCCGAGCAGTTCTAATCATTCACAGACCACAAGCAACTACTGGTGTACCCGTCACCCAAATCTCGGATGGACAGCCACAGGCTCCTAGCGGGACCCCCGTTTCCCAGATCAGTGATGGCCAGTAAGTATAGCATCTTCTCCGGTGTCTTCACCGTTACTTTACCCCTTTACTAATATTGCAAAGACCACAAGCTCCAACTGGTGCTCCTGTCACCCAGATCTCTGATGGCCAGTAAGTTTGCCATCATCTTAGTCCTGCCGACATTCTCGCTAACCAAATCAAGGCCACAAGCTGCTACCGGCACCCCAGTCACCCAAATCAGTGACGGTCAACCTCAGGCCCCTACTGGCGCTCCTGTGAGCCAGATTAGTGATGGCCAGCCCCAAGCACCTACAGGCACACCCGTTACTCAGATCAGTGATGGACAACCACAGGCACCCACCGGTGCGCCTGTCAGCCAAATCAGCGACGGCCAGCCTCAAGCTCCTACCGGTACACCCGTCACCCAGATCAGCGACGGACAACCTCAAGCCCCTACTGGCGCTCCCGTCAGCCAGATCAGCGACGGGCAACCGCAAGCCCCTACTGGTACACCAGTGACCCAGATTAGTGATGGACAGCCTCAGGCACCAACGGGCGCTCCGGTCAGTCAGATCAGCGATGGACAGCCCCAGGCGCCAACTCAGACCGTTGCTCCCGCCTCGACCTCAGTTGCCCCATCAACGTTCACTGGTGCCGCCTACCGACCTGAGTTCCCAGGAGGACTCGCTGTCGTTGCAGGTATTGCAGGGTAAGAGTTCTTCCGACACAATATCTCGCCTCATTTTTCCAGTTTCAGATACTAACAGAATTGGCAGAGCTGTGGCATTCCTGTAGGATTGATGACGAGATCTCATCGACCACAACGCCGGATTCTTTGCGCACCTTGTGTCTCTAATCAACGTCAACTGATTTCACCGACCTATCGTCGCCAACACTCTTTCTTAGTCATCGTACTGAACATTCGCAAACTATGTTCCCTTAATGTGTCCTCCTTCCTGCACAGCATTGGAATTTGCATAGGGATGGGAAAATAAGCATGACAGACAGACACCAAGCAGTCTCCGATGGATGTTGAATCACAGAAATGTGCCTCGCATCTCGAGCAGAAAGGTTTAGCGAAGTTGTTGGTGGTTTGGGCATTCCACACAGCACGAGTTAAAAAGTACCTAGGTAATTAATAATAATAGTATGTCTTGGGTATATCTAAGTATCGTTGGCATGACAAGAGACATGTTGTCAGTTGCCATTTCGTGTGGTAGGTTGCGTAGCAGGTCGCTGTGGGTGCTTTTGGTGTGCTTTTCTTTCATGCGTATCTTGTTGTAATATACCAGCTTTCATGAGAAAATCGCCTTATATCCGCAGGGCGAGAAGCAGGAATTTCCCCCAGCACCACCCACTACAGCCATTCCTTTGAAGAACCCCCTTCCCTTGGTATCGATTAGTAGTCCCTTTCGTTGCGTTTTCGTTTCATCCACATCCCTCCCACTCCCTCCATATCCTGACAATCTCCAATTTTTCCCACCCGGCCGTCTTGCCGCTCGTCCCGACCGTCTCGGCGCGCCAGTGCCATCGCTCTGCCCTGCCAGCTATTTCTGGCTGTGTTAACTGTGTTGACTGTGTCGACCGTGACCGTCGTGGTGGTGGTGGTGGTGGTGGTGATGGTAGTGACGACGGCTCCCACGCACGGATCCATTGCTTGACCTCGTCAGGCCTGTTCCCGCGACAAAAGAGCACGTAGGCGACGCCACGGGGACTGAGCACCTCGGGGATCTGGGCGAGGAGGCGGTTCGTGACTTGCATGCCGTCGGGCCCACCGGCGTAGGAGAGGGTGAGGAGGGCGGATTGTTCCTCGAAAGTCGGTTTTGGGTTCGGTTCTGGTTGTCTGGTAGTGGTTGGAGTGGCAGGGACCGAGTCGGTAGGCACGTAGGGCGGGTTGAATACCAGGACGTCAACTTCGCCTGGGCGGAGCGGTGTGGCGAGGTCGCCATTCACGGACGAGAGGAAGATACTCCCACCCTCGTTCCTTCCATCTTCATCATGAGAAACGCCCCGACCATTCTCTGCGCCATCCCCGCCTGTATTTTCTGAGAGTACCACCGCCTTTCCACCCCGCTCCTTCTCCCCTGCCACTCGCCTCTCCGGCCTTTTTTCGGCGAGCGCCTTCTCCACCGTCGTCCTCGTCCCGCGGCACGCATACGGATTAACGTCGACGGCGAGACTCAGCACGTCGCGCCCGAAAAGGGTTTTTGCGTTAGCGACCAGGAATGCGACGACGACGCCGGATCCAGGACCGATTTCGACGATGAGGGGCGTCGGTGACAGCGATGATGTTGGCGTCGACTTTGGCAATGGCGTTGGTGTAGGCGTTTGTCTTGATCCCGGTAAAGGTAAAGGGGAAGGTCGGGGAGAAGAAGGCAAAGAGAACCGCGAACGCAGCCACGCTGTCTCGGCGGGCGAGGACAGCGTGTCGAGAAACAGATACGAGTCCTCGGCGGGTTCGTAGACGAGGTCGTACGAGACGTGCGAGGTCGACGGGGTGGGGAGCATGGTTTTTCTTTTGCGCCCCTCTCTCAATATACCCTTGAACCTCACCTTTGGCTGTTGTCTCAGTGTCTGTGTCTGTGATGCGCGCAGCCTCTGCCTCTGTCTCCGTACCCTCCTCTGTCCTTGTGTGTATTTGTGGGTTCTTGTGTCACCTCTGATTTTCTCCCAGCCTCGTCACGCTCGTGCCATCACACACATGATGAGGGTGACAGTGAATATTCCTTCCGTTTCCCGTTGCCCGTTTACCCGCCAAAGCAACTCTCACCCAATATCACCAAAAACAAAGCCCATCCCAGGTTTCAGGAATGGTTTAGCTCCAGAGGTCTCTTTTTATTCTATACTGTCTCGGTGTCTCTCTGTCGAAAAAGATACTTGGACCAAAAGAAGTCGTCTCGTGAGGAACGAACAAAATCTCCTGGTGTGCCGGCATATCTTCGGGTCTTCTATTTATCGTCTATCATTTCTCACAGACACGTTTAAAACTGTAATATCAATATTGTCATTGTCATTGATGTGGACTGGCAGCTGAAAGCGTACCCCGGGTACTTAGGGTAGCGGTAGGTATCTGCCATATGGCATATGAATACTCATAGTGGACTGTTGTCCCACTGTCTATCTCGTCGTGTTGGTATCGTGCCCAAACAGCTGCCCACCTCCAGCATCGACGTATCCCGAGGGTCGAGACACAAACCGAAGCCTGCAGTCTTGGGTAACGTCCATAGCCGAGCCATAATTCCTGCCTGTCATGAGGTCCTGTTCGAATAACAGTCGTCTCCATTCAGATTCGTGATCCTTGGTCATCAGTCATCACTCTTCCAGTCCTCTCGCAACCTTGTAAACACCCGATTTGCCAATCTCCAGTGCGCCTTCTTTCACCATGGATGCCAGAAACTCTTTCAATTCCTCGTTACTAAAGGGAAACCCGCCTGGCACCACAATGGATAACATCATCGAGATCCTCGCCAGAGGCATGGCCCCTTGATTCGTGAGCATGGATACAATAAACGCATTATACATGGCCATTTTCTGTTTGCGTTCCGCTTCTTCTGCCTCCCTCGTTGCGGTCGCCAAAGCGGCGGCTTCTGCGACTGCCAGAGCACTGTCTGATTGTTGGGCGGCAGACGGCCCACCCTCGCTCATCAACGTGTCGTCCCCGTCGCCGGTACCACTAGGAAGTCGTTCAAGAACAGTAAAGGTGTTGGGCGATGATTCGGTGAGGATGCGCCTCGAGACCCAGAAAACGCAGGCGGAACGAATGAGAGGCGTGGACATTGCGAGCTCAGAGGCAAGTTCTGTAAGTGTCTTCTTGACAGGCTGCCCTGATGCCCCTGCGTTGTCATCTCGAAATGCGTAAATCACAGCCGCTTGCCAGGGAAGGACTTCGTCGTGGTAGGTACGGTCTTCCAGCTCCAGCTCCACCTCGACTTGGCCAACAGTATTGACCCAAGTCAACTTTCGTGATTGCTTGAGAGCTCCAAATCCCTGTTCGTAGTATCTCTGCTGCTCCGTCACCACTGGTGGAACATTAAATGAGTGGTCCTGCATGGCCGGCCAGAACAGGCGCGAGAGGATCTTCGCATGAATCTGGACATCGTCGTCCCTCTGCTTTGCAGAAGGTCCTTTTTTGGCCTGTTGCGCCTCCAAATCCTTCCTGATCACTTTATCCACTTTCTTTGAATCCAGAACATCTCTTAACATCACTTCGCACCCTTGCAGCGCAGAGTCTCCGAATCGCAGCTTCAAGTGCTCCACCACACCGATCTCCTGGGTGAAGTCGGCTTTATTCTTGAGCAGCCTCTCCGCCATGGCAGATTGAAGCTCCCTGACAAAGACCTCCTTTGTTTCGAACAACGTGACGAGACTACCAATCACGTCGGTGGTTTTGTTGGATTTCATGTAATCTGGGGCGGCGTCGATGGGATCGGGGACCCAGTCCATATTGTTCCAGTCGAATTCGCTGTCGTCCGTTGCATGGTCTCGACCGGTGGGACTGGTCAGTTCACGAGCGAGTTCTGTGAGGACGTCTGGATCGGATTCTGGCGGCTGTCCGTCCTCTTTGGGCGAAACGTCAGCGAGCAGTCCGGTCACAATCACCTTGACAGTGTCATCTCGCTCTCGGAGGTAGCGACGGACTCTTCTAGCGACACGATCCAAGAGGACTCCTCGTGGGTCGAGAATCCGAAAAGAGCGGATAATAGAAATGTAAAATTGTAGGATTTCGATGGTCGATGCGCCAGGATGAAGAAGACGTGTTTGCAGGACATTGACGAAGTTGTGCGTCAAGTACCCTCTTGTGGTCGGACTTGTCGTGAAATGCCGCAAGTCCTCGATTGCAGGTGCCGTGGCATCCCAGTCCACTATGACCTCGAAGAGTTCGTCGACCCGTAGAGCGCCGAGTCGGGCGGTGGCCATATCCTTCCATTTCCGCACCTCCGTTTCAGGGAGAGTCTGTGACTCCAATCTCTCGTCGAGACGACAAAGGACCTTCCGCGCGACCCTGGAAAATAAATGCTCTACCCAGAACTCAAGGTGAAGATGCAGCCTTTGACGATAGACTCCGGCATAGGACCAGGTTACAAACTCCGTCATTAAATCATTGAGGACCGACGCTAGTAGTTTTATTACTGCCTCAGGCCCGACGGTCGCGCGCCACCCAGCCAGCATCCCCCACACAGGAGACTCTGCCTCCCTAGCAACCTGTGCGGCATGGTCGGTAGCTGTTGGCTGTCTAAGCTGATCGAGTGAGGGGCAGGACTCGAGGTAACTGTGGAAGGGAGCTCCCTCGTGAGGCACCACCTCGGTCACTCCATAAACGAAAGACTCGTCGCCGATTCCCAAAAGGACTCTCAGGTGCTGGTGCAGGGCAGTCTGTATCTCCGGAAGCGTTGCAAGGGTCTGAGGGGCAAATAGGCGACGGTGCTTGGGCGGTTTGACAACCGAAGGCGAGAAGACTGATGCGAAGATTGGGTCGGAAAAAGGAGCAGATGCGGCGGCTTTCGACGTCGCCATCAGCGTTGTAGACATGGTGTTGTTTGCATTGCAGGAGCGTCAGACTAGCTGCGGTGCGGGATCCATGAATGGATGTGTTTGTCGCGAGATGCCTGTCCAATTGTTGCCGAGGAGAATGTAGCATGTACTACAGCATGTAGTGAATGTAGGGGTTGGGTGCGTACAAGAACCAAATCGAAACGCGCTTCGCCGCGTCTTCTGGGTGTCACTAATGCCAAGCCTGTGATTATATAATTCTTGGCACCTTCTAGGCTTGAAATGGAAAATTGTTTATCTAGCGGGGCCAAGACGCGGGGTTTGATGGCCACAAGAGAATTTTCCAGCCTTCATCAATGCTCACAGAATCTACCCTGTTGGACGATTATTGTGCACTGGCAGACATGCTCGAGCCCAGATCTTCTGAAGACTATATCAGGCAGCTCGAGCGCGAATGCCTCGCCAAAAAGGTCTGGATCTATGCTCCTCAGATACAGGCCCCTCGGCTTCTGGTTCGCCCTTCACTCGGGCTCACTTCGTTCTCCAGGCGATCTTAGGGCAGGCGAATGATGTCGACCGGCTGAATTGGATGCAATTTAGTCTGGGTGAATCTGTTTGTGGTTTGAATGACGATTTTCTCCATATCCAACTGCCTACAGACCCGTTGTGGCCGTCAAACGCTCTGAAACTCCGCCCTGTCAACCCTGGCCCTCGCGTTCTGTTCCTCTGAGATGACCCAGCTTTGCCGCCAACTTCAGCGAGAGGCCATCGTTCCAGAAATAACTCTCGCATACTCTGACATTTGCCTGCCAATCTCGCAGGGTCGGTCGCGCTCGCAGGATCGATAGCCCCAAAAACCACGGCTGTGCTGATGGGTCGAACGTGGCCAGCAGCATGGTGGCCACCCAGGTCATAAATGCCTCGTTTCTCTCCGTCACCTCGATATACACTGTTCTCATGTACTTGCAGCGAATCTGGAGGTAGGCGTTCGTCAGAAAAAACATGGATCGTGTCGAGTCTGTGGAATAGCAGAACGAGGTCAACGCTAGAACCAGGAGTTGCTCAACCATCGTCAAACCTGACTTGTGCAGGAACTCGCCGCACAGCGTGACGTTGCGAGAACTCTGGGACAAGTCATGCAGGTTGTACACGTCCGAGTCTCGGAGAGAGGCATTCACCTCGTGGGTCCAGTTGTTGACATGGGTGACTAGGTTGATGATCTGATGACTCAGCATTCCTGACAAGGCCATGTCAGTCAGTCCCGGTGGGAAGCGCGCAATAACATCGCACAACTCAGGATCAAAGGGATGTTCTGGGTAGGTAAAGATTCCGTCTTCAGGGAAAAAACGTGGGTCAGTCAAGGAGATGGAATGTCGAGCTGCATAAAAGTTCTGCCACCTGGAGAGCGAAGGACAGACGGTCCCTGATTAGTCATGTGTTTTAGATCCAACGTCGCGTCAGAACCAAAATAGAACTTACGCCGTGGCCATGGTCCTGAGGAAACCCTCGAAACCTGTCTCTTGTCAGAATGATGTGTGTAGACGACCAAGTCATCGTGCAGGAGAAGTACCCAACTGGCTAGTGCCCCCTCGAAGGGCGACCACTTGCTTGATGCCGAGTGTATGCATATCAACCGCATCATAGTTTCCCGAAAAGGCCTACAGAGTCAGACACCGCGTCTCAGTGAGTTTACTATACACGGGGAGTTCCCTGGAGAGCTTATGCTCACCTCAAATGCGCACAAATTGGCCAGGGTCACAATCACGGCGTCGCTGGCCCGCTGCGACTCGTTGGTCAACCTCTCCCGTAGCAATGACACGGCTGACTGATAGAACCGAAGAGATTCAGAGGGAGCCTCGCGACTACCAGTGGCGGCAATATTGGCGCTAAAGGAGGACATGGCCACCAGCGCCGAGAAGACCATGCGGTCGTTCATGACGAACGGAATGTAATCACGCAGAAGGAACAAATCTGGGCCCACGCCAACGAAATGTGGCCGCTGAACCGCCGTCGGCGAGTACTGTTTCACATCTGTACACACAAACATTAGACGTGTGCATATGAAGTGTGCGGGGGACAGCCCATACAGTACTGAATGGCTCGCTGGACAAAACTGTTTCGGGGGAGGGGAAAAGGAGAATGCGACAAGTCCCGCGCTCCGGGATTGCCCAGTTGGACGAGTTCATGACTGGATTGCTGGGAGGTGCTGCGACGATGTTGGAGTGGTCTCTGTTGTTGTTCTGCAGGCTGTTCATGAGGAGTCTGTCGTTGCAGGTGTGACTGCTGTTCCTCATCTGCCCGCCGTCGCTGTCGGGGGAACAATGGATTCGTCCTCAGAACTGACGGTCTGTCAAGGTCACCGGGACGATCCATCTTTCCATGGCTCCGGACATGTTTCTCCACGACTCCTTCCTGCTGACATGGATGTCTGCAACAATATATGGGCATCTCGAAAACCAAAGGCTTCGGAAGATCCGCGCTCAATGTGCGCTAATCAAAGCAATTCCTCCGCAGCCGAGGATTTTGGAGCCTTGGGGCCTCTGGCGTCAGGGCATCTTGCCTGTGTGCGCCCTAGAAAGACGGTAGACTTCCCGCCCATTCGGTCACCACTTTCCAAAAGAGAATAACACACAAAGCAGTGGAGCGCTCTACTGAAGCAACGCATCACGATTCTATCGAGACCAGCTCCGGAACAAGATAATCCGTCCGGAAAAAATATGCAGGGATCCGCCTTGGAGGAGTCCCAACGCAACTGCGCAGCCACCTTGGACGTCCCTCCTAGTGCATCTCTAAAACCCATTCCCAGCCAACAACCGCGGGTGAAGGGGGGCCGGGAATGTGGAGAGTTTCTGGGTAAGCGAACCGTTGTCGAATTGGACACATGCTGCAAGGGGCGCGCAACGAGTTAATGCAGTGCTCACGGGAGCAGCAGCCAGGGTCAGCTCATGTTTTCGAATTCATCCAAGACTGACAACAGCCTAAAAGGCACATACAAAACCAACAGCGAGCGCGAACTCCGAGGTCGATCTACTTCATCGAAAAACCCCCAATCAGATGCCGGCGGCCCTTTGTGCGTTTTGGGCAAGAGTAGGCGGGATGGCCCTATGTGGACCTTTTGGACCAAGAGTTGGGAATTAAAAGACACATCATCTCCACACGTTGTCTCGGTGGTCGAGTCGTCGATGTTTTGAATCATGCACAATTGGCGATCCCCGAGAACATGGCGTCCAACCTCTACCAGGACGTGGGATGCCCAGGTTGAGTCTAGTGGGCGTCCAGCACCCATTACTCGGTTGAGATAATGCCCCCTACCACTCGTCTGCGGCGGCGCCAACTCCCAGGCCTTCGGGGCATTCTTCATTCGGCGTGCCCAGGCAACAAGAACGCCAATCAATCTTCTTTCGACCGCGGTTCTACCCTTCCAAACCCTTGCGGCTTTGTCATCGCGCATGTCAAGCTACCAGAACCAGAAAGCTACGACATCAATTCGACTCGTTGCATGACGCTCTCAAAGTGGCCATGAGAGGCTCCCCAGACAGCAATCAGCAGGCTCACTCATCTGAGAATCCGGGCCGGATTACTCGTGGCCACAGCGACCGACACGAAGAGAAGGGCACCTCTAAAAAAAGCTGAAAATGACTCCGGAGCACAGTGGATGGGCGGGCAGCCATCAACAGCGGGACCCGAGGCCACCTCATTCAACCCTAAAGCCAGTCGCACCGTGGTATGGCAAACCTGGTAGGGCAAACCTAGGGCCAGATCGACTATCCCTCCTACGCTGACAAACCTTGCCCAATCGCTAACATTGCGTTGGTGCATGGCATCAGAGGCTTGTTGTTGACATGCAGGGACACACGGATGAGTAGCCACAAAAATGGAAGAGCGAAGCCGCATGCTGTTGCCTCATCTTCGGCACGTTCAATAAGGAGGTGTGAACGACGGTGCCGCATCTCTGAAGGTGATAGCGGCACGCATCTTCTTTCTCCCACATCTTGCCCAGCCTTCATTTGGTAGTTATCCCTACTGAAGAAGATTGTCATCCGTCATTCCGGAGTCCACGATAGTGGATGGCCCGATCCCGGCCTTATGGTCAAGACAGCCAGTACTACCAGAAGGGGCTTTCATTTCAGAGACGCAGGAAACTCTGCTCGTTTTAAGCTATCCGAAACGCGTCTCCGGTCCACTCAAGAGCCCTCCTCTCGATTCTCTGGTCCCACCACCATCTCGCTCAGTCATGTGAAAACGCGGTAAGCTCAAAAGGGGGATCGATGCTCCTGTGTGTCTTCTTCCAACAAGACACAGACACTTCCGTTCAAGCTCAGGCTGCCACATACCGAAGGGTGCCGGCTGGATCGCAACCGCTGTTGCATCCGGGGAGGGTGTCAATTGTCTTTACCCCTATGCGACGCGTGCCTGTCGTTGTGATCATGATCATCACCACCACCATCATGATCAAATCATCACGGCTATTGATTTAACCGTCGAGTCATGTCGTTGGTGATTTTCAAGTCCATCCGAATGGATCTTAGACTCTTTGCTGAATAAGGCAACCAGGCTCAGAACCAGCGTTCTGGACAAGCCTTCTATGCTGATATAGCAAGCCAGTTGATGAAGAGGAAACAGTGAGTTGCCCAAGTTGGCCACCAGCCAGTGTAACGTTTTGGAAGGCCAACTTGAACAGCCCACATGAGGTTTGCTGTGCAGGCTAAAGGGGGATTGGATCCGAAATGCTAGAGTAGCTTCTATGGGGGAAGAAGACGACCTAGTTACTTGGTGGAAAATCAATGGCCAATATCAGAGGGAGGAAAGACAGCTGTACCACATGTGGCACCAACTGTTCAACACACAAAATGCAGCTCGAGATGTATGTGTTTATGTTTGTGCTGCGTGACTCACAAGGACTATTCAATGGCCTGGCAATTGGGAGGAGCCATACAAGTCGAAAGATCTAATGGATCGAATTGTAGGCTAGTTTATCTACTACAAGTCTTTATAGAGACTCTCCTGGGAATTTCATCCTCTATAACACCCCCCCATGCAATACACACAGACACATGCACAATCGCTATTTGCATAAACCCCGGCGGACAGCAGCAGAGGTTTTTAATCCGCATCCAGCCTCGCAACGGGCCTCGTGTCGTCGACCTGGATGCCTCCTCTCTTGCGCTCGTCTGCGTCGTGGAAGGGCAGGCGCCAGCCGCCCTCGCTGACGGGGCAGCTCAGCCACAGACGCATCAGGTGGCGGCGGGGCATGCCGCTGTCCGGGCCGTAGTCCCTGTAGGCGGTGCGGGCGTGGAGGATGTGCGAGTTTGAGACGAACTGGATGTCGCCGACCTCGAGGATCATGTGCAGCTTGACGCGCTGGCAGACGGCCTCGAGGGTCTCGAGCGCGCGGACCTGCGCCGGCGACAGCGGCGGGATGATGCCCTTGTCCGAGAAGCGCGTCAGGCTGCGCACGTAGTAGGGGTCCCATTTGCAGTAGACGCGCTGCTCCTTGCCCGCTTCGGGGGTTTCGAGGTAGAAGACGCTGGTGCGGATGTAGGGCTCCTCGCCGCGCGACACCTCGCCCTTGCGGTCAAAGTACCACACGGGCTGGGTCAGCAGCTCCGCCACGTCCGGGAACTCGACCTGCAGGATGTTCCACACTTGGTGCACGCACGCCACGTCCGACTCGCCGCCCTCCTCGGCGCGCGCGATGCAGAGCAAGCCCACAACGTCCGAGTCGTCGGCGTGGAAGAACTGTCGCGCGTTGGTCCGGTAGATGCGCACCTTGTCGATCTGCGTGCTGTCCTCGCCCAAGTCCTTGACGTGGCCCAGGATATGGCCCCGACCGTTCTGCGACACCGGGTACCCGATGTACGTGCCCAGTCCCATGTAAGCGACCGCGGACTTGTGCGAGCCCCATTGCTGCACGGGGAAGCCCTTGTACAGGATGAAGCCCTTGCCGTTGAGGATCTCGTTGCGCATCGATTTCAATGACGCTGCCATGCTCGGGAGCGGGAAGTTGGACGGGCTGATCCCTGTCAAGGGGAGGCCTTGGGCCATGAAGTTGTCCGCCGCGGTCGAGAGTTCGTTGATCTCAGAGTCCGAGAAGACGTGTGTCCATGTCTCCGGGTGGGAGGCGTAGTCCTCACTCGACCAGACCGTGGGGCCGGAGATGGACTTTGGAAACGCAGAGTAAGGGTACAGCTTGTCGTAGAGCGGCGGGTGTTGGCCAGATGTCTTGAAGCCGTCGGGAAAGATGGACAGGTCAATTGGCGTGGATTTCGTGGGCACCTCAGCAGGAGGGTGAGACGATTCAACCGCCACAGGAGCCATTGTGTTCTTCTGGTGTTTGTCAGTCAAGTCTAGGGTGGCCGATACCTCGTTTCCAGATGTGTCGAATCTCAGACAAAAGGAAAGGAAATGGGTCAAAAAGGTGAGAGAGAGAAAAAGGTCCGTCACTCTTGAAATTTCTTAGGTTCTTTTTCCCGTGATCCTCTTCCAGTTGACCTCATGTCATTCAAGTATAGCGAATCCCTACGCCATCAGCCATCATTGTACCGAGACGCATAGGGCATCTCCGAATGAACGCCTGCTATCGGGCTGTTTCGACGGGTCGCATGCGAGGGGTTCGTGTTGTGACACTGGTGACATCGTGAGGGGCAATTGCGTGATCAACTCGTTTCGCGAATGATGAACGAGGAGCGGGCGATGTCCGACACAATCACCTCAAGCGGAATGGTTCCGTAGAAACATATATAGAATCGGTATGTAACTCGATTGATGGAAAGGTGAGGCTCAGAGTGAGATATGTGAATTCGTGCGAAGATTGTCAGGGTGCCGTCAGTCCAACTAGAGAAATATCTGCAGACTCCACCCTCAGCCCCTACGCCTGCCGCACAAGTAGTAGAAACTGTAGGACCCGTAGGCCTCCCTCTTCCCAGGGAATCCAGCCTGCTCACATCACTGTACAACATCCAGCCTGCTGCCACTGTCCATTGGGATTGGACCTGGTCAAAGGATATGACCCCGACGCGAAATAGCCTCCGTGATGGTACACTGGTATTGCCCTCCCCTGCCCATCAGTCATGTTGTATCCATTACCCAGATTTCCTGCCTCCCTGGGTGTCCTGAGAATTATCCTTGTCTTGTCAGCATCGTAGTCTCCTTTGAGATCGCAATTTGGACAACTGTCGGCCGGCGCAGAGACGTATTCAGGCTGGAGTAGTCTTTTCCAGGCACTTCTCGCGGGTTGATATTGGTGAGCCTGGTTCTTGAAGGATGCTTCTGGCCCACACGGTTTGACGATGCTCATCCAGTGATGTGGGCAGGTATGAGATTTGAATGCTTCGGTCTTGCACATCTTGCAGTTTATTTGTGCTCTCGGGGGTAGATCAGGTGCAAGGGTGTATGCTCGACAATACTGTGTTTGCTTATCCAAGGCTTTCAGCACAGGATGCTGCGTTTCAGGAGGACGAGCTCAAGGAAGAGGAGTCGCTTTGAAGACTAATATTGGTGCGGCGTCATCTTCTGGAATGATACTGTTTGCCTGTCGGGTTGGTGGTAGAGCGGGCGGTGACAAGCCTGGTGAGTGTGTTTAGAGACCGGCGTTCGCAATGGCTCCTCCCTCGTTTGGGATGGCTTGAGTGATATCCAAATTGAAATGTCACCGTTAATTTCACCTGGGTCGCGCCGAACCAGTCTCATCGACTGCCAGACTCATCATGAGCTGTTCGATGTACCTGAGCCCTTGGCCTCTTCAATCGCCTTCAAAATTTCTCCTTCCTCTTCCTCGTCAACACTGTCCCTCCCTCTCCTTTGGATCGCCAGCATAAGCTCATACATCTGCCCGACCTGTTGATCACTCAATTTATCCAACAACGCCGGGTCGATCTTTTGCTCTTTCCAATCCTCCCCTTCAAGTTGCTGGCCGTATTGTTGCCATTCTGTCAGAAAGCCGACAATGTGTAACGGGTTCTCAATGTCCCTGTGTCTTCGAAACTCGGCTTTCAGGTAGGTGTCGCCGAAGACGCGTTCTTCGGGGCTGAGTCGCTTGCGGTGAATGCGCAGGAGACGACGATAAAGAGGAATGGGAGGGAGTAAAGCCAGAGCTTGCGCTCGCTGTCCTGGTCTAAATGACGGCGTAACGGGGGCCGCAAGCAGACGTAGACTTGCCCGCATGGTAGAATCAAGCACTGCGAGATCCGATTGCCTACCCTACGAGGTGTGAGAGCTCCTCAACTGGAAACAGATATTCACCTTAAGCTTTGAACATGGAGACGAGGAACTGAAAACTGGCCCCGAATCCCGACAAATAGCCGGCTGGTTCTTCAGGGAGGCCAATCCACGAGGCTGAGACCCTTTAGCTTGAAAACAAGTTGTACATACGGAGTATGCTTTTCTAATTACAATTTCATCAAGTTCTTCTGGAGACTTGAAGTCTCTCGGTGACTTGCCGGGGCGATCTAGGTATGGATACATAAGGAAAAGCCATGCCAACACCATTTTGTCCCATCCATCCCACAAAGCCACCATCTGCTCCTCGGTGTCAAACCATAGCAATAAAAGTGGCCTCTAGCCAGAACAGTAAAAAAGTCTTTCGAATCCGGAAAATGATTGGACAAGGAAGCTCACGGGGGTATCTGCGGTCGACCGTCTCTCGTAAAATGCAGTTCTGAGTACTGTACAGGTAGTTGCGAAAAGGTCGTAAGCTCGTAATCATACATGAACATGGGTCAAGAAGAAGAGGGCTGCTCGTCTCGCCTAGTCACTGCAGTCCATGTCCGAAAATTCTTCGTCCTCCGCGAATGGTCCGTATTCCTCCCGTAAGGTTTCTTCGTCAGTGAAATCGTCATCGAGCATCGGGTGGTAATCCTCCTCCTCGGCGTTACGAAATTCGTCGGTCACGTAGAGTCCAACAGCGTCGGCCAATGTGAAATGATGGTGTTCCTCTACGTACGCTTCCGTGTCTAGAAGATGCATTGGGAACATTTGGTCCGGATCTTCAAGGATACCACTTGCCATGAAGTTCTTCAAGTCCAAACTTTTTCGCATCCGCCTGGTGGCATTTGGCCAGCGACCTTGCTCGAGGGTCATGAAGCCTAGTCGGAGATCGAGCAAAGATGGTTGACGTTTCAGCATGCTTAGGAAATAGTCCTCCGTGGTCGACATGCAATCCAGATTCAACATGTAGAGACATGGCCAGGCGTTTGAACCGAGAATATTTTCCAGGCTGGTGACAGCTCCATAGTAGCCGTAGTCGTCAAAGTTAATCGTCAGCTGTTCCAAATCACGGGCAGCGCTCAGTGCGTCACGAAGACAACCTTTCGCAAGATCTGCATAGCAGCGGTCCGCAGTCATAATGTCCAAGCCAATCCTGTCATCCTTCTCCAGACGGAAGTTGAGGTCAATGACTTTGAGGTTTTGAAAGGCGCGACATATCAGACCAGCCGGTACAAAGCCGGTGAAGAACTTGGGGCTCATGACATGGACCTCCAATGCCGCGAGTTGGGTGAGTGGGCGCCCTTGTGGGAAGAGGAGATGTTTCAGCTGGTCCTTGGTGAAACTGGTATCCTGTTCAATTGGCATAGCACAATCGGCAGTAAATGACTCGAGGAATCTCCCAGAGAGAACATGCTTGCAGCGACCAACAGTTGAAAGGACAAGTTTGTTCAGTCTTGGGAAACATGGCATGCTCGACGAAATGAAGTCGGCATAAGCGGCGGACTTGAGAACCTTCTGTTGTTTGTCATAAAGATCCAAATACCGGTCGTACTTTTTCTCAATCTCGCGGTTGAACTTTGCCAGGTTTCGTTCGTAGAGTCTGTGCTCACGGGGAGTCGCATGTTTGGAAGGAGGTTGCGGTCTTTCGCTCTGGTGATGATCGAGCTCGTAGTGGGCTTGGTAGGTATGGATGCAGGGTACGCTGGCCAGCAGATTGCCTTCGAAGACTATGGTGTCGACATATTTAGAGAAAACATCGTGCTGTGCGATAGCGTGTAGACGTCTGAGGGAGTCCTTGGTGCAGTGGAAGCGCACTCTTTTTACCAGCGCTTCAGCTCCGACCTCGGCCAACCGCTTGTTGACCAGTCGCACATTGGCAACACTTTGAAACTCTAACCAAGCGCACACTTTCAGGAGCACCTCATCGGGGCATTTGTCCATGTTTGATGTAGTGTAATGGGTGAGATGTTACAGGAGAGAGCCGTGAAGGAGGAAACGGGAGTGCGTGATTTTGAGAGGTGAGGGGCAGTTGGGCACCGGCCTTTGGCGGTCGTAGGCGCGGAGCTGGCTGCGCACAGGGGGGCTGAGCTGGATTGACGAGCAGCTCTGGACCTGGTGGGCAGGCTGACCAGCGCAGTGATAACGAGTGTGATGCGCTTCAAGCCATCCAGAGATGGTTGGTTGAATGAGGGAGTGAGGGAGGATGGATGGAGATGGGAGATGGACAGGGAAAGTGAGCAGCAAAAAAGGTGACGTTTTGCCGGGGGTGGATGTTATCGGGGGAAAAAATTAAGGTAATCAGTTTTTAGGGGAGAGACAAGAGATGGTTAACGGAACAAAAAGAAGCCCGGGGGACAGAATGGTGCCTTGTTACGCTTGTCTTGGTGCCTGTCACCCAGTAATTAGCAGGTCTCTGCACGCTTACCCGTGGATAAAAAGTGCGGGACAAAGGGAGCACGAGGAAATGGAGACCTGGGCTAGTAGCACTAGTGCCTAATACACCCTTTACCTGGGCTCGCTGGGAAGGTTTTCACGCGATCCGCGTAAAGTGATTCCTGACAGGCTAAGCTTAGTTGGCTCTAGTCCACCATGACTTCCCCCAGCCAACCCATTTTGAGTCCCTTAACCGCGCAGGTGGTGCATCTCAACTTGTTGCGGCGCTCCCAGCACTGTCCAACCCACCATCACCATCCTTTACCACTACCACCACATCACAATCCCAACGTGCGCCTGAAAACCCCTCAGACCACGAGCACTGGCCTTTTCACATTGTGCAACCTGGCACTTTACTTCACGCGTCTCTCGTCGCTTCACCTGTCATCCCTCTTATGTCCCGCCGTTGGTGACACCTCCATGATCAGATAATACAGGATTCTGTCCGGCTCAGAGCTTATGCTCTGAGCCCGTTCGCACACCCGATTAAGCACCCACTCGAGGCCAGCATATAATCCTCATAATTGGCAAAGCCTGGTTGTGTACCGAGGATCAATTCAGGATGGAAGCAACCGTGGAGTTGGAAGAAGTGCCCGCCAAACCACTGGCGAAGGGCGCAGAGACTCTTTTGGCGAAACACCTTCATGGAAGGAAACAAGAGTGGGATGCAATTACGGCGCACAAAGAGCCCTTGCGCCTGCTGGACTTGCCCGTCGATATCCTACAGACCATTCTTCGAGAGTTGACGCACACAAATGACCTGACATCCCTCGCTTTGACCCATTCAGCGCTCCACGCCCTGGTTATTCCTCACATCTATGCCCGCTTCGATATTGTCTGGCCGGACGCGAATGCCACCTTTGAGAACCGCATGGGTGTCGATGCGCTAACCTACGGACTGGCAACTCTGGTTATGGCTCAGGACGTGTTTGGTGAAGCCCCCTACCAGCAGCAGATTCAACATCAATGTCAGAACTGCGGTCACCAAAACCGGGCAGCCCAAACAGCCTTGGAACGGCCCAAAAAGATTCGCCGTGGCAATCATTTCGCTCAGTACACCCGGAAATTCAGTCTAGGCAATGGACCAGCGGAGTGGGTGCAGGAATACCTCATCACGAAAGAGGGAGGGAAGATGCTAGGGACGTTGGTTGCACTGGCAGTGGGCAGGATGCGAAACCTGGAAGCTTTCATTTGGGACATGCCCACGGGTGTTCTTCGCGATGTGTGGATGGCTCTAGCTTCGCTCGGTAACCGCGATGACGGACGAGAATGCCGGCTTGAACGAGTCTGGGTTCGCTGGCATGACAATCAGGACCAAGGCCCCCTGGCTTCTCCTCCACCACCAGGATCTATCCCAGGGCCACAGGCTTCTAACTTGCCAGCGATTTTGGCGGGATCTGCCGACTCCCTTTTTCAAATTCCACCATATCCTCGTGTCGAGTTTCCGACGTTTTCGATTCTGCCACCTCTCAAGAGTCTAAGTGTGCTTGATATTGACGAACTACCCTATGCAGAGGAAATGAGCGTTCTCATTGAGAGATCCTTGGGGAGACTTCAGGAGCTCCGTGTCGGCATAGCTTCACACGCCCAGTTCGACATATGGGCAAGACCTTCCGAAGACCGAACTTCTATTCTGCCTCCCCTTATGCCAGGGATTGGTGACCAGACACCGCGACCGGGAGGTATTCTCGGCATCCTAGTGCATCGATTCTGCGATACCTTCTCTCATTATGCACAGAATCCAAAGCCATCCTCTATAGACCCGCAACAGGGCCCGGCCCAAAATGCTGCGATTGTGGACACTTCTCGAGAACCGGAGCGGGAGGAAGATCACGAAGGTGTAGTCAGCACTTCCGAGGTGAATGAGTTGGGCGCCCTTTTGTCGGCCCAGAGTATCCAGGACGACCACTCTGAGGCGGTTTCTGCCTCAGCGACGAAGCAACGATCAATCGAAGACGCCGCTTCCGTTCCACACGCCACCCAGACTCACAACACGAACGACACATTTCAAGATTCTCCTCGAGAAGGTCGCCCAGTGCGAAAATTGCAGCTGGAAACGCTCGAGCTAGAACGGGTCTACTTGTCAATTCCGGTGCTTTCAAAAGCGGTCGATTGGTCTCGACTGACGACCTTGACTCTTTTAGGCTGTCGAAATCACGATCAGCTGTGGAAAGCGCTACGGAAACGGTTTACTCCCACGAACCGGAGGAGGGTGTCAACGACGCCGTTCAGGATCTCAGCAAATGGAATGTCGAGCATGCTACTTCGATCACAGACCAGCACTCCTCCGCCTCCTGCCCCCGCTTCGTCGGATTATCCCCTGAGATTGAGGCGACTGCACACCGACATGGTGTCTCCAGCATTGATTGCATTTATCAAGGACACGCTTGCGCCGGACAGTCTGGAATGGCTTTTCCTTCAGGAGAACACGGCGTACAAGTCGCCGGTGTCGATTGACATGATTTACAAAAGCGCCATCCGACGGCATCGTTCTAGTCTGACCAAGCTACTGATCGACAGCACACTTCGAACCGAAGACCCAGATCGTCCTAATACCAATTGGCGGAGATGGGTGTGCAACCGGGAACTCATCACTTGCATCACCAGCGGCAAAATGAAACTACGAGAGTTGAGCATGTCGATCGACTACAAGGATTGGCACTATTTCCTCCGGCGCCTGCCTAACGCGACGACGCTGCGGTCGTTGCACATTCCACATATAGCCGAACACGTCAATGGCACGGTTCATTCTCGCGAAGCGGCATTGCAAGTCCTTGATATTGTGGCTCTGAGGCCAGAGCTAGAGTTGTGCTACCTCGGGATTCAGAGTCAGTGTTTCGAGATCTTGGAGTATGCGAGTCCGCGAAAAGGATCCAGCTCAGGCATGAGCGGTGTGGATCATCCTGGAGACGACATGGGACCAGATGGTGACATGATGGCGACTCACGGCAATGCGGCTCCGACTCCGCACGACCATGACTCTCATGATGAGGAAGCTGGCGAGAATGGCGAAGGCGGGGGAGCGAACGATGATAGCGACTTTGACGCGATTTCAGACGATGGGAACGGTCTGACGGATGACGAGGACGGGAGTGACGATGGGGGAGAAGGCGGTGGTCCTGGTGGAGCGAAACCGACGTGGAGGCTTAGGGAGATTCTGTTCTACGACGACAAGATTTCCATCTTCAAGGCGAGGCATGGACGGTTATAATACGAATGCAAATGTAATTACGAGAAGCAGAGCGTCGAAGTATTGGGGCATGATAAGGAAACAAGGAAACGCGAACTTGGGACGGGCTGAAGAAAACGGACGAGGCGTTACAACTGAGCGTGCCACGGGTGCTACGGAAGAGTTTGATCGGAATTGCTACTTTGACATTGCCATGTGGTGCTGCCATGTGGTAGTGACGGCGACACGGACAGGGACAGCGTGATGCTCGACCCAAAGGCAGATGTCAGGCTTGTTCCAGGCCGGGTGCAAATCACCACAACATTTTATATATATATAGTCGGAACGCGGTCACAATGCAAACGATTGCTAGGACGAGGACGTGTCTTGATTCGATTTGAGTAATCGTAAGAGATTCCAGGAAGATGTGATGCAAGTGATACAAATGACCTGACTACAGTACCTGGGTACCCGTGTACCTTGATCCTTGATACCTATGTAGATATGTAGGTATTATGGTACTATGGTACTATCGTAGTCATGCCGCACAAATCATGAACGAGCAGGTAGTCGTTTAGTTCGTTACTCATGCATACATACATACGAGGTACATACAAACAAACAAACAAACAAACAAACAAACAAACAGATTCCCCTACACTACATGCAGGATGCATGCAGAGGATACGATATCAGTGCTCGGGACGTGCATATGCATATGCACATGCACATGCGTATTCGTACGGAGAACGCGATGCAGCCACACCAACCATACATCCACGTCACGCGTCCAGACATCCAGACACCCATGTATCCCTCCCTCCATGCATGTTTGCAGTTCCATGGTATGCAGGTATGCAGGTACGTAGGCACGTAGGCACGTAGTCATGTAGTTAGTCATAGCGGGGAGACATATACCCAACAAGGGAATTCGTCGAGTCGAGTCGAGTCGAATAAGAAAAAAACGCCCTCTTTCCGCTCGTTTATTCGTTTACAAGGGGGTTCGTTTCATATACCTCGCTCGTAACCGACTATTCATTCGCTCGCCCATTCGCTTGCCCCTCGCCCATCACGGGAAACAGACGATTTGATGGGTCCATCTCTCCCCTCCCTCTGTGTCTCTGTCTGGCTCTTTGGCTCTCTGGCTCTATCTATCTATAGATATATAAAAAGATTATGTGGAGGATGATTATCATTCGGGGAGATACTCCGTAAGTAATAGTACCTATTCACCTCGTACTCGGTAGGTGTATTTATTTACCCGGACTACGTGGGCTCGCTGGCTCCCGGGCACCTGACGAGGCTGAGCTGAAGGGGCCGGGCCCACTTTTTCATCGATCAAGGACAAATACCGAGTACGGAGTTACTTGTACGAGGTAATTCGGTCCAGTCCCTTGTCTTTGTCTGACGAGGACCAAAGGTAGAGGAAAAATACGCAGTAAAGACCAGAGGCAAAAAATCAACGAATACCCTCATCTCTCCTCTCCTCTCCCATCCCATGTTTCCAGAAATGAATCAATCAGCTTGATTGGATTAATTTGATAATGAAATGGGAAAGGAATACCACCTGTGGGTCTCTGGGTCTCTGGGTCGTGTGAGCTTTAGCTGTCTTGCAGTCTCGCAGTCTCGCTTCCATACGTGATTTTTACTCTTTCCAGACATTTTCTCCCGCTTCTTTCATGCGTTGACGCCCCCCCAAGTCACTAACCGTAAGTGGTAAAGACTCCTTCCCCTCGTACCGAAAAAGCACGGAGCCCCTGCGAGGACTCGTACTACAACCACTGTAAGTACAAATACTCGCTACGCCGCCAGATCCCCGTTGGGGATATGGAGACTTCCTTATCTCAGCCATCGCCCCATGACTACGAGGTACTTGGTTGCAAACTTAACCATGTGATATAAAGTGGGTGAGTGGCCATTTCGCATACCAATCCCAAGTACCGAAGACACCACACTATCGTACCGCTCACGCCATCAGCCACACGGTTCGAGTCCGACGAACGGAAAACAGATCAATCTCGCTCACTCGTCGGGTGGCGTGTCTCCAGACATCGGCGCCGGACTGCGGCGTCAGCGACCCTTCTACCAAAGAATTCCAAATGACACGGACAAGGCAATGACGCGGCGACTCGGAATTTGAAATTCTCTTCTTGTTGCGACATGGTGGGCATGATTTCCACGACAGGGCCAAAGGTCTGCTTACGGGCCGCATCGAAACAACAAAGTGCAAATATACCCAATGGGACCAATACTCGATTCATGTGCATTCCGGCCCTGATGAAGCCGGAGGAAAGCAGGAAGACGGTGGCGGTTGTGACCACTGCACTGCGCGGTAATCGATGAGATTACTGCTAGTCCTTTGCTGTGTTTCACGGGCCATGTCCGACAGTTGTCCTTGCGCATCATCTTCTGCGTGGAGATTGACTCCATGTCCGTAGAAAAACCATTGTAAAAGCCTCCGGAGTGACCGCGTAGTTGCTAGGGCGCTCATTTTCCTGGCGAGGAGAGAACGAGCCCTTCTCACGACACGGTTTGACACCATCCTTTGTACCTCTTTCATGCACCATGCCCTAGCAAGTGCGGCACCCTTCGTCCCAAGTGTTGTTCCTATTCCACCTTCTTTCTCTCGGTGTCCGAGGCCTGGAAAGTAAACAAGCGCACGGTTCAACGTTTGATGCTCGACATCTTGCATCCTGTTGATCGACACCATCGTATTTGTGCTTCATCATCGAACATCGCATTGCAATTCGGTGGGGAGAACGGAACGGCTGCAGATGTGTTCGGCGAGGGCAATGTGGAAGAGACTATCTGTGCTGATAAGTATGCGAGTCAACCGGATCTCTCCAAGGCGAGGCTGCTGCAATTGGACATCACACATCCTTGGTGCCAGGCTCCTGTGATTCCTTCAATCACGTCGGTTCGCCAGACAGTTGTACTACCTTTCAAGTATCAGGAGCATCCCGCAGCTGACCACAGCTCCGTGAGGCGATCTGCAGTGCATACCATCGCCATCTCCGCGTTTGGGAGAGGTTTCAAAGTCGCCAGGGATCGGCGAGTCCGTTGCTTGTTACCAATAGGTTGACATTGGGGCAAGAAACCCGTTAAATCACCCTCCTTGCTGAGGAACGGGCACGATCCTGTGCAGTAATCCTGCCCAGCAGCAGACTGCAGACATGGCGTCCCTCTCATCCCCTGCCATTGCCGCCCGCAACTAGACGGTGATCATTAAGGGAAATAACCACATCAAGGCAGTCTTAGGCATCATGCATCTGCACTCCATGGCCGTGGCTTGTTTCGTATGTAATGACTGACAAATTCTTGGAAGCCCCTGTTCCTTTGACGCCCTCTGTACAAAGGAGGAGCCGCCAAACTCATCCGTGGCATCTCGGCAAATATCGAGGCAGCTTGCCGGTTGTATCAACGTCCTAGCGTTTTCACAAACATACATGACTGCTCTTGCATGTGGAGCTACGGCACGCACTCCCTGCTCGTTTGTGTGAGGTACAAAAATGGCCAATGATTTTTCTGACGACTGTCAAAGTTCTCGACTTCGTGGCAGACCAAAGTTAGTTTTTTTTGGCAGCCGTCTTCAATAGTTGTTGCAAGGGGCTGGTAGTAGTCCTGGACGCGAGCAGCTCAGCTTCCCTCGACGAATAGTAATGGGGCCCATGGGACCTTGAAAGGGAAATCTTCCGGCCCCTTGTGGATACATGCCTTGATCAATCGTACGACTGGACTCCAGGAGGTTTCGGATTGACCAAAGGTACCGTCTCCAAATTTGTCCTCCACTCCTCTTTGTAGTCTCCAGAAGCTGATGGAGATCATGATGAATCGGCAACATGTCTGAAAGTCCATGCACCCCTGACAGGAATGTTCAGCACAGAGTTGAGGGACTGAGGCAGCCCCCACCAGGAAGGAGGTATCAGGAGCTCAAAGGCAAGAAAGGTCCCTAAAGCTCAACGGGCAATAATCATGGCGCCAATATCAGATTTGGTATGCCGGGTATTGCCCCGACCTGGTTGAACGTCCAGCCCGGAGCATGGCATGCAGATTCAATTGGAGCTATCCGGCAGTAGGAAGCGTCGAAGGCTGGTGTCCAATGGCGGCTTCTGGCAAGTTGACGAACAGCAGATGTCTCCATAGTAGTGACTCTATTATTGCACGCTGTCCCCCAAAACCACCAGTCTGGAAATTTCTTGCTCAATTGTGCTAGTCACTCGGCAAAGCTGGGCCGAGGGCTGCTCTGTTGAGCTTCTGGGTCCTTGGGTCGCTATTGTGCAAGCATTTATGTACACATGACAAAGTATGTGGAGAGCTGCTGGTGAGGAATCTGAGATTCACACCGGCTGGGCCATTCTCATAAGCACTTTCGCGATAAGGTGGATGATGATGGACCAACCCAGCACAGGGCTTGTTAATCTGTTGTGTACCTATACTGATTTCAATTCGCTCCACAAGTCAGCTCCAACATAGTCGTAATATAACTTGTAAAGCCCACAGCTGTTCCCTACGCCCTCGGCGTAGAATCCTTTGGGTAATCCCAACCTCAGTCGTCCAGGCTCACTTCAGCAAGCCTGAGAAGTGCTGCATATGGGGTTGAGGCCAGAAAAAGACGCCATTGACAAGGAGAAGCGACGAGAGCTGGTAAAGTGTGAGAAATTGGGTTCACACCTGAGGCGAAGGATCCAGTTGAGACAGTGATCGACTCTTCCCCTGGTGGAGATCGATGGACTTGAATGGAGCCACATGTGTAGGTAACAATCCTCCCAGGAATAATGACTAAACACATCGGCGTCTGTTCAGGAGAGAAACTTTCACTTGCTAGGGTCTAATCTCAATAGCTGGCCTTGAGCATGGTACTGCAACCTGAGGTCTGACGACCCGCCAAGCCAGAAGGATGAGGTCGGCCGCATGAACGTACCTCAGCTGTCCCATAGTATACTCGGTCAGAGTTCCTGACCTGATCCTTTGTCGCCCTTCTCCTTTCTGGCACAAGCACAAGCACCAGCCACAAAGTCGTTGTGGCGGGGGCTTGAGAGAGTTAGGTGCCACAGCTTTGTGCACGAAGGACCATGGGGATCGGGGGCGGAACAGGGCTGAGAATAGTGTTAGTTGTTAGCGAGATCAGTTGACGACCCATTGCTCCAGTTGCATTGTTGGCAGTCCCTAAACCATTGCCTCATGTTGATTGGCTGTGAAGTTTTGTAACTTTGGAAGTGTCGCTAGAAGTGGTAGAAAATGTATTATACCAGGAGTACCACCCTGGTGATGGGACCTTGGTCATCAGTTATTACACGAGCCGGGGGTTAATTCTGATGATTTACCCGAGTCACCGAATAAATCTGGTAAGACACTTGTGCTTTCCGCGAGCAAGGCGACGCCGGCCCGTGTGTTACGCTGATGATAGTGGCGACTTGATATGTGTCGTAGCATACTCAAGCAGGTGTAGATAGACCCGCACCTGTACACAAATTCTTGTATCTCGGGTATCCTGTCCAGCCACAGACTGAAATCGAGTGGCGGACGCCATCATTGACGTCGCTCGGAGCTTCTATTGCAGATCCGATAGAAACAGGATGCGTAACGATGATTTCCAGGTTCTCGAGAGGCTCAGACAGGCAGGCAGGATAATCCTAGATCCAGGCATGATCTGGCTGCGCGTAAAACCCGTCGATGCGGATGCTAGCAGCCTAAACCACACAAGGGAAAACATGACCGGCCATATTATTTGTCCCGGAGAAGGGGCGAGACTGACGCTTGCCACTGGCGCGGTGAAGGAGTGGCGGACAGTCATGACAGGAGAGGAGGTATCCTTGATGCTGGGAAATCGGTTGTAGACGATACCCTCTAAAGAGACCAGCTGCGGGAGAAGAGTGTTAGTCCAGAGACAGACGGTATCAATCGGATTGCATTGGAGCGTTTACCTCAGTAGGGAACCGCAGGACAACACTTGTTTAGCAAGATGAAGGATCAGTCTGAGGAGTGAGGCTGCATGTTACATGGGTTGCCATCGAGACCCTGGGGGCCGAGGACGTTGTGGTAGCTTTGAGCCGTTGAAAAAGACTGGATGCGGAAAAGCCTGGGCGCTGCAGCTGAGGTGGGGTTAGGGCCATGGAAACAGACAAGAGAGCGAGCAAGAGGGTTACTGAAGAGGAGCATGTAGTAGGACATACAAAGCCACTCATCCGATTGTGACATGACAATTGATGACAAGAGAAGAGAAGCGAGCGACAAGGGAAGCGCGGCAAGCCAAGTGACAGGGGGGAGGGCAAGCCATCCGAGCCGGGGATGGGAAGCGGTACTCAGTGACTCGGCGGAATGAAGCTGTGGGTGTCGCCCCGTACCTGTACTCCAAGTGTAGCTGTATGTAGAGGGCCTTGAATTCGGTGGTGCCCACTGCCTGAGGCGCCGTGCTAGGTGCCTAAGATAGATGATGGGGAGGTGCCTGTAGTGTCATGATGCTGTGGTCAGTGAGCGTGAGCAGCTGCATGACCTCACCCATTAACCCTGGAGAATTGCCTACCTCCAGAGGACCTACTTAACCTATAAAGGTAGGCAGGTAACTGTACCTTGGTACCTGGAGACCTCTTGCCGGTGCCTGGTCCCTGGTCCCTGGCACATGTGGACTCTCCCTAAAACCCTAGCAGAAGTTCCCTGGGCGCTCCCCTGGTCGATCTCTGGGTGGGTGTTGGTGGATACGTTCCCGGGGCCGAAATCCCGGCTTATCAAGCCACGATTTGAGGAACTGTGTCCCAATACCCACAGCACCGTCAGCCTCGCCTCTGGCCGCCCCCCTGCTTGTCTTCCCTGGGTTAACTAACCCCCCAATTACCACTTCCTCGTTGGCGGGACTTTGGCTAGCACAAAAATCACCGAGGCACTTCTACCTTACTGGCTCGTGCTTGTGGTGGTGGTGTTGGTGGTGTGCAACCTATCTTGGTTGTCAACCAACTCGGGCACCTGCTGAGTTGCCTGCGACTCTGCAGTCTTGCTGGTGCAAAGCTGACACCAACATCCAAACCCACCCTCCCATAAAGTCGTACATCTGCATGCAAACTTCACCTGGCACCGACACATGCGCAACACATCCCCTTCCGCCGGGTCATATGCCCCTCATTCCCTTCCCCCCTCTATGCTCGTTACAGGTTGTTTCTTTCTCAAGAGTCAAAGAGGTGGATATCTTTGTCCTAACCTAATATAGGTGCAGCCAGCCAAGCGATCTGTTTTCCTTCGGGCAACTCGTTGACCCAGTCGCCGATCCAGTCGCCATGATCTGTTGCTCAAGCGGGCTGCACGTTCCCTCTTAGAGCAAGCCTCAACCCACGGGCCATGCCGACCACTCGTACAGCCTGTGGCCCAGTCCTCTCTTGTCAGTAGTCGCTCGGTTGGTCCTCACATCCTGCATTTGGAGCCTCGTCCAGTGCTCATGTTCCAGCACTGCTTGTGGTACACATGAATCCTTTCTCTCGAGTCTGCTCCCTCGATTTTGACTGGCTTTGGTCTCAAGGCGTTCTCGATACTTTTTACACGCCTCATGAAATATAAAGAGCCGGAAAAATGGAGAGTCGCTTCTGGAAGGCAAAGCTTGAAATGCTGCTCTCGCCTAAACCAAGAGACGGGTCTCCGCTTCTGAAGTTATACGACGTAGCATTGCAGCAGCAGCCGCCCCCAGACACCCTCCCCAAAAAACCGCTGCAAAGTATAATTGAAACCTCCCGCATCGGGAGCCATAGACTCATGCTTTTTGCCAGACAAAAAAGAATCCAAATCAACCACAGATCTTGCACCACTGTGGATCAACATTGCTCCCGTTCCCAATCCCTCCCAAGCAACCAGTGTCCAGACGCCGTGGCCGGAGCATGCGCTCAATTTTCCTTGTCGTCGCCGCCTCCGTTGCCGTTCCCTTGAGCAAGTGTTCATCTGGCCGTAACTTGACGTGCAACGGATGTCATCTCTCGACCTATTCCTGCCTCCACCACTTGCTCATTGAATGCTTGAAGTCGTATCGTCGTCATCGCCATGCCATCCTAATAATGAAATTCAAATAATCAAGATTCCTTTTTCGCTCGGTTCGAACTCTCGCCCTCGGGCCTTCCTTTGCACTTGCCGCCCGACATGTGGCCATTTCTAGCCGTGGTTCTAGTAAACTCCGTGCCACAGTGTGGGCAAACAGCTTTGACCGCGCTACCACTTTTCTCTCTCTGGTGGCGTAGTAAGTTCGAAAAGGTCGAGAACTGGCGTCCATTGCATCCGTGATCCCAGCACTGGGGTTTTGGTCTAGATGGCATGATCTCAATTTCCGCGGGAGAAGATTCCAAAGTGAGTGGTACTGGTGGGAAGGGTTGCATCGCCATCCCGATTGAAGGCAATGGTTGTTGGCTATGCTGCGGCTGACCGTGCATGTACAAAGCATTTGGCGACTCGGGTGGGGGTAGGCTCAATGCTGAGCCATGAGAAGTTGTGCGGCCCACGGGATAGAATGTGTGGGCTTCCGTTTCATTCTGGTGCAGCGGATATTCGGTAGTGGTGTCTTGTTGTGCCGTTGGTGGTGGAACAGCGGATCCAAAATAACCACTCTGGTGCGCGAAGCTGTTGATGGGCGGAGACATATTGTACGGAGGCATATTGTACATCTGGGGCATTGTCGACCCGCTCTGTGATGGCATAGCAGCCATTGACGGCAGGGACTGTGTCTGGTGTAACTGATTTTGTTCAGTAGCATAAGCCAGCAGCATGTCACTTCGACTATGACTGCGACCGCGAGAGAGGCTGGGCCTGTGGTGCCGAATGGGAGTTCGGTCACGAAGTGCTGGCGCGCTCATTGCCGCCTGCGGTGAATGGGACGAACGTCGGCGATATGACACATCGGAACTGACTGAAGGATGAGATACCATCAAAAGTGGCTGTGGTGGGGGTTCAGAGGTGTAGGCAGCGTTCCCAGGTGGCAGACTGTCAAAATCTAACCTCCTGATCAGCAAACAGTAACGTAGTCTAAAGTGCGCAGCGGTAACGCTTACTCTGAAAAGAATGGAGCATCTCGTTCCCGTATGGCAAGTGGTTGGGGAATTGCGACGAGGGCGTAGGAAGAACTTGAGCAGCCATTCTATGAGGTATACATGTCAGTCAACCCCATAACTCGATCGATTCAATGGACGTTACGAACCCTTGTCGTTGTAGCGTATACTGCGACAGTCCGGTAGACTGCAATTCTGTTGAAGTTGGTTGTTGGGGGTTCGATGTCCAAGAGAATTGATGGGTCGGGTAGGAAAAGGGTTCTGTGCGTTGCCGCTCCTCCTGATGCGGTTGTAACCCCGTTTTGGTCAGTATTGACGACCTGGCGTGGTCTTGTCCTCCTTGATAAGTGCCGACACGGCCACTTCCTTGACCACTTGCGGCGGGGAGTCGATTCTCGCTGTATGTGGCGCTCTGAGTGTGGCTGGATGAACGCTCCGAGGCCGAGGGCGAAGCCGACAAGAGGGAGGGAGTGGACTGGCACGAGTTGTGGTACGCAATATTGACTGAGGCTACAACCGAGCCTGCAGGAGCAAGCTCGATATATCTTGAATATTCTTTCTTTGTAGTCGAGGACCGATCGACGAAGTTCTGGAAGATAGGGAACGGAAAGTTGGCGGTCACTGACTGTCCAAAAACCGCCGGGCCCGCTCCGATAAATAATATCTCGAAATAGGTGCTGCTTTATCCCCGCGGTGGAAAAGGGTCCGCGCAGATTCTGTTGGAGGCAAGTCTGCGTAATGACGATATTCAGTGATTGGCCAGTCTTAGGGTATCGGAATTGCCTTTAGGCACGGCACGTTGAAGGCAGTTGAGAGGTGCTTGCTGATGACCGGATCTTGTGAGGTTGAGGGGTGGTTGCTGATGCCTTCGACTCGGGGATATCCTCGACGGATAAACTCTTTGAAAGTATCACGCCTCTCCCCCTTTAGCGCAGCCCTACAGTCCCCTTTGTACGTTGCTCATATGGCCAAAGAACGTTTTGATCCTATTTGGGGGCCTGAGCGATCCCGGGCGCGGCAAATGGAGGTGTGGCTCGAGGGGAGGGGGGTTGTCAGGGAGCCGTGCTGCCCACGCCACGTTTTAAGCAGATGGAGACAGGGAGAACTGGGATGGATCAAGCCAGAGCTGAAGATGACGGATAACCGTTTGAAGACAATGTCGTAAACGGGGGGGGCCAGGCGGCTGTTCACATTGGGTAGCCAGCAACGAGGATCAGATGTAAGAGTAGGTTGGTGGTGGAAAGGTCTATTGCCAGGCCAGGTCGGGCGGATCCTGACCCGCGATCATGAGTCCAGGGAAAATCAGATACCCTCAAGCCTAGCTTTAGAGATCCAGGGGAGGTGCTTGCTGCGAAGAATCAAAGAGGACTGTGCGGCGCTCAGCACGGTAAGAAACCGCGCTCTCAGGTACGTGTTGGGGGGGAAGCGCTCGAGGGAGATCGTGGAGCGACCGTACATGGGCCCAAAGCCCAATGCCGGTTCACCAGCATAGCCCACTCGCCGACGCCCATAGAGAGCGGAGCGACCTCAGCCACGGTCAGCACTGCTTACTTACATAACTCACCAAAAGACGTCTCCAGTGGGGCCAGTTTAGTAGTGTTGTGGAAACCTGGGAGGGCTGCAAGAATGCTCTTTGTTTCGAGAGTAACACGCACTTTGAGCGGTAATAAGCCGTGGTAGTGCGTAATCGAGTACCAGTCTTTTGAAATGACAGAAACCACGGTATATACGGAGGTCCGTGTACCCATGGAGAAAATGTCGTCAGAAGAGCAGAATTTCATCAAAACCGCCCGTTCATCCAGCACTGGGGAAATAACTGTAGGAGGTGAGCAATAAGCAGGCAAGGCAGGTAAGCAGAGGGGTGGTGGCCACCATGCTGCCTCCACCACCAACCAGCCTGGCGGGATAGTACTGGGAAATAATGTTGCAAAAGGGTACCTCTCTGTAGAGTGGGCGTCTGATCCCCGGGTTCGGCCGCTTTGTGGCCTATCAGCCTCGACCAAGGCCACAACACACTTCTCAGAGGTCCCAGCACGACATTTGCTTCATCGGGCAGGTGGCATGGATTGTACTGGTTGAGATATGATTTTCATCGACTCTACGCTGTGTGATTTTTAGCAATTGAGACTTGGCTCGCTCCATTTTTCAAGAGGCAGAAGGTTGAACGGTGTCTCTCTTGGTTCCTCCTCTTCCTCGTCAACCCTCCAGAGGCTGGTGGCTAACCTCTGAGCGTTCCTCCCCAGCACCAAAACATTTGGCCGGAAAACGAAGCAGCTCTCCAAGGCACACTAATGTAGCTTAACGGCGCAGGGGTGCCAGAGTCGACTCGTCCGGACGGTGATAGTAATACGCACAACCACCTCCGTCCTCCGTACCAGATGGCTGATTTCTCAAAGGTCTGACAGGGCCCTACTTGGCTCGAACGGGGACCGAGTAGGCGGGTGGCAAGGCTAAATTACGGGAGTCGAGCTTGGAAAGACGGCCTTGACGGATCGACTGCTAGTGGAGGACAAGTTGCGAGGTGGTTGGTGGATGAGCACAGATGGCGAGATCAGTGGTGAGCACGAAGGGCACCATCCGAGCGAGGGAGAGAAAAGGGAAGCAGGGGAGCAAGGTGGGAGAGTCCGTATTAAATTCGCCCCCACGATGCCCAGCAAATGGCCCAAATGACCAACTGTCAAGGTACATCAGAAAGAATAATGCAACAGAAGCTGGCAACATTAATCTTGCAGGTCTTTGTGCTGGACCCGATAGGCTACCTCGTCTTGGGTCGCTCTCGTTTCTCTTTCCGTTTCTTCTCCTAGTCACCCATGGGACCCTTGTGCCTCTCGTTCTTTCGCTCGTCACTAAACCCCAATGGCGCCCCCTGCCTGTGGTTCTGCAAACGGGCGAATTCAAATACGCGTCCATGATGCAACCAACCCTCACGTTGCTCGACACCCGTTAAGTGGTAGCCCTAACCTCTTGGACCTCGCGCTAATCATTTCACCTCCATACACAGGCCATGATGCTGATTTGGAGATTGCGATAGGGCCAATCCGCAACAATCATCCACATCACTGTTACTTCTTTCAGCCAGACACTATGTCAGTGACCAAACAAAGTCTAGGATACGAGTAATTGTCGGCCGTTTTGAAATAGCGCCTCCGTCCTCCACTCTCTGTTGCGGCTGAGGAACATGGGAAAAGAGATTGACCCAAAAGCACATCGTGAAGAGGGCGAGTAACCGATAGGTCGGTACTTGCAGGGTGAACAGCCACAATCCTCAGCCTCTCCGCATGGCCCATTGACATCTCAATGTCGACCTTGAGCACGGCGCTACACCTATGTACGAGCGTTCCCTCTGTTGACATCGAGCTTCTCAAGTCCTCAAGCTCTCAAGTTCTCATATCTTGGTACCTACGAGACTGAACCTGCCGTACCTAGTCCTCTGAAATCGCCCTTGAACCCCTTCGGAAGTTATAGAATCCAACAAATCCAAATCCTCGATCCTTGCGGATTGTCGGAGTTCGACATTACAACGGACTCGTGTCTCGCAGTTTCCTAGCTCACCAGCCACAACTAGACCCCAAACGCCACACTCTAGAAGAAGTACCAAAAGCCTCAGGATCCTGGATCGACCGCTTCGCCTAGGGCAGTCCTTTCCAAGGGTGTCATGTGCAGCAGTTGGCGGGTGATTCAGCCTCATCTCGATGTACGAGTAATTGTAGGCCAGGAATCTGTGGCTTGAATCCTTTCGGTTGTTCATGTGGCTGTTAGTGGACGCGATGGATTCACCAGCCACTTACCCCGTGCTTCAGGTACATTTTGGCCCTCAGGACTATACGGGTAGACTCCAGCTCTGCGAGCTAGGAATGCTCGGGATCTACTCGTATTTCCTAGTAACCACAACTCGGAGTAATAACGTGCGAAACGTTTGGATGCAAACCCACAAGCTGACCAACGACGGAGCCGCTTGTGATCCCCGAACGATTCATCTATCCAGTCACAAATGCATGAACGGAGTATTCACTCTCTCACACCTATCATTTACAGATAGATGCGACTGGCCTAGATACTGGCGCGCCATGCCCCTTGTTACTTTCATTCAGCCATATCCATTGTCAACGGGACACCTCGTTCAATGATGGGGCGGGCACTATCCAGGTCAATCAAACAAATATCAAAACGAAGCTCTCACAAGGGTCAATTCTCATCACCCAGCTGGCCCCATTGTTATCCCGAGATTGGACATGACACGAAACCAGTCAAACCTCCGTTCGTCATTACGCCACGCAGTGCTGGAGATTCAGCCGCACCATGGCTTTCCGAGCGCCTTTACAGTCGTGGAGAGATCGGCACTTGCATAAGTAGGTTTTGGCGCTGGGCTGCTGGCTGGCTGGCTGGCTGGGCATCATGGTATCCTCTGGGACGATGCGACAAGGTTGACATCGGAGATACATTACCATCCCACCGGCCGGGGCATCTTCGCCCGAAACACGAAACGATGGTGGTTTACATCGCAACCTCGTTCTGCGACCAAAGACTTGCGTTCTTCACGATGAGATGACAGATTGATGTTTTCCTGCCGCGTTTTTGATTCTGGACTTTGGTGTGACTATTGCATGCACAATGACCAGGCTATAACGTGAAATGGCATCAGCATGATCATCTGACCCCATTTTGTACCAGTTGATGGGCAGGCGCATTTTCAAATAACATCAATAAAGAACAAGCAAGCTTGATTTTCTCTTCCAATAGCCGCATTTGTCTTGCCAGCCATGGCCACCATGCCTGTCTTTTCCTACAAAGGAACAATGTAGGCAGCTTCTACCGAAAGCTTTCGACAATCGAGTTTGCATTTGTCCCAGTAACGATCAGACAGTCCCAAACTCCAGGATGTATCTATCCGGGAATGTTCGTCATGTGTAGGGGTTTCGGTGGATGTCACGAAGACGAGATGATCATGTGCCGGCTGGACAGGACTCGTCTCGCGAAATGAGGAAGCACTCGTGTGACGCCCAGCAGCCCGGAACAAAATCGGGGGTTCTTCTCGTATAACCAGCCCTGCCAGCTTTCGGGAGTCTGGGGTAGCCAGTAAAACTGGCGTCTGTGCAGGTGCGAACAGTGCAGTGCGAAGACGTAACCCCAAGGGGTTTCTAGAGTTGTTACATATTAAATCGCCAGAATCTCATTCAAGGTGAAACTATTGACAATGACATGGTTATGAGCAGTTCAAACAGGCAGCCTGGTGGCCGGATGATTTGTTTTCTCTGACTTTTCTCCAACTACAGTGCCCGACGGTGGTCGTCATCGGCCACTTGACTGCTGGCCTCGGGTGCAAACCCTCAGTGGCCCTTTGTCGATGCCACGTTTGCACCTTTTCTAGTCTCCTTCAGCCACTCAAATACTCCAACCTGTCCTTATAGAGCGGTCGCCTGCCTCTACCGCAATCACAAGGGGACAAGGCGCCAGGGGTTTGGTCTCCCATTAAAAGCTCTCCAAACCCTCCTGGAGGCGGGGCAGGTTTCGTCGCTTTCTTCCCACTCTCGCCCTCGCCAGCTGTCTGCCCCCTCGATTACCGTTCACCTCTTTCAATACAGCGCTGCGCAGAACGACTCTGAAATAGAAAATGGCCTCCTTCCTCGAAGAGCTCTGGAATTCCATCTTCACGCCCGGTCCGACACCTACGCTCCTTGTTGCTACCAATGCCGCATTTGCCGCCCTCCAACTCCTCCTTCTGATCCTGCTCATTGCGACCTATTCCCTACACTTTTTGGTATTATCCGTTCTGTGCGGCGGCCTCTGGTATTCCATCAACTGGTTCGCTACCGAAATCGCAAAAGAACAACAAGCGCAAAAGGCAAAAGAGAAGAAAGAAAAGAGCCCGGAGCCAGATAACGCGAGTGATACTGAAACAGAAGGGCCGCTGCCGAGTGCGCCAGCTGCTGACCCTGTAAAATCTACAACGACAGCATCGGTGCGCAGCCAGAGTCCGAGACACGAGAGGCCGAAAGACAGTCCAACAACTCTCCTCGAGCCAAAGATGGCAGAGAGTACAGAGTTGCTGAGGCGTCGGCGCAGCCTAGGCGAGAGCTCAGGCTATGTCAGCACCGATAGCGAGTGGGAGAAGGTATCTGAAGGAGAAGAGAAGAGCAAGTGAACCGACGGATTTTCTTGCTGGCTTCTGGCATCATCACTGGGAAGATCTTCCGGCTTTCTCCTCTGACCGAAATAGAAACAGGAAAGAGATGAAAGAGGGCTCCTTTCCGCTAGACCACCATCGTCGTCCAATGCACCCATTTACTCGATTTCCCCGTCGACTGCGATCATTCCTTGCGATACCCGGAGAGCATAGGACATAGTGTCAAGATACCCAGATGAAAGAAATGAAATGCTTCCATGTACGAGTTACACTGATACAATCAAATCGCGGGGATGGCAATCCTTCACAGAATGCCCCGCACACAGTATGCGTTGCTCGACGGATCTTGAGTTGTCGCAGCCGAATAAAGTCGCGCCCTCGTAGACTGCTAGATTTCTCATTCTGTTGCGGCGTCTCCGAAGCTGGAATGACAGGCTCTACTACGTAACTCGTACGTAGCGACGAGGTCTTTTGTCAGAGGAGCTGTGACAAGGGAGGCCCTTACATACATGTACTTCCTGCATGCGACAAGGGGAGAGCAGCCTGCGTCGGCATGACCCGCCAAATCTAAGTTCCGCCGCCAAAAACCCAATTGTTGACCAGGCTTCCCCCCTCTCTATCTTGGTTCGCTCAGCCTCGACTTTGTGACTCTATATTGGTGGCATTGTCATCAGTGACTCAAGATTTCCTTTGTCCGCTATACATAGGACTGCCTCCCCTTCATGCTATGACTGTTACTATCTCTCCGAAACTGCCATCATAAGAACATCCTGCCTCCTCCAGCCTTCAGTCCTGCACGCAGCTGAACTCATCGCAACAATGGTTGTTCGCCTCTCCCAACTTCTCTACTACTCTCATACTGTCACCCGATCTTTATCCCGGTCCTCGTTTCGCTTATCATTAACACGGCGTACTGCGTGAAACAATTGAAGATAAAGAGAAGGATATAGACGTTCACATCATGGCTTCCATCTTTACCTACCAGGATGAGCCTCCTCGAATACATTCTCCTTGGTCCACTCCAGGAACTTCTACTCCTCAGCCACTTCCTCACTCGCGTGAACATCTTTACAGTGGCGGGAACTATGTCACGCATGCCCTCATGAAGCTGGAGCCAGAACGCCAGGACGGTCCTACAGAGTACAAACTTCACCTCCTCCTTCGTCCTCGGCGGAAATTCCTCTCCACGACTACCTCATCCTCCATCCCTGGGTCACAGCACTATACGCCCATAGTCCAAGCCGCCATTGAATCGAGTCGCTCCCTGGGTGACTCTCTGTTCGATCGTCCGCTATCACAGCCTTCGGCACAGACTCGTCAGACCAGACTACAACAATTGACCACACAACTCTTATGGAGACTACAACAGTCTTCGCCCTTCCATTCTTCATCAAACGCGGACCTGGTTCTGCCGCTGCTTCCTGAAGCGACTCCGAGATTGGGAGTTCCAGAACGTCCAGCAAAGCTGCTGCCAGGTCTCGAAGAAAGCCAGGGCGCCCTCTATGAAATCGGTGTGGCCGATGATGGCATGCTAGCAGGCTTAGTCGAAGATGAGTTACAAGAGAGTCTAACCAATTTGAAAGCCATGGCCGCAAGCCTCGGCTGTACCACCAATATACTGCGGAAAGTTCCAGTCGGAGCGTGCGAGTGGTTTGACAGTGATAGTGAAACCGGCCACACAGAAACGCGCAAAGACGTGCTCTGGGTTGCTGAAGTCCTGGTTTACCCAGACACACGAGGCTCAGCCGATGCCGATATCCCAAGAACAACCCTTGATACGTCAGTCGATTCCTCTCAACCGGAGGATGTGTCAGACTTGGTCGACCACGCTTCGACTGATCAATTTCGAGTGACACTGGTTGGAGCTACAGCTGCTGGAAAGTCATCTTTGTTGGGGACCTTGTCAACCTCTACTTTAGACAATGGACGGGGCAAAAGCCGGCTGTCGCTCCTTAAACATCGACATGAGATCGCTTCGGGGATCACTAGTTCTGTTGCACATGAACTAGTAGGCTACTCGGAGACTCGACACTCTCAAGCTGCTGTTGTCAACTATGCCTCAGGTAATGTTTCCTCTTGGCTAGACATCCACAATCTGGCTAAGCGTCTTGTCTTGCTCTCCGATTCGCCTGGTCTTCCAAAATTCTCGAAGTCTGCTTTCCGAAGTCTGATATCCTGGAGGCCTTCTTGGACCATTTTATGCGTCGCAGCTGATGACAGTAGCGAGGCAACAAACCGAACGGCTGCAACGAGTCCTCAAGGATATAGTAATAGCGGAAACGCCGAGAGTTGGGACCTCTCACTCTCGTATCTGGATTTGTGTTTGCGATTAAAGCTGCCATTGGTGGTGACCATCACGAAAATGGACATTGCGACCAAGGCAGGACTACGACTTGTTCTTGCAAAAATCCTCTCCGCTCTCAAGTCCGCCGGTAGGAAACCTGTTATGCTGAGCAACGTGCCAGGCCCCCCGCCTGCTTCAGAACAAGGAGTCGCTCTCCCAGGACTCCAAGTCATATACGAAAGGGATCAGGTAGAGGTTGAGCGCCTTGTTGGATCGATGCGAAATGATGCCGAGCAGAGTACCGTCCCAATTCTAATGACTTCCGCTGTTACAGGGGTTGGAATAAGCAAATTGCATGCATTACTTCGAAGCATGCCCGCCACGTGTAGGCCAAAGCAACCTCCCTGGCGTGCACATGCTACGAATCCTGCTCTTTTCCATATCGATGAGGTCTTCAGTATCCCTCCATCCCGCGTTTTTACCTTGGATACCGAAAATAAAATTGCAAAACAGGGGATAGTGCTTTGTGGACATCTCTCTTGTGGTATCCTGTCTGTTGGCGATACCATGCTTCTGGGGCCTTTCAATCTGGACTCCGACGGTTTATCCACCAATACCTCTCAGTCCGCGTTGAGCGCCAGCTCCTATGCTGCTGGTGAGTCTTTATATACAGAGGGACTACCATCAAGTGTTCTCGCTCGCTCTTATCAGGGAGAGACGCCACAGCACTCGAATCAAAGATACCAGCCTTGGGCGACATTTCTCCAGGTCCGCATCGTGTCCCTTCGCACTTTACGGCTTCCAGTAATGCGTATGCACAATGGAGAAACAGGCACGATTGGCGTCGAACTCCTGAACGATGAGCACGCCACCATCGCGCTCAGCAGGGCTCGCAAGGGTATGGTTCTGGCCGATGTCACCCACAATCTGGCCGGCTATCGTTCGTTCTCCGCGAGGTTCCCTACCTCAGACTTTGCACAGACAACTTCACCAGTCCTGATTTTAGGGGGGCATGCAATCGTGTACATCAACAGTATTCGTGCTGCTGTCAAAGTGACGGCAGTCGCGCTTGATGAGGACGAGCAGTTTAGGACGAGGGCCGTTGCGACGTCTTCTCGGGACGACTCGGAGCTTTTTCGCTTTGACATTGGCGATGATGATGATGATAACGATGCTGCTGTCGAGGTATGTGGAGATGGCGACGGCAACGGCGACGGCAGCAAGCCCAACGAGGAGAGGAGAGAAATCAGGGTATCTTTCCGTTTCGTCAGCACGGTCGAGTGGATGGAAGTGGGCGACCAGGTCCTCGTTGTCCCTACCATGACTGCGACCGGGCCGGTGACGGGTCCAGCACCGGCTTCGAACCTGGGCGGCCTGGCTGGATTTGTCGGAACAGTATGTGAGGTATTTAGTTGATGATGAGCTACAAAGTCCTGTCAGAATACGTAGGGGGGCACAAGATGACCATGGTCGAGCTACTGGTCGAATATTTATTCCTTTTTAATTGTCCCTTTTTTCATTTCAGTTTCGACTATATGCGTTGATTTTTACACCCTTCTCGTGTCCCAGGCATGCACATCCAATTACAGCCCGATCCAGCCACGATATTTCAAAGTCTGGCTTGTATCGCTGCTTCAGGCGATGTCGCCGCCGCCGAACCGAGGAAAATCCTCCTGTCCATCTCGATCTCCTTGGACCTGTCACTCGAGGTAATATTGCTCTCGCTCTGTAGTATCTTGACCTTGTCGGCGGGCAAGGCGTGCGTCCTGACCCAGCGCTTTGCGATTTCGGTCGCGATCTCATCTCCGTCGACGGTGGCGTCGAACATGAGCAGGCAAGCGCACGCCACGGCCTCAATGTGATCCAGAATGTCCCGGCCGCATCGCTGGAGAGACAGCGCGTCGCTTGAGCGGACCAGATCGCGGAGTATGTTGTAGCGGTTCGTGGTCATCTCGCATTCCGGGGCGAAGACGCCTGCTGTTCGTTGCTGGCGGCCATCGTGGGTGGCGCTTTGAACCGCATTCAGCACATTCCGCACCCAGTCCCCAAAGACGTCGTCGAGGATGTCCCTAGTCTGCGTCTTTGGGTTCTTTACTACCCGCAACACGTCCTCGGCCATGACGCTCGTCGTGCCCTCCCAGATGGTGTTCACCGAACAGTCGCGGAATAGACGGGCGATGTTCATGACACCGCCGTCTTCGTTGTTCTCGCAGTAACCCACCCCACCGAGCGACTCCATACAGGCTCTCAAGCCCAAGACACCATTCAAGCTGACCTGCGCTTTCATCACGGGAGTGAGTAGACGGAGAAGCATCTCTTGTTTCTCCTTCGAGTGGGGGATGAGGACCGCTGCGCCGCGGGTGTGTTGTGTCACAACCTCATAGCCCTGTTCAGTAGCGCCCAAAAGTGCAATACCAAGGAAGACAAAGTGTGCGCTGGCGCGATATTTGACGCTTTCGTGGGCCATCCAGGCCAAATGCTGCGCGTTGTCCCGCAAAAGTTGGCCGCCTCTTACTTTTCGGACGAGCGTGTATGCACGACTCACTGCCAATCCCCTTGCCAAGCCACCTGCACTTCCACTTGCGGTGTGTAGTCGTGTGATATTCAAGATAGAGCTGATTTCCTTGATACCTTGGCCTTCCTGGCCGACGAGGTAGGCGCGCATTCCCTTGAGCTCGAGCTCGGCGGTTGGCACACCCTTTGTGCCAAGTTTACTTTTGAGGCGTTGAATCCGGACACCGTTTGTTTCCGATGGGGAAGATGACGGCCGACCTGTACTTCGGCGGAGAGGAGCATAAAATGCACTAAGCCCTTTGCTTGTCTGTGCCAGAAGAACGGCCATGTCGGCGTCAGTTGCAGAGGAGAACCATTTGAACCCGTCCACGATCCAAGGGCCGAGAGGGAGACCGTGTGCGTCTTTGTCCCGGTTGAGGTTGACATCATTTTGAATTTCTTGAGCAGTTATCCGGCGGGCGACAGTCTCGGTGCCCCGTACGTCACTTCCACCGCTGCGTTCGGTCATCCATTGGCCACTGGTCCAGGCGGTCGAAGGATCCAAAGAGACGAGACGACGATAGCTTTCACGGAGTACAGCACCGCGACCGGGTTGATCTCCATCCGGATCATCGAAATGTCGGCGTAAAAGCACAGCCGCCCCGTCAGTCATGGCCATAGGGCAGGTGGTCACCGCGCACGAACCGTGCCAAAGGTGTAGGGTGCCGAATTGATGAACTCGTCGATTGAAGTCTTGCTTCAAGGTGGGCTGAGGATATCCATTTCCCACCACGCCGGCGCGAGTTTGAATCTGCTTGAGAGCTCGCCATCCTTCACTTGTACGGAGAGGAGCTACTTTGTTCTCTTCGCCAAAGGTGGTCAATGGGTGGAGTGTTGGCAGATCAGTATCACAGTCGACCGTGTGTTGTAGGGTTGACGGCTCTAGGACAAGTCGTGCAAAGTCATGGAAATGGTTCTCGAGAGGGGTTGGCAGCGGGCTGGGAAGGTAGAGGGACAAAGCGCGTGAGAAAACTGGATCATCTGACGATTCGTGCGGCGAGGAGGCCGTATATTGCTGTGGTACAACGGGAAGAGCTTGGAAAAATCCAGAGGTTGACGATGAGGGCTTTCTCGACCCCATTGTCCTGTTTAATGGAGAGGACTGAGTAGACGAGTGTACGGGTATTTGGGCGCAGTTGTTCGCAGAACCTGAGGTAGAAACGATAGAAGTCCCAGCTTTTCAAAAGAAGCCAGCAATAGTGGCGTCGAGAGAGGAGACGGAAATCTGTCCGCGCTGAACAAAATACTTGTACGAGATGTGACAAGATCCACCTCCTTATTGTAGTTATATTCACCACAACATCTTGTCCATTAGGATTTCTTGTCGTCTGGAACGCGGACTCCGAACATGATGGATGGGGATTGGAGGAAGAGATTTGAACCTCGGCAGTTTGGACATGTGCACGATGAGATTGTGGAGTGACAAGAACGACAAATCAAAAATCTCGGCTGTTCGGTGGTATCAAAGAAGACTGTTGTTTGACTGTGGGGTGGCAGGTGGTTCCGGATCTTTCTTTCTTTCATAAGCCATGCTCTTGCAGATACATTCATATGAGATGAAATGAAAAGAATACGAGGTACAAGTTTGCGATGATGGCACTTTACTCTGCCGTACTGACTGACCCCTCACGTGCCCTTTTTGATGTACGGTAGAGCATTCAGCCAGTCTGCGCTGCACTCTGTCACTACCTCCGTGCCACCGTTGGTGAGTTACCTGTCATCAGAGTGAACGAGTGAGATCAAAGAAGCTGTGTACAGTATCTACGGCTGCTGTTTGTCGTCTCTGGTATGTACAGGTCATGTCTATGACACCTCTCACAGTCCTTGCATGTCAAGGGGCTGGAAACATTGCGGCTATGAGCTACGGTCCTACACACCCCAATTCATGCTACAACGAGGGGGTTTCCCTTGGAATAGCACTGGCCCATTTGAGAACTGGTCTGCTCGGGCGGAAACTGAGTCGCCTTCTGTCTTGACGAGCTTTTAAGCGGAAAAAAGAAGGGCGAAGAATGCTGCTGTTCGCATTAACGCGTCGCGTTCCACTACATGCAAGGAATGCATGCCGTACCCGTGCCTCAACAATGGAACTGAAACAATAACAGGTAAGAATTTACACATGAACTTGATTTTCAAGCACTGTCTATTCGCTACATGAGGTCAAGTCTTTCTCGTCTACCCTGACTTCGCAATCCTCAGGTCTTACGATGGTCTCTTCACTGTGGCCTTCGAGAGGCTCAGAAAGAATATACGTTGGTCTTTTGCTTGTCTGTCTCTTCTACATCTTGCTATCCAGTCCCATATTAAGACATGCCGAATCAATAGTCAAGCCTGCCTGGAGAACTCCTAGGATCAGCGACATCGGCGATTCTTCTGACCTTGGGAGATATGAGACAGTCACAGGGGGGACAACATCTTCGAGCGATTTAGGCGACGATGTCGAGGAAAACACATCTGCTTCTTTCGGCGTGGACTTTGGAGAAGAGGAGGGTGAGTTGTTGTCGGTCCCTACAGTCGCAGATTTGAACGAGTCAAGAATGGGCATGGTTGGACCATACATCTCCGCCATAATGGACCCAAAGGATACTCATTTCGACCGGCTACAATGTCCACGGCCTATCAAGGAAAGATACAAAATGTTGCGGCCAAAAGAGAGCCTGCCTTTCAATGTCCAGCAACCACGGAAGCGCTACTTTTTCGCACTCAACCTGTACGAATGCGCATATGTGCTTCCACGGCTTCTCGGCTCGATCGTCGAAGCAATGCGATTTCTTGGGCCCGAAGATTGCGCTCTTTCTATTGTCGGTGGGCGCTCCGACGATGGTACAACAGAGATTCTGGCCGCACTGAAGGATGAGATCGAGGCTTTGAATGTGACTTACTATTTCCGGACAAGCGACATCGACCCCCTGAAGAGTGGAAATGACCGAGTGACGGAGCTGGCTAAGCTTCGCAACCTGGCATTGGCTCCGCTCACCGCTCAACGGGACAAGTATGCAAGGGATAGCGCTATTATTTTCCTGAACGACGTGTCAATCTGCACCGATGACATCCTGGAACTCATTTATCAAAGACGCCATCAGCGAGCGGATATGGTTTGTGCTATGGATTGGAACAACAATGGAGACACCTTCTATGACTCTTGGATAGGGCGCAGCATGAATGGCGACATGTTTGTGGAGATTCCTCAAAGTGGATCCTTTGAATTCTCTCACAACCTATTCTGGAATGACAGGACGGCAAGGTCTCACATTGACGAAAAGCTCCCCCTCCAAGTATTTGCCTGCTGGAACGGAGCCGTCGTCTTCAAGGCAGAGCCCTTATTGTCGCACAGCATCAAATTCCGGGCTGCTTACAAGGACGAGTGCTATACCGGCGAGCCGACATTATTCTGCAAAGACCTGTGGACTTTGGGGCACGGCCGAATAGCCATCATTCCCAGCGTCAATGTCGGCTACAACGACGAGCAATCGCGAAACACAAAGTCAAAGCACGGATACGCTTCGGCCAATATTCAGCAGGCAGAACATGATATGGGGTTGTCAACTGAAATCGAATGGAAGACTTCGCCTCCGCAGCTAGTCAAATGCCAGCCTGACTGGACACATTCTTCGTGGGCACCGTGGGATGATGCAGTCGGGGAGCATGTCCCCTTTGACTGGTCACGATCTGGGTATTTCAATGCCAAAAAGCCCTTTGATAAGGAACTTGAGTTTGAGAGTGACGGGAAAGAATACGGTGTGGACGCCCGGGGTTGGAAACGATGGATACGGCGGCGATAGTCAAGGACGACTGTTGAGTTTTACACAAAGATTGAAGATATAGGCTTCAACTTGTGCCTTGTTTATTCTCAGCTGTAGACTTTAGGATGGTGGAACCGCCAGGGTAATGATACTGAGAAAAGATAATAGCTGTGTATTTGTACTTGTCCTTTGTGGTCACGTTTTGACGAGCAATTTTCGCGGCGATCGATCGTCCGCTTATCGCTTATCGGCCACTTTACACGACTCCCGCGTCTCGCCTTGGAACATTTTCCCCGCCTGCTTCTTTGCGTGGCGATGCCTCGTCTTCTTCTTTGTGCAACCAACTCACCACGATGCCCCTTAACATTCTACGGTTGAATCACCAGAAATCATCCCATCCGAATGATCGGATTGTCTTCATCAAACCACTTCCTCGACCGCCGGCGGACCAAGCATCCTACGACCTCGCCGACACATTCCTGCGCGCCATCGCCGCACAATGCCTGCCACTGATGAAGAACCACCACCTCTCCGTCACCACGCTGGAAGAGTACGAGCCCAACCGAGAATTCATCGGTCGGAACTTCAACAATGGTGAAATCATCCAGCTGGTGCTCCAGAGCAAGAGCGGCGGCTGGGTGCCCTTTAACATGGTGCAGATGGTCATGATGCACGAGTTGGCGCACAATACGCACATGAACCACGGGCGGGACTTTTGGAAGACAAGAAACATCTACGCGGACGAGATGAAGGCCCTCTGGCAACGCGGATACACGGGCGAAGGCTTCTGGGGCGGTGGGCGGACCTTGAATGACTTGGGCACCGTCATGGGCAACAACGTCCTGCGCAGCGAGGAGTTGGAGAGTTTGCCGCTTTGTGGAGGCACGTATCGAAGTCGGAACAGGAAACGTAAGGCTCGGAAGGACAAGCCAGAGTTGACCTGGAAGGAGAAGAGGGATCGGCGGATCGAGAAGAAATTTGGCAAGAACGGTGTGGCGCTCGGTGAGGACGAGGACGCCCGGTTGAGCCTCGAGATCAACCGCAAGGGACCGATTGGGAGCAAGCCCCGGGTAGCCCAGAGTAAACGAGGCCGGGAGTTGAGGGCTGCTGCTGCGTTGGCTCGGTTCGAGACAAACAAGAAAGAGGTCGAAGATCTCCAACCCGCTGCCGAGGAGGACACCGAGGACGAAGATGGCTACGAAGATGCGGATGCTGGCGAGGAAGATGCCCAGGACATCAACGGTCAGAGATTGCTAGACGGTCAGGGCCGGGCGATGATCCGGGTCTGCGAGAACGAAAATACACAAGACGTTAACGTCCAACGAGAATTACAAGACCTGAATACACTCGATCGTTACCTGCAGCCGTTTCGAAATAACAAAGATCACGGCAGTATCCCATCAAACGAAACGGACTACACAGACACATCCACCACACACAAGTCGGTTGGGACCCCAGCAACGCTACAAGCTGACACGAACACAGCCGGTCAAGTCTCAGGAGACAGGGGTCGCAGGAAAGAGGAGTGCCAGACAAGCGCTGCTACTCGTACAAACACCGAATCTTCGTGTCACCGCCCCAAGTCAGAGTCGACGCGGTCTACAAAGGATGCATCTCCGACCCTGATGCTCAGACCGAATACCACCTCGGTGTTCCGAAAGTCGGAATCTGACCTCGCCACCCCAGACTCCAGCTCAGCCAAAGTCGTCTCAGCCGACCCGCCCTCGGGCATAGGCTCAGGCTCAGGCCCATCCTCGCCACGACCTCCAACGATGTCCTGCCCAATCTGCTCGCTAGAGAACCCCCGCCTCAACGCCACCTGCATGGCGTGCTCACACGTCCTAGACACTCGAAAAGATCCCCGACACTGGTCGTGTCAGAGCCTGACATGCAAGAAGAGTCTGAGCGGGTATGTGAATGCCGGTGACGTGGGTGTCTGTGGAATTTGTGGGACGAAGAAGGGTGGATGATTCTGAAACATTGATCAAATGTCGGTGTCCGGACAAGTTCCATGTAAAAAGCGGCAGGTTTCAGCCTCTCACGTGATCACATGTGGAAGCCAATCAACCACGTCTCTGTCTCTTTGATCTTTGACGCGTTTTCTTGTTCTCGTCTCGTGGAAGGGAATCGCAATTCCCAAGACTAAAGTCTCCCGTTTTCCACCTTTCCCTTTTTCTAAAGTTCAAGATAAGATGAGCTCTCAACCATCGCAATCAACATCCGCATCATCATCACGCCCACCTGTGACCCTCGGACAGACCACCCATCTTGACCCTGGAGCCTACATCCGTGGCACACACGCCATCGCAGCCGGTGAACATACCCTAGTACATCCCAGAGCTCAACTGGTCGCTGCTCACGGACCCCTGTTTATCGGTGACAAATGCATCATCTCCGAGAAATGTATTATCGGTGGCCCCATTCAGAGCACAAGTGGTTCGACCTCTGATCCGGCTTCAAAGACATCAAGTGCTCCCGGAATCGAAAGCAACCAGCCTAGTCCCTTGATCCATCAGGGCGGTGCTGGTGATGTCGATGATGAGGAGCGCGACCCCTTAAAAACGGTCATCAACGATAGTGTATACATCCATCCGAGCTCGCAGATCCATGCCGGAGCAACCATCAACAAAGGTGTCTTGATTGAGTCTCATGTGACAGTACTTGCAAATGTGAAAGTCGGCGCACATGCAAAGATCTGTGCGGGCGTGACTGTGGACAGAGACGTGGCCGACTGGACGGTTTTATATGGAAACGGCAACATAAAGCGACAGAGGAAGACACAGTCGGCTGAAGAAGACCAGACTGAACTTGTGGAGATGCTGAGGCTCAAGGCCATGGACAAAGAACGAGAGGGCACAGTGGCTCTTTTGAGGGCGGCGGCTCGCGTGGCGAGTTTAGCCAAGAAGAAATGAGCACTCACTCCATGCGACGGCATCCAAACCATGATCTGTTGGGTCTTATCTCTCGTCCTTCAGCACATTGGATGAGATGAGAGTCCCTGGGCAAGGAGCAAACAATGGCACGACCCGCGCATTGGCCGAAAGGAATATCTGATCGCAAAAACAACCATATTATCAATCTCCACCCTGCCTAGCGAAGTGCCTAGAGCCCAGTGATGATAGCTACTACCTACTCGCAGTAGGCGGACCCCTCATCATCTTCGACATGGAACCATCATATTCAAGACCCTCGCTATCACTGCCCTTCCCACCGACCATCATATCACATATCGGAAATCAGGCTGTTGGCGGTCTGTCTTGCCCGCCAGATCTTCTCGCAGCGCCTCATCCACGCTCCGTCTCTGACTTTGTCCGTGGCGTTGATTCCTCTGCGCGTTCTCCCAAACGTAATACACCAGCAGACATGCAAGGAAGAAGGCGCCGAATGCCAATCCCGAGAGCGATGCCCTGAGTCCGGTCTACATGTCCGCCAGAAAAGTTATGTCAATGACCAGAGTCACCGCAGAAAACGGAGATGTACATCTGTGAGAAAAGGGGGTGGGACTTACTGCATATCTCGGAGCCTGGCTGGTCTGGAAGAACTGCGGACCCACGATGTTGCCGACGCAGTAGGCGACAAACAAGGTGGCACTGGTGACGGACCGCTTGGTAAAACCGCCGACGTTGGAACTGATCAAACTCAAGGAAAGAGGAATATTGGCCGCAAAGACGCTTCCCAGACACAGTCCCGTCATGCGCGCCGCGCGACTTTTGCATTCGTAGACCATGATCATGCCTACCATGGAAGTGAGGGTGTTGAATATCATGAGGACCAGTCGGGCTGATGGAAGGATTGTGGCCAAGCTCGACGTCAAGAGGAGAAAAACGAGCTGCGCCACGCCAATGGGCATCTGAATGAGAAGGGCATTGAGATTGGAAAACCCGAATCCCTTGACCACAAGTGCCCCAAACTAGACACCAATTAGCATTGTTCGCCCAGAGTTTCCGATTCGCGTCCGCACACAAGTCCAGATGCGTCAAGGTGCATCATAGGATCGCAAAGGACGGTAGGGAGAACATGCCGAGATGGGACTTACGCTGGTCAATCCCCCGTTGGCGAGGTTGACCGAGACAGTGTAGAGCACCAAGAACCACAACTGCGGATCGGTTAGGGCATCAACGACCTGGCTCGGAACGAAGTGATTGTTATCCAGGAGCCCCGTCTGGTTCTCGACCGTGCGCTCCAGTGCAATTCGCCGCTGCTTTTCGTCGAGGAACCTAGCTTTGTCTGGCGAGTCCGGGAGAAACAGGTACAGGAGGAAAGCATAAGCCGAGGTGATGCTACCCATGATGAGGAAGAGCAAACGCCAGTTCCCAAGAGACGACGTCTCAATCTGACCGATGCCATACGCGACCAGGCCACCAAAGATGTTGGCCAACGAGTTTCCAGCAAACCAAGCGCCTTGTCTGTATCCCCGAATCTCGTCAGTGTCTGTGAAGTCTTCTGACCAACAATCACCTGAATGGAGTCATCGCAGCCAGATCTGGAGGGACCAGGGTGGAGAGGGGACGTGTACCTACCGCAGAGGTTGTTCTTTGCGTGTATAAAACATGCCTGTGATCAAGGCAAAGCCAGGCGCAACGGCTGCTTCACCCACACCAAGGAAGAAACGTGCCGCCATGAGTCCCCCGAAGTTGTGAACTGCCCCGTGGCACATGAGAAAGCCGCCCCATAAAAACCTGCATGTCGACTCGTTAGCGGTTTCCATATGCTTGTGCCAAACAAGGGCGACGTGGGAAAGCAGATATTTCAGATACACAAGCAAACCCGGGACACGCACACTGTGACGGCGATGTATTTCCCTGTCGGAAACCGGACAAGGAGGTAAGAGCTGGGCCAGCTCCACGCGAGGTAGCCAAAATAGAAAATGGCCGAGCACCAGGAGTACTGGGAGCCGTGGAGGTCCTGGCAATACAAGCAACAGTATCAGCACATGCATCCGTCGGAGGACGACAAAAGATATGGTGCACAGCTCCCCCATCGTCAAGGGTGCACAATTTTCCGGCTGTGTCTCCCAGAGTCTGTCTTACCAAGTCCTGCAACAGCCCCAAGAGAGTCGCCGAGCTGAGAGCCAATTTGTCCATGTACTGCAAGAGGTAACAGAATCCCATCAGGGGAATCATGCTGATATCCAGATATAGTCAGCCAGGGGGTCGCATTCGTGCGGACGGAGGGCTTCGAGTCTCTCCCAAGACATATTTGCTCGAATCTTATCACTCCCACTGACCAGAAATCAATCTTTCTCAAGACCTCCCTCGACTCTGCCGGCGACGACAGGGCCAAGCTGTCTCCCTCTTGCACCTCCAGGATGTCTTTAGGCTGCATGATGATGCAGTCTAGCTTGACTTCTGCAGAGGTGGTTTTGTGGTCCTCTTTCATGATCGTGTCGGGAATTGTCCGGTATCTCTCCTTGCTCGCGAAGAACAGACAGAGAGGATATGTGGGCGTTTTCGTCTCTCAGGAATAATGATTTGCTTGAAAAATAAAACTGCGGGCACAGATGATGAATGGCAGGAGTTCCGCGTGTCAGAGAGACCACAAAAACACCATCCCAGTAATATCCGTGCAGTTGTATACGTCTTTACTTATACTTTTGCCAGCTCCCATACCGACACGCTGGATATGATCTCCCCCTAAAGGAATTTTGAGCCATCTTTGTTTGTTGTTCCTTATCTTCTTCTCCAGTCCAGAGTCGGAGAATTGAGGTGCATATTGTGGCGACTTGACTCGACTCGACTCGACTCGAGATCGCGATATGTCTATATCGTTCGATTGGGTGGCATGGCACTCTTTTGAAAGGGACCTCGAATCGAAATCCTCCTGGTATATGTATGTCGGCAAAAGCAGCCAGCGCGTTAATTGGCCACGTCGGCAAACAGTTGGAGCCCCCTCGCATCTCCACAGACTCTTATCATTTCCTCATGGAATCAGCAAACCTCTTATCGGCCACACGAGGCTAAGTGTGCGAGCCAGCCAGCGAGTGTCGCCGGAATCGATACGCGTCCCTGGGGCTGGGAGCATTCGATCATCCCGTCCAGCCGAGGACTGGCTCAGAAGGATCCGATTCGCTTACGGCGATCATCGTCGTTACACTTACATAGGAAGATAGGGCAGATGCAGGCATGTCACACAGCGAGGGTCTCGGAGACATTCAAGACAGTCTAAGGCATACACGGTTCCGGAAAATAGCCGTGCAAAGAGGGTCTCCCTCACCCCTGCAGTAATGGCGATCACGGACAACAACCTGCATGGGTATCTAATGTTGCAACAACCGCTGATCGGCTGTCGTAGCCACTGAATGGCATGTGCGATTCGCTTCCAGGAGAAGCTGGCCGAGCAAGCCTTTCCCGTCCCACACCGACCCGGGGAGTCCAAAGCTGGGGAGCAGGATCTGCGCCCTCAAGAGCTGGTCTTTCAGCCAGTCGCGATGGACCAAGTCTCTGGTCCGTATCATTGCGATCGCGAGCGGCCAGACCAGGCGGTACAGCTGCCGAGGGTCTTCTTTTACGGCCTTGTATCCAATACTGGTGACGGTGGCGACCACGCGCTGCAGCCACGGCGGATACTCGTCGTCAGGATCGAGGCACGAGTACAAGACTTGCAGGGCGTAGAACTCGAGACTGGCGTGGTAGACGGTCCATATGAGTCTCTTGGTGCCCGTGTCGACGACCCTGTCGGCCAGGGCGAGGACATCAGCGAACTCCTGTTTGCCTCAGACCGTCAGCTCAGATTTTTAGAACGACAAACCCGCCCCGAAATCAGCGCGAGAGAGGACGTACATCTCCCAGCTTGGTCAGCTCCTTCCACAGCCGTTGCCTGCCGGCCTTGTCGCTGCGGCCCATGTCCGGAGAAGCGGCCAGGTTGAGGATGCTCAGCTTCGGCTTCTGGCACAGGTGCAGAAGGTGGAGAGGTCGGTAGTTCTCCAGGTCGTCGAGCAACTCGGAGACCGGATACTGGGGTCCCCAGAGCTTGGGGAGACACGATCTGGCGCTGTAGAACAGGCCGTCGTACGAAACCGGCGAGTCCGCATCTTCCGACAGCAGATCCATCCACAGCTTCCCAGAAGCCATGCTATTGAATGCGAGATAAACGTCCATGTACCTTTGGGTTGGGTTGGGTTAGTCAGGGTCAGGATGGGGGGGCGGACACTTCTCAAGAGATAGAGAGAGCGACCAGACTCACGAGATAAAGTACAACAACTGCTGAGATGCGAGGGGCAGTGTCGCCGTGCCATGCTCCCCACGCGATTTCAGATATGGCTTGAGAAAAGATCGAATCCCCTCCAGGTGGACGTGAGACGCTCCGATGCTCTGCGAGTCGTAGAGTCCAAAATGGAGGATGAGGAACCACATGGCAAACAGGGCGTCGACGTCGTCGTCGCTGCCTTGGGAGGAGGATACGTGATCTACCAGCGCGGACAGGTCCTTCAGGGCGAGGTGATAGTGGCTGGTCGCCGAGTGTTCTAGCCGGCGGGCTCGCTCATACTGGTCAGAGGACAATGTCCTATCGAACTGGTCGAGGAGCGCTCTCGACCGGAGCTCCATGGACGCGCCGGCAATAAAGATCCTCATCACACCTGCGTACTTGCTCGCAATGTTCAAGTAGACGTAAGACAGGTTGCTCCATTGAAAAGGCTTGCCGATCCGGAGGACCATGACAGAGTTCTGGACGTACACGAACGACTGTTGATCCTGCGGAGTGAGCTGCAAGGCGTTTGAAAGGGGAATGTGCGCCGTCGACAGGGCCGAAGGGACAAGGCTCAGGGGTGATTGTACATCCAAGGCTTGTCTAGGCGTTGGTGATGATGAGGTGACACTCAACCGGGTATCATCGCAAATCACGCTCTCTGTCGAATGTGGACTCGCGTGAGATGCGTCGGCGGGCGCGAGGAGCCTGTTGGGTGGAACATTGACCGTCGAGACCCTCGTGCGAGCTCGTCTCACGGGTTGATCCCAGTCGCACTTCAGACGAGACTTGGAGCATCTTGCACAGACGGGCCTTATCTCGTCGCATTTGAGTTTTCGAGTCCGGCAAGTCGCGCAGCCTGGAACGCGGGATGGTGTCTCAGCGTCAAGATGCTTGCACCACGCCGAGGTATTAACGTACCGGTTTTGGAGCGAGTACCACGTTTGGGTGATGCAGTGCTGTCCATGATTGTTTGGTCGCTGAGTGAACAAATCTGAGAAACGAAAGAGCCGGTCGAGGGAGGCAAGCTGAGTGGCTGACTCGGCTCTCGCTTAGACGGAAAAAGGCCATTCTCCCTTGATGAATGGCTGAATTTGCCGACTTCCGGGGGGTGTGATACTAGCTTATCGCTGGCGGCGAGAATCCACGACGTGTCCGGCCGAATGCTTCATGGGCCGCAGCCCGGGGCTCTCCATTGCTTTCCAGCCGTAAGGCTGAGCTTATATATATATAAGTGAAGGCACTGATACCACTGAGAGATGAAGGAACAACAGTCTATCCCATCACCAAAGCGACTAGCATCCAAGTCGAAGAGCGCAGTCACATCGAGACCAACATCTGTAAGGGGAGAAATTTCCAAATATGACGACTCCGCAGAGTGCAGAGCCTTTGTCGACAGAGGAGCTGCACAAGAACATCTCGGCATATATCAGCAAAAATGAAGAGCACCTGGCCGACATCTGCAAGAAGGTCTGTCTCCTCTTCTTGCCCATCCACCAAAGAACCTGCTACTGACGATCCCATGTCCAGATTCATGATGATCCAGAGTTGAACTATCGCGAGTTCCACGCCCACGACAACATCTGCGATCTGATGGAAAAGCTCGGATACCACGTCAAGCGACACACTTACGGCCTCGAAACGTCTTTCGAGGTGGAAGCTGGACATGGAGGACAGCTTATCGTCTTCAATGCCGAATACGACGCTCTCCCGGGCATTGGACATGCCTGTGGACACAACCTGATAGCCACCAGCTCCATCGCGGCATTCATTGCAACGGCCGAGGCACTCCGGGATAGTGGGCGAGAAGGACGAGTTCGCCTGCTGGGAACACCAGCTGAAGAGGGCGGTGGTGGGAAAGTGCGCCTCATCCGAGCAGGTGCATATGAGGGAGTTGATGCTTGTTTGATGGCCCACCCATCGGGTCGCATGCCTGTGAATATGGACGGTGTGGCGGCAGGCAAGTGTCTTGCACGTCGACAAGTCAAGGTCACGTTCAAAGGCCAGAATGCCCATGCTGGAGTCATTCCTTGGAATGGGAAGAATGCACTCGATGCGGTTGTTGCGTCGTACGTCAACATCTCGTTGCTACGGCAGCAACTTGCTCCCACAATTCGGGTGCATGGAGTCATTCGCGAAGGAGGAGCGGAGCCCAACATCATTCCCGACTCGGCCAGCCTCGAATATTTCCTGCGCGGCTCAAGTTTCGCCGAGCTTTTGGAGCTTTCGGACAAAGCAAAGGCCTGTTTCGAGGCCGGGGCCCTGGCAACTGGTTGTCATGTTGATTGTGCCTGGCAACTGTAAGTGTCTTCTTCTGGACAAGCATGACATGATATTGACGCGAGTGGGTAGGGACAATGACTACAAAGATCTGATCACAAGCCTGGGCATCGCACGAGAATTCACGAAACATATGGGTAGCTTTGGTCGTGAGTACCTGGAGAATGCGGGCGACCAGATCATGGGTGGCTCGACGGATATGGGCAACGTCACATACGAGGTGCCTGGCTTCCACGGTGTCTTTACCATTGGTATCGACGACCCAGAGGTTCAACCACATACCCCGGCATTTGCAGCTGCAGCGGGGACCAGAGTGGCCTTTGAACGTGCTCTTGATTGTGGCAAGGGCATGGCAGCGACGGCCTATGGTTTGCTTACTCGACCCGAACTGATGGCGGAGGTGAAGAAGGACTTTAGGGAACAAATGAAGCCGGGAGTGAAGCTGTGATCGACCACTCGATCTAAAGCCACTTGTCTCGGCTCTGCGGGATTCTCAGATAATGAGCAGATAAAAGCACATTTTGTTTAAACGCAGTTGCAATATACTTGAGTGTCACACGGCGGCCGCTTCAATCAATCAAGTAGACTTAGGGTTCAACGCAAAAAGACCAATCTTCTCATGTCTCATGCAAAGATAAGAAAATCAAAGAAAGTGGATGTTGTCGCGTCAAGAGTGTCTGTTTGCCAAGCTTTTGACTATTCCCAAAGAGGATAAATCACCTAAACCGGATCTGGTACTCGTTGCTTTCTTCGTCTCCCGTTACCTATTGCTCACTGCTCTCTGCAAATTTGGCAGAATAGGTCGTGAGTACTTGATACTCGCCTGTACTATTGGTTCGGTGGAGAGCCTCACGGCTCCCAATGGCGAGGCTTCGGCAATGAGGGAATGGACCTAGTGACACGACACTCTCACCCCATCCACATCATCACAGACCAACACAAGCATGAGAATGCATACAATTCCTGCGGCACTTACGTGTCACATCATCTACCCTTGATCGTCCAACTTGCAGAGCTAGACAGGAAAACAAGACCAGGATCTTCGGGCATATGCCGCGATGCACGCATCATGCAGAGTAACGAAATGGTGCGGAGCACAACCATGTCTCCTTGGAGAAACGGCCTCTCTTTGGGGCAAGACCCAACGCAGACCGAATCAAGGCAGGGCAAGGGGGTCGACTGTCACTCCGAATATAGAATCAGGAACTTTCAGTGATCTCCGCAGTATGTTGGTCAGAGCCATCTCATGATCTTGGAAACGTCATGACAAAACCGCATTCTGACGCATACGAGATAGAGACTTGTTGAAAACCTTTCTGGAAGTACCGACAAGGTTGTTCGAGTCTGAAAATTGCCCGGGGTTGACGACTTCCAATATACGACGCTGAGGTGGTCTCACAACTTCATTCATTTGCCGGAACAAGCCATGCCTCCAACTTATCCCGAGATCTTGAAAGTGCGGTACTCCTCTGACGACACTTCGCTCCAGTTCCCGGTCCACAATCCGGCGACGGGTGAGATAATCACCAATCTCCAAGCAGGGACGCCCGTTGAGGTCGACGCCGCCGTTCAGGCTGCTCAGAAAGCGTACGACAACGACTGGCGCTGGCGATCTCCCGCAGAACGGAGCGCCTTGCTCTTCAGATGTGCCGATGCTTTAGAGCCGCACAAGGACGAGCTGGCTGAGTTGCTGTGCCTGGAGAACGGAAAACCCAAGCAGGACGCTCTGTCCTTTGACATCAATTTTCTCGTTAACATCTTTCGCTTCTTTGCCGGCATCTGCGACAAGTTACCGGGTGAATTCTACCAGAGAGGCAGTGTCAATGCGACCGTCATCTACGAGCCGTTCGGGGTGTGCGCGGGCATCCTGCCGTTCAATTGGCCTCCAATCCATTTTGGCGGTAAGACGGCCCCAGCCCTCGCCGCGGGTAACGTCATGATCATCAAGCCCGGAGAGCAGGCCCCCTTGACGGTGCTCAGGATGTGTGAGATCATCTCCCAAGTCCTGCCGCCTGATGTGGTCCAGGTTGTGCCTGGCCTGGGGCCAGAGGTACCTGCGGCGCTGATCAAGCACGATCTTGTCAAGATGGTGTCTTTTACCGGCTCGACCGTGGCTGGCGCAAAGGCGGCCGAGACAGCCGCAAAAACCGTGACCCCCGTGGTCCTCGAGCTGGGAGGTAAGAATGCATTCGTCGTCTTTGACGACGTTGAGGACCTCGATCGCGCGGTCGGAGACGCGCTCGAAGGGGCATTCTTCAATAAAGGCGAGGCATGCACCGCATCTTCGAGGATCCTCGTCCAGGAAGGGGTCTACAACCAATTTTGCGACAAGCTGGCTGCCGGGGTGAAGAAGCTGAAGTCCGGGAACGGTCTAAACCCCACCACCCACTTGGGGCCGCAGGTCAGCAAGGCTCAACAGCAGAGGGTGCTTGGATACCTGCAGAAGGCCAAAGATCTCGAGAAAGAAGGAAAAGTCAAGATCGCGGCACAGGGTCAGCTACCAGAGGATCCGGCCTGCAAGAATGGCTTCTTCGTGCCGCCCACCCTCATCACCGACGTGACGCGAGACATGGTGATTGCACAGGAGGAGATGTTCGGCGTGCTCGTGACGGTCACGCCGTTCGAGACCGAAGACGAAGCCGTCGACATTGTCAACGAGTCCCGGTACGGCTTGACGAGCATCATCTTCAGCCGCAACAGCGAGAGGTGCTGGCGCTTCTCTAAAAGGGTGGATGTCGGCCTAGTCTACGTCAACAACTACTTCCGCAACATCCTCGGGGTGCCGTTCGGGGGTGCCAAGGAGACGGGCTACGGGCGCGAACACAGCATCGGCACGCTCAAGGAGTGGTGTCGCGCCAAAGTCATCAACCAGCCGAGCGGGTTCGGAGAGGTGCCGAGATGGAGAGTGGTCAAGGAGTTGTATGGAGTGTGAAGCAGGAATATCGCGACACACGATAGTCTTCCCCCTCTCAACCCAGCCTGTTTTATTTTCGCACACGAGAAACGCACACAGACATGGAAGTAATATGGTGAAATAGCATCCGGAGCAAAGTATGCGCGCCCTTTGACATACGACTCGACGAGTAAGTAACCGTAGGTATATAGATATGCACAGAATGAGTGCTGAACAGCGTGACAGCGTGACAGCCAATCGGCTTCTTGAATAAGGTTATATTCATAGTGAGCTAGCTCCTTGGCACAGAGCTTGGCACATATAAGTAGGTGGTGGTGCCGTGGTGCCTCGGTGCGACTTGAAGCAAAAGTTTCTCCCCTTTCCCCCCTCCACTTTGATGGCCAATTCTCCCTATCCTCACACTGCGCTGTCGCACGAGTGACAAAGCTCTCTTAGTACTCAAACTTCTGACCGACCAACTTCTCGCTCAATTCCCACAGTCGGTCCGCCAGTTTCGGATCGTGTGTCCAGGCAGGAGACTCTGCAATGTGCCCATCGCTCAAGAAGATACCTGACCCGTCCTTGAGGTTGGCCGGGCCGAGGCTGTCGTCCAGCCCCGCGACCAGGTGCGTCGCGCAGCCCTGGTCGACGGTCTTGAACTCGGACTTGAATTTCTCGACGATGGCCGCGAGCGTCTCGGGATCGTAGTGGCGGCTGAGTTCGGTCATGATGGCGCCCGGGTGCAGGGCGAAGCTCAGAATGCCGTGTTTCTCGTACAATCGCGCGGTGAGGCCGAGGGCAAACAGCACGTTGGCCGACTTGGACTGGCCGTACGCCACGGTGAAGTTGTAGGTCTCGCTGGGATCGACGGGTCGGCCGGTCGCGGCCAACGCCGCATTGTCGGGCTGCTCGGCCTCGGGCAGGCTGCTCATCTTCTGGTCGAAGTTGATGTCGGAGAACCGGACCGGGCTGTAGGCGATACCCCGGGAAGAGACGTTGACAATGCGCGTGCTCCCTTTGGGGTTGGACTTTGCGGCAGCCAGGATCTTGGGCATGAGCAGGTTTGTGAAGAGGAAGTGGCCGATGTGGTTGGTCGCGAATTGCAACTCGATCCCCTCGGGGCTGAGCTTCCGCTCCGGGATGCTCATGATGGCGGCATTGTTGAAGACGATGTCGATCTTGTCGACCTGTGCGTTGGAGAGGATGGAAGACGCGGCACGGCGGCATGACTCCTGCGACGAGAGGTCCAGCGGCACCGCAATGTACGTCGTACCCGGCGACTTGGAGCGGGCCTCGTCGATGATCTCCTGGATCTTGGACGGCGTGCGGCTGGCCAGGATGAGCGCCTTGGGCGCGTGTGCGCTGAGGATCTCGACCATCTTGCCCCCGAGCCCGCCCTTGTTGACACCCGTGATCAGGATCGTCTTGCCCTTGATGGCTGGTGCAAAGATCTCCGCCACCGAAGTCCCGGTGGTCGAAAAGTCAAACGAGTGTGCCATTTTGCTGTTGATTTTGCTGGAACTGAATCGTCTTGTTTGGATACCTTGGAAAATACAGCTAAGTCTGATTGGTTTTGCGTCGATGCTGCAAGCAAAATCCAGGGATCTGATCTCAAGTCGACGTGAGAGTATATGAAACTGGCGGACAAACATTCCAATTCGTCCTCCCCCCAAAAGTCCAGAGACTCCGCGCCCTTTTATATACCAGGTCCCTACTAACATGTATGTCCTCCTATCTACATATGATATGCACGAGGGTATGAGCATAAGGCTGGAACTCACGTTTCGTTCCTTCCGTCCAATCGCCAACTCGTCATTCCAGCCGGAGTTTAGCAGCCAGATTTAGCTCCGGTCACGAGGAGACATAAATCCGAGGTTCCATGGCTGTGTACCGAGTAACTCCCAGTCCATGTCACACAGTTGCAGGTCGCAGGTCACAGGTCGCGGGTCGCAGGTTGCATTAACTAGAGGGGGCGGTTCGTCCCGGTCTGACAATAAAAAAGACATTGGGAGCTGAATTCGTGGTGTGATGGCTCCTTTCAATGTACGAGGTACGGATATATGTATCCGCGTGGCGTAGTGTTAGGTTTCAACGCATGCGTGTATCTTTTATATATTACTTGTGTCCATTACCATCTACGTTCAGGAAAGGGGCTGCGATGAAGCTGCTTTGATCAGGCGTATGGACGGAGAGTATCGAGGAGGCCTGGCCGAGTACACATGGGGAAACTGCTGGAGCACTCAGTGCCCTGATGTGATTTCTGCGTGTGGCGGAAATGTACTCGAGCTTAGAGACTCTTTGTTGATCGACTCCCGACCCAACCTAACCAAACCTGTAGATCGGATCGCGTGGGCTGGTTCCACCCGTTCTTGCGGCCTTTAGTTCCGCCACTATTGGCTCATTTTATGCACAGAAAAAGGGTGATCTGGACCAGTCAGACGTGGTATTCACTAAAACGTTTTACATTTAATTCACTTTCCTAAAACAGAATCACGGAGAAGACTCGGCATTCATGGCTCTGCCCCCTTACCTCCGCACCCCTTTCGCATTATATTCTGGCACAGGTGAATAAGTACTCCAAGCATCCCGCGTCTCATTTCTTCTCCTCCTCCTCATCCAGCCCCAAAATATCGGGTACCGGCCCCTCAGGGACAATGCCGCTCGGGTTCAACATGACGAGACTCATAAAGTAGTGGCCCTTGATATGCTCGAAGCTGGTGGTGCTTTTAAAGGCCTCGACTTCCCAGTACAGGTGCCTCACCCAGCGGTGGAGGTGTGGGTAGTGGGTGCGGATCATGGCGCGGTTCGTCTTGAACAGGGACACGTAGACGGGGTCGAAGCGGATGATGGTCACGTAGAGGCGGATGTCGGCTTCTGTGAGGGACGCGCCGAAGTAGTAGGGTCCGTCGCGGGAGGCGGAGGAGAGGTCCTGCTCAGCTCGGTCCAGTGCGGCGAAGAGAGCGGTCACGGCGTCGTGATATGCGGTTTGGGTCTGCGTGAGGCCGCATTTGCTGGGGGTTGCATCAGCTTTTGGTCTTGGGCTTTGCGTTCGAGAAAAAGAGGAAGAGGCTTGGACTGGGGGAACAAAAAGGAGCTGCACTCACTAGACACCGTTGTTGATATTGTCATAAGTCCATCCATTGACTTCGTCGATCTTCGCCCTCAACTCTCGAGGATAGAGGTCGACCTTTCTCCTCTCCTCGGGCAAAAGTTGGTCGAACTCGGTGTACAACATGCGGATAATCTCGCTGCTTTCATTGCTCACGATCGACTCCGTCTTCTTGTCCCACAGCACAGGAACCGTGAACCGGCCTCCGTAGTTTGGTTCAGCCTTGTAATAGAGCTCCTTCACGCGCTTAAATTCCGGGTGCAAAGGGTCTGGAGTCACGTCCTCCATCGGCAACGACTCGCCAGGCTCAACGAAGCGCCAGCTGTTAACAGAGGACATGTGGTAGTGGACCGATGTGACGGAAATAATCGACTCCAGGCCCTTGAGTCGTCGAACGATCAAGGTCCTGTGAGCCCATGGACAAGCATATGAGACGTAGAGATGGTATCTGTCCTTTTCAGGAGGGAACCTCGCGCCCGGTTCACTTGAAATCCAGTTGCGGAACTGAGCAGCCGGTCTTTGCAATTCGCCCTTGCTGTTGAACAGCGTGGCCGGCAGGGCTTTCTCGTCTGTGCTCTGTTGTCGAGTGAAGTCATCACTGTTAGCACCATCTATGTGGCAGAATCCTTTTTCGTCATCTCGCATATCAAGCTCAGACGTACCTGGATAGACATGGTTTGGGATTCCACTCTGCTTGGAAGAATTGGCAAGTTGTTATACTGCTATTGCGAATCTTGACCCGAGGTCATGGAAGTATGTATTGAGAACTACCCACCAAGAATGCATTCGTTCAAAGGAAAACAATGCGGCTTGTCTTCTCACTTATACCTACTCGTGTTAAAGATCCAGGATATGTAATCAGAGATTTCATCGTGTGCCCTGTCTGGGTCGAGCAATAAAGCGGCAGTATCGCCCGCACTTCCGCAGCGATGAGAGATGGGCGAGAATCTAACGTCAGGTCCATTGAGTGAAAGTCAATGGCGATCTTGCTGGGATAAGGCCAAGCAACAAAAAGGCATCATTTCCGCTTTGCTCAGCCATTGTCAAGCCTTGATGGCATTGGTGGTAATCCCCACAAATGCTTCTCGCCCGATAAGCTCGGACGAGAGGTGTACATGGTCACGTGAGGACCTTGCTGATTAGTGGAAGCTCTACAGTAAGCTTAGCAATGTCATGGAATTGTTGTGGGAGTCCTTCACGTGTATCGCGTTGGCTCTCCAAATCACGCTATGACCTCTAGCGTGAGAGATGGGAGGCTGGCTATTCAACACAGAGTCACCGCAAGCTGTTCGAAGATGCTTCTAGCCCACCAGCCCTCAACATTTCAGCTTGATTCCTTTTCGCTTTTCCTCTTCACGATGTTCGAACATGACTTGAACTCCGACAAACAAGGCAGAGCAGGCGCCGAGCATGAAGACGGCACCTTGCCAGGAGCCAGCAATCCCATTCACAAGCCCCATCAATCCATCCAATCCTACAGCGAAACCGACTAGGTTGGCGGCCATCATCATCAAGATGTTCAGGACTGCTCCAATCCCACAAATGACGCGGTATGTATTCGGACGATTCTTCCATTTTGATGCTGGAAACGCCATAGTTGCGAGAACTTCCGGTAGCACGAAAAGCACAACCAACCAGCCCCACAATAGGAGGCGGAGTTGGATATCGTGCCACAAGGCCACGAAGGTGAAGACTGCTAGCATGTTGAGAATGCCGCGCACGGTGCCTGAGCCGCCACCAGGACCTCCTCCAAGGGGTACGTAGACGTAGCGAACCGTCCATCTGTTGAAGCTTCGGTGCCACGAGCGCCAAAAGCCAAAAGCCGAATAATTATCGCTCATGCATCGAACCATGTTTTCTGGTGGGTCAATGCCATCCATTAAAGCCCAAAATCTGAAAAACCGCCAGGGGATCATTAACTTTAGCCAGATGTGGTGCAGATTAAAGTAGGCGAGCATGCTGAGTTGAAATGGCGTATATACAGACCAGTCCGGCGAGGCTTTGGAGATGGCAACCATGTAGGCAGTGTGTATGAGAAACTCCATGCAAAACATTGTGATCAGAAGTCTAATCCCGTAGAGCGCGGTTCGTTTGGTCGTCACGGACGGTGGCCGATACGTGGATTGGGAAATATAATCATTGAAAGTCAAGATCGGACCAGCCAGATAAAGAGGCGGATATAATACATAGGCGAGGTATGTACGAAATGAGGTATAAGCTGATGCTGGAGCTGGCATCTTGACTCGATCTCTTTCGGAGAGTGTAGACGCATCGAGTTGCTTCTTCTTGACATTGTCAGCGTATCGTCAAGAATAAGAGCATCAATCAGTCATTCACAACATACCTCAATGGGGCTCCCTGCTCTCGAACGATCCAACGACCAGTAATAGTCAAAATTGAAAGAGATCATGCGTAACACAGTAATGTTGAAAAGAACCTCCCAGCGCGGATTTAAACCTCCGTAAGAATCCAAGAATTTGCTCCAATCAGCCGCAACGGGAAAGAAAGGTATAAGGGCCTCGGCCATGACCGAGTATCGGTAGCCTTGAGCAAGTTCATTGGCGAAGAGAATGGCAACGTTGAAAACCCACGTCGCTACCGGAATCGTGTCTCGGGGAAGGGCAGTGGCAATTTTGAAGTTGATGAACAGGACGAGCAGGATTTTGAAGATGGAGGAGCCGTTCAATGCAAGAATGTAGATCAACGCAGAACCAAAGTCGAACGCAAGCCGGTGTCGAAGCCGGGATTCGGCTGTGGACTGGGCAACAGGAGACGGCGCATTCGTGCTGCCGTTGGTAGTTGGTGGACTGGGAAGAACGAGACGTTCATAGGCCTGGCGAAGAAGAGGGTGCAGAATAACTAGGGCTGCCAAGTATGGGAGGTTGTCTCGAAATCCGGCGTACTGGCCATCGGAGTTGTCCTGTGATCTATATAAGCCTCGTAGTTCACATACACTGGTCTGTGCATTCCTAGACATACCACTTTCCGACCGAATAGCCAACCCGGAGAAAGAAGATGCTCATATTTGGAGTAGTTTGGGGAATCGGCTATTGTTCAGGCCTGTCAAATTTCTTGTCTTGCTTATGGAGGTTGAGTTTCTTACGCTGCGATACACTGACTACAGCCCAATACATCTGTGGGACGCAAAACAAGAAGACAGCCAGATACACATAAAACTCGGTAGTCCTCCATCGTGGCTGTGATGCTTCTGTAGGCTGTGTCTTTCCATCTCTTACTGCCTGCTTGGAGGCCGCTTCATTGACAGACTTTAATGGCGTTGAGGAGGAATTCGTAAATCGCGTGTCGAGGGTATCAAGGGAGTACAGGTCGCGGAGGGATGACAGAAGGGTCATGTTCTCGTATGCATGCTGCGTTCCTTTGTAGGACGCTTCAGCGCTTCAGAGAGGCCAAAGAATCGTGGGATTCCTGGAAAGGTGTCCTGTACTTGCAATCGCTGGGTGCGCGTCGTGTGTTCTGGACAGAGAAGTCAATTCTAGGCCAATGAAACCCCGAGCATTTGCCCTGTCGCCTGCGCAAGAGGGATAAGGGGCATTAGTGTCTTGGCAGCCGTAGGCGCTCAATTGCCCCCCGCTTAACTCCCCTAGGCACGTTATGGAAACTCAACGGTCAAAGACATCCTCTTCTGTGTCCCCTCACGTCGCTACCTGGATAGGTGACAATTCACACCGGTGACATTTACACCTGATCTGTATTAATGCTCGTTTCTCTGAGATCCTGGTCATGAATCTCGCACATCCATTACTTGAGCCGCCCAAACTCCTCGTCTCAACAACGGCATGCCTTTAATTGAAGAACTACCAGTCACCACCACAGCCCGTGCCTCACATGGCTGGAGTTACGTTCCCGACAATGTTGCCCCTGTTCCTGCCCTCCAGCTGGGTTCCCGCAAACGTGGTCGTGAAGGAACGGTAGCACATGCGGCTGCTCATAAGCTCTCGGCGAAGCAAGAAAAGGCCATTCAACAGCGACTGAACGACTTGAATAAGGAAAACTATCGCGATGCCCACATCCCAATACCGAAACGAGAGGGTGCAAAGGGAAAAGAGAGGAAGACCACACAAAATGTAAGGCGGATTCTCGCCTACAATAGGACGTTCCAGCATTATCTTGCAGACGAAGAAGCAGGGGTGAATGTTTATGGAAGTGCTGCCAACGTACCTGCCGCCACGGTTGCTAGAGGTCAAGCGAGACAGGAACCGACGCAGAAGACAGCAGCAGACTCTAGGAAGCGCAGTGCTGCTGCGAACGATACTCCATCAACCACTGCTCAGAAAGGATCTTCGCGCCGTCGGAACTCGTCTAAAAATGCCAAAACCACGCCTGTGAAGAATGCAGGGGGGGAGAGAGGCAGCACTATTGATATCGAGATGCCCGACGCGCCTCCACCTACGAAACCCCCAGAGCAGACCTCCCCAACAATAACTGTCAAATCCACCCTTTCCACTGGAGAGAGACCGCAGCCTTCCTCATCACCTTCAGCTAGTCAAGGCCATCTTCCATCCTATGACCCAGCTCTCGACCGCGATCCGCTACTCCGTACGCTTAATCTTCCCAAGATGCCATCAGAACGCGTCATGCAAGCCCTCCTGTCCGAGCCTTCGCTGACTTACGTTGCCGCGCGGGCCAAACCACTGGATCAAAACACGGCGGGTGATGGAGGTTTCGCCATGCGCACGGGAAACAACTCACTTATGGCCAAACCCCAGCGCTGGTTCTGTTCTGTATGTGGTTACTGGGGCAAAGTGAGGTGTAAGTATGGATGTGGAGAGCGGGTGTGTGGGTTGTTGGATTGTTGGCGAGGACACGAAGCGGTTTGTACACTGGCGGCAACAGGCTACTGAGTTGAGGGTCTCCCTCTCACTCTCATCAGCATGTGCGGCATCTGCACACTTGTCACCACTTAGCTGAGACAAGGCTATCCGGTCTCACGTGCGCATGCGATGATGAAGCCATCCCAGCGGCATACTCATCGCCGGAAGTGAATCTGTGTCCTATGTCTCCAAATACCGGATTGTCGGTATGCTCCAGCCGCTGTTGACACTCTTAGAGACGAGCCGTCACTGCATAACAAGATCGATGACGATCTTCCTCCCTTCCGTGCCGTGGTGTGCGAACGTCCGTCGCTCGATCCAGTCCCCAATTGACTTCCAGGAGCGATGAGCTGCTCCGCCAACAACGCTCGAGCGAGTGTCAAAGCGCACGACCGCCCGTGATGCTGGTACACGAGGAATTGTTTGGCGAATTGTATGGCGTGAACATGCCGTGTGCGGAAAATACCGATCTCAAATCTGCAAGGTGGAAGGGTGAAACCAGCAACACCTCTACTACAAATTCCATCATGCTAGTCATATCAACCATGCCAGCCATGTACCTTACGCAACCTGCATAGCTATCTAGGTACTAGCCACTGCTGCCAGGTACGAGAACATACCTACATACCTACATACCTCCTAGTACTTACGAGTACCTAGGTATATATATGGTAGCATTCTATTATTTCCAGCATCCATCAATCTCGTACTTTCCCCCGTTAAAACCAGGCATCTACTCTCTGCCTTGCTAATCTCACGTTGGTCAGGGAAATCATAGATATCATCGCATATCGTACAAGTGAGTCAGCCTTGTTCGTCGTTCATCCGTCATTGTAGACTACAATCTTAGGTGATAGATTGACAAGGCTACCTCGACAGGAAGCATTGTCTCCCAGCAATAACAGTGAGCCGACGCTCTATCCTAACCTCGGAACAAATCGAGTCACCATTGTAACGAGCATACTGCCTATAGTATCTGCATATAGTGTGAGCCACATTCTTGCAGTTCTCTGATACAGGGAGAGTATCAACTTCCTCCCTACCGGAGATGCCTGCGGCGCGTGTAGACTTCCAGACTATCAACAGCCCCTGCTCTACAGTAGATCCAACGGCCATCATGCCTTATCTTCTAAAATTGCTATCGTCCATATCTCGGGCAACGGCTCACCGCTGGCAAGATTTTGCGGTTCGGTACATAGATCTGTAGGATTGACGATGTGTAGCCCACTAGGCGGGTCAGGGGGTGGAGCAACTCGTATATGTACTTGGCGGATTCATATCAACACAATCCGGCTTGTCTTGATACATGCAAAAGAACACTCTACGGCCTCTCCAATCTCGGAAGACCAACATATGAATATCTCAGCGGCCCGGCCTGTGTAGCATGATCGACTGACGCGCGCACAGCATGGCCTACTATGACGTTGACGCCATCTTGACAGACTCGCAAAAACTGCCCTGCACCTTCGAACTGGACGTGCCTGGCCTTGGATACTTGGATGGTAATGCCGGTGGGACGGTCAGTCGGGAGCCAGAGAATTCCTGTGTTATGAGCAGATGCGCAGGAAGATAACAAAAAGACCCCGTTCGCTAATACATCGTGATAGATCAAGGCGGGCACAAAGATCGATCTGCCCATGTGGCTAGGTGTCATGCTGGCGGTGTCAACCGGGTGGGTATATATATCTATCTCTACGCGTCTGCCAGGCACCTTGCAACGCGTGAGAAACATCTGACGGTGTCTCTCGTCTAGGAATACGCCTGGCGCTCAACGGCTCGTCACGCTGGATTTCCCGGCGCCGCTTCAACAGCGCGTCATCAACGCGCTCAAAGCAGACCCGAAGACCGTCGACCTGCGCGCCCAGGCGCCGCACTTCTACGCTCTCGGTGCCCGGATCATGGAGTTGTTCGATGATCGCGCGGTGCTGGATACCTTGTTAGATGTAAGTCTAGGTACTCGTGGCTTTTCCCCTGCCTCTTACGGGCTCAGGCGCCTCCGTCAACCCATGGCGCCCAAATCCACGCCTGAAACTGATGCGAGAGGCGTTTTGCGCGTGTCTAGACATTCAAACAACGAGCGGCAGAGATTGCCGATCAGGCACATAACCCCCGAGGCGCATTGGGCGACGGAGCAGAGTTTCTGAGAGGATTGGAGGAGAGTGAGCGACAGCTATTCAAGGCGGCACACGAGGGTCCCAAAGCCGTCAGAGCTTGGACGCAGGACTTGAAGAAGAATACTTGAAACTGTGGACTTCAAATGATGAGACAGGCACGCTTGTACGCGACATGACAGATTTATGCGGTGTCAGCAGCAGTTGTAACGAGGAACAAACGATGGCTCATATCCCTGCAAGATATTCTCAGCCAACACCCCCGGCGGCTTCCTTGACCTTTGCTTGCTCCGGAGGCTCATCCACGAACTGCGGTGGCGCGACTTCATCCTGCAGGAAACCTGGGGTACTCTCGCCGATACCCATCTCTTGCTCAAACATCATATCCTCACCCAGCGCCTCCAGCTCGGCATCCAACTCGGCCTCGTCAACTTCATCGGGTACATCGTAAGCGCGGCTTATACTTTCGTTGATCTCGTTGCCAATCTCCATCAAATCCGCCATTTCATCCTGCATCTGTTCTATCTTGTCAATGTTGATCTTGCCGTATTGTTGTTTCAGCGCTTTATTCGTGGTCTTCATAGCATCCACGGTGGTCATGACGTTCTTTAAATTATCTTGCATCACTCCGGCCTGTTCCATGTTCCATGACTGCTGCTGGAGTTGGTCCCGTTGTGATTCGTACATTTTGCGCCGTTGTAGGACTTTGAGGGCTTTCTGCTTTATCGCCTGTTTCCCGGGGCCGTCGCGCATTTTGGAGAGTTTCTGCTGGTATGTGGAGAGTTCGGCATTGATTTTGGCGAGCTTGACATCGAGAGAGTCGATCCTCGTGTCTACCTGCGGCAAGGGTCAGACCATCCCAAGCTGTCCGGCGAGGGGCAAGGACAACCCACATTTTGTATAGCACTGTTCAAGGTCGGCTTGGGAGCCGTGTTTTTTGAACCAAAGAGTCGATTCATCTTGTGTGAATTCTTGAATTACAGGGTGTGCCCATGCGCGAGAGTAAACATACAGGAAATGTCGTGTTTGTGCTCGAAACACTCGAGTGCCTTGTAGATGGAGCAGCGATGCAGTGAGAGAGTTGCCTGTCCAAGTTGGGCTTCTGGAGCGTCATTTCGCTCCGACATTTATCCGGCGGCACCCAGCCATTATCCCACCAGCGCCCATCTGGCATTTACAATTCTCTCATCTCACTCTGCGTGGTGGTCTTGTACTCTGTTCAAGCATCTTCACTATGCGCCATAAATGTTTGAATCATATCAATGTTGTTTACGACTTAGCAATTTCTGGTCGCCATACTGAACAATGCTGATTAACAATGTGACAGGCCGAAGGTGAGGAAAGAAGGGAGACCAGGGGTAAGGATCGTCCCGCACGAGATGCTGGTGATTGACTCAATCGATCTGCAGATGCGCAAATTGATAATTAGCACAGGAGCCTCATCCTTATGCTGCCCAAAGCATTGCCAGATGATCCCGGAAATATTGCACGTGTCCTTGCGGCGCCCCTTTTTTTGCCTCGTTCTTTGTGCCACCTCATCTGCATCTGGTGTAACGCCTCCCATGCGCCTGGGCATTGTCATCATTTTCACTTGTTAGTGCTTGGGCCGGTTGGATGGTTGGGCTTCAGTGGGAACCGCTAAGATATCTGGGGGAGGTTGCCATTCGGACTTTCTAGGGAGCCATGTGGCATGGGCATTTCGTGGCGGGCAATAATCATCTGGAATCAGGATAGGCGGCTGGTTGGGCGCGGTATGAAAGGAAAAAGGGGGGCGCTTGTTTGTGGAGGCGCCGGCAAATGGGCCACAAGGCAAGGCATCATCTGCTAATGGTCCGTCGCAAACTTGTCCTTGTGGCCGACGGGACTTTAGGACTCCAGCTTCTTCAGCCGGTGTTGTACCTCGTGCCCAAGTACTTCTTCACATCACTTGGCTCTTTTTGCCTGCGGTCCGTGTTACATGTAGCACAACTCTTGTCACTACTATTATCAGACCCTGTACTACAATCTATTCAAGGCGCCAGCCATAATACTATCGCTCCTCCCTACCCTACAAACGCCCGGCGCTGCTTTTCATGTGAGCTGGAGATTGGTGATTGCGTGCATGGTGCAGTTCTGACTTCTTCGCTGCCAAGTTCGCGCGTGGACATTCTCTCTTTTTTGGTTACCGGCCGAACCTCCAACCAGAATCCCGATTCATCCACAACTCACAAACCACCGCTCAATCACCTCTCGCGCTCAGACAACTTCCTCCCTACAATAATTCCTCCCAGGCGAACAGTCCTTGGACTTCAGTCTTTGACCGCAGTCTGGACTTCTCTTCCAGTCACTCCTTTGTAACAACAGGTAAACATGCGTGATTGCACACTCCGAGTTGCCGGCAACATCGCACAGAGATTCCCGGTTGCTCATCTTCTCCATGTGTTGTCAGAGAGCTAATTTTTTGGATTTTGATGACAGCGCTGGACCGTTTGTCTATGTCTTACTCAATATTCAGCTCACGAGTTACGACTTCCCACTGCTTGTTACTTGACGATCACATTCCTACGATACTGTATCATTACTAAGACCTCCTGCATTGCTCCGATCGCGTCCGAATCGCAGCCGCAACCATGTTTTGGCGATTTGGAGGCTACTCCAATATATCCTCTATCGACACGCTCCTCGAAAAGCCCAATGTCAGGCTCGAAGACTTGCTAGAAGAGACTGACCTGATTCAGGAGCTCAAGTCGCACCACACTAAACTGATAGAATATCTGCGCGATGAACCAAATTTACATGCTCTCCTAAACTACGTTATTGCTCCTGGCCCTAAATCCGAGCACGAAGAAAACGAGGAGGATGAAAAGGGCAAAGGCCTTGAGACGGATAATGAAGATGACCCGCAACCTCTGGACGAAGAACAAGAGAAGGCTGAGAAGATGCGCTTGAAATATGCCTATGTCGCGTGCGAGATTCTGTCTTGCGAGACTTGGTCGATTACAGAGTCTCTGATGGCCAACACTCCTTATCTCACCGAGTTTTGGGATTTCCTGCGGCAACCTGCTCCATTGGACCCTCTCCAGGCTGGCTATTTCACCAAGGTCAACGAAACCCTACTCGAAAAGAAGACTGAGGAGATGTTGGATTTCTTCAAGTCGCTTCCGGGTATCGTGCCCGCCATTCTCCAGCACGTCGACTGTCCAATGGTGATGGACCTGTTGTTGAAAATCATCAGTCTGGAGAAATCTGACGGCGGAATGGGCATCGTGGACTGGCTTCAGGGGCAAGATCTGATCCCAATGCTCCTTTCTAACCTGTCCCCCGAATGCAACTCCTCGACCCAGACTTCTGCTGGGGATTTCCTGAAAGCCATCATCACGATATCTGCGAACGCGGCTCAAAATGAGCAATCCTGCATTGGTCCCAACAGTCTGACACGCCAATTGGTGTCGGAAAAGTGCATCCGACAGCTTATTTCATACATGCTCAGAGGCGGAAACCCGCTCACAGTGGGTGTGGGAATCGTGATCGAGGTTATTCGAAAGAACAACTCAGACTATGATCCCGACCAAGGTCACAGCGCTGATGCTCCTCCGACTAACCACGACCCCATCTATCTCGGCACCCTCCTGAGGTTATTTGCCCATCATGTTCCGGACTTCATGAACCTCATCCTCAGCTCTAAGCACACTGTCACCGAAGGCGAGGAGACCAGGGTAGTAGAGAGAGGCCAACTCAAATCGGCATGGGGAACACAAATCGAGCCCCTCGGGTTCGACCGATTCAAGACCTGCGAGTTGATGGCTGAACTACTTCATTGCAGCAATATGGGTCTTCTGAACGAGCGAGGCAGTGAAGAATTCATCAAAGCCAGAGACGCCGAGAGGGAGAGACTCAGAGCGCAAGGGGCGTTTCTGTCTACCAGGCAATCGGAAGATTCCACCGTCGACATTTCGGCGAGTTCATCGAGATTCGAAAATGCATTCACCCCGTCGGGCTCCACCTCGACAGAAGAGCTACGCATTGCTAACCTCAATGACGAAGATGGATTTGAAAAGGTTGCTGTCTCTGAAGCGACAGATCTCGCTTCAAGCTCGAAACCAGACTCGGCTGAAAAGCCGACGCTATCTCCGCGATCCTATGACCAAGCAAATACGCCGACTGGTGCTCTCGATGAGACCGTTCGCCGTCTCAGCCTTGAGGACACGGACATGACCGCACCCGATGAGCATGAGGTGAACACTCAAACCTCAACACGGGATTCCCAGCCTGAAGACATTTCGCCCCATCCAGACGACAAACCTGCACCATTGTTCTCAAAAGCATCGGATCCTAATAAGACACCCACGGCGAATAGCCCAGAGCCGCCTACTAGCCCGTCTCACTCGAAACTTCGACTCGATGAAGGACAGCCAGAAGGAGAATCATTCCAATCGGGTCACGATGACACAATGCAAGTCGTCCAGTCAGAGGCTCCTGCTGGGGACGAGGCACCAGTGGTTGGGGATTATCTGAAAATTATGTTTGTGGAGAACAGGGTTGTCCCGACGATTTTGGTGAGATTTTTGTTCTGCCGATTCTATGTGAGGTGCTAATATCGGACAGAGCTTCTTTTTCCGCTTTCCGTGGAATAACTTCCTCCACAATGTCGTGTATGATGTTGTGCAGCAAGTTTTCAACGGGCCCATGGACCGCGGCCATAACCGATTTTTAGCGTTTGATCTCTTCGAAACTGGTCGTATCACTGACGCGATTATCGAAGGGCAGAGACGAAGTGACGAAGAACAACGGGCGAGGAATATGCGCCTAGGATACATGGGACATCTGACACTAGTAGCAGAAGAGGTCGTCAAGTTTGGCGAACGACACCCCAGAGAGTTGCTATCGCCTATCGTTCAGGATTATATCTATTCTCAGGCCTGGGAGGAATACGTTACCAAGACACTCGCCGAAACCAGAGAACGCGACAATGCCATCTTGGGAGGGTTTCGACCAGATAACGGTATCGGATCCAGGCAAGCTGTTCTGAATGCTGTAAATGCTGGACAAGGCTTCGGCGTTTCGAGTGGCTTGGCTGGAGTTGGACTGGGTGGAGGCCAGCATGGTCTGGACAGCATCGACTTGTCCAACAATGGTAGCGCGACCAGCGCTGGCTACAATTCAAATGGATCAGTTTCCAGTGGGTTTGGAAGCTCCTCTGACGACGATGACGAAGATATGGATGATGCAGAGGACGAAGAGCACGTGAGGACAGTGAATCAGCTTTCTGCTGCTGATAGCGGTCTCTCGTCGGAGAGTGTGAGTGGGACCAATACAATCCAACGGCTGTTTACGTTTTAAGCTAATGATGTACTCTGCATTTGAAACAGTCCGATCAGCCAATACCCTTACTTCCACCTCCGCCAGCACCACTCAACATCGAGCCATCACGTGCTCGCCGGCGGTTGGCTGATCGATTAGCGAGACACAAACAAGAGGCCGAGCAGGAGGTGGCAGCGTCCGAGTTCGGCTCCGAAGCAGACGACCCGTTCGCTGCGCTGGGGAATGGCGATGACAACGATTCAGGCGACCCGTTCTCGTTGGACGAAGAGGAACAAGACATTACGACGTTTGGGAAGCGGAGTAATATCAATTCGTTTAATACAAACACAAGCGACCACCACAGCTTTTCGGTCAGCAGAGGACTGACCAGTCTGTTTTCTTCAGCACCAAGTCGAGAAATGCATGGACAAACGTCACACGACGACTTTGATGGGTCACTCGATGACTCGTCGTCCGATGGGTCGGGTTCTGACATAGATTCGGGAAATCCACCTCTGGAAGCCAGGACAAGTCTGGAGCGGCGCCCGCTGGAAGTTTTTGAAGACGAAGAGATGGGAGAAATGGTGGCTCCAAGCGAAGAAGTTGAGAGCAACAGTTCTGACGAAGAGGTGTTGAGTCCGTTGGAGAGAGAGAAGTTGGAAAACGCGTATGGAATGAATGATGATCCTGACGAGCAGGCCTCGGAGTTCGCGGGACAAGCGGACCATGATGATGACGATGACGATGAGGATCATTTGGTTGAGATTGCGATCCCTGCCAATTCGAAGCGGCGATCGCGAGGTTGATGTGTTTTACCTGCAAGATCTGATGTCCTCGGAAGATTTTGAGGGATTCAAAGTGCAGAGTTTTGCGGAGGATTCGACCGATCCCGAAGAGCTTCTCTTGATGCTCGTGGTGGACAGATCTGCACCCAGCCAGCAACGAGCGGACGGAAAGATACAGTGTACAATTACCCACATCTTTTGTGATACCCCCTCCATACACATTCGGTCATGAGGAAACAACAGGCGGGAAGAAAAGGGATTTTCCGAGTTACGGCATGGCATGGCCTGGCATTAAAGCTAAAGCAGATGAAAACAAGTCCATTTATTTGCGATGACAAGAGTCAAGTTAGGTTAGGTACGGGTTGAGATGATGGCGCCCATGAGCCACAAAGCCATAAAGCCATAAATAAGCAGTGTCTGTCTAATAGTTTTGGAGATTGGAGGTAAAGAGCGTGTGAAGAGCACGAGGTGAGGTCGACAAACGAGTTTTACGGTCGAAGTTTGGCTACAAAGGGGAGAGAGATGAATGCATTCTTCTGGAGTATAAGGGGAGTGGAGCGAAGACTCCGCCTCCGTGTCAATTCGACGAGATGATGTTTTGGTGGGATGAACATGGAGATGAAGAAGTGGATAGAATTGGTATGTGGTATGTGTGTTGTGTTGTGTACGATAGCGAGAGCGAGAGCAAGAGCGAGAGTGAGAGCGAGAATTGAAAACGATAAGCCGTAACAATAACCGGTCTATGAGTTGGTTAGTTAGTTGACATACGAGCAAGGTAGGTAAGGTATTGCACCGAGTCTTCTTTTCTATGTCTATCCAGGTCCATCTCGACAAAACTAAAGTCACCTCAACTTGTTCTGTCCCGCTGGCAAAAAGTCCATCGTCCATCTCGTAAAGAAAATACCTCCCTGACTGCCCACCTACCTACCAGTGCTACCTAACCACGTCCTCGGGACTGTAGTACTGTTTTTGAAGCCCCCAATCGTCACCTAGATGGCCACCTCGCTACCTCGTTACCTCTCTAGGTATCTAGGTATCTAGCGAGGCTAGATTATCAATTCAGCGCCCTCTCCAACGCCTCCAACTGCTCCAGCACGGCGCGCCGACTCGTCCCGCCCGTCGCGTCCTTGAGCTCGACCGAGCGCTCGTAGTCGAAGACGCTGAGCACGTCGGCGCCGAAGCGCGCGTCCACGCCCTGGAACTGCGCCACGCTGAGTTGGTCGAGGCCCACGTCGGCCGACTCGGCCAGCGCGACCATCTGTCCCGCCAGGTGGTGGGTTTCGCGGAAGGGGACGCCTGGAATTCGTCAGAGACAAGGGTCAATGGTCATGATAATGGCAAGGAGAGGGTAAGGATAGGGATGGTGATGAAAATGAGGAAGGACAACGAGTTAGATATAAGACGAGCGGATAGGAGAAGAAAGTCTCACCCTTGCGAACCAAATACTCGGCAAGATCCGTCGCAAGCATGTCCGGGCTCAGCGCCGCCCGCATCTTCTCCGGATACACCGTCGCCGTGGCCAGCGACCGCGCCGCAATCTGCAGGCTGTCCTTGACCGTCTTGACCGTGTCGAGCATCGGCTGCAGGCTCTCCTGCAGGTCCTTGTTGTACGTGGTGGGCAGGCCCTTGACGCTCATCATCAGCCCGGCCATGGCACCGAAAATCCTCCCGGACTTGCCGCGCAGCAGCTCCAGCGAGTCGCTGTTCTTCTTCTGCGGCATCAGCGAGCTGCCCGTCGTGTACGCGTCCGCCAACTTGACGTAGCCAAACTCGAGCGAGCTGTACAAGATCAGATCCTCGGACCACCGCGACAGGTGGCTCCCGATCGTCGCCGCGCACTGGAGCACCTCGACCACAAAGTCACGGTCCCCGACCGCCGACATGCTGTTCATGATCAACCCCTCAAACCCGAGCTCCTTGGCCAGCTGCACCCGGTCGATGCCGAACGCGTTACCGGCCACGGCGCCACAGCCGAGGGGCAGTTTGTTGATATTCTTCTTGGTGAAGCGCAGACGTTCGAGGTCGGACTGGAACGCCGTCGCGTGGCTGAGGAGCCAGTGGCTCCACCGGACGGGCTGGGCCCGTTGGAGATGCGTGTAGCTCGGCATGATGTAGTTGATGTCTTGCCTGGCGCGCTGGGCAATGACCTTGAGCAGCTCGACCAGGTACTGCTCAATCAGGACGAGCTCGTCGCGGAGCCACATACGCATGTCGGTCGCCACTTGATCATTGCGGCTGCGGCCTGTGTGGAGCTTTCCTGCGATGTTTGTGCCGATGATTTCGCCCAGCCGGCGTTCGTTGGCGGTATGGATGTCTTTGCAGTATAGTGTCAGTGATTACTCCGAGATAGAACATTCTGCCAGTTAACATCATGAACAATCCTCCCCGTGCACTGGTGGACAGCCCACGCATCGACATATATCCCACTTAACCGACTCCCCCTTCTGGCCAATGCCCAACACCGCATCACAACAACGCCTATAGTACGCCAGAACCTGCACGACTCACTCACTCACTCACTTAGTCACTCACCTTCATCGCCCGGCGCCGGCTGAAACGTCCCCTCCTCCCACTCCTTGAGCACCTTGCGAAGGCCCTCCTCCAACTTCTCAAACTCGTGCTGCGTCAAGATCCCCGTCTTGACGTTCGCCCGCGCGTACGCGATCGAGCCGCGGATGTCCTGCGCGTAAAACACCCGGTCTACCGACAGAGACTCGTTGTACTGGTCCATCAGCGGGTCGATCTCGCCCGTGAACCTGCCGCCCCAGAGCCGGACGGGGGCTGCGGCTTTTTGGCCCTGTGATGTCGTCATCTTCTTGGAGATTTGTGGAGGTCTGCTCAGTGCATGGGCAAACGGGAGTGTATCAGGGTAAGGAACAATGGATGTGAAAGCCAAAAAAAAAAGCGATGCGATGGGGCCCTGTCAGTATAGACTCATGTCGCCGGAAAAAGGAAAAACTTCGGGGATCAAAAAAAATTGGGTGATAACGGCTCCCTTGGCATTGGCGATTTGCGGTGACGTTTGCCAAGAGATTATCAAACGAAAATACTATGAAAGTATTATGGGCCACCCCGGATTTTGGGGATGGAAAAAGCTGGGGAGGACAAAGGACAAGTCGGGCAGGAAGAGCTTGAGAGACAGCCCCGTGCCACGTCTCCAGCCCTGGATGTGGATGCCAGATCCCCCGTTGGGTCCGTCACCACCGCTTAAATACATGTACCTATATCTGTAGTCGGTGTATCGACAACCAGGTCACGTCGTTCAGTCTCCTCACACAAGCTTAATCTTCTGCTTCTTCGCCCCAACCAGCCAGTCGTTCCCACACGTAAAATAGCCGATCCGCTCATACGCCCCGGGGACTCGCGATGACTTTGTCAAGACAAGCCCGGAGACGCAGCCGTGGGAATGGCCCGCGACGCTGAGACACCATACCCGTGCTTTGAAGGGCTTGTAGCTCTCCCCTTGTTTGCCTCGTCGCACCATCCCCTCCAAATCGTCCTCGGTCATGTCTTGCACCAATAGTGAATCTGGGGAAACGCTCACGGCAGTCCCGCTGCCAGGTATTGCCAAGTGGTACTCGAACTTGTAGCTTTCCGGAGCGACCAACGTCCCTTCCGCCAGGGGACCGCACAAGTCGATGAACCCGTCCGTGACCTCGCCCAGCGGATTGAGGCCGAATTCCGTACACGACGTCTTCGTAATCGAGATGTGCGCGCTCAACTCGACGGTCTCGTCCTCTTCAAGCTCAAAAGGCTGGATTTGCGTGTCCACCGAGGCCCACGAGAAACTCGGCGCGCGGTAGTCGTCCAACCTCCGTGCAAGGTGTGGTGACTCGAGATGTGGTGCCGACGCCCAGAGTAGGTCCTCGACCAGATTGTCATTCCACAAGCCCGCGACATAGACCGAGCCGGTCGCGGTTTGGACCTTCTTCGCAATCCCCGAGATGGCTGGGAGCTTGTCAGACGCCACGGTGAGCTTGCGGAGCGTGTACTGGGCGAGGATGCGGTGCCAGGTACGGAAGATCTTGGACCGCTGTTTCACCGACAAAAGCAGTTTCGGTAATAGGCCTGGAGTCGTGGCTTTTCGCCTTGACGAGGGATTGCACTCGCAGCGATATGCCGAGCGGCACTCGAATGTCAGCTCCGTCTCTGTGTAGTGCAGAAGTCGAGGCGACAAGACATTCTCTTGCAATGCCCAGGCTCGATCCCTCAGAGGGCCCTCAGTCCGAAAGGCTAGATCCTCGTCCGGGGCTTCGTGGTGGTTGGAAACTTTTCGAGCTTTGATTGTAAGCGTTTTCCCTCGTGTATTGCGATGTTCCAGACGCAATCGCTTCGGACGCTGCACCAGGCACGGGTGGGTATTGTCCTCACATGCGTCTGCCGCGATTGTTATATACGAGGCTTCATAGATGTCGCTCATCTTGGATGATTCGCTCTCCCAATCCTTTTTGTCGTCTTGGATGATGCACAGGCCGTCGATCCACAGATAGCGAATGTCCAGACGGCGTGTAATGGTGACAGCGTCTTGAAACAGGACCGGTAACGTGTCCCAGTCGATCCGTTTCCGCATGTCTCGTAAGTTTGCGCTCGTCGTGGTCACTGTCGATCCAGGTCCCCAGCAGTAGCTGAGGGTAATATATTCGACGTTCTTGCTCTTCAGTTCAATCAATTTTAGGTTTTTGTCGCTCTGCACGTCTATGAGTCTGGTCGGCAGTCTGCTCGGGGCGGATTTCCGGCATGCGGCATGTGATGGGTTGGACATGCAGTCCTTGATGCACTTGCGGGCGAAATCAAACGACTCGTCTGAGCCCGAGGAAATTGGAATGCTGCGAGCATTACCCAGTGCTGGCCACGGTGGCCGCTGGTCTGCCGAAGTATCAGAACTTGACAATGTTGTCGTGGCTAGAATGGTGAAGATTGTCTACAAAGTCATGGACCCGACATGGCAGACAAAAGAGACGCCGAAGACACACCTGACGGAGTATACAACTCAAACGCGATAGACTTGCCGCTGGGCTCTTGTACCGACACCTTGATAGGTGAGCCTTCCAGAAGATCAATACACACAGGATCACGGATACGGGCCCAGTCTCTCCCAACAAAACCCTGCAGAGATTGTCGGAGCAACTTGCAATACTGGCAGTTGCTGGCAGATAGCTGGCGAGCGTCTATGCAGAGCGTGAGATTGGCGTTGTGTTTGGTCGCACTGTCTGCATCGTACGAGCTGGACGTGTGACCCCGTGGACTCAGGTTATTGCAAAGCTTGCATCGGGAACGTGCTCCATGGCGCCTAGCCTTGGTTGACGAGGACTTCCCTCCAGCTCTCAGCATGGTGATCCTCGAACATGGATATTCAAGGCTGAATTGACCTGAGATTTTGCCACGAGCCCAATCAGGGGCCTGAGACCCTGCTGGTGAAGGAGAGAATTGCCAGTCTGGGAGGAGCGGCTCAAGGGCTAGCTCATGGATGGAGGAGGGATAATGAATCGCGAGAAGTGACGGAACGATCAAGGATTTCCTTCACCACGTAAATCATTCTGCTGCAGGTTGTCGTGAGACTTTTAAGAGCCTAGAAGTCAATACGAAGAAGCTTCAGGGGCCAAAGTTGGTTTCACAGTAGAAGGCCTTGGCCCCTTTTGCACGTGATGGCAAGGCTGTGTTCGATTTTGTAAAGACAGAAATTTCCAGGGTTCTTACTGTGGTCTGGTCCGATCAGATCAAGTAACCTCTCTTGGAGAATGTAGATTTCTATTCTGATGTTTTTTCCATCTCAAGCCAAATTCGGAAGAAGATCCAACATATTGGTGTCTAGAGGAGGAGTAGCTGGCTCGGGCCGAGATGGACGTGTCTGATAGGGGATAGGCCAACCCACCGAGCCACCACCACCCGAGCCGAGCCGAGTACAGTGAAGAGGTAGAGGTACTCCGTCAAGCCTGATCAACCCGTGCATCTAGTGCTATAGTGACTTTGTTCTCTTTGGCACGCAACAATGCCGAAGTGTCTCCAGGAGAAGAAAGGTAGATGGAGCAGATAGGCGCGAGATGAGGCGGATGTCGACTGTCCAGTGATAGCTGATATCCTTACTAGACATACCACGGCTTTCCAAACGCCATACCGCCGTCTATGCTGTGCCACCGTGTCCGCAGGAATCGCCTCCGCTTGTGCATCCATTTACAGTCTCGCAGCAGTCCCATCGAGCCTCTTCAGCAGCTTCTCCAGGTGGAAGAACGGCTCAAACTGCTCAAGCATAGCCAGCTCCTGCGGACTGAGTCTCTGCTTCGTCTTGGCCTGCGCCCCACCATTCACCACAGCCTTGACCTGGATCTCCATCTTCTTTCCATTGGCATTGTAGGGAATCTCCTTGACCTCAAAGATGTGAGCCGGGACGTGTCTCCTGCTGAGATCCTTGGCGATTTGATCGCGGATGCGGCTCTCCAGTTCTTTGTTTGGGAGGATGTGGTTGGAAGACACGCCTTCCCGACATTTGATGAAGAGGAGAACGCGCTCGGTGGTGTCTGAGTAGGGCGCGGTGCTGCGTTGCTGGCCCACGACCACCGAGTCGACTATCGACGACGTGAAGCGCGGTGAAGAAAGAATGTTGTAGATTTCTGAACTGCCGAAGCGGACGCCAGACGGGTTCAGAGTACCATCACTATCAGCCATGTTAGGAGTTGCCGTCTTCGCTACCGGTCATGGGACATTGACTGACCTTCTTCCCAACACATAAGTCCCCTTTGTCACAGGATTGACTTTGATGAAGTCGCCATGTGTCCATACATCTTGCGTCTCATCAGCATAGATCAGCGGAATCAACAACAATAGACTCACGGGGGAACATGTCAAAGTAGGCACTGTAATACCGCTTCTTCCCAGGATCCTTCCAGAACATGGCGGGCATATTGGGAAATGGTTTCCTGCAGACTAGCTCGCCGCTTTCTCCATCAGGGACTTCGACCCCGTCTGGCGAATATGCAGCAATATCCATACCCAATGCCTTGACAGCGACCTCTCCGGGATACGATGGGAGAGAGCGCGTTCCATGAATAAAGGAGCCGCACAGCTCAGTGCCCCCTGAGAACTGGATCTGGCACACAGGGCCGAACGCTTCTCCTAGCCATGATGCTAGACTTGGCGTGAGCACCGCGCCAGTGGAGAAGATGGTGTGAACATTTTGAGCGTATTTTCCTGTCTCGTTTATTAATGGACCAGAACAAGAGACAAAAGGCTTCGAAGAACGAACTGGGCGTCACATTCCTCTTCTGCAGCTCAGCATAATAACGCGGGCCGGCGCCAAACCCCGTGATACTGAAAATTGCTTGTCAGACAACGTCGCACTTTCAGAAGTATCACTGTTACAAACCCTGTTGCCAAAACGCCCTGAAGGAACTCCTCCGGGGAGGGATAGAATGGTGATCCATCATACAGGACCATTGTGGTTTTGCAGAAAAGTGCGCCTATCGATATGTTCCACAACGTCCACCCAATCTGCTGTTCGTGAGATGCCGATTCCGAGGGAAATAGGGAGAGGAATGGCTAGAACTTACACCACTGAAATGGAAGTGTATATCCTGTGGGCCGAAGCTGTTGTGGAGGCGGTGCTCCTTGAAGCCGTTCAAAAGCAGACCCTACTTCACATGAGCTGGCTTCTACGACAGTGGGATCCAGGGCATACCCCATGTGAATGTACAATGCCCTTTGGAGTCCCTGTCGTACCAGAAGAGAACATGATGACCAGAGGCGTATTGAAGGGGACTTGCGCAAAGGTGAGGGGTGATTGACAGTCGGTGCCGCCAATGAAAGCCTCGAGGCTCTCACTGCAATAAGACAAGTGATCAGCTCTCGACAAGGCAACCGGGGATTAAAACTGCTTTACCACTTTGTTTTGAAGCCCGCCGTGTCTCCTATCACGACCAGCTTCAGTGGACTTGAGACTTTGCTTGTCCAGCCATCGACCTTTGCCGTGATGTTGACGCATTTCCCATTGTATGAATATTCTGACTCGGCGAAAACCACGCGAGGTTCGATCTGGCTGAGTCGATCGTTGAGTGCCTTGAACAACATCAGCCCAGCGTGAACATCCTGCATGGGAGAGTAGCTTCACCTTGTCCCCAACATCAGTTGCAAATGATGCAAAAATACCGCCCACAGCCGCCGTAGCCAGTAGTAAAGCCAACGACCTGGTGCAGTTACTTCCTATTACTGCAGACGGATCAATCACTTCAGCGCTTCACGCACAATTGCAGCTGTTATCCTTACAAGCAACAACATCTCCCTCTGCCACGCCAGCCCGACGCAGTGCGTTCGCATACGTTCTGACCAAGTCTCTGAGATCTCGCCACGTATATCGTCGCGGACTCGACAAATTCTCCTCGTTGACATCGATGACAGCAATCCGATCGCCGTCGCCACACAGCATGTTCTCTGCAAAGTTGAGTCTCGCCTGCTGGAAGAACAGCGAGAACTGGTCGATGGGGATGTTCTCATCCACAGCCTAGTGGCGTTCAGTATGTGGATTGACAGCCAGCGAGTGATTGCAACCCACAACTTTAGGGTGGACAGATGCTTTGATGTCAAGAAACCGCCACAGTGCCATCCAGAAGTCATTCAGTCGGTTGATGGAGAATGCATGCAAGTCCTCGTACGTCTCTGAGATTATTGAAGTGAGCGTTGGCCTGCAGATAATGCCAATAGACATGAGTGTTTTGAGCATGGCAACATACGCAGACGCAGACCATATCTCCTGTTCACATAAGTCTGGAAGTCCTCCAAGGCAGTCCGAAGACCTGGGGGCGGCGTGTAAACGGGCTTCACTGTCATGTTTGGCTATGAGAGATGTTTTCGTGTCACATTGAGAATTCAGGCAGCAAGATATGTCTTTCGAGGTTATGAGCACGTCCACACCAGGCTGACCGAGTTCGCCATTATTCTTGAAGAACCCACCCGACGTCGCTCTATTTTCGGCCTTCTCGACCATGAGCCGCACCACCTGTGCCGTAGCAGCGGTTTATGCCGACGAAGCGAAGTCTTGTGCCCAGTGAGCAATGCCGAGGCTTTCCCCGCGTGGTGGAGAGGCTGTCGGGGCCTAATTGTATGGTGGGTATTATGTTTTATCCATATCCTCCTCAAGGTTTGTTTGTGTAGTCTAGATGTACGTTGATGAATGTTGCTCGTTTCAAGCGCAGGGAGGAGCATTCGTAGGGAGGGAGGCCAGAATTCGGTCCGACACTAGGGACTCTTGATGTTCGATCCGATTGCCTTCGACAAACTAGACGATTTGGAGGCGCCTGGTTAGCAGGACAGTGGAAGAAGTGGTGGGTGGCTCTGTTTTCCACGGTGCTCACAACACTTCGACGCAAGTGGAATTGAAGAGTTCTGATTCGGGTGTAGGACGGTCACTGACAACTTATACCGTATACGAACATTCTCGACAATAGGCGGAAAGGGAACACCAGTGGCTTCCGCAGCGTCCGATTTCAGAAGCAGAGGGTGGCTGTCGGAGAATTTTGAATGTCCGTGGGGTGGAAAGAGTTTACTTTCATCACTTGGTGCGGTTGCCTCCAAGACTTCCACAATTCTACCCTGTTATGCGGGAAACCATTGTCTTTTCTTTTCCAGCAAAGCTTGCTTCTACTGTAATACAGACAACTGTGTTGCTATTGCACCCCGCCTCGCCATATCCGGTACGAGGGATTGTCTACCACTGCGCCGCTGGTTAGGCGAGGAGAAACTCCGGCATTTGCAGGGCCTGAGATACGTATCTCTACCCCTATTTTCTCGACCTGTACGCATTTGACAGACCTTGCACCCCTTTCAGACAGTGACGGTTCTGATATCGGAGGAGACATTATCAATTGAGGCCATCAGCCTGTGCGTACCTGAAATGCGAACAAGCTGTTCAGCAGTGTCGTACATTTTACCTCTACCACAGCTTCGATTCGCAGTCCAGATGCTGGTCCGTACCATATGAGGCCGTCCCTTCCAGCCACACCATTTCTTCCACATGCCTGGGCCAACATCTCCAAATGTACCCAGAACGAGTAAGAATCGGTCAGCACCATTGGCTACCTAGGAGTATGAGGTCCAATCTTAAGGGCACTCGCCGTCCGGCGTTCTGTGCCTCTAATGGTAGCTGAAGGGAGCAATTTCCAAGATGGCTGAGTGGCGCATTCTGAAACTCATCTAGCACCCAGACATCGCTTTGGGGGCACGGTAAGGCATTCATATTTCCTCTGCTCGTCTGCCCGCGACTTTTTACAGTTCAGACCCAGGATCTCTCTACGCGAGGCGAGGTTGGCAAGGCAAAGGCTTGTCTGTTATTCTCTGCGAACCCCAGCTTCGCTTCCAGCCTTGTGGCACACCACAGCCCACCACGTTCCTCGCTAGGATGTACAGACCTGCTCATCCTCGCATCCGTCCTCGATTGTCGGAGACGAGGCCCCACTTACTTTTCCTGGTCCTCCTCCATTTGCTCAACGTCGCGGCTTTGGAGATCACGTATCCCAAGATCGGAACCGTCTATCCTACAAAGGGTCCCCTTGACGTGCAATGGCAGTCAACGTCCGAGTAAGGATTTTAAGATGAGTTCTATCCGTAGTGACTGAGCTGATCTCGACACTAGGTTTGACGCTGTGGAGCTTGCCATCTATCTCGCCACATATAGTGGGCAGACACTGAAGAGCGAGCAGCGTTGTATCGTTGCCGTGATAGATGATGGATCTACGGCCATCACTCTGAGTCAACCACCACCAGATGGGTAAAACTGTCCCTCATATTATCAAGAGTGCACGGGCTCATGGACGCAGGGACTCCTGGACCTGGATGTTCTACGATGACCTCCAAACCATCTCGCTCGGCAACAACTACATTGCACAGTCGGTCCACTTCCAGTTCCAAAGTCCCACTCCCACGCCGACCCCATCACCAAGCACCACTTCGACCCCGTCTACGAAGAACTCTTCAGTAGGCCTGTCACCCGGTGTCGCGGCCGCTATTGGCATCGGAGGCACGCTCGTCGTGGTAGGCGCGGGTCTGTTTGTCGGGTACTGTTGCTTCTATCGACGCTGGCAGCGCAAGAAGCGCGAGACCATCAGTGCCATACCGTATACGCCGGGACACCGATACTCGAAGCAAGAGTTGGACAGCAAGCCCGGCACAGCGTACGGGGTACACACACATTCTATTCCGCATGCTGATATGAAGCTACCCACGCAGCACGAGATGGAAGTCTACCCTGGTCGCCCGCCTGCGTCTGTGCCATCAAATAGCGCGGTCTCACCCGGTGCCGAGCTCTCAGTCAAGGCACGCCACTCACATCTCCCGCCCCAGCACGGCCTCCAGCCAACGTCGCCATACAGTGAGTTGGCACTATCGCCCCTTCGACATGAAATGTACCATGATCCACGTCGTCCGTTGCCTCAAGAACTACCTGGTGACATGGACATGAACCTGCGACATATGGAGCCTGAGTGACGCTCTTTCCCGACTAGCTCGACTATCAATATCAAGACAGTCGTCTAGAAGGAGGGCTTGACAGTCCATGATCGGCTTCGAGATTAAGCGCTCCCTGGCCCGAATGATGCAGCTGCAGACACATGTAAATGCACTTTCTGCGACAAGTCGAGGCACGCTACACATAAGATGGCGACGTCGGGACAACCCGTTGCCCTCTTGGAAGGGGCCGATAATCAGCACTACCATCCTTTCAGAGTTAGAAGACCTCAACACCGCGACTCGCAGGCAAGAGGCAAACGTGCAACTCTCCTGGTCTCTGCGAACTGACCGGCAAGTTGCTCTTCACCTCACTAATCGGACTGGCACTATATAAGCGGGGACGCTCTGAGGGATAAGGTACCTGTATTGGGCTATCTTGAGCTGCCGAACTGGCTTGGGCAGGGAATAGAGGGGAAACAAAGAACCACCTTGAAACCGCCTAATGTGTTGTGGACTCTAGAGAAGCCAATGCGATGATATGGATGTTATCTTGACCAAATGGGAGGTGGGTGCTGAGATCGAGCCGGGGTTGCATAGCTGTGCATGCCCATGAAAGGAGAAGATCAAGTGAGGCAAGTCTCGGTGGAAGGGCATCTCGATGGGTTGTGTCCAAGTTGAGGTTGGGGTGTCCCCCGTCATCGAGCGATTGTCACTTCATCTCCCCAGAATGGACACAGACGCAGTCCTGATCACAATCTCGCACTGATGCCTCAGTTGCCCTATAACGCCACGATGTTAGCTATCTCTATCAACTCACCTCAACACTCCTCGATCTCGTCAATTCTCGTCTTTCTCCCCTGCCAGGTCCTCCTCGGCCAGATTCCGCTTCCCATCCAGTCCCGACCCCCCTTCCCTATTTGATACAAGCCTTATGCTGATATCACGCTGGGAACTGTTGAAATCAATGAGACTGCAATGCAAGAGAGTCGCGGCCAGAGTCGTAAACAACACTACGTCAACCGTTATGTAGTACGCCCAGCTCGCGCGAGCCTGGGGTGAGCACAGGGCGGCGTCACCCTCCCGCCCAAAGGGGTTGGGTGAGTCGCGGGCAGATTTCCCAACCCTTGGCTGACCCTGACCCCTGAACCCCGCGGCAGCCTTGTCGCGTGAATCACACAATGAGAGGAGAGGAATACTGCCGTAATACTGTATTCCCTCCCATAAACCCCTTTACTCGCACAGCCGCGGCCTCGCCTCTCCCTCCGCACGCGTACGTACGTACGTACGTGTCTGGTTTGTCTCACATTCCTAGACGGTACTCGGTACTCTGTATCTAGCATTGACCCATGCATGGTCTCGACACTCCTCTCCTTCCCGGCCACCGCCCAGGTTTCGTTCAACTTCTGCGTCGGCCCGCCGGCCTCAGACTTCTGCGGCACCGCCGGGCGGCGGCGCATGCGAGCTCCCTGACGGCTCGCTGCTCTGCTGCTCGGGCAGTATCCCCTGCGGATCGAACAACGCTTGTATTATTTCATCAATCAGAGATTCCCGGGTTTCGCATGGTGAGATTCAGGAATTCCACAATGTCGTCCACACCTTGAGGCTCGTTCACCCAATGACCCCCATCTGCGTACTCGTGTAACTGAGCGTTCAATCCTAAGGAACGCACTAGGACATCCCGCATTCGCCTTCCATTCTTAATGGGTACAGTGTCATCATCGATTGAGTGGCCGAGAAAGATGGGAGTAGACCGGAGGAACGGCGATGATGGTTCTTCTGGGGACTGCTGACCGAAGTAAATCCTCTGAACTGCATTGGAGAGCTGCTCGTCACTGGCGCTAGATGCTTGAAGATCTTCGAAAAGGTTGGCGAAAGGCATCCAGCTACACAGGCCGATTAGGCCAGCGAACCCTCGGCCGTTTGCGAAGAAGGTAGACAACGCTGTCGCAAATCCCTGGCTGATACCTCCTAAAAAGATGTTTTGTCGAGGCACATGAATTTCTTCGGCTCTTATCACCTCCAGCAGGGCGGTAACACTTTGTTTCAATCTATCCATTTGGATTTCGACTTGCTCCTCAGGATCTTCGACTGACCATATATCGAACCATTGCGATATCGTGGTATCGAAGCGTTTCGAGTAAAGAGCTGGTGCCGTGGGAAACACCCATCTGATACCTGGAAACAGATCTGGGAGGGTGCGTGGCCCCCCAGCAGGTTCGGATGCTTCGCTCTCGAAGAACTCGTCCACAAACTCTTGGGCGTCACTGTCTCGGCCGTGGAGAAAGATGACTGTGTGAGTGTGTTTGCTGGTCTCTCTTTGAGTAACGATAGACATGTTGGCGGGATGAGTGGGAGTACAGTCGTGATGGATATAGTTATGGACGAGTAGATATGGAATGAAGATGAGAAAAAGTGATAGAGATGGGAAACAGGTAAATATGGAAATGTTTAGATCAGAGCATGTGTTTGGGGCACGAAACTGAGAACTCGGCACCAGTCCGGCTCGCACCCAATCCGGCTACACTTGACAACATAGTACCAACCGCGTGGTAATTCTTCCAAGTGGTACGTCCAGATGATTTATGGATTGGATAAGGTTGATGACTCTTACTATTAGGCTCAATTATTTGAAATCTGTATGGCTAAGTCGGATGGTAGAGTGTAAGAATCGGCATTCTCTCGTTGCCATCTCCACCCTGGATTTGGCACCGTAATAAAAAAAAACACTTTTCTGTGAGGACCTTGATTTACTTCTTCCTGGGAGAGACGACGCCTACAGTGATGGCTGAAGGGCCTGGTGTCGAGAGGGAAGATCGCGCCCGGCAAGCCGAGACGTTGAATGGACGCAGTTTTGTACTTGAGGTAGCAGAGTCGAAGGAGACCGCAGGGGGGCCAGGAAGGGGATAGAAGAGGGCCGGAATCAGAATCGACCACGAGAGAACCCAAAAACGGAGTCCACCAAGTTTCGCCAATAATATGTCCTGTCCTTGGAAGAGACGTACAAGGGAACCGCAGCAGAAATCAGACCGTCAAGGCGCGCGTGAGTGAAAGCGTGAGTCGAAGGGTGAGAAGAGGTGAGAAGAGGTGAGGAGGGCGAGTGATGAGATGGGCAGGTATAAAAGCGGCGCGGTCTGGGTGAGCCGAACGTGACCTACAAGTAGGTTTCCCAGCGCTTTTGTCGCCAAGCATCAGGCACTCAACCCCCTGGCCCCTCACCTTCAAACGGTGGGACTGCGGGACCGCGGGGCCGAACCGAGTACACACACACCAGATATGTACGGGGTATATCACTGAAGCATACTGTGATAGACTTGAGCCCTCACCGTCACTCAGCCTTAATCATCCCCCGGCAATAAAACTAGAATACCATAATATCACCAACATTATGCCCGCTCTACGAACAAGATCGACCGTGCGCACCAACGACGGCATCACCTGGTACTACGAGCAGGAAGGCTCTGGACCGGACATCGTCCTGATCCCCGACGGCGTGGGCGACTGCGGCCTGTTCGACCAGCCCATGTCGACGATCGCCAGCAGTGGGTTTAGAGTAACCACCTTCGACATGCCGGGCATGTCGCGGTCGGCGGCCACCGCGCCGCCCGAGACGTACCAGGACGTGACGGGCCAGAAACTCGCGGGGTACATCGTCACGCTGATGGACGAGCTGAGGATCAAATCCGCCGCGGTGTGGGGGTGTAGTTCCGGCGCGACGACCGTGCTGGCGCTGTGCTCGGGGTTTCCCGACCGCGTGCGCAACGGCATGCCGCACGAGGTCCCCACGGTCAACCCGGACAATCTCAAGAACATCCACGAGGTGACCGACGCGGACGCCCTCACGGCGGAGCTGGCGGCCACGATCCGGACCATGTCCGCGAACGAAGCCGCGTGGGACGCATTGGGGGCAGAAGTCCACGAGAGGCTGCGCGGCAACTACGCCCGGTGGGCTTACGGCTATCCACGCACGATCCCTGGGTCCGCCGCGACCAAGACGGAAGACCTGCACAAGGTGCCGATCGACTGGACCGTCGGGGGCGCGGGGCCGATGCAGGCATTCTTCGAGAACGTGGTGATCGCGACGCGGGAGAAGATCCCCATCACGACGCTACCGGGCTTTCATTTCCCGTACGTGTCCCATCCAGAGGCGTTTGCGAGGTATGTCGTCGAGACGAGCCGGAAGTACGTCTGACTCTGGCATCTGTATCTGGCACTGTGACTAGCAGGGAGGCAGGGTGGTGAATGTAAGATTTGACGAGGCTATGGTCGGTGATGGGTGTGACAATATATATATAGTGTAAGTAATGACGATGGCCTGATTGCCTTGTCATCAAGACTGTGTGGAAACCACTGTCCAAGGTATCACCAGGGGAACGGCCGATGAAAATACCATACAACGTCTCTGTTGACATTCATCTGTCCTCTAATGATCTGTGAGAATTGGACAACAGGTCTGCGGCAGCTAGCTAGCTAAAACAATCGCACAAAATCTCCCTATCCTGAATCCCTCGTCCGTACCTCCGTTCGTTCTAACATTCGCTCATAAGTCTACCTAGTTCGTCCCCTGACCGCCATCCACCGCATGAACCAACTCCCATCCCCTCGCGACAAAGACGTTGCTCTCGGTGAAATGCTTCAACGCCCACGGCGTGCTGTTCGCCGCCTCGCCCGCCGGACACTCCCACGTGCGAGGACTGTCGCACTGATGAACGGCGAGGTACTTTGCCGGCTCTGCGCCGTCGATGGTCGAAGTCGGCGTCTTGGGCCCGAGCACGTACCGCGCACCGCGTCGGTAAAGGGGCAGTTCGCCCAGCAGGGGGAGGTGTTCTTCGCGGTACCATTTGTCGAAGTCGGCTTCGGCGTCGGCGGGTGGGTCCATTTCGACGACGGCGATGAAGGGGGCGGGTTCTAGTGCCACAGTCAGTGCCGCAGTCAAGGGCATTCTTTGACATGATATGATGGGACATGACGTGACAAGTATGGTCGACACCATGTATAACGAAGAGCAGGTACAGGCTTACTATTCCCCCACCCCTTCGGATCAAAGTCCTGAATGAGGCGATAATTCCTGGCGTGGAACTCGCCGTTGTCAAACGTGCCAAACTTCCGCGGGAACAAGTGACTGCCGGCCCGGACGCCGCCCTCGGCCAGGATCTTCGACTTGAGAAGTTCCTCGAAGTCGGTCTCGTACAGCGCGAGGTAGTTGCGCGGGGGTCTCTTCTCGGGCGGCGGCGCGCTGGCGTAGTCGAATGTTTCGCGGTAAAAGGCCGCGCGGGTGGCAAGGCCGCTGTTGACGAAGTCGGGGAGCTGTGGGAGTTGGGTGGTCAGTGGTGCTTTTCTCGGGTGTGTTTTAGAACGTCAAGAGGAAGTGAATATTCGGTTTCGGGGAGGTGTGATGGATAAAATGTGATGAATGTGTCACGCTCAAGTGTGTGCATACAGCTTAGGTACTCAATGACTGATGTGGATAGGTGGGTAGATAGGTAGGCACATAGGTAGGTAGGTATCTAGATAGGAGGTAGCACATACATGTTCAGTCGTATAAAACTTCTCCCACGTCGCTGCGTCGGTGCCGGACTCGAGCAACGGTCGAGACTCGATGAAGAATAGATACGGCGAAGGCATGTCGATCTGTCTGATTTCTGCCTTTCTGTTTCGCCTGTAGGGACAGTGCGTTGGGCTGCCTACTTGCTTGGATGGAGGATACTTTGGTATACTGAGTACCGTATACCTAGCAAGTCAGTCAGTCAGTGCCACACATATATATTATATATTGCCCATATTGTCGGCCCCTTATTATTTTTATACTCTAATACTCTAATACATTCGCACGCCGAGACGATACACTTCACAGATTACACCCATGGTATCAATAGTATTGCCCCGCCGGATGTCCTGTCTTCGCCGAGACCCTCGGGCTGGTGGCTGTCGTGGGCGTCGTAGCCTCGGGCTGGTGGTGAGCATTGACTGCTCCTGCTCGCATGCGTTGGGTGTGCGTGGTGTTGGGCGCTCATTTCATAAATACCTATTTCTGGGGAGATATCATAGAAAACACTCTCCCCCATTCCTCATAGATACGCAAGTGTAGACGAAATGATGTATCTCATGTATTCGGCTTAAAGACTGGGGCCATATAAGTTCGAATAGATGGATTTCTCGCAATTTGATTCGCCAGGACTGGCGGTCCCCATCACTTACTTCAAGCCAAGCTAACAGGAGAGGAGCATCTCCCCCCTAATGCCGGTAGATATATCCTGTATTGTGATAACGTGGCCAAGGCCGATTACTATTGTTCCTATACAGTGAGTGGTGAGTGGCTTGTTTGCGGGCTCGTAGCAAGAACAACATGCAGCCAAGTCAATTCTGGTACATACCACATGCTCATCCACGCTTAAGGACACAGCCTCGCCTTCGAAATCTCGCTCCCGAATGACAACAAATCCAAAAGAAATCTTCCGGTCAGTGATCCGATTTCAATCGCCTGAGACTTGGAGATGGGATGTCTTTGTCAAAGTCGCACGTGGTACCAGGCTTCCACACAAACGGCTCCTCCTTCAAGTCAAGGCCCAAGTTGACTTTGACCTTGCCCGGGTCTCGGATCCCGATGATGGGATAGATCTGACCACGGACGTTCTGGAAGCCGGCCTCCATCAACCTCGTTCCGTTGAGGGTCCAAAAGACGGTGCGCTTCTTCACGTCGATCCCACACCCGACCGTGTCGCCGTAGCCGTACTGTCTCGCCAGTCCCAAGTCTTTAATTTTGGGAGGGTCCGCGACACACCAGATCTTGCCGTCGTCGCTGTGGTAACCCCAGCTCGAGGTGCCCGGTTTCGACCACCCCGGGAACCACTGCTTGGTGGATCCGATGGGCTTTTGAGTGATTCCAATCACAAACATTGGCGTGTCGACCTTGACCTCGCGATCGGCAACGGTCATTTCAAAGTAATACCGCTCCGCCGAGGCCGGGATGGGGTGGTCGGTGACGAATGACTGGTCGGTGGTGTAGCATAAGGGGTCTGTCGCCGCCATCTCGCCACCACGCCGAAGCAGCTCAATCTCCAAGCCAGAAGGAGAGCCGACGAGCGCAGCTGAGAAGGACCCCACGAACTTGGAAGGCCGACTAGCCGTCGCGAGCTTCGAGTTCTTGATCACTTCGACGACGTCCGGTCGGTCGTACTGCTCGGCAAGTTGGACAACGTTCCAGCCATGTTCGTCCGTGGCATACGGATTGGCGCCACATTCCAACAGCTTGGCCACCACCTTGGGTGAATCGTTGATGGCCATCGTGTGAAGCAGCTCGATCTCTGCAACGGCCGCTTGCTGGTCGTGATCGATCAACGCAGATATCGTTTTCTCTCGATCCTCAGTCGGTTTCGTCCAGATTCTCGCATAACACAGCTGTAGAGGTGTCTTACCCTGCAAGTCCTTGCACCGACTGTCGGCCCCACGGGTCAGCAAAGTCGTTGTCGCTTCAGGACGCGCCCTGAGCGCTGCATAGTGCAGAGCCGACCAGCCCTTCTTGGAGACGGTGGTGAGGGCGGCCTGCGTGTCGACGTGATCAAGGATAAAGTCAATCACATCCGAAATACCTCGAGAGGCGGCTCTCATGATGGGCGTCTTCCCAAAATTGTTTTGCCAATTGAGGTGTTCGACCCCCCCTTTGTTCACCATGGCTCTTCCCAGGATAAGAGCCGACTCGGCGTCGCCGTATCGGCAAGCCATTCCAAAGGGGGTGGCTCCGAGGGAGTTCCGTTTGAGTGGATCGGCTCCTTGGTCAAGAAGGACCTTGACCACCTCTGTTTTGCCCATCATTGCGGCAGCAAAGAGTGCCGTTTGTTCATAGTCATTCACGTCCTCAATGTCGGCCCCGTGTTCGAGCAGCAATCTGACCGCCTCGGCATGTCCTGCTTCGGCGGCTTCTCCCAGAGGCCTAGCTGAGGCATCATCCTCGGCGTCGACTTCGGCCCCTTGCTCAATGAAATACTTCATCGCGTCAACGTGACAGGTGTCCCGACGGGCGAGGAGATGCATGACGGTCTCGCCCCGGCCATTACGGAGGCGAATATCCGCCCCCGCGGTGACCAGGGCCACACCGATATCTATGCCAGCTTCTCCCACAGCGAAGAAGTGTAGGCCATTGTTTCCAGTTTCGTCCAGTGTATTGATATCGGCATTGTGTGCGAGGAACATCTCGACCTGCGCCAAGGTCACCGTGTCTAACATGAGGAGAAAATGAAACGTGCTTCCGAGGTACTCTTCGTCCCAATGGTTGTTAGTGTTGGGATCCGCGCCCGCCTCCAGCATAGCCAGGTAAAAAGAATCCACATTCTTCTCCGTTACCATCTGATAAAGGACGGCAAAGCACAACACACTCATCCCCTCGGGCACCCTCAGGTTGACATATTCTGAGGCATTAGGCCGAGCCAAGAGTATATGTGCAAGGCTGGTCAGGCCACAACACGCAGCGACCACTATAGGATGTACGTCTTTGGCGTCAGTGTACATTTCGATGGTGTCAACATATCGACCCGCCGTGGCCAATGTTCTGAGCCAACCTCTCCACGCCTCGGACTCGGGGTCCAGGAATCTTTCCAGAAGCTCGCGTAGCTTGGACCAGGCTTCGCCAGACCTTTCTTTGGCGGGATAGATCTCTTCCAGCTGCGTCAAATGCCACCTCAATCTCGAGATTTCGTACCGCGGGTGATAACTTTCTTGATCTGACTGCAGGTCCCAGAGTCGAGCTTGGTCCTGGTCCGTCAAGTCCACGTTCTCATCGGAGTCTGCCACAGACTGGGTATCTGTTGCTTCAAGGGCCGCGCCAGCTTTGTCGTTGTTTTGTGGCCCCTCCCCGTTCAGCGGGGTGTCGCCTTCATGTGCCTGGTCTGAACCACCGTTTGGCACTGCAGACTTGGAATCCAGGTCATCGGACACACCATTACTCAACGGCTCATCAGGGACATTTGTCCCTTCTTTAGTTGTGTCCTCACCGCTGGGCTCGGGCATTTGAGGTACGCTATCGAGGTTGTCTGGTTGATCAACAAGGCCCTGATCCTGCGCCACAATGCCGTTGCTCTGGATATCCTTACTCTGAGCGTCTGTTCGTGCCAGCTCACCTGATGCCGTCTCTCCTGGTGCTTCGTCCTCTTCGCTTTTGATATCAGCCACATCTTCAACGTCCTCTGTGTCTTGCTCAGTCTTCTTGTCATTCGATTCATCTTGTGGTTTGACATAGTACTTGCGGTGAAAAGACGGAGACAGCAGGTGCTGAAGGATCGTGGTAACGATCTGCATGTGACCTTCTCTTTCCGAAACGACAAACTTCTTGCCGTGTTTCAATTCTCTCTGGCATCTGGCACACTCACATTCAGGCTCATTCGATGACTGTGCAGCCCCATTGATAACGCTGTCAGGTTGCAGGAAGAAGTCGCGCACAGTATTGTGGACCAGGCTCACGGTGTGGTCGGGATTGACCCGCAGGAAGCCGCTTCCAGCCTGTCTGATCTGGTCTTCGTACAGTTCGATATTCACATTCTGCTGGTCATCGTCATTCTCAGCGATAGGTTCGTCCGTAAAACTACCCTTGTACCCATCGATGAGCTCTTGGACACTCAGTTCCTCTCCAGCGAGGATAGTCCAGGTGAGGCAGTGAGTGAGCAGATCGTAGTATGCAGGGTTGGTTTGGTTGAGGCGCTGAGCATAAATGTTTTCAACCCCCGAAGGGAGCGATTCGAGATGGGCTGACAAGGGTCTCCGCCACGGACGGCGCATGAAATCCATGGCCAGCTCGACATAACGGAAGTAACACCCCGCTTTCTGCGTGATTTCTCGACAAGCTTCTTCACGTTCCACAGGCGTGAACCCTGGTAGTTTTGCCATCTCAGCTTGGACAAATTCGGCGATATCTTTTGAGTTGTTCTCCTCGACATTTATTCTTGGATAATTTTCCAGGGCGGCAGCAATATCAGGTTCATCTCTGCTGCTGCAGTAGACGTTGATCTTCAGGCCCCGTGTGCTGGCTAGTTTCTTGATCGTTTGGATGAATTCTTGCGTCTCTCTGTCGGCACACTCGTCCAAGGCATCTATCATGAGGTAGATTCGCTTGTTGATGATCTTAGCAAGAGCGGTGTAGGTCTGTTCAAATCCAGCTGGTCCGTCCCCCCCTTTCTTGCTTGTCGTTTTGCTGGTACTCTTCTTTGAGTGCTCGATATATTCTGACATGATCTTGTTGCACTTGTCCAAGACGTCCAACGATTGAGCCGCGTCTTGGTAGAGCTGCGCAAGAAGATGGCGCTCGATTTGATCAGCCTGCATCGTGGCTTGAGAGCCTTTGGATATGAAAAAGAAGTGAACGAGGGAGTCGTGTTGGTGAGCCTTGTTCTTGAGCTCTTGGATGACCACAGACATGAGAAAGGACTTTCCAGATCCACCAGTACCGACCAGCCAAGTAACGTTACCACCTTCGGCATTGACAAAGTCTTGAAATTTGGTGTTTTCCAAGATCCAGCCACAGGTTCCTGGCTTGCGAGCAGCTAGTTTCGAATCCAGCACTTGCTGATTGTCGTCGAGGGAGAGTAGTTCCTTTTTTTGCCTCTCCCAGTTTTCGTGCGTGATCTCTGCCGCAGTCATACGTTGATCTCTCCTGTGAAGTTCGTCCCTCTTGATCCATTCCTCCATCAACTGGTTCTGTTTGGCGGCTTCCTCTTGCAATGCTTGTAGCATTTCCATTTGATCCGACAGGCCCTTCATCATCGTCGTGTCATTGTCTAGGCCTTTCCTTTGGTAGTACTGCGAGACTTGCTGGTTGGCCTGGGAGGCAAATTTGTTCATCTGCACTTCGTTGTCTTGAATGGCCTTTATCTTTGGTTGGAATTTCCCCTGAGCACTACGGAACAAGCCTTTGATGACACGAATGCCGGCATTGGATCGAGCATATTTCCACATCTGATACGAGAACTCGATGATATTCACGTAGGTGTCCTTGATGTAGCCCAGAACCTTCTCGTGAAGCTCGGTAAATTCTGGAGGGTGGTCCTGACTCGCATACAAGCGGCCATACACCCTGCACGAGATGAGTATTCCCAAAATATCTGCGCATGCTCCGGAGAAGAGACTGAAGGTGGCGAAATCATCCTGTACGGAATGGAGGCAGAGTCTGATGCCAGTCCAGGCAAGACCGATACTTTCAGGAGCCGACTTGATAGCCAGATCTCCCACTTTCATAAACTGGTCGACCTTGTCAAGGATGGCACCGAGCTTGCCATTGTATTCGGAATTGGCTTCTTTCTGTGCCTGTACGACCGAAGCCCGGGCAGATTCTGGCGTCGTATAGTCTTTGAGGAAGGGCTGGTAGTTGATGGGCTCATGATTGCCGGAAAATACTGCTCGGGCAGCATTCCATGCCTCTTTTTCAAAGATTTCATCCTTCGTTTTGTCGTAAAGGCTCATTTTTGAATGAATGATCTGCCCGGGGGCCTGTAACTATTTGCTTAGCCTGATGGACACGGGCCAACACATAGCAAGCATTGATTAATTCGAGAACCTTGCCAATCGGTATCGGGCTGTCTCAATAACAAGACTGCTGTGTCAGTACGCCGACTTTAGGACAATCCATGAACAAAACATCATGGAGTATATATGCAGCCGACATCGAAACAAGGCAAACCACGACAGATAGAAGGACACTTGGGGGGCCTTTCAATCTCGCTCATGACACGTTCGGCTGAGATATGGAGCAGCTGAGCACGACGCAAGGATCCTAAGAGCCGCCGTGCTGCCCAAGATGCTCTCGCTCCCTGCAGAGCAGTCGTCACACCAGTGACAGGCTCGCCGTTAGCTTCGAGCCAGCCCACCCAGGAAAGGCGTCGTGGGGGGCGCAACCGTTCAGTTTTGGTAAGTGTTCGCCGGTGTGGCTCGTGTCTAGACATGGAAACTGTTGGTTCATCTGCACGCTAAGGGCTATTTGGCTGGCCTAAAGGCCTGGTGGTGATTTGTACGAGGCGCTCGGTAGTCCGTGACCAGTGGAACAGCTACCATGGCTGGCCAAGTCTGAAACCTGCATTCGTTACGTGTTTCTGAGCCTCAAGGCAATCAGAGGTCGCCTCGCTTGACATAAGTCCTGTCTCCTTCGTGCTAGTAAAAAGGAGTTGGGATAGCCGCTGCCGGTCTCGCGCCGAATTTGCTTGGTCAACTCTTGTGTGCGAGTAGCCTTCGATCCTCCGGGCTAGTTCTGGACATGTAACTAAACTCGGCAGGCAGAGGCGAGAAATACTCGGTAGACATATGCATCCTGGACAGGGTGAACCTCCTGATCAACAAGTGGTATAAGGCCCGCAGCGGAACTTGCCGGCTGAGTTTTAAGGCAAGCGACCAGGCGCAAGAAATCTATGAGATATTAGTGACCCAATCTATGGTCAGTACAATACGAGTATTCGGCACCTCGTACTGCTCTGCAACGGCTCTACTGCGTTCTCCAAGGACAGAAATGACCCCAACTTTACCTCTATCTCTAAACTATGCATCATATAGACGATTTGATCTTCTTGGTCCAACACATCAGTATATAGCTCACAGAAGCGCCGTCGTCGAGTTTGTCGTACAGGAGGCCACCTGAAGAAATCAACAGAACAATCTAGAGGCCCAGTGTGAAATGTGCAGAATTCAACCTTCAATCCGCAACTCTGGACAGTCAGCCCTCCAACTCGGCAACCTGCTCCCCGTTTCTCGAGTCACTCGGTGTGATTCCTCTCCTTCTCCTCCATTCCCAGACTCCTCGATCCACCTCTTCTCTATTGACTCCATCTGGAACAAGATAAAATGTGACTCCCAATTCTGTTTCCACGTTACGATTCCTACCTTCGTCATCGAAGAAGAGCATTTCCTCGAATGGTACAGTTCCAACAGCAGACGATGGTGGTGACTTTGCAAGTTGCGTCTGAAGACGGCGGAAATGCGTTGTTTTAGAACCCGGGTATATTTGTGGATGGGAGAACAGCTCGATTGCTCTTAACGGTTTGATATCTGGTTTCTCTGTAGACTCACCCTGCGTTGAAGCAGGGATATGGAGGCCTTTTAACATGTCCCTTGCCAGGTCTGGCGCATGGGTTCTACTCGCCAAGCTCATGAGGATGCCTTTCTCCCGTGCGGCGGCCAGTATCTGAGGTACCTCGGAGTAGAATCCAAACGATTCTCCGAAGCGATCAAGCATGCGGGTATTCAATTGCCCTTGGTCTGAGGTCTGTGGTTTAACAGGCGCCGAGACGTGCGTATCCACCCAAAAGGGCCACAGCGTATAGTCTAGGTCGAAAACTATTATCGTTGGGAGAGGAAGGGAGTCGGTGAACGTCGAGGGAATGGGGGAAGACGTCGACCGAGGGCGCTGGGAGGAGCGCGTTTTCGGCATTTCGACCACTGGTGTAGGAGAGGACGAGAAGATCGTGGGGGAGAGAATAAAAAAGAAGCCCAAAAAGGAGGATAAGTAGAATGTACAGCGATAGAGGAAGGAAAGACCAGTTGTGAGGGTAGACAAGTTAATGATACTTCTTGTTCTAGTTGGCATTTTTTGGTGGCAACGCAGTTACATTGAGAAAGGCGACAAGGCTGAGGGGCAGCCTGATGCCGCCGGTTCAATTTCGGTCAAAAGCTTTATCGATAACAACTCCGTCATCTGCTCCTAGAGATCCATTCATGGTGCCGTGCTCGAAATCTTTGACTTGTGACTCCATACCTCCTCTCTTTCTTTGAAGAGCTTTCTACAGTTGAAGTAGGATGATGATGGCGAGTTTCATGTTACACTGGCCATGTTGACCACTCAATGCTGGCGTCTTCCATTCCGTGCAAGATTTGCTTCTTGTCGAAGTTACCGCAGCTCAATCGCATTTTCTATTCGGAGATCTTTCAGTAGTGATGCACCTGCAGGACGCAATGACAATGGACCAGCTCCTACCGTGGCCATCATTGGCTCCGGACCCGCAGGCTTCTACACCGCTCAAAAACTGTTGAGGGACATTCGGGGGACGAGGATAGACATGTATGAACAACTGCCTGTACCATTTGGGCTCGTCAGGTTCGGAGTCGCTCCAGATCATCCAGAGGTAAAGGTCATACTTTCCCCTTTCCACCCTACGCAACGGCATACTTAACCCCCTTGCAGAATGTCCAAGACACCTTCCAAGCCATCGCCGCGTCTCCTAATTTCACTTTCATTGGAAACATCAATCTGGGCCACGATCTTCCCCTCCCACTTCTCGCCAGACACTACGATGCCATAATCTTCGCGTATGGCGCGTCAAAAGACCGGAAAATAGGCTTGGAGGGAGAAGACAAGCCTCACATCTATTCCGCCCGCGCTTTCGTGGGCTGGTACAATGGTCTTCCCGAATACCGACATCTGGACCCTGACTTGACAGCCGGGGACACCGCGGTGGTTGTTGGGCAGGGAAATGTGGCATTGGACGTGGCCAGAACACTTTTGAGCAGAATCGAGGCTCTGAGAAAGACTGATATTACAGAATACGCATTAAACGCCCTTTCTGCAAGCAAAATCAAGCATGTCCATGTCGTGGGTAGGAGAGGGCCCATGCAAGCAGCGTTCACGATCAAGGAAGTGAGGGAGCTTTTGCACCTCGACGATGTCAATTTCCGTCCTATACCAGATCATCTTTTCCCGCCAGACCTGTCAAAGTTGCCTCGCCCGAAGCGACGACTCATGGAACTTCTGAAAAAGGGGAGCCCTTTGAAGGACAACGCCACAAAATCATGGTCTCTGGACTTTTTGCTCGCACCCAAGTCGCTAGAATGGTCCCAGTCAGACCCAGACATCCTGCAAGGAGTGGTGTTCTCAAAAACAGAACTCGAAAATCCAGCAGATCCAGAATCCAAAGTCAGCACCACGGATGACACACAGCTGGTATCCACATCGACGCTGTTCCGATCGATAGGCTACAAGGCCGAAGCCATCCCTGGGATGGCAGACCTGGGTGTCGACTTCGACGAGAGAAAAGGGGCCATTCGGCATGACGGGCTGGGACGAGTCGTGCCACTGGAGAAAGCCGAGACTTCAGGACACGATGTCAGCATATACTGCTCAGGCTGGGTGAAACGCGGTCCGACCGGCGTGATCGCCAGCACCATGACCGATGCGTTTCAAACCGCCGAAGCAATCGTGGAGGACTGGAAGAAAAAGGTTCAAGGTTCGACGACGGCACCGACTGAGAGACGAGATGGTTGGCAGGGCGTCCAGGCCGACGCCGTCTCGTCCAGCTTCCCACTCAGACCGATCCACTGGGACAACTGGCAGAACATAGACCAGGTGGAGAAGAAGATCGGGAAGCAAAAGGGCAAGCCGAGGGAGAAATTTGGGAGTGTTGAGGAGATGTTGGAGGTGAGCGGCGCATGATCCAGCAGTCGATCGATCGATCGACCACGAGACGCCGACTGGATGTGCTGCTCCAACGCCGTCGCTCTCTTTCCCTCTGCCCCTCTCTCTGTGTATATATATTTATATCACATCCGCGCCCCATCTCTCCTCTCTCCCCTCCGACACGGCCTCGCTACAAGAGAGAAGAGAGTGAGAAGAAAACCCCGCGAGAAAATCTGCTTCGATATCTGGCTGGCCTACATCACTCTGCTCTGGTAATATTTTCACACTACCTCGTACCTTGGATGTTCATTTACGGATAGATGTCTAGTCTAGAAGTCTAGATCCATACCCAATACCGAGCACATATATCTATATATGTATGTATGTGTGTATGTATACTAAGCTACCCACCCGCCCATTCACCTACCTAGTACCCGTCATTCTCCCTTTACAGAGCGGATCTGGTGCCTATCGCGTGTCGTCCTTTTTCAGACCATGTCCGACGAAAGGGCTCAAGACTCCTCAAATAAAGACTCGGACAGACAGACGAGGACCACGGGACGAAGAGAGAGAGAAAAAACAGCTCACTTGGCAATATCTCAACTCAGGAATACAATTGCAATGCTTGTTGCTTGTTGTGTGAGATATAAAGACTGATGCCTATAAAGGAGCACGCGTTAACCGCCGCTCAACTTCTGTCGGTTCCCGCAGCTGCTAGCGCTACACCCTGATTCACAGCTCGAGCGAGTGCCATCCAGCCTCTGCTCTCTCCGCATCCAATATGCCCTGCACATCCATCTCTTTCGTCACGTCGTCATTCAGATAGCTCAGGCCGTCCATAGCCTTGCCTTTACAGGCTTGGCCCAACGTCAAAAATGCAAAATGTCCTCCGACCACGGGCCGTGCAAAAAAGTTCGGTCCGGGAAACCCTCCTTCCCCTTCCGTCATGTGTAGATCCGTAAAAGGGCGATCGGTCACAGTCTCATTCACCCACTTGGCGACAGATTGTAAGATGTTGGCTCGGACTTTCGGCGCGGCGACGGCCATTGCAAAGAATTCCCAATCCGTCTTGGTGTACAGGTGTCGCGAGTCCAGAGGTAATCCATATTTCTGCCGGACGGCATAGTACCAATCACTTTGCATCTGGTATATGTGTTTCGGCACGAATCCGTCGTGGTCCCCGGGAATGGAATCCTTGAGTGGTTTCTGATACTCGTAACGTCCAGCAATAGAGGTCTTTGTCGACGAGTTGTCTGAGCCCAAGTGGAAGCATAGCAAACTATCCGCGTACAGATTGTACGTGGTGGTCCAAGAACCATACCAATTGTAGGCGACCTTGGCATGTGTTTTGTCACGAGAAATACCATACTCTTCCCACTTTTCGATATACACTTTGGAGATGTTGTTGAATACCTTGACGTCCTCGTGGTTTTCTGTGAGTTCTGCAAGCCCAGCCATGGCTTTGATGCCAATAATGCCCTTGAGAGCCAGGTTTGTCTGCAGAGCAAGCCAGCCAGCAAAGTCGTCCGTGGAGAGCTGGTTATGAGGTAGCAGAGAGAACTCGACCAGGTAGCTTGTCCACTGCTTCCATAACCGATAGCTCCTGTGGACCCACTTCTGGGCTCTCTTCAGGCTTGCAGGCTGCCCAACCCAAGCATCATCAATGTAGAGGATGCCGTCTTCCTTACCAACTGAGAGAGGAGCTAGGCTGTCCGACGAGGGCATTGGTGTGGGGACACCACCCATCGCCTGCCATGTGGACGACGCAGACCAGCCCGCATCATTCTTTAAGGCATTGGCCAATGCCAGTCCCATGATGAGGATGTTTCCACACTCCTCTACGGGCATATACTCATCTTGTCCCAATGGATGGCCAGTGGCATTTGGAAAGTGGAAACCCAGGTCATGCATCGCGTATTTGTTTGGATACTGCCCGCTCAGCATGTGCTCGATGAGCGGCTCCAGTAGATATCCAAGCCATCGCGCGTTCGTATACAGAAAGAACGGAAATGCGGGGAATATAACGTCAATTGTCTGGAAATTCCCGTTAGATGAAATTTCCTTTAGAAACAAAATCGGATCGTCTGGTGTGCCCGAAAAGCTTGTTGCTCCCAGGACTTGACGAGCGGAGAGAGCGACGATGTCGACGTAGTCCTCCGCACCAGACTGGTAGGCGTCGATAGCCAACTGCGCCGAATAGTTGGCCGCCAACCGGCTAGCATGATGGAAATCGAGGTAGTGGAAGGTAAGCACTTCCTGGACAGTCGGGAAATATGACTCCCACAAAGGTCGCATGTAGGTAAGCCCCCGCGCAGCAGCAAACTGGACAACCGGGTCCTGAATGTGAGCAATCGTAAACGTGATGCTCTGATCTGTAGTTCGCGTGCTGTTCAAATCAAAAGACTTTGAAAATGCAAAGACAGGTTCCTCGTCCATGATCGAACGGAAGTCGTGGTCGATCTTGTCTTTCAAAGTCCCATGCCTGGCAAACTCCTGTCTCAACCGAGCCGACACACCGGCCTCGTGTCGCACGTCCGAGGGAGCCGAGAAGTAGAGGGTACCCCATTCAGCACGATCTTGAAATTCCGTAAAAAGTTGTTGCACAGCCCTCTGAACCTTCCAGGTCTTGAAACCTTTCGAGATACCCTCCAACGCTGTATGGTCAAGACCCCAAACGATCTTGCTTCCCCGGTCACCGCTGACCCATTGACCATTGACGTCAATGTAGATATCTACAGGCACACTGCCCGAGACGTACACGGTGACGTAACTCGCCGGTATAGACTGTCTGACAGTCGAGGTGGGCGTTATAGGAGACAAGAAGGAGATGGTGATGTCAATGTTGCTGGACTCGGAGTAGAGTGAAGGCAACGGAAGAGAGTAGGACAGATTCGTAGTAGAAGCATCGTAGACCGCTCCACGGTAGATAGGTGTCGATACAGTATAACTGCCGAAGAGGTCAATCCGGTGCTTCAGGAGCAATGGTTTCAATATTTACTTGTCACCCTCCTTTCGGAGCGAGTCCTGGGGTCTTCCCAGCAAAGGGTATGCGGTCCTCTCCCCGGGAACACTGGCAAGGATGGAGAAGCCGATCTCTTGACCTGTCCAAAACATTGGCCATTTTTCCCACGGTACGTCTCGTGCATTATTTAGCCAGGTGCTGAGATAGGGGTTTCGCACGATAAGAGGGAGTACGGGAGGGGTGAGGCGTGAGCATTCGACCTGGATGGCGAGGGCGGCGGCCACGGCCGCCAATGCGGGAACCAGCCGCATGACGGAGGAAGCAGGACAGGAGCAAATCAAAAGTACCTGAGTTAGGAGCTCAACCTAAGGACAAAAGACATGAGAGTGCAAGAAGAAGCGCACAAACACTCGCAAAGACACGAGAAGAGAGAAAATCCGGGGAATCGAGCAGTGTGGAAGAAGGAGAAGCTGCGCTGGTCAGCCGATCAATTGCGTTGGAGCCCGCAACATGCGACACTAACCACCAGCTTTGCTTCTCCAATCACGCAATGACGGCACGATGGGGGATGACGGTCAGCATTGGATGCTTGATGCGCTTGTGACCTCTCCTCGGTACATCTATTGCTCACAATCACCGCCAACGTCCCCTCCATCTCGCACTATGCCTGTTCCTGTCTCCTTCGAACCTTCCCCCCTCGCCTGTCAAGTCGCAGACATACGGGAAACTCGCCCAGAAAATGAGGACATTAGTGGCGATCTACGAGGTACCTGCTAGCAGCACCGTCCGAATGGTGTGGATATCGTCGATTCGCCAATAGCAACCTCGATCCTTCGCTCGAAAGATTGCTAAAAGCATTGACTTGGGGAAAGACCGAAACAAGAATGGGATGCCACAGTTTGTCACGGCCTCGCGCCCATTGGCCGAAAACCTTGAAAAATAAAAAGTACCAGATATGCGTCGTTGGTTTTCGCCTCCACCGAGTCGGTGTCTATGAGCTATCTATAAACCTGCGTACTCATATCTGGTATGACCACCAACTTTCCTGCTTCCAATATCTTGTTTCTCCAAAAGTTTGCTGCGGAATAAAGCGATATTGCTTTCCATCTGATAATGGACATCCAGAACAAGGAGGCTGTACTGACTGCAGAAGTGTCTGCAGAAGTGTCACCGTCCGTTGCACCTCAAGATCCTGAGCAACAGCTCGACAACGAACGCTTGCCCAGTGTTCACACCTCAGCCTTCAAGAGTCTCGGCATTCTCGACCAGTTCCTCGCTCTATGGATCTTTCTGGCGATGCTCACGGGTATCTTGTTGGGCAATTTTGTCCCCAGCACTGGTCCTGCCCTGCAGAGAGGCGAATTTGTTGGCGTCTCAGTTCCTATAGGTACGTCGAGGGAGACAGTTGATGAGAAACGGCAGACTAACTTTGAATTGAGCCATCGGGTTGCTGGTCATGATGTATCCCATTTTGTGCAAGGTCAGATTTGAGACGCTGCATCACTCCTTTCGCGAAAAGACCCTGTGGGTGCAGATCCTTTTCAGCATCTTCGTCAACTGGATCATTGCACCTCTCTTGATGGCAAGTTTCGCAGCATTCTGTCGTGCCGCCCGATACTGACGGGATCCAGCTGGGTCTGGCCTGGGCTTTTCTGCCCGACGAGCCTGGTCTCCGCGATGGGCTCATTCTGGTCGGGATTGCCAGATGCATCGCCATGGTTCTGATTTGGACTGGTTTGGCTGGTGGCGACAATGAGTATTGTGCTATCCTGGTCGCCATCAACTCTCTCCTACAGATGGTTCTCTTCGCCCCTCTGGCGCTTCTCTTCATCAACGTTATCAGTCAGTCTTCCAAAGGCGTCAACGTGGACTATGCGCCAGTCGCGAAGAGCGTCGGTGTCTTCCTCGGAATACCTCTCGCCGCTGCCATCGTCACCCGGTTTAGCCTTCGAAACCTGGTTGGCAAAGACTGGTACGAAGAACGATTCCTGAAGTGGATTGGACCTCTGTCATTGATCGGCCTCCTTTTCACAATCATTGTGCTTTTCGGGTCGCAAGGTCGTCGCGTGGTTCATCAGATTGTATCCGTCGTGAGGGTTGCCGCTCCTCTCATCGTGTATTTTGCAGTCATATTCCTCTCCACGCTGGTGATCACCAGGAGGCTCAATATTGGGTACAGACTAGCCTGCACCCAGAGCTTTACAGCGGCGAGCAACAACTTCGAACTGGCCATTGCTGTAGCCATTGCCACATACGGCGTCAACAGTGATCAAGCGCTTGCGGCGACTGTAGGTCCCCTTATCGAGGTGCCAGTTCTTCTCGGGCTTGTTTATGCAGTCAAGTGGTTCGGCAAGCGCAAAAATTGGGCGGCATAGATGATTGACGCAGACCACCAAGAGAATGACAACATCCGACTTAGTCATGTTTCGGCCTAGCATCCAGCTCTTGCAAAATTTGAAGCACAGCCTGGGTGTTCACCCGACAGCCCGATTCCGGGAATTTGGGAAGGCCGGCATCCGTGGCAAGCCGCGTGTTGATTTCTTCCATTTCTGCGGGCGTGGGGTCGTACTGCTCGATCATTCCTTTGGCAATCAGACATTGCGTGGTGTTTGTATTTTCTGGGGGAATCGATCCGTTTGGCGGGACTGCGAAGCCATCACAACGAAAAGCCTCGGGAGAGAAGGGAGGGTTATTCAGGCCGTCAGAGCGGAACATCCATTCGTACGGACTGACTTGGGGGGCCATTGAGGCGATCTCAGGTTGACTCGTCGTTTGCGCATTGGAAGCTGCCGCAAAGGGCGGGCACTGCTGTGCCTTGTAATCCTGTAGAGGATCTGGGGCTAAGGCTGGCGTTGGGGTACAAAACGATGCTGACGAAGGGAACATGAGACAAGATGATTCCGAATCTGACTCTCTGCTAGTTATGCTCTCCGCAACATGCACCTCGCCAGCTTGCAGTGTGTCTGGTTGGTGGTATCTAGGTTTGAGTTGGCGATGCGCCAGCGCCGGCGCATTGCCAGGTAGTGATTGCATATCATGGCGGCCGAAAGTCTCGACGATATCTGGACTGATGCCAACATAATGCAATAGATCTCGCAAACGGGCATTTTCGACTTGCAGGTCAGCATAGGCTGCGCGCTGCAAGTCAGCGGCGCGACAAGACATCTGGCATTCCTTCACTCGTCTTTCCAGGCCGGCCAGATACTCCTGGCGTCGAGCACGGCTGCGTCGTTGGTTGTCGCGGATCCTTTCCTGCTTGGTTCTCGTACCCCCAGGTGCTGTGCTGGCTTCAGACGCCATGTCCAGCAAGCATCAACACTCGGTGGTTCGAGAAGCGGTATTTGGGCAAAATGCATTAGATAGGCATCATCAGAGGTAAATGTTCCTCTTTGGACGGACAGAAGCTGGCTCAGAGAGGGCGAACCGCAGCACACCACCAGCGCTAGGAAAGTGATGAGTAAAATGAAAAGCACGATTGGCCGGATAACCCTGGCGCTATGCTGGGGTGGCTTCGAAGGTGGACGCGTCAGGGCCCGAAGCCGGTTATTGAGGGGCCTCTCTCAGCTGAACGAGGAATGAAATGTGATGGTAGAGACAGACAGGCCGGGGTCGTCTTCGTATCTGAAATCGTTTGGCGGAGGGGAGTGGCAACACGAGAATCGTGACAGGATGAAGGTCAACCCAGATGGTGAGGAGCATTCTGGACAAGGGGATCTCCAGCAATATATACACATATGGATAGCATATGTAAGAGATCAGCTATTCATGAATCCGAAAAGAAGGGCCATGTACCCCAGCTCCGCCGCGGAAATGCGATCCCTCGCCCAAAATCATAGGATACGAGTCTGGATAGATCAACCAGGTGACATAATTTTGGAAATGGAACAGGCCTGGTACTGGAACAATTGAGTTCATCGAGGGCGGATCGCCTTGCAGAAATGGCGCGAAGATAGCAAGAGATGGAACCTCCACAGCATGGCGATTCTGGGGATAGAGACTGCGCTTGTCAGCGGGCTTTTGTGGAGAGAGGGACAAGTTATCAGGTTGTCCACTCCGCTTGCGAAGGAGGAGGTGGTAGTGGTAGCAGTGATGGTGTTCATGGAGGGTGGCAGCAGAAGGGAGAAAAAGTCTAAGTCAATGTCCCACAGATGCGCAGGCAGCTGAAACTCTCAAACTGCGCCACCACCACCATCATGGCATTTTCTCACACTTCTCCGTCTAAACCCTCGATTCGCGAATTCGCGGTTTATTCCTTCTGTGAGATCCTGCGTCCTGCTCCAGCTGCCCTACCGTTGCCCCTCCTCCTCGTCCAGTGAGATCAACGAACCGCCCTCTGGATTCAAACCCTAAATCTGCTCTTTTTTTGCCGCCTCCTCTCACCTCGGCCCATATGCCTGTATATCTAAGGTTCCGGATAGTGACAATTTGTCAAACCAGGAAGACGCCATGCCGACTCCGCGCAGAAAGGGGCGCTCATGTTTGTCTCCATCAAGGACGTGACTATCTCCAAAGGGAAATACACAGGGAAAGAGTTGGCATTGTAGCGGGCTTGTGGCAACGCTCTTCTGGCTCCTCCTGCTGACGCAAGTGTCTACCACGGACCTCTCCTTGATTTTGCGTGGCTGTCAAACCACGAGCAAAGGATACCTAACGCCGTTTGCCAACACCATGACCATTGTTCGCCAGACTGAGATCAGGGTAAGGAATGACCCCAAGTCCTAACCATTGGTCTATGGCTACGTCTCAAAGGAGCACGAGCTAATCCCAATATCTTCGCCCTACACTTTCGGTGCTGCCGGGGTCCAAATCAATCGGACGATCCAGCGATCTACATGGTTTCCACAGCCGCCTCCTGAGCTTGAGGAAACGTCGCAGCTTGCATGACGAACGTTTTGTGACACCGTGCGTGTATCTCGCCCAATCGTGGCATGTTTGGTGGCGAGTGTCCTCAACCACCGAAATTCCGCGATGCTGAGTACATGGACCACAACCCCCACTGCGGTTGCCACTCGGAATCCAAACCCTTGGATCCTTAGAGGTAGGTATTCTTCTCGATTTTCAACCAGTCGTCATGAAACCCAGGTTCGTGGCGCGCTTGGTCAGTTTTCCAACTGTTTGGTTAACTGAGCCACCTGAACCACGGACACAGCAGTCAGCTATATCTGGGCTGAAATTCTAAGTTGGATGTATATTTCAGCATGGCCAGCCCCTTCGAAATGAATCTGAACGCTGCTCCAATGGTGTGAGTGATCTGCGGTGTTGGGCAGACGCCAGAGGAAAATAATTCCGACAATTTACAAGCATCCCTGGGTTTGCGGAATGTTGGCTCAACGCCCGAACATACATGTGGTAGTCGATCCCAAGGTGAGAAACATGGATCGGCCAGGCCGAAAAGTGCCCTAGGGGTGCTGCCATGTTCGTTCACTAGAGAATTCTGTGACCTGTGGACTGTCGAGATCGCCTTCACAGTCTTGATCTTCAAGTGGTGGACCAGAGAATTCACGAGCCACAACTGCTCCATGTGCTGCCCTGGCAAATTTGGAATCGGACGCTGGAGAAACTCGTGATGGGAAGGTAAGCGTGTTCTAAGTTCCACGTCAATAGGCAGATGTGAGCGCAGTCGTTCTAGACCCAGAAATTCTCTGGTACGGCGCGGAGTTGGTCATCGGTCTATGTTGATCAACCAGTCTCTTTTCGAGCGCCGTTCAGAAAGACGCATGTGAACCCCGGCGTCTTGAGTTTGATGAGTTAGGTTCCTTCAGACTGGATTGAAATATGCATGTGGTCTCTTGGGGCGGAGGAAACTCGAAGGGTGCACAGGGTATAAGCTTGCCGAGAATCACCTGGATGGACATAGGTATCGATATGCCTGAGTCACTGGAAGAAGAATAAGGAGAAGCATACTCGGCAGAGAAGGGCGCTTGCAAAGGAGGCCCCTGAGGAACGAGTCAAGACATTTACAGGTAGACACAGGTAGAAAGGCAAGTCGGACACTCATTTTCCTTGACACAATCTACTCAGTCAATTAAACAATCAACAATCACAAGCACCAGAGGGAAAAAGAAGGCGACCAGCCAGTGATTTAGTGAGTCAGCCAGTTCCATAGTTCCAGCCACGCCCAAACGTGGCCTCTCTTCTCTCTCTCTCTCTCTCTCTCTCTCTCTCTCTCTCTCTCGTACATGGATACACAAGCTGACTATGCGTCCACACGATCAATCCCTCCTTTCCCCCCCTCTCTTTTCTTTTAAGATCTCTCACACTCCCTCTACAACTTCGACCCTCCTCCACTGACCCGTCTCAGGGCCAATGGGTCCTTGGCCTCTAGGCCATATTGGCGGAGCAACTCCCTAGTCTTCTCCTTCTGGGCGGCAATGCGCTTCAACAGAGCGGGGCCGCGCTTGTTCTCATTGCGGCCCAGCTGCAGCATGTGCACCTCATCGGGGCCATCGACGATCCTCATGGTCCGGCCGCTCGACCACATGGCCGCCAGGGGCGTGTCCTGGGACACACCGGCGCCGCCGTAGGCCTGGATGGCGCGGTCGAGGACGTCGAGCAGCATGTTGGGCACCTGCACCTTGACCTCGGCGATCTCCTTGAGAGCGTCCTTTGCGTTGGACTGGTCGATCTTGATGGCCGCGTTGAGCACGGCGAGACGGGCAGAGTCGATCTCGATGCGCGACTTGGCCACACGCTCCAGCATGATTCCGTGCTCGGCCAGGAGTTTGCCGAATGGCTTCTTGGCCGGGTCGTTCATGCGGGCGAGGAAGTATTCCAGCGCTCGTTCAGCCTACAAGGGTAAGAAAATAAACTTGATTAGAAATTATCTCCCAAAACAAAATGTCCTCCCAAAGATTTACTTGGGAGGTGGAAAAGAGGGAGAAAAGGAGTAATTCCAAACTTACAGCACCAACTGATCTCATGGCGTGGTGGATTCTGCCGGGGCCGAGACGGCCTTGGACGACCTCGAAGCCTCGTCCCTCACCCAGGATCATGTTGCTCTTGTGCACGCGCACGTTGTTGAAGGTGATGTGGCCGTGGCCGTGGGGGGCGTCGTCAAAACCAATGACGGACAACATTCGCTCAATGGTGAGGCCGGGGGTGTCAGCAGGGACGAGAATAACCGACTGTTGCTTATAAGGGCTCGGCTCGTTGGGATTGGATTTGCCCATGACAATGTAGATCTTGCACCGGCGATCGCCCGCACCGCTGGACCACCATTTCTGTTTATCGTCAGCGTCAGATATGAGCATGAAGAAAATCAACGAGGATGGTTGGAGAGAACAAACCTGGCCGTTAAGCACGTAGTAGTCGCCATCTCTCCTCATGTTCAGTTCGATGTTGGTCGCGTCACTGCTGGCCACTTGCGGCTCCGTCATCAAGAACGCCGACCGAATCTCGCCGTTAAGCAGAGGTCCGAGCCACTGCTTCTTCTGCTCCTCGGTTCCGTACTTGGCGAAGACTTCCATGTTGCCCGTGTCCGGGGCCGCACAGTTGGTGGCTTCGCTGGCGACGGCAGACTTGCCCAGGTACTCGGCCATCAAGCCATACTCGAGGTTGGAGAAGCCAGCACCTTCCTTGAAATGGTTCTTGGGCAGGAACATGTTCCACAGACCCAGCTTGCGGGCTTTGACTTTGAGGTCTTCAATGACCTGAGGGTGGGCGTCGAAGCGGGAGACAATGTCGCCACCATTTTGGTTGATCTGCTGGGCAAAGACCGCATCGGCGGGGATGCATTCTTCTTCGACAAATCTCTCGACCTAGATAGGGAAATCGGCGTTAATCAGTATTGACACTCAACTCTTCTTCGGTGTTTTTGGCTCCCAAGTAGTTCCGTGGAAGTTGCTGTATTGCTTCCGGGCTAACCCCGGCGGTACTTGGGATAGACAGTGGTAACAGGACAAATGTAGAAGAGCGCTTTGCAATGACACTTATACATGTAGTTATTACTCACCAGATCCAATGTCTTCTTCGCTCGTTCGCTCACGAAAGGTCTGGCAATAACTGGGATTCTTTCCGAGGCAGGAATATGGCCACCGGCACTATTGATGAGGTACGGAACCGACATTCTGGAGAAATTTCGGGACAGAGAAGAAGCTGGGGATGGGGATGGGGAGGGTCAGAGGGTTCCTCGATCGAAGCAGCGAAAGGAGGAATTAAATGAGTCTGGACGACGATGGGATGGATGGGATTGGGATTGGGATTTAGTGATCAACAAACAAATAATCGGATAATGGACAAAAGTGTAGCTGGTCTTAGGGTCTTTGATGGACGGGAATCCCTCGCCTAATCCGAGAACCGAGGCAGTGGAAACCAGATTCGGAAAAGCAACAAAAGCACTTGGGACTGCAAAACGACGAGCAGGATTATTCCGACTAATACCTGTAAATCCCTGGGTTAAACTGGTCCTCGTTGCTTGGCCCCCCCGGGGATCCATCAGGCCACACACTTACACTCATCCACACAAACACCCACCCACACGGGCACCGCGGGGCAATCGAAAGACGATGGAGTCAAAAGTGTCTGGACTCTGGCCAATTCCATCTCGGCTGACTCCCGTATCAAAAGCTTCGTCTCTATCATGGCTTTACCCAGCCTGAGAGCAGCAACATGCCACATCTCACCCCACATTCTCTCTGCTGCTCGCACGACTCACAAGACCATTCAATGCATTAACATAGCTGCCAGACAAGCCGCGAATCTCGTCGTGTTTCCCGAAGCATCAATCCCTGCGTTTCCACTATGGTCATCACTCCTCCCGCCGACGCACACCCATCATTTCTTCCGACGGATGGTGCAGGAGTCGGTCTATGTTGACGGTGAAGAGATCTCTGCCATCCGTCAAGCAGCCCGCGACAATCATGTAGTCATCAGTCTGGGAGTATCTGAGAAGGTGCGGTACAGCGCGGGCACTCTTTTCAACACCAATATCATCATTGGCGAGGATGGCGAGATTCTGGTGCACCATCGCAAATTGATGCCTACATTCTTTGAGAAGTTGACCTGGGCTCCTGGCGATGGCTATGGTCTACGCGTGGCACAGACCCGATACGGCCAGATTGGAGCCCTGATCTGTGGTGAGAACACCAACCCACTGGCTAGATATACCCTCATGGCACAGGGAGAGCAAATCCACATTTCCACCTGGCCTGCCATCTGGCCTACCCGAGTGATGGTCGAGAATGCCGGCAATCAAGACAATACTGTAAGCACAACGGGTCGCAATTATGACAACATTGCGGCAAATCATACACGAGCAGCCGCTCACTGCTTTGAGGCCAAATGCTTCGGGATCATGAGTGCAGGCTATCTTGATGATGCTGCCATGGCTGACATTGCCGCGATGACAGAGACACCAGAGGACATGCACAAGAAACTAGCAAGCTATCCACAAGGGGCAAGTCAATTTCTCGATCCAACAGGCAAGATAGTCCAGGGAGGTTTCGCCATGGACCTCACCCAGGACCAACGCCTGGATGCTCAAAACATGGTCACGAATAGGGAAGCAATTCTATTTGCGGATCTCGACCTGAATGAATGTATAGAAGGCAAGCAGTACCATGATGTGGTTGGCGGATATCAGAGATTTGACGTCTTCTCGTTGCAAGTCAATCGTCAGCGTCATGAGCCTGTACACTTCCATGACGGGAACGAGAATGGATCGAGCCTGAGGAGCAACAGCCTTGGGAACGATGAGCAGAAAAGTTCCGGCGGGAAAGTAAGGGAAGGGCCAGAGTGAGATTATTGAACAAAGATCCGGTGGAAGCGGGATGAATGGTGACTGGCTGAAGGTTTACGAGTATTTGCCGGTAAAAGGGGCTCATCCTCAATAGATATAACCTCGGGAGTTCGTGACAGTAAGTTACAAGGACAGACCCCAACTTCCACCTTCCTCCTTGCGGATGAACCGAGACTGCTACAAGGTTACAGCCTCGCTATGTATACTCGGTACGAGGTAAGTACTCCTGAGACGGTAGAGACATGATATCCTCTGTCCAACTTCGAGGTCAATCACATGTTTGCGTCATGACTAAGATGACCCAGAAATCAGTCATTTGAATTTATCCACGTGACTATACTCCATATCTTGGCGTCGCGGATGCAGAGTTTATCCGTTGCCGATCAAAATTTCCATTCACCTTTTCGGCAAACGAATGATTGACACTGGAAATTCAAGCAGAGTCGTTGTCGCCTTACATTGTACTACCAGCAATATCGTTCTCTTCCCTCTTTGACTGTACAGTTCTTCTTCCCTGTAGCCTTTTATCCAGCACTCGTGCAGGCTTCGTTTTCTCCATCTCCTTCCAAGCTAACCCCGCAAACCGTTCATGACCTTTCCTGCGGCGACTCCCCAACCTTTCCAGGGTACCAGCACAAGAGGAGAAGGTCCTCTGATCCTAGAGACGAAGGAGACCGGACAAGTTGTACCCGGGGGACAGAATGACCAGGCGACTGCGGTGACAAAGGATGGGCCCAAGGCGAAACCATGGGCCCATTTCGTCGCGGGAGGGTATGCGCCCAAAACTAGACTCCGTTGTATGACCGTGTTCAAACTCATGATGTTTTAGTATCGGCGGCATGGCCGCGGCCACCCTCACTTCTCCTCTTGACGTCTTGAAGACCCGATTACAGTCCGATTTCTACCAAGCGCAACTCAGAACCCTACACGCTCAACATCCTCTGCCACATAAACTCACCTTTACCTCCGTCCCCAGAGCAGCATTCTTCCACATCGCCGAGACTGTCCAGATATTGCGATCGATATACCAACATGAGGGGTTTCGCGCGCTATTTCGAGGTCTGGGCGCAAATCTGATCGGCGTTGTACCCGCCAGGAGTATCAATTTCTACGTTTACGGGAATGGCAAGAGAATTCTAAACAACTACCTCAATCCCGAAGGGCGAGAGAATGTCTGGACCGTCCACCTTCTTGCAGCAGCCACGGCGGGAATAGCAACCGGAACTGCTACAAATCCGATCTGGGTGGTCAAGACACGACTGCAGCTTGACAAAAACACTGCGAGCCATGATCCTCTCAAGGGACGACAGTATAAGAACAGCTGGGACTGTATCAAGCAAACTGTACGGCACGAGGGAATCCGAGGCCTGTATCGTGGCCTGTCGGCCTCGTACTTGGGAGTTACCGAGTCAACCCTTCAATGGGTATTGTACGAGCGGATGAAGCTGTCTCTTGCCAGGAGGGAAGCGAAGCGCCTGTCACACGCTGGGTATCAGCGAACAATGCTCGATGACGCGGAGGAGTTTGGCGGGAAGTTTTGCGCCGCCGCCGGTGCGAAGCTTTTTGCGGCCGTCATTACATATCCGCATGAAGTTGTCAGAACCAGGTTACGGCAAGCACCAACCATTACAACGGAGACGGGCAAAGTTACGATCAAATATACCGGCCTGATACAGTGCTTCCGCCTCGTGGCTAAAGAAGAAGGGCTGGCTGGTTTGTACGGAGGCATGACGCCGCATTTGCTTCGAGCTGTCCCTGCCGCTGCCGTCATGATGTCCACCTACGAGATTTTCCTACGGCTCTTTGGGACCACTTCATGACCCCTGCACCGCTGCTAGTCCTTGAAAAAAGGGCTACTTGGTCACCACGTCTTCAGCGTGCCTGTACAATTTGTATCGGTCCTACAGGTCGGGCGTTTCATTTTTACCATTGCATAGAAACGAGGCGTTTCTGGAGCAACCCGCTTTGGCTTGACATGGAGCAGTAGCCACTACGAATTATCGATAGAGGCGACTGCATCGGGAGCCAAAGGGGGTTTAATGGAGAGGCGGATAATTGTCCTGGTTGACAAAAGAAAGATACCCACCTCCAAGCTTTGTATAATACCAACATGTGTTTGTGTCTATGTGAGAGAGAGAGAGAGAGACAGAGAGAAGAGGCATCTTCTCTCGTTCCAATAAAAGTTTCATTGCAATGTTTGTATTGAGCTGCACTGAGGTATAGCTGATCGTGTTTCGGTTCGTTCTTCTTTCTTCGTGTCATGTGCCTTCGAAGATACCGAGTGGTGTGCCTCGCCAGCGTCACCACGTTTACTCGAAGCCTTTGGTAAAGTCGAGGGAGGAATGATGGTTAGCCCGGTCCTTTGGCCATGAATGACCCCGCCGACGGTCTCTAACCTACCGCCCCTTTGAAGTGATAGGCAATAGGAGATTGCAGGAAATGACAATCCTCGTGATCGCCGGTCGAGATGAGGCTGCTTCACCCATACAGACGACCTAGCGCAGACATTCCACTGCTCCGAAATTGAGACCTATCCAAGAACGGTCAGTATATCCCTTGGTTGATCCTTGACTCGGCACCCTGGTCGACAAACATCTCACTCGTTGTGGAGGAAGAGGCGGTATGCAGTGCAGTATCTTGTATCCAGCCAACGAGAACGTGTTGGATAGAGTGGAGTGTTGAGACACACCATTTTCGAGCCTCTGGCGGTAAGAAATGGCTGATCGAGAGCCAACCATTTCGCAGGCAGCAATGCCGTTAGGGCATGCGGACATACTTCAAGCCTCATCCCCGACCGTCTGAGTCAGATGGTTACCCCTGGTCGCTATTGTGAATCCGACCAGGTTGCAGGCGGCTCTTTTGCTCCTGGTCACTTTTGTGGGGGTCTCGATCATTCGGATTCTCTAGTGTGCTAGTGTGATTGCTTGGGCGATACTCCAAGACGAACCCCATGATCCGGCCAGGAGCTGTCAAATGCAAAAGGGAGCCGTGTCTAGGGCCATCCCCCTATCCATGCTGAGGATGTTACCCCCTCTTTCGACGCCCTGCCTTGGTCACATTCTTTGCCGCATCCCTAGCGCCCTCGCCCGGTCGCTCGTCCACATCTTTCGATGCAAGCAGTTCTTGGGCGTCAGGCTCCAGTCTCAGGAATTCTCGGATCGTCCAATCAAAGACGTTGTCGTACTCAAACCCTTGCTGGAGGAAGAGATTGCTGAACATCCTCCGGAGGTGCTGATAGTCCGGTCGATCCTCATCGCGCAAACTGTGCACATAGTCGAAGTAGTCCACGAACTCGGTTGGCAGGTCTGCGCAGAGTTCGCTCGTACTGGTCGCCTGCTTTTTCTCCAGAACCAGCAAGTACTTGTCTTCCGGCTTTGCTTTGAGACCTTGCCAGGGAAGGCTTCCACGGACGAAGTACACAAGCATATAGCCAAGTGCTTCCAGGTCATCGCGCCGGGATTGTGCTGGCGAAAAGGGTCAGCTGGTCTTCTGGCAGTTTTTAAAAATTAGTCAAGATGTCGCCTTACGGATGCCTAAGTGACCCCTGATACTCGCGTATCTGCATGTGCCTAGTAGCTGAGGAGGACGCGCTTTCACATCACGAGGACGAGGTGGACTGTTCGAGCCCCATCGATCAGGGTGGCGGTAAATCGCAAGACCTAAATCGGTCATGTAGACGGTATTCCCTCGCTCACCCAGACCAAGGAGGAAGTTTTCAGGCTTGATATCCCGGTGAAGGTAGTTGTTTGAATGGAGACTCTCGAAGCGATGGAGCAGTTGGTCAGCGAGCATCAGCGTCGTCTTCAGCGAGAACTGGTTGCCACAGTATCGGAACAAGTCTTCCAGGTTGGGCCCGAGTAGCTCAAAGACCAAAATGGCAAAGTCGTCCCGATCTCCATGCCAGTATACCTCAGGAAAGCCAGCCTTCCCAGCAAGGGATCGATAGATGCGCACTTCCTCGCAGAGAAAAGATGGCGCAACACTGTGATGTTCGAGTTTCATGGCGACTTCGTTGCCGGTTTCAGCGTCACGCCCTGTTTGAACGGAATGAGATTGCATTTTGAAGACATGGGTTTGTCAAAGAATTGTCGCCATACCAAGGTAGACATAGCCAAAGGAACCAGATCCTATCTTTCGTACCAAGTGGTATCTTCCGCCAAAGGCCATGTTATGGACATGCTGCATAAAGCTGTCCATACTGTGTTGTGAGGTCGTTACAATCGTCCATCGTCGACTTCGACTGAGGGTGTGTGTTCGAGGTACTTGTGGCAGTTTGACCTTGGGCGACTCGCTCCACTTCCCCTGGGGCGCCTTAACTGTACATGGTTAGGTAGCAACTTCGCAAGGCAGATGGCACATGGTTGCCTAGAACCAACCCCGCAAGCCTGAACCAGACACGCTAAGGGTGGCACGCACAGCCCGCAAACGCGTTAATCTCTGATACGATTAACCATTTCCTTAGCGCCAGAGGCTTGAAATCGTGTGCCAACCTCCCATCAACGCAGATATACGACTACGAGTAATACGGCGACTGGATGTGAAGTGCGGCATGCACCTCCTCCCACACCTTCTCTCAACATGCAACCTTGCCTGGCCTGTCACCGCTGTTTGTGTCCTTCTTTGAGGCCACCTCCTCACACCTTTCTCCTCGACTCTTCGTCCTCTCTTCACTCATGTTCGCCCTCGAAGAACCCGAGTCGAAAAAGCGACAGCGGTCCTCACAAGGGTCCGCAGATTTCGAGGCAGGGCCGGTAGCAAAGAAACAAAAATCTCTCTCGGAAAGCCGTGGTTTCCGTTGCCGTCGTCCTCCCAGCTACTGGAACACATTGTCCAAAGTTCATTTGACCCGCGGCGCTCTCTGGGAGTTTGACCGCAGGAGCATTGAAGAGAAGAATCAGTCACCTTGCACACTCACGTTCAAGGTCGAAAATCCCACAGGACGTGCTGGCCTACGGCTCAAGAGATTTGCTCGATGTGGGGGACCTGATCTTTCACACCTTCGAGGGGTTTGTCTTCTCCTCTGCCGACATGAGCCTGCCTCGGAGACTGACTAGAGTTTGTGACAGCTTGCCAACTTGCCCCTTTCGATCCACGACATAATGAGCGATCATGTTAGCTCCCAGAGCCGGAAACGCTCCTCAGCCTCGTCGAAGCCGAGTGACTTGGCCAAGATTACCTCTCCTAAGATCACACCTTATAGCGGCAATTTTGAGCAAAAATTGATTGATACTTGTATCTATCCCGATGATCACGAACATCCAGATGGACGGTTTGCGCCTGAGCCGGCAAATTTGAGCGATATTCGGGCCGCACAACGGGTCCCTCGACCGTCTCTCTCACCATCGCGATTTACAGAGGAAGACTTCAGAGCTTTCAAGCGGGCAAATGCCAGAGTAAAAGGCGAGACTACTGGGATTCATAATCTATTCCCTTTGATCGCCGGAAGCGAAGCAGCCCACCGTTTCGAGATGGACCTGTCACTGAGCAACCTGCAAGCGTTCGACAAAGATCTCAGTGACCCAAAGCCCGATGTCTATCATGGAGTGGCACTATCGACCATCCATCCGCGGGTGCGCGCTGACTTGGGGACTTACATCGTTCCATCGAAGGTCGACATAACTCGTCCGGCCGCTCCGAATTTCTTCGTTGAGGGCAAAAGCGCTCAAGGACGATCGGACGTGGCAAAGCGACAGGCGCTGATTGATGGAGCTGTTGGAGCGCGAGCCATGCACGAACTCCAAAATTACAAAGCTAAGGAGCCGGGATATGACAACAAAGCACGAAGCTTCAGCGCAATATACCAGGCAGGCGTTGGTGTCCTCCAGACCTACGTGCACCATCTCACAAAGCCTCTAACTCTTGGAGGGAATCCCGAGTATCACATGACTCTAACTGGATCCTATGGAATGACGCACGACAGGGAGACATTTGTCAAAGGAGCTACTGCGTACCGCCGCAGTCGAGACCTAGCAAAGACAGAGCGGGACAGCCTCATTGCCCATGCGAATCAGGTGGCTCGCCAGATTCCTGCGCCCAGAACCAAGACACGCTTGACGACCAGCCGCAAATCCCAGTCAACGGGCCTTGTCACTGGATCAGACTCCTCTGAAGACGAGCTGGCTCTGGACGAAGTGACCCCGGTCAAGCGCCGAAAACCAAGCGCAGCGTCCGTGAGATCCGGTTCTGCAACTGGACGAGATGGTCGCTCTGCTTCCGGAGCCGCTATGGCTACTAACAGAGCACCCTTGGCACCTCCATAGACTATCATGTCGCGTCTAGATGCAACGGACAACCTACTTCGGCGGGAATTTAATTACCCACACACCGAAAGGAACGCACGCATCTTCAGGGGAGAAAACCTTCAGACCTCTCCAGGCAATGCCAAAGCGTGCAGGACTCGGGACGAGGGCGTCAGACACGCCCCACGATTCGAGTTACTTCAGAGCGGATGCACCATAAAGATCCCCCGGGTCGGACGTAAAAGCGCAACATTTTCGGTTTCAGCTGCTGTGTTTAGGATACTCTGCAGGGAATACTCTGATGCTCGTCCTACGAGGGACACCCTATTTTTTCGACACCTCGAAATCTATTTAGATAAGCGTTAACAAATTGTCAACGAATAAAATCTGGCTCGTTTGGAAAAGTGTATACGGGCAAGGTGGCCATCTCGGAGACGGTGGAACACGGATTCAATTGATTATTCGCACGAGGTGTGATGTTCCTACAGGTGATGTGGTGGCCGTAAAATACTATTCCTCTTCTACGGAGTAAAGTTGTTGCCAGGACTCGGCGGTCCTGCCGTTTCGGGCAAGGTCGAGGGCGGTGCGCGCCACTCTATGTATGATCTATATTACCTCTAGCGAGGTTCCCAAGGGCGATCAGCAATCTACAGCGGCTACTGCCAGGGGCTCGAAGTTGGAATGACACCTCTTTATCGTATGAGCATGACTACAGACTTGACAGAGCGTAGGCGGTAAGCCGCATCATACTCGCATTGCCATGCACAATCATCTGGAAACAAGAAAGCTGTCTTTGGATTCCATTGTTTTGTGACTGTTGCCAAGGCGGGCCAAGTTACATTCGTTTACGACTTCACTTAGAGTGACAGCCTTATGGTGTTCGGTTTTCTGAGTGCTTGACCAACTCTATCCTTTCCTGACATATGCCTGGCCTTACGCGGCTATAATGCAGTCAGTCCGGCTCACGGCATCCCTCAAAGAACCACCGATGCGTGATGTCGGGTAATTTTTACCAACCTCTTAAGTCGTTCACGACGCGAGATACGGCTCATACTCCTGCAGAATGATGACCAGGGATTGGAGAGTCGAGATTCACCCAACGGCCCACTGCGATGTCAATTGATCACAACTTCCCTGATGTTTTATGATACAAAGTTCGATCTCGATGCTAGAGAACTTCTAGTGGCCGCGTCACCGCACATCAGTGGTTTTTATACATTGTACGCCCTCTACAAATTGCTCCGTGTTGCGCAACGGAATGTGCCGCGCATTTTACAGCAAAAACCTTCTAAGTTTTTCGCCCTTTCTTATGTCTGGAGAGATCCGACACGCTTGAGCGACATCGAGGTCAATGGCCAAGTCGCACGGACGTCCTGAAAACTTGGCAGAAGGACTTCGAAGCATTCGAGCAAATACGAATATTCGCGTCATTTGGGCTGACGCAATCTGCATCAATCAGCAGGACCACGAAGAGAAGTCATGGCAGCTTCAGGAAATAGCGACGATATACAAGCGTGCAGCGTACGTTATTTCATGGCTTGGACGCGGCACTGCTGAAAGTGACTTGGCTTTCGTCGCACTGCGAAAGTTCAATTTCGGACATGATCTTCTTCTCAGCAGACTTGTTGGTCAAGAGAGAGCTTGTAACAGCGTGGTCGCAGCTATTGAATACGCAGAAGGAAGTTGTACGGGAATTGACATTGCCAAAAATCGAGAGTGGGAAGATCTGTTTGGCGCAGTACGCTACGAAAGTGGTGAATCTACTCTTGTCTCCAAACGCCGCTCAACCATTTCGAACTTTGACTGGGTATTCTGGCCTAGCCGTCCACGACAGATGTAGAGTCGGTGACCTGGTGGTCATCGTACCAGGTGTTGGAATACCTCTGGTGGTCAGAAACACAGCAGCAGATGGTCCTCCGGTTTGGACAGAACCCTCTGTTAGAAGGGATAACGGGCGAATAGCTTCTCGTCTGTCGTAATGATGACAATCTGAGTTTCTCCCGTGTAGTACAATAGACCAAGACTGGACAGTTTTATTTCCTTCATATTTGATTTCTTCTAGGACTCCCACCATCCCCCTTCAATGCCCGTAAACAGCCATGGTGGGAAAAACATAGATTGGCCGCGAAGAACTTTCCTCCTGTCCCCGTTGCTGGTCCCATTGTGCTTCACGACCGCGGACGGATGATGCTGTACGGATACGGAGTAAATCTGCCATGCACGCAACAAACCATCGCAGATCTCTCGCTCTCCTCCAATTTCGCTTCTAGAACGAGTCTCCCATATTGCCCCGGTAAGTAGAGTCAGTAGCCTCTTCACCACTGAGCTTCTCAGAACTAGGCGATTGCTGCTCGTCTCCTCCAGGTTTCAATCTTCCAGTCAATGTTCCGGAGACGAGACGTTGGCCAGCGGCACATAGCACCAGAAGCGGAATAGTGGCTTGGCGGTCACGCCAATGGATCGCCGGCTACATGGGTTCTGATTGGCCCATAGTCACAAATGCCAAGGCCAAGGGCCAAGGCTGAATAATGATCGCCAGAACCCCAGCGGAAAGCTCTCACGCTCTCCAGTCTACAAGGCGAGGTTGTGGCGGAGCTGCTCAGTGTCGAAGCACTGAGACTTGGGATGGCCCATTCTTACATTCGACGAGCCAGTCGGAGGGCACGCTACAGGTTGGCCAAGGCTCAGGCTCGACGCATATGGGCCCCGATCAGACTGCCAACATCAACAATCCGCCCTGGGTAACATTCATGTCGACTTGGCGACCTCCACCCAGGCTGCCAGGTTGATCGACGGCGGAGACTACCTAAGCCTCAGCCGTGGACGATGTCATGCTCACTTTTCCCGCTTCCCGTAGCTGATTAAAAGCTATATAGAGCCTCGTCTCGAGGGCTCCGACCCCATGCATCACCAATACATTCCTCTTCTTGCCTTTTCCAACAAGATCCCTAGAAAATGTCATCTAGACTTGCATTGACGGTACTGGGCGTTTCCGCCGCGGTCGGCGTTCTGGCGCAAGGTGGTGGGCAAACCGGCATTCAATTTCAGCCCTGCCCGGAGCTGAACGCGAACATATCTGCACTGCTGGGCGGTGGAGGCTCAGTCTTTGACTGCGCTACACTTTCGGTACCCCTGGACTACACGGATCCTGACTCGGGTCCGCTTGACCTCCGGTTATTCAGAGTCAATGCCACCCAAGAACCGGTTTTGGGATCCGTCCTGATCAATTTCGGTGGCCCCGGTGGCACGGGCGCGGAGAATTTACCTACGGTCGCTGAAATTGCGCAGAGTGTCATTGGGCCGCAGTGGAATCTCGTATCTTGGGACCCTCGTGGAACCGGCTATACTCTTCCGTTCACCTGCGATCTTGATGCCTTGGCCGCGGCCCTGGCTCCGGCTCAGAAGCGCGACGTTGGCACGCTAATCAGCACCAATGTGACGGAAGTCTTTCTTAACGTCGGATGGGACTACGCTGGTCAAATTGCAGACTACTGCGCTGAACAATCGAACGAAACAGGAACACTCATCGGGACAGCATTTACAGCCCGAGACATGATCGAAATCGTTGACGCCCTCGACGAAGACGGCCTTCTTCGCTACTATGGTTGGTCGTACGGTACGGCGCTAGGATCATACGTTGCTGCCATGTTTCCCGACCGCGTTGAGCGCATGGTTCTAGATGGCAATTTGAATCCCCACGACTACCAAGCCGGCCACTATGGAGAATTCGCCCACGATATCGATAAGGCTTTCGCTGGCTTCCTCCAGACATGCTTCGACACCGCCGACAATTGCGCTCTGTACTCACTTCTTCGGCCGAACACAACACAAGATCTCCTTGATGCCATCAACGCGGTTCTGACACCTCTCGCCGAGAATGCGACTTCGAGTCTCGAAGGCTATGTTACCTATTTGGGGGTTAAGGGGACTTTTATTGAGCCGCTCTACTACCCTTCTACCTGGCCCACTTTTGCAGAGACGCTCGCCAGCGTCATGAATGGGACCGCCAGTGCACCCGCTAATATAACTACGCCCGCGCCTTACGGTCTGGCCAAGTATGCCGTGATTGGAATCCGCGCGAGTGACGCCACATTCATTGCCAACTCGAGCGACGAATACCTTCCTCAGGTCAAATACCAAGCCACCGTCAGCCCCGGCTTCAGCGACGCTTCCTATTTCAACATCTGGCCTTCTGCGCGGTGGCGGATGCACGCCAGGGAGCGATACTGGGGAGATTTCCGCGCCACGACCAAATCCCCGATCCTGTATGTGAACGGCGAGTTCGACCCGGTGACGCCGCTTGTCAACGCGTACAATGGCAGCGTCGGGTTCACGGGAAGTGCGGTGCTGCCCCATAGCGGCTACGGTCACGGTGTCTTCGTCAGCCCTTCCGAGTGTGTATCCAGACACGTTCAAGCTTATTTCCTCAACGGGACGCTTCCCGAGGCGGATGCACATTGTGAGCCAGACTTGGACCCCGTCGAGCTATGGCTGTCGCGGGTCCAGGCGTTAGAAGCGAACTCTACGGCTGGCGGCAACGACACCGACAATGGGAGTGGAAATGGTAACGCCACTGCAAACGCGTCCGAGAATGGAGCGAGCCGACAGAACTCACGCACTGTGTATACCACGGTGGGGGTGCTGGCAATAGCAGCTCTGGTTTTGTTGTAATGTGGTGTGTGTGTGTGTGTGTGTGTGTGTGTGTGTGTGTGTGTGTGTGTGTTGTGTTGTT